CCACCACTCACCACCACGCCTACATACACCGTACCGCTCTTGCTCCTCCTCCTTGTTATTTCTTTTATATGTATGTATAAATACCCCACACTACAAGTACTCTACTGCCTCAGCCCCTTCAGTCCTGCACCTCTCAGAAACCGTTGAGCCTCTCTGGTTGTTAAGTCGCTATCCTACACATAGCCCATAGCTAGCCCCCCTCTCCTCCTTTTTTTTTTTTTTGGTTATAAATTTAATATTTTCATGTTCGTATATATGTGGTACCATTTTGATATAAATCTCTTTGCATTTGATCTTTTCTTTCACTATATACAAATCATAATCCTATCTACCAACCTGTAACCAAATCCTCCATATACATTCATTTTGTTCCGAACCAGTTGTAGCTAAAATCCGTACTATCTTATCTAACTATCTAACCTTGTGTATTACTATTTTTTTTATATATATTTGGGAGATCGAATGAACCGGAATAACATTTTGAGTTACATAATAGGGTAGCCCTCTCTTTGAATAACATTTATCAAATTCATACATCTTCTACGAGAGACAGTAAAACCAATTAGACTATATCTAATTTACTTTGTTTTACTACTATTTAATGCACAATAAACAAATAAATAAATAAATATTTCTAAGCCCTCCACTCACTTAATTATATGTACCTTATTATTTATGTGAATATCTAGATGCTGACAGTCATTCCCAGCTACAAATTAGATCAATAGTGATAATGGTAATCAAAAGGCAAGTGACTTTTGAAAATAAAATTCATAAATTTTTAATTTTTATTTATTTTAGCACCACATTTTAATTATAATTTATGTTTCAATAATTATAGAACTCGAAATATATAAATTTATCAATTTTCTTTTCGCAAAAAAAATTATGACTTCCTAAAATTTTTATGGGAATTTTATTGTATTAATAAAGTTGCAAATTTTAATAATATCGTACATTTTTCATAATTTTTTGTAACAAAAAATTGTAGGGCCTTGATTTTTTTTTTTTTGCGCCAAACATTGATTTGAAATATAGTTAAATAATTTTTAAAATAATAATTTTCACATTTTTTCAACTATCCCATAAATATCTAATTATCAAATTTGACAAATTAAAAGAAATATTTAATGAGTTACAATAAAAATTGAAAATGTCACAAGAATTATTGTGAAAATATAAGTGTGAATTTATGAATCTGGTCAATTATATACATTTTTTTTAGAAATATAATTCATTAATAATAACATTAAATATCACAAATACTCATATAAATTAGGCATATAACTATTATTACAACCAAAATTAAAAGAGATGATATTAGATCTTTTGACTTAACAAAAGAATATAAATTTTCATAGTAACAACTAGTCATTTGATTGAAGATGATATTCCTGCATTTCTTGTTAATTATTATTAATTAATGTTAATTGGTGTTAGTCACAATTTTTATACTAAGTCTATTTATAAAATTCAAATGTATAAATAATAAATTTGAATTTAATTATATCTTAATTCATAATAGTTAAATGTATGCATGTATGTTTTCCTTTATAGGAAAAATAATAAAAAATGAAAGGAAAAATAATTGTTTTAAAAATAAATATAAGGGCGATCGAGATTTGTTTTGCAACATAACACTAGGACCATGCTCATTTACAGCCTAGGTTACCCTACGAAGTTAAGCCTCTTTTACTTTCGTTGATGAATATGAAATGGAAAAGTGTGAAGATGCAAATCTTTTTTGGGCTTCGCTTTCATGACATATATCAATGTTGTTGAATCATATATAGCATTGGGATAGGGGAATTTTTAATACTCGTACCGTTTAATTAAACCAATTTTTAATTGCAAAATGAATTTCGATTGTCAAATTCCTTCAAGTTAATAAGTTCTTTTTTTGAAAAAACAAATAAAATATTTTTATTTTGTGTCTGTTAGAAAAATAGTCCTCATTTGAAAATAACCTAAATATTTAATCACATGGATCATAATATATTAAATAATAATTAGTTTGAAAAATAAAAAAAAAATTATCGTTTTAAATAATAATTAGTTTTGATAATAATCATATTTATCCTTAATAGCTGCCATAATATCACTTGAGAAATTTCAAGAATCAGAAATTTAATATTATTATGTTAAATTAAAAGTACAAAAAATTTCAAGAATGAGCATTAAAAATTAATAAAGGAGCGATTGAAGTCAATAAATCAATGAATAGAAGTGTTGTTTTGTTTGTTTATGTATATTTATACATTGGGTAATATATTAAAAAAAAATTTCTTTTAATGAAAAGTGAGTGTCAGAATTACAATTTTTAATTTCTTTCTTACTGTAATAGATATTCACTTTTATGGAATATTAGGCAACTGCGAATTATTTGACACGTGTCTACTTTCAGTGCTCAGAATCCCACCAATTTTCAAGTGAATAATAATAATAATAATAAAAAGAAAGTTGCAGCTTTCGTAAATGTAAAACTGTCATTATCATATTTTGATTTATTTTTGGTAATTTTATATGGTATAAATTCACATGAGCATGGGATATATGATCAAAGCTAATGGCTAGTTGCCTATATAGAACACCCTATCTTGGTTATGCAATTTTAGTCTAATTAATTATTATGATTTTATTTAATAAATACTACTAATTTTTTTCTATTACTTTTATTAAAAGGAAAGGAAAGCATACGTCTTAAAAGACATAGGGAAATTAAGCTACACACGTTCTACGATAAATAATCCTTTTAAGGCATAAAAATAATGAATTATTTTTATTTATTTATTTATTTATTTATTTATAAATAGAAAACTCTTCATTATTCATTTATAACAATTATTATACTTTTGAAGCATGCACATCACATGCATAGCACGAGACTCAACTTTATAGTATAATTAGGATGACTGTCTGTATATGTATTTATTTAATTAATTATGGTTAGAGATTTTAATCGAAAGTTATAATTACTGTATTAAATTTAACTTTGGTAATGAATTAATTATTTGCAGGATGGACTACATATCTATGAACAATCTAGTCATCAACCATATTTCTGAAGATTGTCATTATCTATCAGTACAACAAAACGATATATACACTGTGCCTGGAGCCTGGAGCCTGGAGCCTGGAGCCTGGAGCCTGGAGCTTCTGTCAAAACCCATAAAGTAGAGGATCAAACAGGACCACTTAAAATTAATTCCCACATCCATCTTCTGCAGAAATCATCTTTAATCTCAAAAAATTTTAACTATCATATCAGATGAATACAAGATTAAAAGCTTAAATCATTAGCAAATAATTATTTTCATCTCTATAGTAATTCTTGCATATTTAAAATTATTCTTCCTTTCAATTGCTTACCAGAATAGTCATTCTTTGCTTATTATTTCTTTTGAATTTAGAATAATAGAGTTGTTTCTAAATTCCAGATAGAGGGTTAATAATTTATTTTAAAAGATATTTAAAAATGAGAATCAAAAGATATTTAGAATATACATAGATTCAATATAATTAGGTATAATCATATAAATAAATATAATACATATAGTACTGATCCTTTCTTTTTATATACATACTAATAATTATAAATTTGTCTCACATTGAAAATGCAAAAATTAATTAATTAAACCTAACAAGTTGTGACATGTTCAATCACATGTTACGTCTATTTTAAGGGTCTTCAATTACCAAACCAGGAAGAATTTATTCCCTTAATAACCCCCTACGAGCTTTGAAACATATAAAATTAGCCATTGGTTCAAAAAAAAAAAAAAAAAAAAATTATCCTAAAAAATAAAAATTTCAGTCAACTATAAGTGTATGAATGACCCAATCACCAAGTAAGCTAGTTGCTTAATAATATTATAGACATTAACTTCAATGTCTGCCTTTCCATAGTTGGTTAATATTTAATAATAGTCTGGAAATTTTTTCCCCTTCCATGACTTCACTTTGAATTTCAATTGCTTCTTTTTTGAGCTTTTAATTAGAATCCTTAATTATTTGTAAATGCTTCAATTAATTATCTTGTGCTTCATTGATAAATTTCTTTCCTAGTGAAAAGGACATGACAAATTTAAAATAGTAATTAAGAGTCTAATACTCAAAAGGGGATAACCAAAGTTAAATTTTTTAGTTTGACACTTAATTAAATTCAACAATTTAAATAAATTCAACAAAATATAAAATATATAAAGGCATATAAAATTAACTAATTGGGTTAGAACTAATTTTGTAGCGATACTTGGAACAATTAACTTTTCATTTTTTTAAAACTAATTGTAACAAAATAATAATCCCAAGTTCAACAATATAAGATAAGATAAAATTGAACAATTAGAATAATGAGATTAGAACTAAAGTTTCTTAATTTGATTGATTAACCATACTAATTAAAGTGGGTTTACTGGTTATTTAATTTAATGAGAATGGATAAAGATTATTAAAAAGGAAAAAAAAAAAAAAAAAGAAAAGAAAAGAGAGTTATGATTATTAGTATAGAAGAAACGGAAAATGGGTTTGGTGTATTGAGTGGATGAAGATGATAAAACAGAGAGTGAGAAGGAATCTACGCCACTAGGACGAGAATGAGAATATATATAGGAAGGAGGCCGCCACGCCACCAGGTCGGTCTGTTCGCCCTCTTTCTCTCTTTCTTTCTTTCTTTCTTTCTTTCTTTCTTTCTTTCTTTCTACTTTTTTTTTTCCCTCTCACTCGCAGCAGGACCAGCACACAATCAATGCCAAGAAAGTCAAAACTCCTAACCTAACCATACAACAATTACACATATATATGCTCTCTCTTTCTAGAAAACAACTGGCCAGGCCTATATATTATTATTATTATTATTATTATTATTATTCAGAAATTCAAAAATGCAAAAATAATAATTTAGTAAGAATTGTGGTGCTTGTGACTTTGCAAGGAAAAAGAATTTGATCACAGTCACAGGAGGCTGATATTGCTCTCTCTAGTTAGTCTTTAGATCAACTGGCTCTATCCTCTCTCTTCATCTTTCTTTCTTGGGTCTTTTAATTAATTAATTAGTGCAGAAGGAGAAGATTTATACAATTAAACCAAAAATGATGAAAAGGACAAGCTCACATGAGCCGAACCAGATCATTCATGGGCCCCTACGTATTATCCTTCTCTCTCAATTCTCAATCTCATGGGTCTTTCTTTCTTTCTTTCTTTAATAGCTGAAAATAAAGCAACCCACATTATATTTCTTTCTGCTTCATTTAGAGAGAGAAGCTTCGAGGAGGGAAATATGACTTAGAAGAAGCGAAAACCCTCACTCTTTCTTCTCCCTGTCCAGTGGTATCCACAGGTCAATCGTCAATAACAAAATTATTGCTCTTTCTGATTTCTAGTGAATTATCCACAGCTTGTCTTGTTTAGGGTTTTTGATCACTTATCTCCTTGGTCAAAGATGAAGGCACCGACTGTTTGGTTGTACTAAAACAGCTTCCCTTTCTAGCTTCACAGATCTTGAATCCAAATCTTCCAACCGAGAAACCAAATCTTTTACAGGTGATTAGCTCTTTGTTTTACTTCATTTTTCTATAATTGAACTCCTCTTCTATACATACCTTTTTTCCCGATTTTCCCCCATTCTTGTGGTTGGATTTTTATTCTTAAAGATCTATTTTTGATAAGAAGCTTCAAAATTCAAGGTGGGTCATCATGAACTTTGTTGAACAAGAAAGAGGGTATTGTGACAAAGGAGAACAAGGGCCAGAAGAAGAGGAGGAAGAAGAAGAAGAGGAGGAAGAAGAAGTGACGATGACAAGTAAGCTTCCTTTTCCTTCTCCTTCATCTTCCTCTTCTTCTTCCACAAAGTACAGAAATTTCCTACCCGAAAACCAAAACTTATGGCTTGGGTCATCCAATTCTCAACAAGATTACAAAAACCAAGAACCATCTCTTAATTTTGAAAACAAACTAGAGCTCATGGACCTATCACTAGGAAATGACAATGGAACTGTTAATACAAGTAGCGGCGGTGGTGGTAGTACTGGCCATGAGTCTATAGAGAGAGAACACATGTTTGATAAAGTAGTGACCCCAAGCGATGTAGGGAAGCTAAACCGACTTGTGATACCAAAGCAACATGCAGAGAAGTACTTTCCTCTTGACTCATCATCAAACGAAAAAGGCCTCCTTTTGAATTTTGAAGACCGGAACGGCAAGCCATGGCGGTTCCGTTACTCTTATTGGAATAGCAGCCAAAGCTATGTGATGACGAAAGGATGGAGTCGTTTTGTTAAGGAAAAGAAGCTTGATGCAGGTGATATCGTGTCGTTTCAACGCGGTGTTGGTGAGTGGAAACACCGTTTGTATATAGACTGGAGACGCAGGCCTAATGCACCAGATCCAACATCGTTTACTCATTTAGAGCTGCAAAATCAGTTACACTTCCCACAGTCGGTGAGGTGGGGCAGACTTTACTCGTTGCCTCAGCCTTTGTCGTCTATGCCGCGACCATATGAACAACACCACCACCAATTTCAGAATTTGGGTTACAGTATTCATCAGCAACCGTATCATCATCAGTATCATCATAATTATCACCATCATCATCATCATCATCATCAACAGCCGCAGTATTACTTGAGGCCGCAAGGCGGAGCACTGCAAATTGGGGCATTATTGCACAATCAACAAGAAGGAGGAGATCATCAACCACAAATGGTGATTGATTCAGTTCCAGTTGTTCATGGTAGAAGTGTGGGAAAGCGATTAAGGCTTTTTGGTGTAAACATGGAGTGTTCAACGCAAGATGATCAATCTTCTCCTTCTTCTTCTTCAGTTACCATACCAACAATGATGGGTTCATTTTCACCTCATTTCACTGCAGCAAATTCTTCCTCTTCTGTCCCGCCTCTCCAGTCGAGAGTAGTAGTGGCCAGTCCCAGTAGTGCCTCAACGCCAATAAATACTCAAGCTCACGATCAGTTTCCAAAGAAAGGAAAGACTTCCTTATCTTTTGATTTGGATCTTTGATCTTTGATCACATACATAGAATCTATATATGATCAAGAGACGAAGAAGCTAGATACAATATTTTCTTTTTGTTACCTCCACATCTAATTAATTTTGCCATGGGTACTGAATGTTGATAAAAATTCAGTCTTTTATCTTTATTTTTGGCTTTATTTTCCTTTCTTTCTTTAGTTAATTTGTTTTAGTTTACTAGTGCATATATCTCAGTGTAATTAGCTGAGATTGGGGCTTGTGAAGAGGAAGAACAAGAGAAGTGCAACAAATATATATATATACATGTGGAGTTGATGAAAATCCCTTTTCTTCTGATAACTGTGTATACTATAATAATATTATATATAGAAAAATAATTTAAATATGAGCATATTTCCATGGTGTTAAATGATATTGATTGACATTTTTCCTTTAGTAGAGCCTGAACTTACCAATAACTGTATACATTCTGGATAGTCTCTTCCCAGTTTGTTTGGGTTACAATTTGCTCCTCCTTAGATATCAACTGTACTTGCTCTCTCTCTCTCTCTCTCTCTCTCTCTCTTCTCTCTCTTTCTCTCTCTCTCTCTCTCTTGGTGACAGAAGTCATATATTATGGTACATTAGTTATAGAGGATGGATAAATGTTGCAAAAGTTTCTCTCTTCTTTTTCTTTCTCTTTTGTTTCTATTACCTTATTAGGATAATGTGCTAGCTATAGCTGCTGCTTGCTGGATAGGGGATTGCAGGTAATGTGCAGAAAAGTTGCAGCGCTGTAAAAGGTAGCTTCTGTATTCTTACTGATCTTTAACTTTTATTTATTCATTTGTTATTTTTTATGTATAAATTCAATCAATTAAATTAATGATTCTTCTCATAAATTTTCACACTTATGGCTATGTATATTTATCTTTCTCGGTAATTCATGTTTTGTCTTTACAGCCCACTTTCCTGTCTGGATTAATTGAAGCACGCAAAAAGTTGCTTATCTTGATAGAGATTTCTCAAAATGAGGTATCTTCAACTCTGGATTCCACTGAAACTTTGTTTCAATTATGTCTTTTGAATCTCACTTTCTGCGTAAGCTCAATCTTTGCATAATGGTTAATTCCTATGTCTTATGGTTCTGTAATTAGACTATTGCTCCTATAAATATTTATCTTAGCATAAAATTATAGGAGCTGAAATAGTTTAGTTACCTTATATAGTATTAGATGGTTATGAATTGAAGTTTTTTTTTAGCATTAATTAGCTTGCATTGCTTGTATGGAACATGTAATTAAAGTTTCATGTACAGTAGAATTACTGATTAAGAATATATTATATAATTGCATAATAAGTTTCAGAAATAATCCTAGAGTTACACTTTCCACAAATTTCTGATGGTTTAAGGATTTTTCTTTCCTCTTCAGAGTCATAGTACAAATCTTTATTGGATCAAACTCCCTTTTGATCCCAATATTTATTTTAGGACATCTCAAAATAGTAAACTGGAGATTATCATAGGATGGAGGATCCCCAAATTTAATTTAAAACATTTCAAATTAGTAACACGGATAACATTATTTTTTTTTTTTTTTTTTTTTTTTTTTTTTTTTATTTTTTTGTTGGCTTTTTTTTTTTTTTTTTTTTTTTTGTGCAGGCACCGATTAATTAATGATGTTCTGGACCTTTGCCATTTAAACAACATTAATTAGCAACTGCAAAGTCAATAACTTCTTTGAAGCAAGCTTTACTTGTGGTCAAGACTATCATGAAATAGCTCCTGAAAGTCTTCTTTTTTTGGTGGTATGAGAATTTATACACCTAATTTTATGTTAAAGACACTAGCTAGAGCAATAAAGTTACTTAAATTTATTAGAAGATGAAAAAAAAGAAGGAAATGAAGATCTTAATCCCATATATTCATATTTTTAGTATTTTATTTTCAAAGGTACAAGTGTAATTTACAACAAGATAAATTAACAAAAAATAATTAATGGTGACCAGAAATACCTGTATTTATATATATATGGAACACCCAAAAAAAAAAAAAAAAAAAAAATGATTGATTTTATGCCATTATGCTTTTGTCACATCTGGTTCAACAAAATTATGTTGGAGTTTAAAAAAAAAAAAAAAAAAAAAAGATTGATGATTATGCATTATGCTTTTGTTCACATCTGGTCAACAAATTATGTGGAGTAAACTAAAAGAAAAGGAAAAAAAAGAAAAAGATCTTTTTAATTTAGTTTCTTGTAAGAACTCAGCAACTGAATAAATAAACTCTATATGATTTGAAAAAAAAAAAAATTCTAAAACCTATTATCCAATATTGATAGAGATTTCTTTTTTTGGAATATATTAGGTGAAATGTTTGACATGTTTGGTCCGGAAAAATTGTTATTCCAATGATGTCTGAAGACGCAAAAGGTATGAATTATTGTGAAAATGGAGTTATATATATATATATATATATATTTGCTTCAATGGAAGGCATTAATAATTGGACAAGTTTGATCATTTTAGACAACAAAAACGGCATGTGGAGCAGAAGCATTCATCAACATTTCAAGGTAAAGTAGTTATAGTTAGTGGATGCATACACAAGATTTATGCCTTATCCATTTGATATTATTCACTATGCAATTTCCATATTAATCAACCAAAATTAACCTAACTTAACTAATTATGGCAAAAATAAAATAAAAGGAGGAACAACGCCAATATGTAAATGTATTAATTAATTAAATCACTGCATTTAACAATATTAAATGTTTAATATAATTCCATAGTAACATATAATGAGACTAACGTAATTCGTGTCTAATGAAAGTGAAGTTAAGGTACCTAGGATTAATTTAAATCTTACCAACATAAAAAATTTTTTAAATTATGAACAAAAAATCAAATTTCATGGAAATCAATTTGAAAAACAGTTTAAAAGAACCGGAGGTTGTTATGTTTTTAATTAAAAGTGCATGTCCTCCTATAGCTTGTGTTAGGCTCAGTTTCACATTGAGTTCTCAAATTTGGTTTTTCATTTTTGTTAAATATTTTTAGTAAATTATGGTCTAAAAGAGTTATTATTTATGTACTGTATGATTATGTTTAATCAATGGGATTTTTATCTAACAGTGAAAGCGCAGCTGAGGCTCTCACAGGTTCTAGATTCAGTTCTTTATAAGCCAAAAAAAAGAAAATTCAAGTGTATTCTATTTATGGTGATACTTATGACTTCTACTAATGGCAAAGCTAAGTAATTTTGTTTCACTGGAGCTCGCATGAAGAATTTTTACCTATGCTAAGTGTAAATTGCTTTATTGTAATTAAGAAATTTTTTTAAAAAATAGAGATTACCACTAAATTATCTATACAAATACAATATTAATAAAGAAAATTGTTAATTAAAAAGTTCTAATAATAAGAGATTAATGAAAACATTAGCTCAATATAATTGATCAGTTACTGAATATTCTGCATCCGAGCTGTGATATTCAACATCACTGCATATGTATAGTTTTGTACTATTTTTAGAGTCAGTGTTGTCCTTTTAAAAATCTTCAACGCATGGACTATACATACGGATCTGCACACTGCAGAACACTACAGGAATGGAAGAGGACTCAGCTAATTAAATGATTTCAATTTCAAAGTTTTGAAATTCTTTACAGCCTGATACTTACCATTTCTGGATGAAGCTTGAGCTGTTGTTATTTATTTCCAGTTTTCTAAGTATAGGAACTGACATAAATTACAGGTGCTAATTCTTTTTGTTGTTGGATGTGTTCAATACTCATCTCTTTTCATAAACTGTTGTATTCTACTCGACAGACTTATTAGAATCAGTTTAATTAGCTAAAACAATGTGTACCTATAGGTTCTATAATCATACATATTAACTGAAAGAAATAAATTTGCCAAAGTGCATAGAAGAAGAAGAAGAAGAAGAAGAAGAAGAAGAAGTAGCAGCAGCAAAGATAAAGAAAGAAGGAGTTATGGATGGAAAGGAAACACCCACATGCATACGCTATCATACGCCCCTTACTGTATCTTGCTCGTATGCTACAGTACCATGCACTGAGAAAAGAAATTAATGAATTACAAAAACCCTGTCTGCCCATTTCCATATATGTCGCTGCAAATTTTATCCCGCAAGAGAAATTTCAGACTTGGAAAATTTTATCCTCCTCCAGGTCAGTGAGTTTTGGATACCAAACAAATAGGTTGGCACTATAAATAAAATAAATTAAAAGAAAACCAAAAATACAAATCAACGCATGCCTTAATTAATTAGTAAAAAAACATTAAGAAGAACATGGTCCAATAATTAAGATGAAGATTCATTAATTTCAGTCACAAGATTCCTACGCTCAAAGTCTTGAAATTGAAGCCCCTCCCTCCCTCCCTCCCTCCCTCTGGCCTGGCCTATAAAGAGAGTATAATATAGGTTAGGTTTAATAGGCAATAATTGATGATAACAAAAGAAGACACACATGTGTATGTGTAAGTGTAAGGTTAAGGTACAAAAGAAAAGAAAGTTTCTTTTTTTTTTTTTATAAAAATTTTCTTATCGTCTCAAAAAAATTTTGCAGGGGAATGCGTGCAATGCTGTTTTGTACAACTAGCTAGCTACTATACTAACTACCAATACTAAAATATAGTCATAATGTTGAAAAATTTTTATTTTTCCATTGAAGGACCACGTTCTTCTATTTATGCATTACATCGATCCAATACTAACAGTACTCGCGTCGCATGCTTTCTTTTCTTTTTTTTCTGTGAAACTATACGGCGGGCTACTTGTTTATGCTTTCTTGATATGAAAATAAGATGAGAGAGAGAGAGAGAGAGTAGGTAGCCACTGTGTATGCTTCATCTTCTGTATATATGTTGGTTATAGACTTATGGGTTGCTGCTTTTTGATCTCTTTAATTATTAATATTAGCTAATAATTTTCATCTTTTGATCAGAAAACCAACTGTGAGACTGTAATAAAGTTGTTGTAATGTTATAAAGTACATCGTCTTCCAGTTCTCCTTTACTCTTTTAATTGGTGACAACTAACATCAAGGTAGTAAAGATGTTTGAACTTTGGGACTTCAAAACCCTAAACTAAACCTCTGACTTTTGTTTCTTCTTTTCCCCCTAAAATTATAATTATAATATTACAGTACGAATTTTATAATTAAAAATCAATGGTTTGTATGGGTTGGCTTCAATAACTCTTACCCTAAACAAAATCCATTTGCTTTATTGGGTATGCGCGCCAAGAAACAGTCTGATCTACTGTCACTATAGTTTGATTCCATCCTTAGCTTTTAAGTTTTGACCATCAGTTTAATACTAACCCACCAAAATTTGTTATATAGTTATCTGAATTCCTCACTATTTTTTTTAATTATTTGCTATAGAAAAATTTAATTTTGAAAATTTAGGATCCTCAAATTATATTTTAATTCCATCCACTGACATTAGTAATAATTTATTTTATTTTTAAAAGAGCATTATTTATTTATTTATTTCTTGACTTTTTATTTCCATCTTTATTTAATTTCTTCTGGCTCATATTAGCAATCCAACGGAGGATTTCTTAAAAAAAAAAAAAAAAGATTAGGATCTCAAATTATTATTTTTAATCATCCACTGACATTAGTAATACATTTATTTTATTTTTTAAAAGAGCATTATTTATTATTTATTTCTTGACTTTTATTTCCATTCTTTATATTTAAATTTCTTTCTGGCTCATATTAGCAATTCCAAACGGAGGATTTTCTTAAAAAAAAAAAAAAAAAGAAGAGGAAGGTGGGAGGCTTAAAAAAAAAAAAAAAGAAGAGGAGGGGGGAGGCAGAGACAGCCACTATTGATCTATAGATCATTCTATGCTCTACTAGAAGGAGATGCTGAACTACTACTACTACTAGTAGAACGGAATATATAGTATACATGCTTTATATATATAGCTTATGTTAAATACTCAATTTAGTGTTTCAACTTATTCATAATGCCCAATTAGATCCAAAAATTAAAATTCAATCCAAATTTATTAGAAAATAACAAAAATTTAGTTCGTGGTAACAAAAAGTATGTATTATATGTATATTTCCCTTAGAGGAAAGGACTCAAGAGCATTGATTTCCGTGGCGAATGAAAGAAAAATGGGCCAGACTTGTCTTTTGGTTTTGGGCTAAATTTTGATTTAGATTGTTTAATATGGGCCCATGATTTATTCTTCAGCTTCAGGGTCAGAGAGAAAAATTAAGAAAAAGGAAGAAGCTTTCCGGCACAGTGAGAGAGAGAGAGAGAGATAGAGAGATAGAGAGAGGGAGGAGATGAAGTACAGATGTGTAGAGTGTGGATTTGCAATCAAAACGCTGTTCGTGCAATACTCTCCAGGGAACATTCGACTCATGAAATGCGTAAGCCTATTTTATTCTCTTTTTGCTTTTTAATAATAATAATTTTTACCTTCACTGTTCTCAATTTTCAAGTAACTGTCAAAAGATTTTTTTGTTGGCTTGATAGGAGAACTGCAAAGCAGTAGCCGACGAGTATATCGAATGTGAATTCATGGTATTTATTTATTTTCTGTTGATTTTTCAGTTAGTTTTACCATACTTGCTCATTTTTCTGTTAGTTATTTCAGTGAAAATTTATACATATTTCTTGGGGAATTTTTGTAGATTATTCTTATTGATTTGATTTTGCACAAGCCAAAAGCATATAGACATATTCTATATAATGTTCTCAATCAAGAAACTATCAATTCAGAGGTAAAAGCAGTTTCCTTCTCTTATTTCCGATCTTATTCATGTGTTATACGCATTGCTGTTGTAATTTGTGAAAATAATATCTTCACAATTGGAAGCTTAATATCTTGATCCAAACACACTTGTAGTTTGTTGCATGGAATTCTAAATGAATGCTAATTACATTTTATCTCTGTCAACTTGGTTCTAAGTGTGGGGTTTCACAATGTAATTTATGCAGTTTCTGTTCCACTATTCATGCTGGTTGAGTAAACCATTGACAATAATATACTACATTGCAGGGTTTGCTGTGGAAAACCACCATCAGTTTTCTTCTTTTGGATGCTTGTATCCATTTTCAATGAGATGATTTTCTTGTTTTGTCATGTACATAGTTCTACAAACTTGTGATGTGTTGTATATTGATTTCCTTAGCAATCCAAGATAGAAGTCTACTTTTGCAGAGAAATGGGGAAGAACATGGTTCTTTTTTGAGCTTTTCCTCCAAAAAGGTCAGTACTGCAAAACGAGTGCAAATAACATTTTAGTATTTAACTTTATAGGTTTGGATCATGTCTAATTTGACAATTCAGTTTCACCTTCTTTATTGTAGATAATCATGGATGTCTTTGCTGCAAATATCATGTTCTTCTGCATTGTTTTTCTTACAACAAGGCTTTTACTGAACAAATCAGTGGGATTCTCCAGGTAAAACCTTTACTTTAAAAGGTCTCCTTTTTGTTCTGTCACCGAACCATCTCCAGGTAAAACCTTTACTTTAAAAGGTCTTCCTTTTTGTTCTGTTACCGAACCACCCCCCCCCCCCCCCCCCCCCCCCCCCCCCCCCCCCCCCCCCCGCCCCCCCCCCCCCCCCCTCCCCCCCCCCCCCCCCCCCCACCCCCCCCCCCCCCCCCCCCCCCCCACCCCCCCCCCCCCCCCCCCCCCCCTCCCCCCCCCCGCCCCCCCCCCCCTCCCCCGCCCCCCCCCCCCCCCCCCCCCCCCCCCCCCCCCCCCCCCCCCCCCCCCCCCCCCACCCCCCCCCCCCCCCCCCACCCCCCCCCCCCACCCCCCCACCCCCCCCCCCCCCCCCCCCCCCCCCCCCCCCCCCCACCCCCCCCCCCCCCCCCCCCCCCCCCCCCCCCCCCCCCCCCCCCCCCCAAAAAAAAAAAAAAAAAAAAGAGGAACAACCACAGAACAAAAATGTACATGTCAGACGTCAATATTAAGGTTTGGTTCATCCATCATTTATGTAGGTAAAAAAAAAAAAAAAAAAAGAGAACAACCCACAGAAAACAAAATGGTACATGTCAGACGTCATATATAAGGTTTGGTTCATCCAATCATTATGTAGGTTATCCTCAAAGAACTCTTCAAATATAGATAGATGAGTAGTGAAAACCCCTCTAATAAAGTATACTAAGCATCATGTGGAATAAATCAGGATCGATGGATAATGAAGTATTCTATGAGATTTTTGAGACTCTGACTAATATTATTTACTGATCTATCATGGTCTGTGATGTAGATTCACTAGAACCTTGAATCTTGAGATTAATAACTAGAATAAGAAAGTAAAATGTCATGTAGCAAACCTCATGTAACATGATAATGTAGAGGTATTGGTATCATCAAGTGGAACTACTGTCTATGATCACCGAGGAAATATGGCTGCTTAAGGAAAACAGACATTAGGTTTTTGATATCCAATTTTGAGTTGTTATACATACTGCTGATTGGAGTTCTGCTCTAAGATTTTCAATCTGGTTTATTTGCTCAACCAAAAAGTATAAAAGACGAAATTCTGATCTGACTTCTATTCCTGCATTTTTTCAGGTTCGGAAATCTATTTCTGGCAATCATTGTTTCGAGCTATTTAAAGATTTTTCTTGTTGCCATGATGGTATAGTTTTTTTAATGACATTAGGCATTTATTATGGCTTCTACATTTTCACCTTTTGCAATCTTTTGGCCTTTGACTCTACTCTCTATCATCTATTCTACAGGTCTGGGAATTTCCATCTTCTGTGATTTTCATCATTGATTTATTTGTTTTATCTTCCAATGCAGTGGCGTTAAAAGGTCAGATAACAAGTACTTGGTTTTCTTGGAAAAATATAAATTACTTCTATGGACGAGCTTCACCATGTCATCATACTGTTTATTATCATAATTTGATGCATAGAACTTTGCAATAGCGTTTCATTTTGGTCCACCACCCAGCTGTTTAAAATCATTAAAAGAACGCAGACTTGAAGCCATCCTCCTAAAGCACATGAAACTTAGGAGAACACTGCAAGAATCTTCATTTCTCAGGGCAGCCGCAACCTCATAAACTAACTGGGTGAGACTTTTTGTTTGTGGACCTGAGACTGTTCTGAACTGCAACTTCGTAATCAGCTGTTTTCATTAGCAATTGCCCACACCATATTGTTAGTGCATCGGATAGGACTTCCTATATCTTCAATTGAGAAGACTCATTCTTGAAGAAATATCTTCCAGTTGGTTCTCATTGTCTTTCCATGCATGAAAGATGGAGTTTCCTTTGGTAAATATATCAAAACCACTTGACAATTCTTTAGTTTCACTGTTGAAAATTATGGATTTATGATGCTTTAATTTGGAAGCTTATCAATGTGGCTATTCTTGGGCCCTTAGGGGCGTGCAGATTAACCCTTGCCCATGGGGTGAAGAGGGACACATGCCATTTGCCTCAAGTCTACAAACTATCAGCTGCACAGTTGTTAATATTGGTAAATTGGGACCTTGTTGAAGCTCTAGCAGAATAACTACTTCCGGCTGCAATTGGAATCTTATTTTGTTGGTTGTACCAAGTTATTTAACTCAAAGTCCTTCAGATACTCAATGGTTTATTTAATGTGAAGATAACACTCGATTTGTCTAATTGTGACTGATATCAAGGTGAGAATTATTTCATTTTATCTTTTAGGTGCAATAGTTGAGATGGTGATAAATATACCTTTTTAGCCATCCACTGCATTTGCTTATTATTTTATAGAAATTTGCAGGATGTCAGCTCAAGGGATTATCAACTTAAAAGAGGGAAATGAAATGGATGGGCCTTGTGTTTGAGAGAAAAGGATTGCAAATGTCACAATTGCTTACAAGATAGTCACATGGCTGCCATTAGCTCTCTCTTATGTTCTCCTGACAGACCAGAATATGGCACTATGTTGAAACACTATTGCAAAGTTCAGTGCGTTAGTCATAAAAAGTTAACGTTCAATGGTCATTATGAAATATTTGGTACTCATAATTTAAAGGGGGTCGGTGAACCTAAGTTGTTTTTATTAGACCTTTTGACTAATCCCTTTTTAACATAATATGAAGCAGTGATTACTGAATCGGATCTGAGCAGATGCGTCGGGACCTGCTTCTGTGCACATGCCGTGAAGTTGCTCGCCACTGAGGTGCCCATCCTGGGACATATTTAAGACACGTAGACATCTGTGATCATTATTGTATGCTATTGAAGTTTAAGCTTTATCGAGTTAAAGATGTTTCCATTTTTTTTTTTTTAAATTTTGTATTATCTTGTGGGAATTACATTGAATTCCAAATTTTGGAGCTCTGCTTAATTCTTTGTTAGCCTATGTTGTTGAATTGATCCATCCTAAAGAGAACAGTCAGCTATTTTCGTTGAAAGAGGAAAACTATTCTGTCGTGTTGGATCCGGAAATGCTTTGTCACGTGTATCAAAAGGCAACGGAAACTTTTAACCTCTACTTGGGAAGAGGTTTCATGTTGTTATAGAAGACGACCGACCCCTCACTAGGCCATCAGTTTGCGGAGAATCAAAGTGCATCTGCACAACACAACTCCTTTACCCATATAATATACATAAATTATCATCGAAAGGAAGTTCCATTAATATCCATCCCCAACACATGCATGAGTGCATATATATATAGTTCCCTTTAATATTCCATCCCCAACACATGCAATGAGTGCCATATATATATATATATATATATATATAATATATATATATATATAATATATATATAATATGTCGTATCCAATACTTAGTATTCAATGAAGAACTCAGCAATTTCCCTGTATATATAATATGTCGTATCAAATACTTAGTATCAATGAAGAATCAGCAATTCCCTGATAGCAGCTATGAGTAAAATCAGCCCTATAATTACATTAAAAATATAAAATGATGGTGGACTTGATCCTTGGCTTAATAGAGACGTCTCCATACGAATGAAAGTGCCTGTCTTCTTGTTACCAGTGACTGAATTATCTCTTAACTTCATATTTGTTTTAGCATTCACGTATTTCTGGTCTTTTTCAGTCTTGGCAGTTATGTTTTCCTTGGTTGACTTGGACTCTCGACACAAATTAAGAGCATTATCATTCTTTCTAGCTTCTCTTGCCTGCAGACAGAAACCAAACTTTAATTTCATTGCAGAAAACAAGTGCATTTCAATTTCTCTGTCTACCTCAAGTTTAATTCTCACCTTGTGCTCAGGTCTGGCAGACATTTTTCCCAGAAGTTCCTTCTTTACTGTTATATTGCCAGATTCCGTTTTTTGATGTGTCCGAGTTCTGGTATGAATAGGAGATTCTTTGTTGGCTACTCCAATACTGTTGATTTCTTCAGAGCTACCTGTTTTCGAGTCTGCTGAGGAACAAGAAGCCTCCATTACTAGAATTTCATCACGATGAAAATGATTCTTCTCCTTCCCACTCTGGATATAAGTTGAAGGCGGCAAAGTTTCAGTAATTGTTTGAACCCTTTGCGTCTGCCGGTATGCTTTTGAATTGGTTTGACCATTGTTCAAGCTTGATGCTCCAAATGGTATAGACTGTAATAAAGACACGAACACACAGATTTTCCATGACATGAGAACTCAAAACAACTGCAATGAAATTGATAGCAAGGCAGCTAAGTAAAGAAAACACCATAAAAGGAGATATTTTTCTTTTTTACTTACATTTCCATAGGCAATTCCAGCATCCGTTTCATTAATGTCATCAAGGTACACTCCAATCATCGACTGCGGTGAGCAGGAACTGTTGAGATGAGTGCTTGCATTTTCTTGGCGATTAGAGCTATCCGCAGAAATTGGGTACAAGAATTCTTCGCCACTCTGTTCATCCGGTACAACAATAAATGAATCAGCCATCTGATTGAGATCCACCTGTGGCTCATTGTTGTCAAATTGAAGTGATAAGACATCTGAGTCATTATCAAACACATCGTTGAACATTATATCATCCAAGGAGATGCCTTGTTCTTCTATGCGGATTTGCGGCTGCATTGCAGAGGGATTTTCGAAATTTTTCTCATTGCCGGTAATAAATGATTGCAGAAGCAACTCTAGGTTAACCTGGACAAATAGTAATTGTATTAGTCCTTTATACACGCAATATCTATGAATTAATTATATCAACACAACAATTAAACACTAAATATCAATATAAAATTAAACATTCTAATCTCACTTCTTGAGGGGTTGACAGCTCCACTGGATGATGATCAGAAGCCCTGTTATTATTACGACTGGATTCAGCTTGATCACTGCCTGAGGAATCAGCCTTACCATCTCCTTTTTCCTTCAATTTACAGAGAACAAAATCCTTCTGGATGATTTGCATAACCAAATGAGTGTCAACTGTAAGATAATCGTAAAATGTAATCAAAATATCAAATAACAAGGATTAAAGCTGCTGAGACCAATTTTGTCAAAATCAACTGCATAATCAATTCAAGACCCACAACACCACAATTAATAGCAAAAAAAAAAAAAAAAAAAAAAAAAACATAATCAATTCAAGACCCAACAACACCACAATTAATAGCAATAAAAATAAAAAAAAAAAAAAAAAAAAAAAAAAAAAAAAGGAACATTCACACCTGGTGAGGAAGGATAGATTTAGGCTGGTACTCATGGATGACCCAGTTGGTCTTGATTTCTCTAGGAGCGCCACGGATATAAAAAACTAGAGTTCGTTTCGTACCAATCGTCTTGTTACTACCTTTGGCCTTGACTATATTTTCAGAGCCAGTAGGTTTCCAGTGTCCAGTGTCTGTTGATCTGTTGAATCTGGGTCGACTAGCGTTTTTGTATTTTAGCTCCCTTTTACAAAAGAAGTACCACACTTGATCATTTGATACTCCTGCAGCTAATCCTGAAATCAAACGAACAAATAACTAATCAATTTCAGTTGAAATTAAAACGTTTTAAAGATTCAATCTTTGTAATTACTTGGTAACTCCCAAGGTTCATATCTGTAGAGATCAATCAGACGAATATCATCATCAACGAGGAAATCGTACCCATCCATTTTGTGTTTTAGAAAATAGTCGACGAGTTCCTCGTCGGTTGGATGGAATCTATAGCCTACTCTCCCATTCATTTTGTGAAGAAAGAAAGCTAACTGTGTTGTGATTGCGGTGTAGGTGAGTGTGGTTTGACTTGAGACTACCCAAGTCTTCTTCTACCTGATATTTTTTGGTTTAATATTGGCTTAAAGATGAGCAATGGAATGATTGGGTTGGAGAAAACAACCTCATCTTTCATTGTTTCGCCTAAGCAGAGCCCACCATTTTTGTCTTAATTCTTTTTTTTTTTTTTTTTTTTTTTTTTTTTTTTGCTTGAAAACAGTTCTTCTGACGATATTATGAACATTATTTTTTTTTTTTTTTTTTTTTTTTTTTTTTTTTTTCTCTTGAAACAGTTCTTCTGACGATATATAGAACATAGTATTTAATAGTCATAATACACTCTGTTTTTTTAGTAGTTATAATATTGTTTTTTTTAAAAAAAAAAAACTCAATTATATATAAGTCCAGTGTATTTTTCAAAATAATCAACTATTTAATTATATTCTAAATTGTTACTTTATGGTAACTACATACACCTAGCAATAGATTAGGTTTAAATTTTGAATAATGATTTTTTTTCTGAAAAGAAAAACAAAAATACTCAAATTTACGGAATATGTAGTGGAATCCTAATTATAAGGCATTCACATATCCTAAAAAGCGCGAGGCCATAGTTGTTATTAATAAATAAACTATGCCATCGCCGCCATGCCTACCGCTACTTTTGATACCGAAACTTTTGGACCTCATTGATATCTTATTACAGTTTGGTGTATTGAATCATTTCATCCTGGGATACATATATAAGAAACTGCAAAATATTCAACAATTTCTACTGTTTCAATGGGACTACCGTTTAAAAAACAGTTAGCCCTCAGAAGGAAACCTAATCAGTAAGACAAAAGTACTGTAGAATTAATAGCAAAGCTAATAGATATGCATGTCAGCAGAAGTTTGGACACAATCTGTTCATCAAGGTTGGACGTCACCAATACTGCCTAACTATGGGCTCCAAACATCAATCTAGTTAAACGACAATGCAAATTTTCCTATCCAAGATGTATAGACGATATATGGTAATATCAGGACAAAACTCTTTCTGATCTATCCCGTTATAGATGATCTTTACATTGCAGGCCTTGTGAATATCCTGGTAAGAGTTGCATCACTTAGTGAAGAATCAGGATTTCCCTCAGTGTTAAAATGAACAAAAGTAGACCTACAAGAACATTAACAATGTACACTGATGCGGGAGTTGGACTATGGATTGACGCAGTCTCTGAGCAAATGGATGAAATCTCTTTATCACTGCCGGCTGCCCCAGCTGATCTGACATTTGATTTTTGATTTGCAGGTTGCTTGTTTGGTTTGAATTGGCACCTTTTCTTAACTGAAAGGTTGAAGCCTCCAATCTTAATAGGTTTGGAAAACGTTGGAAATTCTTGAAGGCAATATATATACTTGTCTTGACCATATCCTCCATCCAAGTAGCATTTTTCCTCACCATGTGAAGGCTGTTAAAGAGAAATCAATTGTTTATTTAATCATACAACAGGTAAAAAGAATTCAATTTCATCACTAGAGACTGATAGCTTCCATATTTTGTAACTTTCTCACCTTATCTGTGCATGAAATTTTGCCTGGTCTTATGGCAGAAACTTCATCCTGTATTATGCCCTCGTTGGCTCTATGTTCGTAAATACTACTTTCTCCTCTGCCAACCGATCCAATGTAGTTGATCTGTAAAGGTCTAGCTGCGGCTACGCTTGCAGTAGAAGCCTGCCCCAGTGCTTGTATAGGCTTCCATAAAGATATAAAACAACAAGGTAACTTTTAAGTGTCAGCATCAAATACAAAACTATGTACTGAAATTTAAAAGGTTTACAATGTGAAATAATGTGCTTCGGCTAAGGTGTTTGACCCATTTAAAATTCATGAAAAATTTTCTCCTTCACATCTGGAGATCTTTTAACACTTAAGGGATAAGCACAGCACATAGTACTATGATGCTCCTGAAGAATTAATTGAGTCGCATGCTTTTACCTTGCCATGGCCAACTTCCATCTCCAAGTCACTTCTATCCTCAATAAAACCTTCATTCAGTAGCTTTGGTGGCCTGAACTCATGAGGGAGAATGAGCTCACTTTCTTCACTGAAGCCTTGATCCAGAGAAAGAAATGAATCTGCCAACTTTATTGGATCCACATCATCTTCACTGGTATCATGAAAATTCAACCCAATGTGTTGATTATCACGGCAACTGGTATGCTCATTGGAAATTTCCTCTATCCTGGTAACGCTGACATGAGATTGCGGAGCTTGCTCTGCATCAGTCTGCAGTCAGAACCAAAACAAGGAGTTGGCATTATATAGTCCTTTTTATATTTTCTGATACGCCACATGAAAAGCTAAAAACTACTACCTGTACAGCATGATTTTCAACATCAGCATCCACAGGGCGACTAGGTTCACCTTCATCATTGACTGAATTATCGATCTCCTCATCTGTTTTATGCTTTAGTCTACAGAAAACAAAATCCCTCTGCGCAAGGTGAAGGGCAAAACAATGAGAGGTCATACAAAAAGTATTCTGCCATCAATTATTAGCACTTTAGCAGAATATTTTCAACAAAAAGCTGCAGTATATTTCCAAATTTACAAGATAGAACAACATGAACCGAATACAAAGCATCCAACAAGCTTGGATAGTAGCTGATATTCTTATATTCAGGTTGATGACCAGATTAGAAGGCTTAAAAATTTAGAACTACTAAAGTACTTCATGTAGGGAGTGCAACTCATCCATTGGAGTTAGAGGCAATAGTCAGTCCTTAAAAAGGATGAAAATGACAAAATATAACTGTGGCACCATTTAAGGCAATAATCTACTAACGGAATTATAATAACTTGCAGTTCAATCCAAGAAAATGATATTAACAATGAGTGATGCGTTTTATCCTGCCAATTTTTGTACCATCTCTAACATTTGCACAAAGTATTAATACATGCAAGCGCACTACACTCTAACAATTTACGGGTGTCTACAAGGTTATAAAAGTTAAATGATGCCATGCCAGGTGAGATAATAGAATTGATAGGAAAAAGTGAGAAAAACAAAACACATTTCTCCTCAATTATTGCTTTGCTAATGACATTTAATTGTAAAACTGTCATTATTTACATTTACATGGCTCAAATTTTTGCACATAGATAGCTGTAGCAGGACATTCCAAATATATTAGTCAATAGTAATAAAAAGACGACTTTTGCTATGCAACAAAATCAAGTTAGATGAAATAATCGGATATGACTTGGCTAAGATAGGAGATTTTTTACCTAAATTTTGGAATTTGTACTAAAAAAATTAACCAAAGTAGAAATTGCCAGTCTTAAAAACAAATTCGTGTTCTAGTATTACCTGTTCAGGGAGGATGGTTTTAGATTTGTACTCGTGTATGACCCAGTTGGTCCTAGTTGTTTCAGAATCAGGAAGTTTAACATAGAACACCAGCGTCCTCTTGCTACCAATCTCCTCCCCTGTCTGCTTAGCTTTAACTCTACGAACCTTTCCCGTGGACTTCCAGAATCCAGCCTTAGTTCTCCTGTTGGCTCGTTTACTATGTGAATGCTTGTAATCAATGCGACTAAAAAAATGCCAAACGGGATCATCTGATGATATACCGGAAAGGTCTGCAAACAAACACAACAAGCAAAAAAGCGGAGCTTACAAATTTACAAGAAACATAGGTCTGCAATAACAACAATAAGCAACGAACAGCCCAGTTTACAACTTCACAAAAAAAACGTGGAATTTGTTGTGGGTGAGTGTTACATTACCAGGTATGTCCCATGGGTCGTTTTGGCAGAGATCAATCTCACGGACAATATGATCAACAAGGAAATCCTCACCGTTCATTTTATGATAAAGAAAATAACTGACAATTTCTTCATCACTTGGATGGAATCTGTAACCCACATCATGTGGAAGGCGAAACCTTTCCCCAGGAGGATTTGAGTGTAAATGGGCATCCAAATGTGGATTCATTATCATCAAACATCAAATCTGTATAAAGGAAAGAGCTCCCTTAAGCAGCGAGTCCCACAAAGTAAGAGAAAGGGAAAAAAAAAAAAGAGTAAAAATCTCTCCCTAACAACGAACAGATTTCTTCAGTAGAAAGAAGCGAAGGGAGAGCTCGCTTCTGGTTTGTCTTCCGTTTTAAGAAGAGGGAATATATAGGGTTGAATGATATTGACTTGACGAGCTTCTTGTCCCTATCAAAGCTTCTCCAACTTACATGTGAAGTTAACCAAATTAATTCAATTAAACCAAACAAATTGGACCGTATAAAGTAGGGTCCCACCATTCCAAAAAACCAATCCGTAAAAATTCTAATATATATATATATCCATTCCAAAAAACCAATCCGTAAAAAATTCTTAATATATATATATATATATATAATCAAAACGCAAGGTTGTCGATAGAAAAAGGGGTTGCAACCTATTTGGCAGACAGCGAACGCGAAGCTTACTCGAAGGCTGAGTTGCTCTCGCTGTTGCGTCTGTGCGCTAACCGTTACTGCAGTTCAGACGAGAGACGGCTGCTTATTATGTGCCCTTGCCATTTTATGGACAGTGTCAGTGACCTAAGGGGTTATTTGTCATTTAAAGTAACTTGTTAAAGAAGGATGATGCCGATGAACACGTAATTAAATTTATTTTTTATTCATTAAAAACGTCATTAGACCAAAATCTCTGCTTCACTAACAAGCTAGATATTAAATTTATTTTTTATTCATTAAAAACGTCATTAGACCAAAATCTCTGCTTCACTAACAAGCTAGATAGCTGAGTTCCTCAAGTTACTTGGATATATGACAGTGTCATCACATGAGACTCTATTTCTAAAAAGCGCGTATCTCTGTCATAAATATTATTTGAAATAATAATTTTTGTAATAGCCAATGATAAAATATTTGGAATATTATTAAATCAGAAAAGTGAAATTTGGAACTCTACAACTTACAGTCCAAGGCTGATGGTGACACGCGAAGGCTTCACCAAATTCTATTACAATCTTAGCAACTAATAGGGAACATTCTGGAACATATGCAATGCACTCTTAAATTTCCTCACAAGTTTACTTTTTCCTATATAGTCTACTTCGTTATATGGTTGCATGTTTTGTCATTTAAGTCAAATTGGTCAACAGAAAAAATATATATTTATTATTCTTATTCTCATCAAGAAGCCCATTGAGTTTGGACCACTAGTGTTTTTTTTTTTTAATCTACATTTTTTTTATGCTCACTAATGAACTTTAGTTTTAACTTTGTCCATATTGCGAAATTAAGGAAAAAGTTACCTTTAATATATTTGTTTAATTGATAAAAAACATAAACTACTAATAATAATTTGAAAATTGAATTCTAATTAAATGAACGCATGAAACACAATACGTGTTACTTAGGTACTCCCTTCGTCTCTAATTGATAGTCACACTATCTATTTCACAAGAATTAAGAAAAATTAATTATTTTAGTTGGAAATATAAATTTGCATGTATTTTTCCTATTACACACTTACTTCAACATGAGTTATACTCATTAATTTATTATTGACTTTTTGTAGCAACCAATTGATTAACATGCATTGAAAACGGCTAAACTTAATAAATAATCACATTTTCAATTTTCAAGTGATTGTGAATAAATAATGGCATTGAAAAATAAAGAGATGAATAAAAATAAGAAAGTTAATTTTAATAAGTAACATTAAATATGGATATAATAGAGTCAATCATATGTAGTCTGGTTGATCTTTTCGCTTATGTGAAGAGAGGGAGGTCTTGAATTTGAGTCTTCTTGACTAGAGATGTTTTCACCCATCTCCTGAGTTCAAGGGAGGCTATTGTATAACCCGCAGTGTTATTTTTTGCTATTTTAATAGCAACATGTCATTTTTTCACAAGAATTAAGAAAATGATTAGAACAAATTATTTTTTTTTTAAAATACATAGTAGAATACCTAAATTTCCCTTTTTAAAATTAAAAATTTTCCATTTAATTTTACTATAAAATTAATACTAATTTTTTCTCATATTAAAGCACCACTATTAAAGTAGTACTTCCATTTCATTTTTTCATATCTTGATATAATGAAAAAAATTTAACTATATGAATATAAAGGGTTGAATGATATTGACTTGACGAGCTTCTTGTCCCTATGAAAGCTTCTCCAACTTACATGTGAAGTTAACCAAACTAAATTCAATTAAACCAAACACATTGGACCGTATAAAGTAGGGTCCCACCATTCCAAAAAAACCATTCCGTAAAAATTCTAATATATATATATATATAATCAAAACGCAAGGTTGTCGATAGAAAAAGGGGTTTCAACCTATTTGGCAGACAGCGAATGCGAAGCTTACTCGAAGGCTGAACGCAAGGTTGTCGATAGAAAAAGGGGTTTCAACCTATTTGGCAGACAGCGAATGCGAAGCTTACTCGAAGGCTGAGTTGCTCTCGCTGTTGCGTCTGTGCGCTAACCGTTACTGCAGTTCAGACGAGAGACGGCTGCTTATTATGTGCCCTTGCCATTTTATGGACAGTGTCAGTGACCTAAGGGGTTATTTGTCATTTAAAGTAACTTGTTAAAGAAGGATGATGCTGATGAACACGTAATTAAATTTATTTTTTATTCGTTAAAAACGTCAATAGACCAAAATTAGTGAAAATATTTCACTTTGTGCGTACATATAAAGATCAATTAAAATATATCATATAATTAAGTTTATTTATTTTTAATTTGTTGGAGGCTTTAATTAAATTTATTATCATTAGTAGAATATATTAATTTATGAATGGACAATTCAGATTAAAAAATTATGATAAATGATTAATTTCTCGAAATTTGACTGTAATATGATTTGAACAGAGAAAAAAAATGGAGTTTCTTACAAATCAATTTCGTTTCAACAAGTATAGTTTTAATCTCCACTCAGTTATTGGCATATTCATTCAAATTTTGGGAATTTTCATTGGAATAAATACGTAGTCATGCTCCACCAATAATCATTAATATTAATAATCCGGTCCAAATCAAACTCTCTTGATCTGGATTGTAACGAATTACGAGTTTTTTTATTCAAATTTAATACAACTTTAGATTAACTTTATTATTATTATTATTATTATTATTGAACTTTAGATTACTCTTTTAAAGCAACCATTTATATGTTTAATCACTAATTAACACAATACAATACACTCTTAACGTAGGAAAATAGAAAAGATCAACTACATAAAACCTGGAATATGAAATAACGACAACAATTTTATTCTTAATGGCATTAGCTACTTAAATACATGTAATTAAACTATTAATGGTAAGAATTCCACTGCATTGCGGAGTTAAGATTGTACTCTGTCTCATTATAGCCTTGAAATGAAGCCACGTGTGCTTGCAGTTGAGGGTCTTCCTGTAGCATTAACATATGAGCTTATTTGAGGCTTTTAATACTATTTTCTGATATTAATAAGATCGAGAAATAGGGCATTTCTATATCTGACCTCCGTTGCATTATTTCCAGAAGCAGAAGCCGTACTGGATTGGCCTTCATCCACGGTTGGAGCAGCATCATCATCATCATCTGGCCTTTTCTTTAATTTGCAAAGAACAAAATCCCTCTGACCAGTAGTTGACCCACCAAACAAAAAAAACGTTGAAAGAGGGAGGAAAATAAATTAGCAATTTGTTATTATAAATTAATTAATTAATAACATTGAGAAAAGAAAACTGCTGGGTTCATAATTTTTGCAGAGTGGGTAAACGTATTCGTAAAGGAATTGATTTTTATTTGTAAATGAAAAAATCTAAGGTACTTGACGAGAAAATATTACATAATGAAAAGTAGGAAACAATAGTTGATTTGACTATAATTTATATTTAGAGAGATAGAAAGTACGAGAAAAAAATAAAATAATGAAAATATTACAAAATCATATACGAGGTGATAGTTGATTTGACTGTGATTAGAAATTTGATCAGCTACTTATAAGGAGAGAAAAAAGAAAATTAGTATTAGAGAATCAAAAATTTGATCCGTTAATTAGTTATAAATACCTTGATTCTAAAGTTGAAAGTGGGATGATATTCATGCATAAGATACAGCAAATCCAGTGGTCCTAAACACCTTGAAGAAGAACGACCGATAGTTAAACAATCTCTTTTTGATTAGCTACGTCCTTTATTTTCCTGATCTTTGCCAGTAGACTTTTCCAAAAATCCACCATTGGTTGTTCCTTCTTTTGCTCGTTGGCCATTCCGCATGCCTTATAATTGCGTTTCACAAAAGAAAATACCACACTTGATCTGCATTCTCAATTACTTCAAAAGAAATACCACACTTGATCTGCATTCTCCATTACTACATGCAACAAATTCATGATCGTTAATTTAATATTTTCAAGCCGATCGAGGAAGAAAAAGATAATAACCATAGGAGTAGAATAATGGTAGCTTACGTGGCAGCTCCCATGGCTCGTTATCTAAGAGATTAACTTGAGGGATATCGCTGACTTCATCATCATAACCAAGCACTTTGAGCCTCAAGTAATGATATACCAATTCATCCTCTGTTGGATGGAATCTGTACCCAATTCCAGCGTCCATCTTTAACACAAACACACACTTTGGTTTTTGAGCTGCAAAAGAAAATTATAGTTTTGTAATTGACAAAAAAGAGGCAAACTAATAACTAGAAGATGAAGCAATGTGAAATAGAGACCGCAGAGTAAGTGAGAGCGAGCTAGTAGATGGGTTGTGTATATGTAGATTAAAAGCTTAAATAGACATATATAGATGAAAGCCTCAGCTTCATTAACAAGCTAGCTAGTTCGTCGAGTAACTTGGATTGGAATGTCATGAGATTCTTTTACTCAATAACGCGTAGGGCGTACCTGCTGAGCAATGTTTGAATAATTTTGTATTCTTGTGATCGCCAATGACAAAAGATGGAATATTAAATCTAAAAAAGTGAAATTTGGAACTACAACTTACAGTCCAAGGTTGATGGTCGCAGGCCTCGGCTTCATCCGACTTGTATTACAATCTTAGCAACTAATACGAAACATTCTGGAACATTTCCTCATAAGTTTACTTTTTGTTATATTTTTTATAGGGTCCCATGCTATGTCAATTTAAGTCAAATTTAGTCAAACTAACTAGTAATATCATATCTAATCCGATTTTAGAAGATTTGGATAGCGTATAAACATACCCGATTTTTAGAGGTTTGGATAGTGTATAAATAGATTTGAATAGTGAATTTAATAAACATACCCGATTTTGAGAGGTTTGGATAGTGTATAAATAGATTTGAATAGTGAATTTAATACCTGCATCGGATATGGCTTATGCTATGTCAAGTAAGTCAAATTTGGCCAAACTGACCCGGTAATACCGGATCTGACCCGATTTTGAGAGGTTTGAATAATATATAAATAGATCCGATTTTGGGAGGTTTGGGTCAGTAGTACCTGATTTATGCAAATTTTTTTTGTAATTGAACCCATTACCTTTAGGTTATATGATTTATGCAAACTTTTTTTGTAATTGAACCCATTACCTTTAGGTTATGGTTAAGTTGACTTATCACCAAGCCACTTAACACTCTCACCTAAAGTGTATGCACAAGAATATATATACTTTAAACATTTATTAATGAATAAGATATTATTATAAGTAATATAATCTTATTCATAATAAAATTTTAATAAAATTACTTAAATTAAATTATAATATATTAATAAATTGAATTTTTTAAAAAATATATTAAACAAAATTATAGTATATAGTATTTCATGTCATGTCTTAGTAATTATTGAATTAATTTAATTGAATGTTTTATAGTTTGGTAATTATGAAATTTATTAAAAATAAAAAAGTTATTAATTGAATAGAATGCTAATAATTTTATAATTAAAAATTTTTAAACCTACTTGTCAACATCACTATTAAGCTTTTAATGATAATTATAATTGGATCTTAATTAAAAATATGACTCATATGGAATATAAAATATAGATAGAGGTTTAATAAATTAGAATATAACTCATATAAATATCACCAATAAACTTATAAACATTAAACATAATTACAATTAGATCTTAGTATACTTAGTATCATCATATATATTAGAATACTTATACTTAGAAGTCTAGTGTATATAGATTAAGAATTATAACAACCATAATTAATTATAATCTACTAAGTATATTCTCTAATAAAAAAAAAATATTAAACTCAATATTTTACATAATATTTTGTTATTGCACTTATTATAATGTTGAGATATAATTATAGTCTTTTAATTAATAATAATAATAATAATAATAATAATAACTTCTTTAAGAATATTAAGAATAATAATAACTTTAAGAATAATAATAATAATAACAAAAATAACTACTTTACCATCAAAACGACGTAGTTTTTGATGTAGGAGGTTTAAATGAACCCATAAGCAAAACTACGTCGTTTAGCCTAGGGTTGGATTTTAATCATAGAAACAAATTGTTCTCTCAAGCAAGTCAAAGTCTCAAACGTATTTTCTCCTCTCCCTTCCCTGCGCCGCTCGTTGTCTGCTCTGCACTTGTACAGTAAAGATCTTCCCGTTGCTTTCGTTCTCTTGGCCATCGCCTCGCCTTCCCGTTTTTTGCACTTCTACAGCCACAGCCACAGGTCCTTCTTGAATTTTTTTATTCCATTCTCATTTTTTTTTCATTTTGCTTCGTTCTTTTTTTTTTTTTTTTTTTTTTTTTTTTTTTTTCATTTTGCTTCGTTCTTTTTTTTTTTTTTTTTTTTTTTTTTTTTTTTTTTTTTTTTTTTTTTTTTTTTTTTTTTTATGAACACAGATAATCAGACAGAGATTGTGAATTGTTGAATTAATTTATGGGTTAAGCTTTTTGTACAAAATATGAAATCTTTATATGCAAAAAATAAAAAGTGTTTCTACAACAGTTCCATTTGTTTGATATGATGATGATTTGCTTTTACTCTTAATTTGTTGATGTCTTGAGAATTTTATAATCGTACCAATTTATGAATGGCCATTATACAAGGGATTTTAGATTTGCGGAATTGTAATAGTTGCTGATACTGGTTTGATAGATTGAATAAATGTGATTAAACTGGTATTTATGTGGATTGGGGTAGTACGCGTATATTTCTAAACGGATTTGTAACGGATTTAGGTATCTCTTTTTATTTCTTGACAGATGCGGGACGGATTCGGGTACTTTAATTATTAACGGGTTCGGATTCGCGTAGATTGTTTTTGCGGGTCCTCTGCCCCGCTGCCATCCCTAGTTCAGACAATTAACTAACTTTAATTAATTTTAACTTTTCTTTCGCAATAATTTGTCCATATAGGTATGACATATATATGTTATTTTTTAATTTAGTTAGTCTATGTATAAGGACGTATGCCAATAATTTAGGTCCAACGTTCACGGAGACAAGCTTCTCCAACTTCTATAACAATCTTAGCAACTAAGAGAGAACATTCTGGAAAATGGACAAGTTTCAATTTCTTCACAAATTTACTTTTTGTCATATGCTACACTAGTGCATGCTTTGTCAAGTCAAATGGGTCAGCAGATAAAGCCCTTCTTTTTATTTTTTTTTTATTTTTTCTCCCTTTTCTATCAAGGAGCACATTGAGTTCAGACAACTAATAAATTTTGATTAATTTTTGCATTTTTAATAATATGGAGAAATAGTACTGTCAAAACGGGCACTTCAGCTCGGCTTGTGCGTGCTAGGTTCCAAAATAGGCCGAATTAAAAAAGCTCATTAAAAAACGAGTTTCTAATATTCTGGCTCGGCCTGGCTGGTAGCGGGCACAGACATGTCTTTCTTTTTTTTTTTTTTTTTTTTTTTTTTTTTTTTTTTTTTTTTTTTTTTTTTTTTTTTTTTTTTGAAATTTGCATTCAAACTAAAATTAATTAAGCTCAAGCTATATTAATTAAGTTACAAAATCTTCAACTGATAAGACTAAAGCTCCAGCGCAACCTCCTTAACCTCTAGACAGAAAAAAATACACTAAAACAGCTTGCTGTATTTTCAGACTACACTAAAACAACTAACTGGATTCCATAAGTATGGCTACCGGTTTATTTTGCCTAAATGGTTATTGCAATTAATATTTGATTGGGTATTAACTAGTTGGCCAAGTAAGAAATATATATAGAATATCAAAAATTATATATCAGGACATATGATATGTTCTTTGAACCGATTTTTACAACACAATATCAGGCTTGTAAAAATTTTATTACCCTTAACTGTGAGACAAATATACTGATCAATGATTTGCACTGTTGGCTCAATAATTTTGAATTACAAGTTACAATTTATTTATTTTAATTAATAACACCAACACAATACACTCCGACTGATAAAACCTGGAATACGAAATAACTACAACAATTTTATTTTACATTATTAGCTAATGACCCCTTAAATACAGGTATTTGAACTACGTACTATTAATTAATTAGTATAATAATAAGAACCCCACTGCATTGCGGAGTTAAGACTATAATCCATCTCATTATAGCCTTGAAATGATGCCACGTGTGCTTGCAGCTGAGAGTCTTCCTGTAGAATTAAAATATGTAAAAAACGCGCTTAATTGAGTTTTTACTACTGTTTTTCTAATATAAATTTGATCGAGAATAATGGCATGCATTTCTATATCTGACCTCTGTTGGATTATTTCCAGAAGCAGAAGCCATAGTTGTACTGGGTTGTGGAACATCTTCGTCCTCGTCTTCATCATCTGGCCTTTTCTTTAATTTGCAAACAACAAAATCCCTCTAAACAATGGTTGACCGCCACCAACCAAAAGAAAGAAAGAAAGAGAAAGAAGTTAGAACAAATGTAATTGCGAAGAAAATGATATGTAAAAGAAAAAGTTGGGTTAATGAGAAAATTAGTATTACAGAATCAAAAGTATATCTATCTAGTAAATATCATTATAGTTGGTTTGATTATAACTTGGAAATTTGATATATCTATTTTTAGGAGGGAGGAAAATACCTTGATTCTGAAGTTGAAAGTGGGATGATATTCATGCATAACCCAGCTGGTCCTAACACCTGGAGGACGACCTTGATGATAAACCAGTCTCTTTTTGATGGCAATGTCCTTTATTTTCTGGTCTTTGCCAGTAACTTTCCAAAATCCACAACGGGTTGTTCTTTTGGCTCGTTGGCTATTCTTATACTTGTAATTGCGCTCGCAAAAGAAATACCACACTTGATCTGCATTCGCCGTTACTACATGCAACAAATGCATGTTCGTTAAGTTAACATTTTTCAAACGCAGGAAGATAAAAAAAACAAACATATAAACATAGAGTAGAATTAATAGTAGCTCACGTGGCAGCTCCCATGGCTCGTAATCTAACACATTAACTTGAGGGATGTCGCTGACTTCATCATCGTAACCAAGCACTTTATGCTTCAAGTAATGATTTATCAATTCATCCTCTGTCGGATGGAATCTGTAGCCAATTCCAGTTTCCATCTTTAAGGCAAACACACGATTTGGTTTTTGAACTGCTAATAACTAGAAGAAGAAGAAGAAGAAGCAATGAAACAGAGACAGCAGAGTAATTAAGAGCTAATTAAGCAAATTGGTTGCGTTTGTTTGCATTTAGATAACGAGCTTAAATAGACAGGGGGAAAATCTCTGCTTCACTAACAAGCTAGATAGCTGAGTTACTTGGATATATGACCGTGTCATTACATGAGACTCTTTTTCTAAAAAGCGCGTATCTCTTTCATAAATATTATTTGAAATAATAATTTTTGTAATAGCCAATGACAAAATATTTGGAATATTATTAAATCAGAAAAGTGAAATTTGGAACTCTACAACTTACAGTCCAAGGGTGATGGTGGCAGGCGAAGGCTTCACCAAATTCTATTACAATCTTAGCAACTAATAGGGAACATTCTGGAACATATGCAATGCACTCTTAAATTTCCTCACAAGTTTACTTTTTCCTATATGGTCTACTTCGTTATATGGTTGCATGTTTTGTCATTTAAGTCAAATTGGTCAACAGAAAAAATATATATTTATTATTTTTATTCCTATCAAGAAGCCCATTGAGTTTGGACCACTCCAAAGACGAACCACTGCAAACAGAGACAGCACAGCAAAAAAAATGATAAAAATTACAGAGCTACACTTAAACAGCACAAAAAATTGGTTCGTTTGTTTGCATTTATAGACCTAACAGTACGCGTAAAAACTAAGACAAGACCGAAGATAAACAAATCTCTCCGCATTCAAACCTAACCCAGACATAGATCAGCCCGTGAGTTTACTTGGATATAGTGACACGTCGAGTCTATTACCACTGAGACTCTTATATCTAAAAAAAAGCGCCAACAAGACACGCAACTCATACTCGACGTTTCCATAAACAAATACTCTAGATTTGAACCAAAACCAAAGACCCCCAAACAATAATAATTATTCCCGTCATCATAAGCAACAATCAGAAACAGAAATAATCTGGAACTCATTATTAAAATTACGCAGAAAAGTCGAAACAATTTTGGGAACCTAATCAAACTCCATTACATTCCAAGGGTGATGGTGGCAGTACAGAACCGGACCATTCACTCAAATTACCTAAATATAAAACCCCTAACTTAAGCCAACATAAATTAAGAGGAACATTCTGAAAACAAACCATACAAACTGCAATGCACTCTTTAAAAAAATTTATACACTCACAACAAGTCATTAATATCCGCAAATATCAATGCATACCATAACGTATAACGCTAAAACTCCAATATATCGGCACAACGTAGAACATGTCTTTGCTCATTTAAATAACAAATATGCAAGTCAACAGAAAAAACCAAAAACCATATATATCTAAACTATTCTTAATAATCCTATCAACGAAACCCCTATTAGTCTTGAGACCACCACCTAGTTTAGTATTTTTTTTCCCTTCCTCTAAAATCTACCACTTTTATTAAATGCCAACTAAGGTGAGCGTTTTGAGTTTCAAGGAAAAACCTCCCCAAACAACTCCAACCTTGTCCACATCAATCTCAGCGACATTACAAGAGAACACAAAAATATACGTTTTAAATACTCAAATACATTGTTTAATTGATAAAAAACATCACAAAAAACTCAACTCCAATAATAATAATGAAACTCTCAGAATTACATAAAATAAAATACATGAAAACACCATCGACAACACAACACTGTGATTAAGCTTAAGGTTACTCCACTTCCGCTCTCCTACAAAATTGATACCAGTCACATATAATCACTAATACATGATCAAGAAGAAATTTAGCGCAAAAACTCCAAACATACACTTATTTTAGTTGGAAAACACCACTCATAATATTTGATCAATGTAATTATTTCCCTAAACTTAAAATATAACATCTTCAATATACACACAAATACTGCAGTTAATAAACTCAACGTCTTAATTTCACCTTATTGATCTTTTTTAAACCCCAATGTAGCAAAAACCCACAGAATATTAACCTTAGAACTTAACCCGGCTCTGAAAACAAATTTAACATAGCCAATTCGTCGAAAACGAGCATACAACTTACAAAACACAAATAATCCACCATAAATTTCCCAATATATCAATGATTGTGATAAAACCTAAATCCGATGGCATGAAACCACTAAAGAAGCATTCATAAACCCAAATAAGCAAAAAGAAATTTATAACCTCAAAAGCTAACATCTAACAACAGAGAACAAATATTATCTTAGACGATCAATCAAGTGTGATAATTGGTTGGTCCTTTTCGCTATAATGTGAATCAGTGACGAAAAGGGTCAACAGAAAAAATATATATTTATTATTTTTATTCCTATCAAGAAGCCCATTGAGTTTGGACCACTAGTGTTTTTTTTTTTTAATCTACATTTTTTTTATGCTCACTAATGAGCTTTAGTTTTAACTTTGTCCATATTGCGAAATTAAGGAAAAAGTTACCTTTAATATATTTGTTTAATTGATAAAAAACATAAACTACTAATAATAATTTGAAAATTGAATTCTAATTAAATGAACACATGAAACACAACACGTGTTGCTTAGGTACTCCCTTCGTCTCTAATTGATAGTCACATTATCTATTTCACAAGAATTAGGAAAAATTAATTATTTTAGTTGGAAATATATATTTGCATGTATTTTTCCTATTATACATTCACTTCAATATGAGTTATACTCGTTAATTTATTATTGACTTTTTGTAGCAACCAAGATTAATTACTTGCTTAAGGTTGATTAACATGCATTGAAAACAGCTAAACTTAATAAATAATCACATTTTCAATTTTCAAGTGATTGTGAATAAATAATGGCATTGAAAAATAAAGAGATTAATAAAAATAAGAAAGTTAATTTTAATAAGTAACATTAAATATGGATATAATAGAGTCAATCAAGTGTGATTTGGTTGGTCTTTTCGCTTATGTGAATAGTGGGAGGTCTTGAATTTGTGTCTTCTTGATTAGAGATGTTTTCACCCATCCCCTGAGTTCAAGGGAGGCTGTTGTGTAGCCCGCAGTATTATTTTTTGCTATTTTAATAGCAACATGTCATTTTTTCACAAGAATTAAGAAAATAATTAGAACAAATTATTTTTTTTAAAAATACATAATTTCCCTTTTTAAAATTAAAAAAATTTTCCATTTAATTTTACTATAAAATTAATACTAATTTTTTCTCATATTAAAGCACCACTATTAAAGTAGTACTTCCATTTCATTTTTTCATATCTTGATATAATGAAAAAAATTTAACTATATGTTTGCAGTCAAAATTTTAATTTAAGTACAATTGAAGTAATGATAAAAAAGAGAAAAATAAATGTAAATATAAAAATAAATTACACATAATAAATACAAGTAAAATTAAAAAAAAAAAATTAATATATTCTCAAAATCTTAAATAACCACTTTAAGTGGAACAAAATAAAATATGGTATTTTCAAATTGTGATGGTTATCAAATTATAATAAAGATAAATAGAGGTGAAAAAAAATAAAAAATAGAACTATACTATCGTCTAACTATTTAGCTGGAATCGAGTATCAAAATTTGTAGTAGCTATAAATGGATAGTGTAATTAAGAACTATTGATATTACCCTAAAATCACAAGTTGACAAAAAAATGAAAAAAAACAACTTAACAAAATAAACTTTCAAGTGAAAATATGATTAGTTTTATACAAATATTATTTAAAATAAATATGTGATTGTGCATTTTTCAAAAAATAATTATACAATAAACACTAAATTCACTGGGAAATAAACTTTAAAATTGTAAATTTAAAATCAAAAGCTCAATAAATAGATAAAATGTAATTATCAAATAAAATAATATTAAATCATTTCATTTCTATTGATATGTAAAATCGTTATTAAGCTAGCCAGAGAGCATTCAACCAAGCGCAAATAGAAGATTATCTAAATATCTGGGCGAGCCAGAGCCTGAAAAAATAAATAAATAAATAAAGAAAACAAATCCACTAAAAATGAATATTCATTTTTCATGACGCATTTGCTATCCATTTCCAAAGTCTAATGGCATCGTATCAGAGAAAGAGAGGCACAAAAGCAGAACGCCAAAATCAACAGCAACAAAACCCTAACAGTTCCATTAACAATCAACATTTATCATATGAGCAATCAAATGCCTACCAAAGAGAGGGCTCAGTATATGAACACAGAATTTCATTCACCATTAAAGCAAAAAGTCAAAGGTATACAAGCTGCCGCTGAATGTAACATTTCTTCAACTAATACATGCAGGCTTCTCAAGGCAATATTTACAAAATGGAGGATTGTATCTTCAAGCTCCCGGTGCAAGATTACATTGTGGTTAAAATCTATCAAAACGCCTACCAATTTGCATATCCTCTATCTACTAGAGAAAATCGAGCAGACTAGTGTCCTATCAGTTTAAACACTATCTTATTGAGCCTGCACCTCTATTATGTACCATTTTTGAGCTGTCACACTGTAAATTATGTTGCTGATTGCTTAACAAAAAGATAAGAGGTTCAGGGTCATGGAATAGCCCCTATTTGAGAACCGGTTCCACTTGGCAGAGAGGTACTCAAGCTGCTGTGAGAAAGGCATTCCTCTGTCCCGATAGGCAAGAAAACTGCAGACTTCAGGCTAACTTCAGGCTCAAATAGGACATGTTCAGTCTCAAACAATGCATTCATTTGATCAAAAAAAGTTGGTGGACCCTGAAACTGCAGAAAGACTTGTATTAATGCATGCAATAGTCCTAATTTGCTACTCATGCATCATTCATAAAAAAATAAAACCTACCTGTGACAATTTAGCTTCTTCTGCATTAATTTCTAAACCACAAGCAGGAGATATCATATCATTCACCTCATGTAGATTTTGATTTCCACAATCAGGTGTTCCTGCAACACTCCATTCGCCTTCTTCAGAGAATAAATTATCAGTTTTCTTATAATTTTGATTTCTAATACCAGTCATCTCATCTGGATTTTTATCTTCCACATTCGGAGCTAAATTATAGCCTAATTCACTTTCAAGGCAAGCAGAATCAGAAATCACCTCAGTTTGATTTGGATTTCCTAATTCAAATGCCACCAGGCAACTCTGTTCACCTCCATCATAGGTTGGCATAGCAGTCATCTCATTCAGTTTATGATCTTTAACATTAGAACCAACATGGTCAGTTGGTTCACATTCACCATAAGATGAATCAACAGTAATCACACTTTCACAAGGAGATCCTGAAGTAGTATTCATTTGAGCAGTATCCGTTTTATCTGGTTCGCTTTTGCTGATCTTTTCATCTAGCTTGGCTTTTAATTTACAGACTAGGAAATTCCCCTGTACATAATGAAGCACAAAACAAGCACTGAACTCACAAGTGTGAAATTTTATCATAAAGACCATAAACCAGAAAAAGCAAATTTCTAAAAGCTATAAGCAGATTAAGTGATCAAACTCTCAAACAAGAAATACTAGAATGATCAAGCCACAGAAAACAAGAATTAAAGTAAATATACACCAAATTGTACTAACTAGACTTACACCATCAAACAAGTTCATTAGCAACGGTTATTTTAAAAAAAATAATTCAGATCAGCAATCAAGTGACTGCCAAACACATATATGAAGCAAAAAGTTTGAGAAACGCTAGGGTTACCTGTATTGGTAATTCATATTCGTGCATTATCCATTTAGTCCTGACAGGCTTGGGATGCTCCTTTTTGTAAAAAACCAAACTTCTCTTAGTACCGATAACCATCTTTTTCTTCTTTACTTTTCGAAGCTTACCAGTGGGTTTCCAGAACCCAGCCTCGGTGGTCCTGTTGGACCTTCGGCTATATGCATACTTTAAATCGCGAGGGCAGAAAAAATACCACACTCGATCATCTGATTTGATCTTCGATTGACCTGCACAATGAATAATCTTTGATTAATCTGACGTTATTAACTGAACAATAAAAGAATTGAAGAAGAAATGTATACGGTTACCAGGAAGATCCCATGGTTCAAAATCACAAACTTTAACCTCAGCAATTGGCAAATCAAGATTGTGATCACTAATTTTCAGATTCAAGAAATGAGCAACTAATTCTTCATCAGTTGGGTGAAATCTATACCCAATTGGTTTTGACATTTTTGGCCGTACTGTACTTGTCATACCTATAGAAACAAAATAGAAGGAAAGTAAAATTTAGAGATTATGAATTGAATGACCTAAGAATTTCATATAAATAAAGGGAAGAGAGATGACTAACTGAAACTGAAGCAGAAGACAGGCCACAACAGCGAGAGCAATTCCTCCGTGGGGGAAGAACATACGCGTCAATAAGAGAGAAACGAATGTCTCTTCCACCGGTCCACGTACGCTACAGAAAGAGAAGAACCATGTACTGGTACTGCTGTAAGTCTTTGCAAAAATCAATTGCTATAATATTTATAAAAATAACGGCTTATTCTCAGAGAAGGCAAGACGAGACTTCCACGTCAACCAAAGATTTATTTACACAGTTCGGATTTGGGAAAGTGGAAAAGTACTACTATCTCGTTAGCACAACGCTACCTCTCCAGTGCTGGGAAAGTGAATCGCAGACTCAAAGTCGGTCTTCTCGTAAGAATCTGGAATCTTCTACACTAATCTAGAATTTCATGAAATAAATAACTTGCAACTTGCGATTGTTTTATGTTTTTTTTGCTTTATTAGTTATTACTACGAAAATTTTATGAAATGCATAAGTTTCAATAAATAAAAAAAGTGTTGTGCCGTCCATTGGACCTCCTATATATTGTTAATGAGAAGAACTAGAGTTCAACAACAGTGGACAGGCTTCAGCGGCCCAATAAGCAAACCATATATAAATAACTTCATTTAGCATCAACTAAAATACAAAAAAGAGGTATTGTAACCAAAAAAAAAAAAAAATAGTGCCTTGATACAATTACATTATCCATACAAATATCTTCCAAATTGTAATAATACATTATACAGGTGTTGATATTTCTCATGGAATGATTCATCCATGTGAGGAATCAAAATACTGAAGCGCCAGTACAGGTGCAAGGCCAATAGACTCCATCTTCATTGGCCCATTCCATTTCAGATCCTACTCCACCGAACACAGAGGCATCAAAGCTAGTAGTGTAAGAGCCGCTTTCACTACGGCTCGTAGGCTGGAAGAATGCAGAGATAAACCTGTTATCTTCTTCTAGCTCAAGCAATGCTTCCAGCTTCTTGAAACAATCTTGTAGATCTACCTGCAAAAACAATCATACATGAGGGCGTGACTTCTTAGCTTATTTGTTAATTTAAAGATTAAACTGGGTTTGGAGGAATGCTGTTTGTTACCTCTAATGGAGTATTCTCCGACGCATTATTGTCTAGATTAGAAACAATTGAGGAAGTTGACATATCAGTGTTCTCGCGTTGATTTTGATTTCCAGAATCTGGAGATGTTGGTGCTAGAAAACTCCATTCACCCCCATCAGAGACCGATATATCATTTACCTTGTTTGGATTTTGATTTTCAAAATCCCTAGTCGGTGAGCTAATTAATTTATCATTCACATAGGTTGACATAGCAGTCATCTCATTCGGAGATGCCACAACGATACTTGGCTCACATTCATCACAAGATGAATTACTTGTCATCTCTGTCAACTTCAGACTTTCAATATCAGAAGGGGAAGCTGCATTACTTGCAGCAACTATTAAGGCCTTCTCAGCATCAGGCTTAAACTTCAATTTACAGAGAACAAAATTCCCCTGCACAAAACAATAAATACACTTTTTGAGGACATATAAACCTCATAAAATCATAATTCTCATTAATTATAGCTAAACTTTTCAAATCACATTATAATCCGAAAAATTTATTCATGCGCTAGAGTAGGAAGCAAGAACATTACCTGTATATCATATTCATGCATGATCCATTTAGTCCTAGTGGCTTTAGGACTATCTTTTTTATAGAAAACCAAACTTCTTTTTGTACCAATCTCTTTCTTCTTATGTTTGTCCTTCACCTTACGAGGTTTGCCGGTGGGCTTCCAGTACCCAACTTTAGTTGTTCTGTTAGATCGACTACTGCGTAAATACTTGTAATCGCGAGGACAAAAGAAATACCACACTTGATCCTCTGAATTGGAATTCATTAAACCTACATATAAATAAACATTTTTCATTAAACCAATGTCACAAAAGCAAATAAATAAAAATTGGAGAAGATATGTATGGTTACCGGGAATATCCCAGGGCTCATAGTCACAAACTTTAATATCAGGGATTTGCATCCCATTATCACCATGCCCAGAGATTTTACGTCTTAAAAAATAATTAGTCAGCTCATAATCAGTTGGATGAAATCTAAATCCAACCACCCAATTTCTTGGTTCTATCAGTTCTGGACTTGCCATGGCTAAACATAAAAGAAAAAAACAAGAGTAAATAAAGGATAAAATAAAAACAAAATAATAAAAACTGCAATCTTAACAAATAAAAATTTACTTACCAGATGAGGATTCGTGTTTCATTCGTCTTCCTAAAATGGGAAAATAAATGGGTATATATGAGAGAAGGAATGGTTTTATCTTTGAATGCGAAATGAAAGAGAGAAAGAGAAATGACCAGCAGAGGCAGAGGATGCAATTTAGGACATCTGAAGAAATGTTTGCGTTTGGAAAGAGAGGAGGGAGTTTTAAGTTTATATAGGTTAAAATCGCAATGACATTGGCAAGAGAATCTGAATTCTAAAGTCATTACTTGGTTGACAAGCTCTGGGAAGTCGCAACTTCGCTGAGAAGTTGGTAATAATATTAGATAAAAGGGCCAATTATATTTTTCTGATAAGTAGGACCCTACCATCCGAAACGCGTCTAATTACTTATTGCAAGTCTGCTAGAATCTCAACCTTAGTGTTAAATTAATAAAATTAAATTCAATTATATATATAATATTAAATTTATAATGAATTAAGTTTATTTTAAGTTAAAACATCATATAATGGATCGATTCACCTTTTATATTATATATTTTTTTAATTAATTGTATTTATATGACATGGTATTATCCACGTACACCAACAAAGTCGTATTCAACTTCCCAGGTAAGTTGTCTCCTTCTACAATAATCTGGAATATTCAGTAGCGGCACCTGCGCGGTTGTTCTCTAGCATCAAATTCATTTCACCGCCCAGTGGAACATGAACAGTTACCCGAGCTGATGATACTAGTTGAATTTAGGGATTTTGGGCTTTTGATTAAACTTATTTAGGGAATTCGCTGAGCAACCACAACGATTGGTTAGGGTTTCCACTGCTAAGCGTTAGTAGTAAAAGGTACATGTTCAATAAAGATAGGTTGGGTGCATGAAATAAAATGATAGAGCACCGCCACCCCTTCGGGCGACTCTGTTCTTTGTTTGATAAAAACGACGACGTTTGTCTCTCGAAAAGGTCCAACTCCAGTGAATTTCAGCTGTTGCTAAACAATTTCTGGCATGCGTATCAATTTCCATACGGATCTCTTTTTTAAGATATTATTATTTATTTGTAATTTCACTTTAGTTTTTTTAGTTTCAGAAAATCCGTCCAGGTATAATTACTAAATAATAAAATTTAAGATGACAATTGGTAATAAATGAAATACTATTCATTCTTAACTATCGACATTGAATCTCGAAAAAGAAAAGAACAAAAGACAATAAAAACACCACATTTCTGATATCTACCGTAATCCGTTAGTATAAGAAATATTAACTTGAATTATCTCTTAAAATTGAGAATTTTTACAGCAGGAGGATAAAGAGATATATATCCAGAGAATAAAAGCTATTAGTTCTTGATACAATTATACCTTCATAAACAAGTGAAGGAACTAATACATGGAAGCTATATACAAGACTTCCCCTTTAATAATAATCATAAAGGACACAATAGTCTAATCATAACTCTAGAAAGAGTTGGATCACTTTCAATAATCATATCATCATTTTATAAATAGATAGATAGGGACGAAAGAGGCTATATTCTGAAATATGAAGCATTCAAGCCTGAATCTTGAAGCTGCAGATGTGAAATCAAGTTTAACTTGACACATATATCATTAGCCAATCAATGGCTGGATAAACCATTGATACAAGGAACCATACAAGTAGAGTAGTTTGGTTCCTACTATAATAGTCTTCCTTCCTGATGTAGTTAATGCAGAGCAGAGGGAGGTACCCTCTTTAGACATACATATACCAAGTCTCCAGATCTAGTAATATTAAGTCGTTTACTGCTTAGGTAGTAATCATATAGGAACATAACCCATTAACTAGTTAAAATAAACACCGAGGTAACCAAGGAAATGTTTTTTTGGCTTCCTCGGTGTGAATAGGTTGCTTGCTTAGATGCAGAATTTAGTCAGTCTTCTTTTTCAAAGAATGCTGCTAATACTCTTCCACCATTTGAGGATCCATCTGCAGAAAGCATCACATTATCAAAAATTCTGAGTTTGCTTCTTATGCCTCACATTAACAAGATTAAGAAAAGTGCACCATTTCTCACCTCAGGAAATGTAGCTTCTCTTCCGTCAGAAACCATCCCAGGACAATTATCTTCAAGGATTGGCCTCTCCGTTGTATATATTGGGTTTTGTAACATGGCTCCTTGGAAATTAGAAGTCATCAAGGGGCTCTGATAATTGGGGATCAGAATATCTGTCACCTTATTCTGACTTTGGGCTTCTTGAAATGTTATTTCTCCAATATTAGGAGACAAATAGGGACTCGGATAACCTTTTAAGAGGGACACATTAGAAGCCACATAGGAACTTGAATAATCTTTGTGGAGTGACACATCAGTCTTCTGATATTGATTTTGATTATCAAAATCAGAAAATTCTTCAAAGAGGGAACTCCACACACCTTCTGTAGAGGTTGATATTCCGATGCTCTTACTAGGATTTTGATTTTCAAAATCCACGGCTCCAAGGTAATTTGGTTTACCTTTCTCATAAAATGACTCATTAGTCATTTCATTTGAGTTCTGATTTTCATCAAAAATCACGGGACAAATTGTTTCACATTCGTTGTTCGTTGAAACAATAGTTATGTCATTATATGAATTTTGATTTTCTAAACCAGAAGCTGCTGGGCAACTTCGTTTACCTTTCTTACACGATGGCATAGCAGTCATCTGATTTGGACTATAATTTTCCAAATCAGATGCCATCAGGCATCTTGTTTCACAATTTTTATACGATAACATACAAGCCATATTATTTGGATTATAATTTTCTAAATCAGATGCCATCGGGCATCTTGCTTCACCTCCGTTAGAGAATGAAGCATCTGTCATCTGGCAAGAAATTTGATTACTGAAACTAGATATGCTGCCTATTTCGCCTTGGATACAGGTTGAGATAGGAGTCATCTCACATTGACTTTGATTGTCAGAATCAAAAGCCTCTAGGTTACTTAATTCACCATTCTCACAGGTTGGAATAGCAGGCATTTTATTCGACTTTTGATTTCCTAAACCAGAAATCATATGGTTCCTAATGCTAGGTTCACCTACAACATAGGTTGAATTACCCATAGTCTCCTTCGATTTTTGATCTTCAAAAGCAGAAAGAGAAGGTGAAACTGAAGCCATATTAAAATCTGATTCACCTTTTCTTGCCTTCTTTTTTGTTCTTGGCTTCTTGCAACTTGGTTCTGCTTTCATTGGCCTCTTAACTGTTTTTTTCTTCTCACATGGATTTTCCTTTATCTTACAGAGAACATAATTACCCTGCAAAGCATATAATAATGAGTTCATTTTGCAAATTTCATGTTCCATATCACAAATCAGTAAAATGAAAATTTCTAAGCACTGTAATTATTAAAACTTCGGAAGAAATAATAGATCAAACAGAGAACATAATTGATGTTAGGGGTTTATATGACCAGAATCTCGAGGAATCAACATAGCTAATTTACATTAATGCAAGCATCCTCATTACACTTTCTATGCAGGAAAAGCCCATCAGCTATATTAAAATTCATTTGCAAAATACAAGGAAAGTTTTCCCCGTACATGATCATGTGGACAAAAACAAAAAATTTTCCCTGTTGTAAATAATGGCCAGGAAAAGTTTCTATCCTGTGTTTTTTCTGTTGGGCCCAATGGTACCATAAAGAAATGCGCCTTCGATTATGAAACAAAAAACCATTTTTCATTAATGAACTAGTATTTAAGTAGTTAATTCATGAAACAGAGTGTTAGCAATTTCCAATTACCTTAACAGGCGAGTTGAGTTCTGCAGTGAATTCATACTCGTGCATGACCCAGTGAGTCGCGCCTGGATTATGGAAAACCAAAGTTCTCTTAGTTCCAATCTCCTCATCACTCCCTTCAGGAGTAACTGAGCGAGGATCGCCTGTGCTCTTCCAGGATCCTTTCCCCGCCTTTCGCAGTACACCATTATTGCAATACTCGCGAAGAGAGAAGAAAAACCACATTTTATCTTTGGATTTATTGTTGGAAAGACCTGTGACACATTTCATCCTTTTAAGTTTAATTGATAATTAAAACAATAAAAAGAAAGAAAAAAAGAAACAGATATTGGAGGAGAGCCGCTTACTAGGTAGATCCCAAGGGTTATAATCACTTAATTTAACCTCACCAATGTCCAAGCCATAGATAGGATCGCCACGTCTCTTCCGTTTCAAGTAATGATCAACCAGTTCTTCATCGGTCGGATCAAATCTCCACCCAACAGGCAGGTTGTGAGGGAATAACAGCAGTGAATTTGCCATGACTTTTAACAACAAAAAGAAATTAGAGCTAGAAACAGCAACAAAAACAGAAATAGAAATGAAAAGTACACTCACCGGAGGTGGAGGAGAAGTGAAAAGCCAGCAGAGGAAGGGACAGCGAATCAGAGGAAGACGACGCTCTAGCGGAATGCAGCGAAAAGCTAGCAGGTCCAGTAGAGTAAGAAATTTTATTCATTTGCAGTCAGATGAGGTTGACTCTGATTGACTGGAAAATTTACTATCAAGTCCTCCATATTGTCCACAAATCCAAACATAAAGAGTAGTACTAAGTAGTGACGAGTCAGTAATTCACTGTTGTATGTAACCACTTCCTGATGAAGGTAGCGAAGAGATTGGATGACACAAATATGCTGTGGCTCCCACCACTGAGGACCTCTTTTCCTTCAGTTTAATTTTTAGAGTTTTTATTTTTTGGCATTTAAACATTATCAAAACACTGTAGAATCTGCTTACTCTCTTTCTCTTGTCTTGTGCTGTGTTCTCTAGAATGTTCCCGCGCTTTCTTTTTAATCTATTGGAATAATCCGCAAATTATATTAGATTATTCAATTATTTTGTCCAATGTTTTATTGATATGTTGAATCGAATGTTTCGCTTCCACTAAAATTTCCCGTCACCGCACAAACCATACTTTTGTAATGGCTCCAAAAGAAACAGAGATTGACATGTTTCTTAGAATTGTTGTGTTTATTATCCTTTTATTTATTTATTTATTTATTTTTAGAAAATCCTTCCAGGTTTAATTATTATATGATAGATTTTTAAGATCACAACTGCTGTAAAATGAAATTCTAGTCATTCTTAACTATCATCAACTAAATCACCATGGATCTCCAAAAAACAAAGGACTAACTTCAATAGCAACCCAAAGTCTGTATTGTATATGCAGGAAAGACTAACTTGAATCATCACTTAAATTTAACTGTTTATTCAGAAATTTTATAAACAGAGGATAAAGAGATACATGCCCAATAAACATAAGCAATTGGTTCTTGATACAAGTATACCCTCACAAACATGCGAAGGAACTAATACATGGAAGCTATATAAGACTTCACATTCAATAGTCATGACAAGGTACTATAATCTAATCATAACTCTGGAATAAGAGTTGCATCACTTTCAATAATCATAACATTTTTATAAATATATAGCTGCAGATTAGGACGAAACAGGCCATACTATGAAATATGAAGCATTGCAGCCCGAAGCTTGAATCTGCATCCTTGAAATCAAGTCAAACTTGACATGTCTATCATTAGGCAATCAATGGCCGGATAAACCATTGATACAAGGAACCATACAAGTAGAGGTGCTTGACTCCTACCATAATAGTCTTTATTTGATGCAGTTCACGCAGTCCAGAGGGAACTGTTACTTCAGCTTTCCTTGGTGTGGATAGGTTGCTCTGATGCAGAGTTTAGGCTGTCTTGTAGTTCATAATATGCTATTAGCTCATCCAACAGTTGAGGATTTATCTGCAGAAAGCATCACATTATCATAAGTTCTGAGTTTGCTTCTTATGCCTCACCTTAACAAAATTAAGAAAAATGCAGTATTTCTCACCTCAGGAAACTTAGCTTCTCTTCCATCAGAAGCCATCCAGGTAAAATTATCTTCAAGGATTGGCTTCTCTGTTATATCATATTGGTTTTGTAACATAGCTTCTTGAGAATTAGAAGTCAACATGGAGTTCTGATAATTAGGGGTTGGAACATCTGTACCCTTATACTGACTTTGCGCTTCTTGAAATGTTGTTTCTCCAACATTAGAAGCTATATAGGAACTCCGATCATATTTGAGGGGTGACAAATCAGTCTTCTCAGATTGATTTTGATTATCAAAATCAGGAGATTTCAAGAGGGAACTCCACACACCTTCAGTAGAGGATGATGTGCCAGTGCTCTTACTAGGATTTTGTTTTTCAAAATCCAAAGGATCAAGGTTACTTGGTTTGCCTATATCATAAAATGACTTGTTAGTCATTTCATTTGCAAAATAAAATGACTCATTAGTCATTTCATTTGCATTTTGATTTGCAAAATAAGATGACTCATTAGTAATTTCATTTGAGTTTTGATTTTCTAAACCAGAAGCTGTTGGGCAACTTTGTTTACAGTTCTTATAAGATGACGTAGCTGTATTCTCATTTGGATTATAATTTTCCAAACTAGATGCCGTCAGGCATCTTGTTTCACCCCTGTTATGGGATGAAACATCAGTCATCTCGGAAAAGTTTTGATTCCTGAGACTAGAAGCTATTATGCTGCTTGTTTCACCTTTGTTGCAGGTTGAGATAGAAATCATCTCACATTGACTTTCATTGTCAAAACCTAGAGCCTTTGGGTTACTTGATCCATCTTTCTCATAGGTTGCAATAGCAGCCATCTTTTTTGAATTTTGGTTTCCTAAACCAGAAATCATGTGGTTACTAATGCTAGGTTCACCTTCAACATAGGTTGAATTAGCCATAATCTCCTTCGATCTTTTAAAAGCAGAAGCTGAAACTGAAGCCATATTACAATCTGATTCACCTTTTCTTGCCTTCTTTTTTGCTCTTGACTTCTGGCAACTTGGTTCCACTTTCTTTGACCTCTTAACTGCTTTTTTCTTCTTATTTGGCTTTTCCTTTAATTTACAAAGGACATAATTACCCTGCAAAGCATATAACAGTGAGTTCATTTTGTAAATTCCATGTGCCGCATTACAAACAGTAAAAACAAAATTTCTAAATACTGTATTACTAAAACTTCTGAGGAAATAACAGAGCAAACAGGAAACATAATTCTGTGAGTGTTTTATACAACTGTTAGTATTAAGAATCTTCTTAATTGCATTCAGTAGTTCCAAGAATAAATGAAGAGTTTCTTGATGCAATTAGAACTTCAAGTTTCAAAACTAGAATTAATCTCTTTGTAGTTACAACTTACAAGTGTAAGTTTCAAAACTAGAATAATCTCTTCCATTCTTGGTTTTCTATCAATTAGGTGTTTCTTTCAATTTTTTCTAACAAATGGTGTCACAGCATCTGAATCTAACAATGTCAAAAACTCAAGGAATTGATATAGCTTATTGACATAATGCAGGGATTCCCAGAACATTTACTATACAGAAAAAGCCCATGGCTATATAAAAATTAATTTCAATTTCTTTCAAGTAATAATTGTAATGTCTGATTTTGCCACATTATAAGTTTATAACAAGCAACAAGGAAATGCATATTTTTTGTAAGTCGTACAGTTCTACTAGAATAGTGAAAAAGACAAATCGAACAAATAATTCCATATATAACGGAGGGGCATAAAGGTGGAAGAAAACTTTTCCCTGTGTGTTGCAAAACACAAGGAAAGTTTTCCCTGCCCATGATCATGTGGAGAAAAACAAAAGCTTTTCCCTGTCGTAAACAATGGCCAGGAAAAGTCTCTATCCTATGTTTTTTTCTCTTGGGCCAGTGGTACCGTGAAGAATAAAGATTTAAGTGTGTTGCAATACCCTTCAAAAAAAAAAAAAAAAAAAAAGGTACCGTGAAGAATAAAGATTATTAAGTGTTGTTGCAATACCCTCAAAAAAAAAAAAAAAAAAAAAGAACAGAGTGGTTGCAATTACCTAACAGGAGAGTCAAGTTCTGCAGTGTACTGCATACTCGTGTGCATGACCCAGCAAAAAAAAAAAAAAAAAAAAAGAACAGAGTGTTGCAATTACCTTAACAGGAGAGTCAAGTTCTGCAGTGTACTCATACTCGTGCATGACCCAGCAAGTCGCTTCAGGATTATGGAAAACCAAAGTTCTCTTAGTTCCGATCTCTTCATCACTCTCTTCAGGAGTGACTGAGCGAGGATCACCGGTGATTTTCCAGTATCCATTCCCCGCCCTTCGCTTAGCCTGCCCGCTATTATTGTGGTACTCGCGAAGATAAAAGAAGAAAAACCATTCTTTATCGGTGGATTTACACTTGGATAAACCTATACAAACATTCTCAATTAATAATTAAAAAAAAAATAAAAAGAAAGAAAGAAAGAAACGGAGATTGGAGAAGAGCTACTTACCAGGTAGATCCCAAGGGTTATAATTGCAGAATTTAATAACCTCAACGATGTCGGAGCCATCGATAGGATCACCACGCCTCTTCCGCTTCAAGTAATGAGCAACCAGTTCTTGATCGGTCGGGCCAAATCTCCATCCAACCGGCAAGTTTTGAGCAAATAACGGCGGTGAATTTGCCATGGCTTTGAACAGCAAAATTTGAATTAGAGCAGGAAACAACAAGAGAATTTAAGAACAGAACTAGAAATAAAACATGCACTCACCAGAGTAGGAGTTATTAGTCATTCCTCTTCCTAAAATAGAAGGCAAAAAGCAGAATGAAAGAGAAGGAATTGTCCGTCAGTGGAAGAGGAAGCTCAACAGGAATGAAGCGAAAAGCTAATTCCAGCGAATTGTGAAATTTGTTTTCATTTTCACTCGCACTCCAAAATTCACTTTCCGTGTCTGGTCTTCGGCTCTGCTACGCCTCCACTACTTGTAGAAGTAGCGATGAGTCATATGAGTCTGTGTCACTAATTGACTGTTCCATGTTTATTTATTTATTTATTCATTTATTTTATTTTATTTTATTTGTTCACCCCTTGTTGAAGAAGGGGTAGCCAAAACCAAGAGATTACGCTACGGAACGCAATATGCCGTGGGCCCCATCACTGGGACCCCGTCTAATCCTTTGCTTTGAACTTTTTCTTTTAATATTGGAATTATCGTTCTCAAAACACTGTAGCTCTGCTTGCTTCTCGTCCTGTGTTGTGTAAAGAATAATCTAGAATAGTCCAGCGCTTTCTTACTTTTTTTTCTTGTAAGTGAAAAATACACTATGCATTTGTGTATGGAAGACAACTAATTAATTAAACGGTCCAAAAAAATTGGCTTATTTTATTTCATTTTCAGTTGAAAAAACATAGAATAATAAAAACACTTATCTATCCAAAATTATTTCCCCACAAATATTTATAATTTACAAAATCCTGCAAACTAAAACAAATTCTTACGACAAAAGGGATACTTCAGTTTATCATAAACTTATGCTTTTGACAACACAAGGAGAGGGACGTACCCAGAAAATACAAACACCCAAGTTATTGATACAGTTAAAGCTTCATCTACAAGGGAAGGAACTAGAGATGGAATTTATACAAGACTTCCTCTACATATCTGTAGACTAGAATATTATAATCTAACATTGACTCTTCTGGACTTAGAGCCTCATCTCTTTGTATGACACCTGCATGAGATGAGAGTTGCGTCTCTTTGAATAATAGCAGCATTTCTATGAGAATAACTGATTCTGGGGACATAAGGCCATGTTAAAGCGTAACATTCAGATTAACCATTGATAATTCAGATCAACATTCAGACTTCATCTTGGGCTCTTACCACTTAGTTTTATTCTGATGCATTTAATGCGGAGCAGAGGGGAATAAGCTACCTTCTTGGACATACATAAACCATACTGAGTCCTCCGTTTCTTGCATTATGTTTTCTAGTCCCAGTAGGAACAGAATAGGAGCATATCTTTTTCAAATAGGCTGCCAAACCCGTTGTTATTGGGGCTTTGTTTCGTGTAAATAGATTGCTGCGATGCAGAGCTAATGTCAGTATCTTGATCACTTACTGCTATTAGCCATCCGCTACTTGATAATTTATTTTTCTGGAGAAATAATCACCATAAATGAAGCATAAGTTTTTGGAGTGTGCCACATTTTTTCAGGTGATCAAAATTAACAACAATTCAACAAGCATGCCATTTCTCACCTTAACAAATGTATTGTCTTCTACACAAGCATCCACCAAGGAACTCTGATATTCTTCGAGCGTTAGCATATTTGGCTTCTTAACTAGACTTCCCACTTTTTTGAAATTGAAATATATGTTACTTTTTAACAAGGTAATTTGTCCTGGGTAGATTTTGATTTTCCAAATCAGATGTCATTATTGAACTGGTTTTGCCTTATGGAGCAAGTGAATATTCATAATAATTTTACTAAATTGAGTATCTTGGTTAAATTGATTAGAAAAATCAATGTCTTGACATGAGCAAGTAGTCTTTACACGTTGACTAAATGGAGTAGTTGAACATCTTGACTAATTTATGTTTTCCGAACACCATGCTAAATTGAGTAGTGGAACATCTTGACTAAATTGAGGATAATTGAGTATCTGAAACATCTTGATTAAATTGAAAATAATTGAGAATAACTAAGTATTTGAAACATCTTGATTAAAATGATTAGAAAATCAATAGCTTGATGATGTAACGAGGAAGGATTAATAAAACCTTGACTAAATTGACCATTTGAAACATCGTGATTTAATTGATTAGAAAATTCAATATCTTGACAACATTGAAATGAGTGAGGATTCATAATACCTTAAGACTTAATTGAGTATCCAAAACATCTTGACCAAATTGAGTATCCATGACACCTTGACTAAATTAAGTATTCATAACACCTTGACTGAATTGAGTATCCAAAAAAGCTTGATTAACTTTATTAGGAAAATCAATGTCTCGATTAACTTGATTAGAAAAATCAATACCTCGATTGACTTCATTCGGAAAATCAATGTCTCGATTTACTTCATTAGGAAAATCAATGTCTTGATGACATTGAGAATAAGAATCATCAATAACTTGATGATACTGAGAATAAGAATTATATGGATTTAATTGAGTAGAAATATCAATACCTTGATGATATTGAGAGTTAGAAAGAGAAGCATTTTGATGATATTTGGAATAATAAGCATCAACGCTTTGACTATTTTGAGAATGAAGATCATCGGTACCTTGATGAGGATAAGAAACGTCAACATTTTGACCATATTGAGGACGAGATTCATCAACACCTTGATGATGTTGCGGATAAGAAACATTTTGTTGATAACTTGATTCACTTTCTTTATAAGTTGAACTTGCAATATTTTCACCATGGTTTTGATTTCCAAAATGAGGAGCCATATGGTTGCTTGTTTCAGCTTCACCATAGGCTGAATTAGTTGTTATCTCCACTATATTTTCATTTTGAAAAGCAGAAGGAGAAACAGCATTACTTATTGATAAATCTATTGTTGCCTTCTTACTTGGTTTTGTATTCTTGCAACCTAGTTTGATATTCTTTGACTTCCTATTTGTTTTGTTTTTCTCAGAACATGGTTCCACTTTGTTTGAATTATTGTTTGCTTTACTTTTCTTGGAACATGGTTTGATTTTGTTTGACTTGTTATTCTTTTTGTTCTTCTTATTTATCATTAATTTACAAAGCACGTAATCGCCCTGCACAAGCACAGAAATTATCATCTTATTGAGTAGAATGCCAAGTTACACATTTTAAACCAGCAAAAGAAAATTTTCCAAGCCAAAATTTTGATGAAATAGCAGAGCAAACAGAAGTCGCAACATCAAAATCATAGCAAGAATTTGCACCATCACAACTAAAACTACCAAAATCACTGAAATGAAAGATCAATGGGTCTCAAGATTTTCCTATGGAAGGCAAAGGGAATTGGCTACATAAAATTCACTCGTATTTTTTAGCAAATAATAATACTGTAAATTAACTTATTTTAACACAGTCTAACAAGCAATGGAGTAATTTTCCAAATGCAATGCTTTTGTAAACTGCATGCCTCCTGTAGGATAACAAAAGAATGAAATGGAGCACTTTTACCTCAGTCGGCAAGTTGAGATCTGCAGTGTACTCATATTCATGTATCACCCATTTAGTAGGCTTCGGATCATGGTAAACCAAAATTTTCCTTGTTCCAATCTTCTCATGGCTATACTCATTTATGACTGATTGAACCTTACCCGTCCATCTCCAGGATCCATCCATTGCTTTCCTTTTCCTTTTTGCCCGTCCATTTTCCAAGTAAATCTCAGGACGGCAAAAGAAATACCACTCTTTGTCTGGAGAGTCTATACAGACCGACATAAACATATCGTTATAATGCGAATCGTAAGATAAACCCAAATAAAGCATGTTATTAGTAGTTACCAGGTAGATTAAGAGGATCAAAATTGCATAATTGAAATTCTCCAAAGTTGAAGCCATAGGCTGCAATAGCATGACCAAGCCTCTTCTTCTTCAAATAATGATCAAGCAGCTCAAAATCGGTCGGATGGAACCTCCATCCAACTGGTAAATCCGGTGGCTCTGACTGCAATGGAACTTCCATATCTTTGAAAGCTAACAAACAATTAGCAGAAGAAAAAAAAAAATCAAGCAAAGTAGGTGGCAGAAAGAGAAATTTGACTCACCGGAGTAGTTTGTTTCCACAGCTCCTCCTGAACAGAGTGAAAGCAAGGGGTAAGGGTTTTTGTTTTAGAAAAGCCAAGTCAGAATGAAAGAAGGCGATGGAGATGACTTATTTATTGACTCACTGTTGATCCCAATTCACAACTTCTTGAAGAAGTTCAGTTGAATAAAAAGTATGATGTGGTTCCCACAGCCTAGACCATCCTTCTGCTGTTTTTTTGTAATTTTCCAAACACGGCCTTAAATATATAAAGCAGAGATGGTCTCCTTGTTCTTATCTCCATTGTCTTGCACGTAAAGATCTCCCTCAGATGACTGAAACTGAGATTTCCATGTGGGGCAGAATAAAGCTCAGAGGTAGAAAATTATCATTTTTTTAGTGTAAAGCATCTGAACACAATTACCAGAGATTATTATTTTTTCAGTGTAAACCATTTGAACAGAATTTAAAAATTTTTTTTTAATGGAAACCATTTGAACAGAATTTAAAATTCAGAACTTAGTTATATTGAACTTAGTTATATTTAAAATTTTTCACCTGTCTCTTTCTGCAAGTGTATTTAATAAATATTAAATATAAAAACTCTTTTTACTATAAATATATTTAATGAAAATTAAACATAAAAACTCTTTTCACGTGTTAATATGTCTCGTAGGTGGTTAAAAATTATCGATAATAAAAAAGACATTAATATTATTAATATTGCATCGAGAATCAACGTGGGAAGCATAAACATCATAGCCAAAAATGTCAAATCGCTATTTTTTGTCTAAAGAATTTTTTTTTCTTAAAGTAATGTGGCTTTACAGTCCAAATCTAAATATAGTTCGCTGCCTGAAAAAATTGGCCTAGGCCAGACCAGAACCATATACACAACGTTTCACCTGGAAAATTTAACCCCCAACCTGACACAGGCAACCCAAAAAGAGAGATCTATGAACTATCACAGTTATTTCTTCATTTACAAACCCTGGATTCTACTCTACACGTCATCCACTAACGACCTGCTGAGACCCATGCATTATTACTGGTGAGAACACCACAGTAAGTCGAGCATGATCAGAAAGACAGTAATTTTCAGGCCACATCCCTTTCTCTGCTTCCCGGGGGAAAAGAACTGCTTCCTTTACATTTAAACCAGTAATTTCTTCTATTTCCTGCTCTGAGTCCTCTGTACTCCCCGTACAACTTTCCTCTTGCTCTGGACATGTCGAGTTCCAAATCTTCAGCTGCAATCGTTAACCATTTTATTATTAAAGAACATAAGTATGCAGTTTTGTGGCAGAAGAGCACTTATAAAACGGATATAAGTAGGACACTGGCACGTGAACAAAATTCAGAAGTCTAACATAAAGGCCCATTATTTAAATATATGATCATGGCAATTTCTAAGCTGAAGTGCTGACTTCTAAAAATAAATAAGGGAAAATAATAAATTAGTTCTTTGAGTTATAGTCAAATTAACACAAGGTACTCTATTCCTAAAAACTAACCATCACAGCACAAACATGCAATAAGTTGCAAGACCAAATATCCTTAATAAAAACTTTCGACACACTAGTTCTTCATACAGTGCTATATATTTTTAACCAGATGCTCGTTCCAAAATTTCAGAAATGCAATAATGGAGTGCAATGAACAACAGAATAGTAAACATAATCGGGGATTTACATACCTTAAATTCTTTATAATCAACAACGCCATTTCCATCAATATCTGCCTGGAGCCACAGATCTTTTGCTTGCCGATAACTCAGTCCATAAGGACGACCAAGCAAATTTACCTGTGTAAGAATAGCAGTAAGTCTACACTCAACTTGAATTTATATATTTTACCAAAAAGCAGCTCAAATACCTGGCGGAGTCCTTCACAGAAAGCTGAATATGTTATAAAACCATCAGGCTCATCAGCCTTTAAAAATGCAAATGCATCATTTTCACTCAATGAAGCTCTCAAGAGATGATACTGAAACCAAGAAAAGTTGCAGCATCATAAGTAAAAAGCCTGAAATGATTAACTGTACTTCAGAACCAATATCATCACATTATATTCTTTGAACACTTCTGCTCAATAAATGTAATAAGCATAGTATCAGATAAATTAGTTTGTGGGACTTCAGAAAAACTGGATGATACATTGACTAGTCAACTGGAATTCTTTGTAAAGTATAACTCATTTCATAGATATCCAGTTGTGAAGTAGAGCAGTCTTATGGTAACTTACAGGTAGTCAAGTAACTTTATAGATTACTTAGAGATTAAGTTGACAGACAACAAAATATATTATTTGGGGGGAGATGACGCTTCCTTCAGAAACTAACTTTAGACAAAAAAAGATGTACTAACATCCTTATAGAAAGCAACCATTCAGATGTCCGTCAATTTCACAAGTTCAAAAATACTAAATAATTTTGATTGAAACAGTCCACAAACTTAAAAGGTTCAAAAATACTGTTGTTATACTGTTGTTAGTTGAATGACTTAACCCATTCCTTTTTCTTCTTCTTGGAACATCAATCAACAACAACAACAACCACTGATGATTAATGTCCTTCGGCGAAAATATTCTAACTTATATGAATGCTAGTGCAAGAACAACACAGCAAGGACCTAAAACTAGAAGCTATAGAGCTGACAATTCATCAAGAATAGAATAGAACTGCACAAGTAAAATACCAAGCATGCTTCAAGAAATTATTTTGACTCACCTTTATTATTCCAAATACTGCTTCAGCCCAACTTGTTTTCAATGATTTCCGTGATTTAATAGGATTGCGAAGCCATATGAAATCAACGCCACATATGTTACCCCTATGATTTCTGTGGCTCACCCACTGAGGATACAGAAGCGAAATGAAAGCATACTTGTTGTAAGCAATATGCATAAAAACATTATTGTCATCTAGACAAACAAACTGGAAGAGACCTGACCTTATGAGCATCTGCATCACTGTCAGTATACTGATGAGCAATATCATATGATGAAACAAACCCTTGGGACCTTAGGAATTTGTAAACATGCCCACGCTTGCTTCCGTTCCAATCACTGCAAGCCGAAAACAAAGACAAACAAGAACGAGTATTTCCATTTTCAGAGATTATGCAAGGAATTATCTTCTTTATAAAAACAAGAAAATGAGCATACCCACAGAGAATGATAGGCATATGGCTTTTCTTGTTTTCTCTCTGATATGTTTCCACAGACTGCAATATTTTGTAAACCTGCAACACCAATATCAAACCTTGAGCAAAAATATTGACAATAACATACCTTAGGGAGCCCAGAAAACTAGCAAATTACGGAAGTTATGACAAGATGAATCTACCTGATGCAATCTCACAATAGATAGACTGGAATCATGAGGAAATAACAAGTGAGTATTCACAATAAGAAATTCCTGCGGAGCATTGCCTTTTCGGTTTTGTGTAAGGGGCACAGCTGACTGAACATGTAATAGCTGCGCAACACGGTCTCCAAAGTCATTGAAGAGCAACTCATGATAATTTAGAACGCTAAAATAGTCCTTATGAACAGCAGTTAAGAGGCCTGTATAAAGCAAATAAAATTTTATAAGCCATATATCAAGAACTTAGAAACCTAAACTCAATATTGTAACAGCAAAAGAGAATAGAAGATCATGTATGTAGATGAACTCTTACATTGAGAGTGAAAAAAAAATAAAAACCACCAACCAAACTTCAGTGTAAATGTAAAATAGAGAATAGTATTCTTGTGAATTAAGAAAATGGAAGGCAAAAGAAAATGTTGATTCAAATTAGATTGATTAGAAGAGAAGAATCCTTCCCTTGAATTTCATGGGGTACTGAAGCCTGAAGGTAAAAATTCACTTGTAAGAGGGACAGTCCAAAAACACACGAATCCATCAAATGAGATCATGCCTGGTTTTGTTAGATGGTCAGGGTCATAAAATGCAAAAATGTATCAACAACAATAAGAGAAAATTACAGCAGCAATTCTCGAGATATTCAATATTGATATTCCATTCTAACGTCTGTTATCCAATATCAGTGGATATATAATCGGAGATTCACTTGTTAAAATCGTGGCAAACGTGCGAAGAAAAATTTGCTGTGGCGATGAAGAAGGAGCGTATAAAGTGAAAATTCACGCCAAGAAGAACATTTACCATCTTCACGTTTATTGGTCCGCGCAAGCTGGAAGGTGATATATCCTGCATCACGAAGCCTTTCCTGGTACAGATGCACGAGTTCCTTATTGTCAATCCAGAATTCCTACACACAAAACCCAAAATTTCACGAGAAATAAATTAATCATCTTAATAGCAGACAAATTTCCTTTTTCCCATTAGAAGGTCAGATCTACTGTGTTAGAGAAATAAATAATCAAAATATACCCACCTGGAGACATATAATTGAAGATCTTTCAAAAAGCAACCAATCCAAAATGCTCTGGTTCCTGGCAAACCAGAATGCTCTGGAATCGCTTTCACGTTTATTTTGATCCTGTTCCAAAGCAACATTAAAACATATATATATCAGCAAATCTAGTATGAAGATAAATAAAGGAAACTGAAATTAATGATAATTTGTAGTTTTAAGAATACCTTGTTATCAAGTCGCTTGTAGCAGGGAGCCAGGATATTGAAAGTGGTGCAAGAAATGCAGGGCTCTTCTGTCATCATTGTTGAAGACAAGAAGCCACCGGTGGTTCCTGAAATCGACCCAGTTAAAACATCAATTTCATTTCCACTAGAATTTAGGTGTCCCATGCTTGAATTAGCGTTGGACTGCACAACCGCCACCTGTTTCAACCATTAAAATAAGAACCAAAAAAGGAAAAAATCAATTCCAGCGAATTAAAATATTTCAACCGTGAATCTATTGCCCACTGAAAAAAGGAAGGAAACGTACCATTTTAGAGCTCTGGCCAGTTGAGCCAAAGGAGAAAAAGCTAAAAGAATTATAGCACCGAAAGGAGGATTCTCGAATAAATGGCAATATTAGCGGCAACTTGTGGATGGCGAACGAGATGGAGATCGTATAACAAGTGACTCTCGCGGGTTTTATAGAGGAGATGGAGAGTGGAAAGTTAAAAAGCCATGGCTCGCTTTAGATCCTTGTCGCTGTCATGGCTCTTCCAGTGCAAAGAGGGCCCATGGCGGTTTTTTTAATCAAATACCTGGTTTTCGTTTGCCCAAATATACAGCCACGGCTATAATACTCTATGGGCGGTCCTATTATTTGATTGCTTTCAATAACCGTCATTCTTTTTCGCTTTTAGCTTTCGGCCGCAGTATTTATTAACTTTATAGTAACTACTAACTAGAGCACATGAATTAAACTTAAATAGACTTCTTTCTTAAAAAATAAATAAATAAAATAAAATAGACTTAGTTGGTTATCGTATATATTCATAATTCTTATCACATGAGAATAGTTAGATTTAAATTTAGGTAGTTGTTACAACAGATCATCCTTAATAAACTAATAAAAAGCTATTTTTTATTTGGATTTATCATTTTATTTTAAAGGAGTTGTTGTTTAATTATTTTAAAATGCTTACCTTAATAATTTTTTCTTAACTCAAAATAACAGTAATTAAATATGTAATTTTTGTATTTCAAAAATAAAAACCTATGATTTTTATGTTTTAAAAGCCAATCGAATTGCTTACTGATTTTAATTTCTAATGTAGCAAATTAGAATTATAAGAATAGATGTGATTAATACTAGAGCTATTTAATGACTAAATTAATAATTGAAATATCATTAAATTAAATTTTAATAACTCCAAAATTATAAAATTACGTTGTTAGACAATAATAAACCATATCAAAAATAACAGTTTGCGTACCATTGGAATTGAGATAAGGTGAAGTTGGATAAAGATGAACATACACCACATCTGCCTCGCGCGTATTGCACATCAAATGATGGGACAGGATGTAAATGTAAGTCTTGAAAATACTGCGATGGATCAAACTCAACTTGATCCAAAAATAAAAGCGACAGTTTAATAAATCTGCTCATACAAGTATATACTATTTAGTTTCTCTAAACTAACTATTCCCATTTATTTAATTTTGATAGTACTTTTTATTTTTTATTTTATTATATTTGATAGTTTTTGACTTTTTTTTTTATTTAAATGATATTTTTAGAAAATTTAAACTAGTATTAATTATAATATTTAATTTTAACTTTTGCTAGATATATATACTAAAGTTTGTTTCAATTATTTTAGTAAAATTAAATAAATAATTAATATTATTTATAAATAGAAAAAAAATCAAAAATATTTAGATATAGGTAACAAATGCTACATCGAACGTTTTCTTGTTTTGTTAAGACATTATCTTCGCATGTATGTCCTGATACTCTGTCTAAAGTACACTGTTATCAGAGATTTCGACAAAACGGAATTTAGCTTCAGATTTTTTTTTTTTGGCTTGCAGAATGCTTTAATGTTCTATTTTTCCTTTAGCTTTCACGTCCGTACCTATAATATATATGTATATATTAGTGAAAGCAATCGGGACTACAGGAGTGAGCTGTGCCCCACTTCTTTTTTAAAAATTAAATACTTACACCGACAGATGTCAGGAAAGTTGGTGAATGAACGAAGGAGAATATGTTAGTATGTTTATTTATGATTGATGCGTTAGTGACGTTGGATTTGCCAGTTTGCGTCCGCGTTTGGCTGTCGGTGACTTTACCCGTCCCGTGATTCCTGATGCCTTTACTTGCGTTGCCTTCTTCTCTTGTCGCAATTCCATGATATGGCCAAATCCCTGACACCAATGACATGAACTTTGATTCCACAGTGATATTATTATATATTAACTACATGAAATTATATGAAATAAATAATAAAATACTAATTATATTTTACTTTAGTCTTTTTAATGATCTCTTGTCTGTTCCTTCGCCATTTCTATAGTCAAACAGAAAAATAAAATTGTATTTCATATTTCATTCTGTGTAGTTTCTATTTTTTGTTCCATTCTTATTTCATTTTGTCTACCATTTTTTTAATCATACAAATTACTTTAAATTTTACTGTAAAACGGACCTTTTTATAATGTATCTTAATTTCCATTAATCTAAATAATTTATTAATATTATTTATAAAAATCAGGGAATGGTAATTAAGAATTTAAATATTTTAAGGATCTGTCGAATTTATTTATTCAATTTACCAAAAATAGACCACTTTGACTGCAGTTAAGAACCGATTAGGACACTAAATTCGCAATTTGCGGGCCAATTGAAAAATGGGCCGGAGGTCGTCCCATAGAGATTAACCGACCCGGAACGACTATTTTTGGCCCAAAGAACGACTAATGGAGGGGATGTACTTTCCCTTGAAATTTGATTGGTAGAAAATGTTTTCCTTCCAGAAAGCAAAATTTTCCCATCTTCCAAACAAACGACGGAAAAATACAATACGCAAGTCTTCATCCGATGATTTGCACCAACCAAGTACTATCATTGTCTTCTCTTTGAATTATGAACAACCACAAAGTACAATTACATCGGATACATTTTTAGACTATTAAATTAATCATTTTTAAATTAACCGTTCTTTCTTCTTCATTTCATAACACTGTCTTGAATACAAATTTTGTTGGTTAATCATTTATTAGTAATTAGTCTAAGAACTGCTCGACTTGATGGTTACTGGTGCTTGTGATTCTACGTCACTGTTTCCACCTTCCTTGACCAAGCTTTGCTTCATAATACACTCCTTCGCCTCCTTCCTTTTACCCCACAGGAGAATGTACAATCCAACTACAACTACAACAGATCCTATAACACTAATCCATTATTAAAAAACATAAATTATGTCAGAACAATTTACAAATTATTTAAATTAAAATATAATTAAGAAAGCAAATAGCAACCTTCCAAGGTAAACTTGATCGTGCAAGATAGAGAAATCGAAAATGGCAGCAAATATCTGTATGAAAGGGGTGAATGCCGCTGTAAATACTGGACCCCTTCGTTTAACACACCAAGCCATGCCTACATAGCACAAACCTGATGCTACCATCCCCTGCATTAACCAACACGCACAAAATTGTTTATTGATAATATTTCATTACCTGAAATTCAATTCCAGATGACAGAATAGAACTTACAGAAAAAATGACTGTTACAATTTCTAACTTCCCCTTGAGAATCCAGGCGCTAATGTTCCTTTCAAGAATCAAACTTATGGAAGCAGATTGGATTGCACCAAAGAGGGATAAAATGGCAGTGCTAGAATATTGACATGGATATCTCTCGCTAATTTTGGCTTGTATAAGAAACCATGAAGACCACAAAAGGGAACCTCCCATCAAAAGTACAGAACCCATCACCCAGCTTTTTGTCTTCTTATCTGACATCATTGTAGCTTCAACATGGCTTTTAATGTCTTCATAAGAATCAGAATTTTTCAAAGGAATTCCTTTATAAAGCGCTAATGAAACAGCTCCAGTCATGCAAATTATTGCACCTAACAACTTAGCTCTTCCAGCCTTGCCCTTCAACTTAACTTTCTCTAGACTGTAAACATAGTTCAACCAAAATTAATTAATTAAAAATAATACATATAATAATGTAATTACTGCTAATCTATACTTAATTACCCAAATGGTAGAGCCAATATGAAAGTGTTTGCAGGCACTGTGTTAAGGAATGCACAGGAGAACGCGGCAGAAGTATATTCAAGTCCCAGAAGGAACAAGTACTGCGTAAGTGTTGCACTGAAAAACATAACATAATTACTAATAATATAATCTAATTAGCAATTAATTAATCGTTAATTTCGCATTTTGTTTTCTTTTTCACTAACCCGACAAGAGCAGCAAGGAAAAGGTAGCTTAAGATGTAAACTGTAAGCTTGGGTCTGGCTTCCCTGCTAGATACAATAAGTAAAATTAAACAGGTTGAAATCAGATGATAAAAGAGTAATCTCCTTAATTAAAATTCTTAATTACCTTTCCGAATAGTAAGCAATGGGAGCCAGGAAAATAGCAGAAATTGACAGTCGATATGTAACAATAACCATATGGTTAGTTCCTCCATCAAGAATCTTTTTAAGAAGTACATTCACTATTCCCAAAGCAAAATTAATACTAACAATCACTAAAAGAACAGGCAAATGCTCTCTGCAACCCATGTTTCTAAAACAAGAAAATCTATATATATGTTCTGCAATTCCTGCTTAGCTACATCCTATATATATATATATATAGGCTTGCGTAAGAACCTGAAAAATGGGAGATAGACATGTTTAGATATACAGAATCGCATCCTTCCTTTTCAAGATCAACTTTCCATTATTTTAATTTTGCACTCTATCTTCTTTATTTAACAGGATTGATCCTGCTTCCTTGAGTTACTGATGAGTAATGAGACTGCATTGAGATAAAAGCTAGGCTAATACTATAACAGTATGACCACTTCAAAGGGAATATACATGATTGAATAAAAGCATCGATTCATAACCTAAAGCAATCATTTTTTAACATTTCTTTTTCATCTAACATTCTCTTTTTGCTCTCTTGAGGAGAAAACTTTTTTTCAGCAAGTATAGAATATAGGCCAACTGATATATATGCAAAATGTCATTGCATGATCTCAGAGATTCATCACGAGTTTTTAGTGATTAATTAAGTAATTTGGTTAAACAATTAATCAAAATGTTTAAGCTATGTTATTATATATTACTAATTAATTAAGATAGATATACAAGATTTCAAGGAAGCAATTGGAAGGCAGGATTTGACCCAAGCATCCTTTTCTGTTTTTCTTTTTGGAAAGAATCCACTACTTGTTCTAAAAAAAAAAAAAGAGAGATTTGACCATTATTACAATTTTCGTTCTTGTATTCAATTTAAGAACAATATGTCAAATCTTCAAAATCTATTCGTTTGCATAATGAAGAAATTGGAAACGTTAAGATGCTTCTGACTCTGATTTGTGTACAAAACCATTCTGTCAAGCATTTGTAAGCTTAATTTTGAAAAAGCAATTGCTATTATTAGTCATTCAAGTCATGATTATGCATTTTGGAACAGATTATATATATTTTTAATTTCTTTCCATGTATAGCATTTTATTGTGCGAATAATCTTTAACATTATCATGTCATGTGATTTTCATGTATTTTCTTTTCTTTCTTTTTTAATTTAAAAGAGAAAGAAAGTATAAATCATATGATCTAAACCCTTGAACCTTATGCAGTATCAGACTCCAGATATATGCTTGTAGTTACTAGTTAGGGAGGAGAAACAACAGTTCAATGCTTCAATTTATACAATTTTAAATGTTTCAATTTTAAAGTAACTAATCTATGCATGACAAGCAAACCCTAATTTAAGTTCACCAAGAAAATAAGCGCTTGTCAGTTCCCACTGTTTGCCGTTTGTTGATGACTATAACATTCTAGCTACAAGCAGTAGCAGACCTGCGGTTTCGGTTTACGAACGCATGATTATCGGTTCTCTGCCGCTGCCAGTTTGCACCGATAAGCTACTCACATAACAAGCGATTGCCTCACGCGGCCGTTCACTTACCAAGTACAAATATATGTGTTGATAGTTAAAAAAGACGTCACTGAAAAACAAAAGGACAAGAATCCCCATCCCTAATTAAAAATTCGCCAAGAAATGCTGCGTCAATGCTTCAAAATTCTCGGTAAATTGTCGTTGGTTGGATTGACATTTTATTCCCCATCATATCGTATGCGCTTGGTGCGAAGTCGTTTAAATGTTTTCTATCTGCCGTCTTACGACTGGTTCTTCGATAAGCGCACTTTCTCCTTTATCATCGAAGTGTCAAAAGACCTTTATCCTCGAAGTCGTGATCGTTTAACTATTTTCTCGTTGTCGTAAAGGAAAGTCCGTTAGTATTAATTTTTTTTAGGCAAAAGAGAAGAACTTTATTAATTGCTCAAATCAGATTCATTTAGCTTGGCTTTCTCGTGTTCGTTGTTCATTGGATTGACCAGCTCATATGTAGAGAATTGACCAAGCAAATTAAATTATTTAATAGATAAAATTTATTCACTATTTGGCTTTTAAATAAAAATTTTCATTTTTATTTTGTATAGATTTAAATTTCAATACTTAATAGTCCCTTTTTTTTTCTCCTAAGCTAATTGGCTAAATTTTTAATTTTAATAACATTGACTCAATCAAATTGGTGTGATATCTTCCATTTTAAGTTTTAACAATGCGTTCTTAATATATATTAATATAAAAGCCACATAAAAAAAAAAATAATTACCATTTGCAAAAAGCTAAAAGGGAATTTGAGTATAATAAATTATTTTTTATCTCTTTTTTAGTGATGAAGGAGTGAAAAATCAAATCTAAATCTATTATCAAATTATATCCTATATACTTATCATTAGATTTTTTTATTGTAATAAATCATTCTTTATCATTATTTTATCCTAATAAAAATTATTATCTCCTTGTATTTTTTTATTCTTATTCTAATAATCTTTGTTAACTTCAATCATATAATATAAATATTATTTACATTTTTTTTTGGACTTAGATATCAAATAAATTTTTTATAATTATTTTAAATTGTATAAAAATAAACATTTTATAAAATATTAAATTTAACATTCAAAAATTTTGTAACTTAAATTTTATATGGATAATAATATTCATCAGTCGGATCGGATGGGATCGGGTCGGATTAGAGACCCAATGCTTTGACTCACCAGTCACCAATCACCAATTGCCAAACACCCGAAAGAAACCGTAAGTTTTAACAGGAAGTATCTTTATCATGCTTTGATCCTTTCCTCTGCAAATCCCGCCCATTCTTTCCTTCAATACAGTTGTCTCAGCTTTCCGATCCTTGATTCAAACACAAGTCTTCAACTCTGTATCAGCATCGTCATGCTGCTGCAAATAGACAGTCACATCCTTTCACCTCTTCTTCTCTCATCCTCAACGTCTCAATCAATACATTCTGTATAGGTTGGACTTCAAGCTAGAGGAAAAGAGCGGATCAATGTCAAGATGCACCACCACTATCAAAGAACTCAGGCATTCGTGTCTTCCTTTCTTAGTAAAAACCACAAAATTGAGCCCTATAATATACCGCGTAAGATGCGGTCAGTTTTCTTCATCTTCAGCATGCCACCTAGACAATATCCTCCTGGTGGCATTTCTGACCAAGACCCTCAATGAGTCCGGCACTCGCAATCTCGACCCAGATTCGATTCCTCTATCTGAGCCTCTAGTGCTCCAAATTATATGCCGAAGCTCGCTTCACGTCTCCAAGAAAAATGCTTTCTTTAAATGGTGTTCTCTCAGACATAAATACAAACACTCGGCGTGCACTTACTCCCATATGTTTCGCACGTTGTGTCGAGCAGGGTACCTCGAGGAAATTCCTATTTTGCTAAATTCCATGAAAGACGATGGTGTAGTTGTTGGTGCTGACACTTTTAAGTTTATTCTTGATGCATTTGTTCGATCCGGTAAGTTTGACTCTGCACTTGAGGTTCTTGATGACATGGAGGTATTAGGAATTAATTTTAGCCCTCACATGTATGACTCTGTTCTTGTGGCATTAACTAGGCAAAATAAGATAAGTTTGGCCTTAGCCATTTTCTTTAAACTCCTAGAAGCTTCTAATGAGAAAGAAGTTTGTGCTGGAAATGTTGTTAGTCTTTCACTTCCTGGTTCTAATGCGTGTAATGCATTGTTTGTTGCACTCAGAAAGGCTCAAATGAGGGTTGAATTCAAAAAGGTCTTTGACAAGCTGAGGGAAAGAAAGGGGTTTGAGTTGGACACATGGGGTTTCAATATTTGCATTCATGCCTTTGGTTGTTGGGGTGATCTAGGTACTGCATTAAGTCTCTTCAAAGAAATGAAGCATAAGAGTACGGACTCTGGATCATTTGGTCCTGATTTGTGCACCTATAACAGCCTGATTCATGTGCTATGCTTGTCCGGAAAGGTTAAGGATGCATTGGTTGTATATGAGGAATTAAAAGTGTCTGGTCATGAGCCTGATGCCTTTACATATGGAATACTTATTCAGGGGTGCTGTAAATCATATCGAATGACTGATGCAACAAAAATATTTGGTGAGATGCAGTACAGTGGATTCCTTCCAGATACCGCCGTGTACAATTCTCTTCTAAATGGGATGTTCAAGGCGAGGAAAGTTACAGAAGCTTGCCAGTTGTTTGAGAAGATGGTTCTGGATGGAGTGAGGGCCTCACCCTCAACATACAACATTTTGATTGATGGGTTGTGTAAGAATGGTAGGGCTGAGGCTGGTTATAGTTTATTTTGTGACCTAAAGAAGAAGGGCAAGTTTGTGGATGCAATTACTTACAGCATTGTTGTGCTCATGCTTTGTAGGGAAGGTCAACTTGAGGAAGCACTACGCTTGGTGGAAGAAATGGAAGAGAAAGGCTTTGCTGTTGACTTAGTCACCATAACATCACTATTGATTGAATTTCATAAACAGGGAAGGTGGGATTGGACAGAGAAGTTAATGAAGCACATAAGGGATGGTCATCTACTACCAAAAGTTCTCAGCTGGCAGGCAGATATGGAATATTCATTGAGAAATCAACAAAGCAGAAAAAAGGACTACACGCCCATGTTCTCATCTAATGGCAACCCAAGTGAGATTATGAGTTTATTAAGGTACCCTCACTTAAAGCATCATGGTTCAGATGATAACGTGGCAGAGGATGAGAACAATTCGTCGGTTGACACCGATCAATGGTCATCATCCCCATATTTGGATCATTTGGCCAATCAAGTGAAGTCCTCTGATAATTATTCTCAGCTATTTTCACTGGCTAGAGGTCAAAGAGTCCAAGGGAAGGGAATGAACTCTTTTGATATTGATATGGTTAATACTTTTTTGTCTATATATTTAGCAAAGGGTAAGCTGAGCTTGGCCTGCAAGTTGTTTGAAATATTCAGGGATATGAGTGTGAACCCTGTAAGTTATACATACAATTCTATCATGAGCTCTTTTGTCAAGAAAGGCTATTTCAATGAGGCATGGAATGTTCTTAATGAAATGGGTGAAGGGGTTTGCCCAGCAGATGTAGCAACGTACAATTTGATAATTCAAGGGCTGGGGAAGATGGGAAGGGCAGATCTAGCGAGCTCTGTTCTAGATAAACTAATGAAGCAAGGGGGCTACCTTGACATAGTCATGTACAACACCCTGATTAATGCATTGGGAAAGGCTGGCAGAATTGATGAAGCTAAACTGTTTTTTCAACAGATGAAAAGCAGTGGAATAAATCCTGATGTGGTCACTTACAATATTCTGATTGAAATTCATAGCAAGGCAGGTCATCTAAAAGATGCATACAAGTACTTGAAAATGATGTTAGATGCAGGCTGCTTGCCCAATCATGTAACTGACACAACTTTGGACTTCTTGGCAAAGGAGATTGAGAAACAAAGATACCAAAAGGCATATATTTTGCGGAAAAAGGATGATCCCTCTTGAGGTGTCTTTTCTTATTAGTTTGGTTGAAGAACTTATCAGGTAGTGAATCAAGAGAATTTTCCTCTCAGAACTGGCCCTAAATTTTAACAAAGAATGGGTAGTATCAGGTGCCATCTTGAGCTATATACTTTGCAGAAGAATTCAACGTTTCCAGAAGAATGCAAAATAGGAGAAATTGGAATACCAGATCAAAAGTGATGGCTGCTTGTACGCAGATCAGCTAAAAGACCTGATCGTGTCATCCCATGGTTTCACTGCAAATTTTGGATGCATGGATTGCTTACACATAATATGCCTTGATTGCTTGCTTTGCGCATAAAGGAAGATCTGCTATTTTGCAAAGGCCATCATACTCTTGAAGTACAGGTACTCAACAATCGACTTATTATGCCCTTGTCTGTTAGTGATAAAAATGTATAATACTGCTAAAAAATTATGAGAGGCTGAAGCTAAATTTCTGTGTTAAGAAAGGTTTACGTTAGGTAGAGACGACTACCTGATTCATCTAAGCTTTGGACATTTCGTCTTCATGAAGATTTTGCTATGAGTATGTTGTTTTATTTTCTTAACTGTGAAGGATAGTTAGTTAGCCATGGGATGGGATTCTTGGCATGTCCAATCCAAGAATTAATGTATATTTTATGTTGGGAAACATAAAGCTGCTGTTCAACCAAATGAGTTCATATGTTTTGAACTTATTTTGGATTTGAAAGTCATCAAATATCAAGTTAAAATAAAACGAGAAAGTATAAGAAAAATAATCATTCTGCAATTATTATTGATTTATTCAATGAATTTCTTTCACATGACTGAAGAAATCCCTTTGATACTGTTATACAAATTGGATGTAATCCAACTTTATTTATTCATCAACATTGCCTTCACTTATTAGCCGATCAACTTATTAGTTGGGAGCTAATTATTAATTTAACAAGCTTCTAACTTAACAACAGGAACGCCAGCGCAGTTGGCCTCAGGACAGCCACACACGTAGGTCACCCCATTAGCCCCACAGACAGGGTCTGGACGAAAACAGTTGATAGGACCCGCACAGTCTCCAGGACTAGGAGGGTCGAAACCTCCACACAGGTTCTGTGCTTGTACCTGCATGCTGAACAAAGGACCCAGCAATGCTACAACCATCATCATCATCATACACAATGGAGCTATGTTTTTGAAGGTGGCCATAGCTTATCTTGTTAAGGCAGAAGAAATGGTAAATCGATTATAGGAAATATGGATTTGTTATAGCAGAGAGAATGGTGTATTGGTTATTAGAGAGATGGATGTATATATAGTTTATGAGGAATGCAGAGTCAAGGGATAAGGATGGGGAGTTGCTTTTATTGACCGAGATTGATCCTTCTTGTCCAACAATTAATCTTTATGCTCTTTCATCTTATATGACGGCTAGGCTTGATGTTTAAAATGATCTAAACTCCTCGTGTAACACCAAAATACTATATTTACTCGTTAGATATTTTCTTGGCAATAATCGGATAATTTGACTTTGACCTATATATATATATATATATATTTGATAGCTTTTTTTTCCCTCTACATATAAATTGAGTATTAGCGTATAAATTTTGAGTTCCTACGTCCCTACTTAGTATTCATAATTCGAATATTACTGATCTTTTCTGATTAGCGTAAAAATTTTTAATATATCTATTCAAAAAAAAAAAAAATCTAATATACTTAGATTAGACCAATTTTTGTTTACAAAAAAAAAGGTTTGACTTTGAGGATGTGTACGTCTTTACTCAAATTAATTATTCTTACTGTCTAAATAAAAATAAAATAAAATAATTATTTGCTTTTTTGTTTTTTATTTTTTTTTTTTGAAAGAAGAATTATCATATATTATCTCAATGAAAAGTAATACATCAAACATTCGGTCACTGAATCCCAAACATGAACACGATTAAAACGATAGGACGCTCTAGCTAAGCAATGAGCACCTATATTATCGTGGCTTCTAATCCAACGAACCTGGACTAATGGAATTGAGGCTAATAACAAAATACAATCAGAAATATTGAGGCTGAATAACAAAAAAGAGAAATAACACAATAACTCCAACTCACTTACATATTTCTGCTAATCTTGGACGATAGGAGCATTATGAAAACATTGAGAATTCCGCTATTACGAATGATACCTGCCACGTCTGAATATGCTGAGCTATTAAACTGTAAAGTGGAAGCGACAGAGCCAAAACTTTCCGCCATTAAGGGGAGATGAGCTGAGCCTTCATAGAAAACTGGAAAATTAGCGCGCAAAAAACATCCTTCATTGTCCTTCAAAAACTATCCCATTACCCGCTGATCGTATATTTTTTAGAAAAATTAGCAGCATCCACATGGACAAGTCTCACTCTCCCAGCTCCGGTTTGGTCTGAATAGAGGTGCTACCTGAGGAGATTAGTACCAGAGGCCATTCAGCGTTTACCAAGGTATTCTTGAAGTCTGTAAAAAATTAGAAGCTCTGTAAAGAATAGAAGCTGTAGCACTAACATTCATAGGATTCCATTCCCTTTGTTGCCAAAGAAATTTGTTCCTAGCATCCCACACACTCCATGCGACATAAGAGATAAAAGCTAACTTTTCGGAATTATTTTGCTTCAAGACCCGCATATAAAGATTTTTAAAAGAAAAGTTAGTAAAAGCCTCCTCCACCCTACACACTTTCTAAACCTCCAACACCTTTGTACACAATAATAATGCATGATTAACATCCTCCGCCAAATCACAATAAGGGCATATAGTGTTCACATTCATACCCCTTCTGCTCAATCTCTGTCGAGTAGGCAATAAGTTACGCAAAGTTCGCCAAATGAAATCTCTGACTTTTGGTGCAACATTCAACTTCCATATACTCCCCCACCCCTCACCCTCTATACTCTCGGCACCCCTTCCCAACACCCTCAAGGCAAGATAGTAACAAGATTTAACACTAAAATTACCCTTCTTATCGTAATGCCAAATCAGCTCATCCTCCAAGTTTCTTACACTAAGGGGAATATTCTTACACTAAGGGGAATATCAAGAATAGTGTGGATATCTCGCAAAGAAAAAAGATTAATAATCTTTGCCACATCCCATTTCCTCTCCCCCTCCACCAAAAGATCTTTCACCAAGAGATTATTATCAATAAAGAGACTACCATCCTCCACATAAAAGACGCCATCAATAGGTAACCAAGGGTCCTTCACAACAGAAATACGCCTACCATTGCCAACCCTCCACCTAACTCCATGTTTCAAGATCATGTTAGAAGACATTATACCCCCTCCAGACAAAACTAGGGTGATGACCCGTTTGTGCATCAAGCAACCTCCCGTCACGGAAATATTTAGATTTGAAAACTCTATAAAGGAGAGTATTAGGTGAAGTCAGAAGACGCCACCCTTATTTTGCTAACATAGCCATATTGAAACAATGAAAATCCCTAAAACCCATTCCCCCATCTTTTTTACTTCCACACATTCGATTCCAAGCTAACCAATGAAGCTTCTTCTCACTACCCTTCGAACCCCACCAAAAACTATTCATCCCACCAAAAACTATTCATCATTTTTTCCAACTCAGTACATAGACGCAAAGGCAATTCAAAGACACTCATGCAATAAGCCGGCAATGCTTGAATCACCGATTTAATAAGAATCTCTCTTCCTGCTTTGGAAAGAAATCTGTCAGACCATCTCTCTTCCTGCTTTGGAAAGAAATCTGTCAGACCAGCTATTTATTTTCTTCCACATTCTTTCTTTTAGGAAACCAAGAACTTGTCTTTTATTCCTGTCAATCAGTGAAGGTAAACCTATGTAAGACCCACCCTCGAAGGAGTTAAACACTCCCAGAAGATGGCTGATATCAGCTTTCACAATCATGCTAGTATTGGAACTGAATATAATACCCGATTTCTGAAAATTAATTGATTGACCAGAAGCACTCTCATATGTAGCTAAGATCCCTTTAATAGTTGTGGCTTCAGCATTGGATGCTTTGAAGAACAAAAGTGAGTCATCTGCAAAAAATAAATGGGAGATTTTGGGACACCCTCGACCAGCTTTACCACCATGAATTTTACCACACCTTTCCGCTTCAGAGAAGAGTAGTGACAAACCCTCTGCACAGACCAAAAATATGTAGGGTGATATAGGATCCCCTTGCCGTAGACCTCTTCCAGGAACAATAGAGCCGACTATTTTCCCATTAACAATAATAGAGTATTTAACGGAAGTCATACACATCTTCATCCAATTTACCCATATAGCACAGAACCCCATTTTCTCAAGCATGGCACACACATACGCCCAACAAACTCTGTCATAGGCTTTACTGATATCAATTTTCAGTGCACAATTTCCACATCTACCTTTACTTAGCTTCTTGAGATTATGCATCATTTCAAAGGCAATTAAAATATTTATGCATCATTTCAAAGGCGATTAAAATATTATCAGTGATAAGCCTCCCAGGTATAAAAGCAGACTGATAGCAAGAGATAATCTTTGGTAATACACATTTTAAACGGTTTGCTAAGATTTTAGACACAATCTTGTAGAGTACGTTACACAATGAGATAGGTCTAAAATCAGTAACAAATTCTGGTCTATCTTTTTTGGGGATCAAAACAATTAAGGTATCATTTAGGGAATCTGGGAAAATACCTTGTTGTAGCCAATGGTTACATGCGGTTACCAAATCCCCATTTGCCAAAGTGAAGAATTAAGGAGGAATAGTTAATTTGCGAAAGTGAAGAATTAAGGAGGAATAGTTAATTTGCGAAAGTGAAGAATTCTTTTTCCTTATTTGTATAATTACTGACGAATGACATTCATCTTTATTGCAAATTACAATATTGTTCATCCACATTAATTTCATCACTTCTAAACAAAAACTGGAAAGTAAAGAACTCCGTCGGAGTAACAGGAGGGAGCAAAGAAAGGTTGAGAAGACGGTCAAATCAAATCCCCAAAATGTATATAAATGGAAACGAGGAGACAGATAGTTGGCGGCTAGCAAGGGCCTAACTTAACAACTCGAACGCCAGTGCAGGCAGCTTCAGGGCAGCCACAGCCATATGTGACCCCATTAGCCCCACATACTGGATCGTAGACAAGGCCACCTTATAGCACATCCGCCAGGTGGAGGATGAGGATCGAATCCTCCGCACAAGTTAATAGGCTTTCTCTTTGCTTCTACCGTCGTCAATGCCATAACCATCATTATCACGCACAATACGGCTGCTCTCTTGAAGGCGGCCATTATTAAATTGGACGACTTAGTAGAGAGAATGGGAATGTATTTTATGATCACAAAGATTGATGTTTATACTTCATACAACCAACAAGGGAAAGTCAAAAGAAGCAAATCAATAGGAATATGCACAGTCAAAGGAATAAGGATCTACAGTTGCTTTCCTTGACCCACATCCTCTTTTGTTTTTCAGCAATCAATGGGTTGTTTAGTCCTATACTACGGCTTGAGCTAATCGAATACAAGCAGTCTCCAGGTTGGATTCCGCCTAAACCAGGAGGAAGAAGATGATCAAGAAAGAATTGAAAAAGAAATTTTTTAATCAACACATCTTAATTTTTTTTAATCAACATATCTTAATTTTCCTTTCATAGGTAATTGCTTATTTTCTGAAAACAACCCGTGAAACCAACAAACAAGTAAGACAATCTAAACGTGTCCTGCGCTCACCAACAAATAAATTATCATTATCGTGATTGACAATCCTATCTCGTCACATATATATTCCATACAAAAAAGTGCTCACCGGGCTATTACCCCATCCCCTTTTCTTTTGTCTTCTCATTTCTTTAAACATATATATAATATATTATATATAATATAATATATATATTATTAATATATAATATATATATATATAATATTAGATTGATTTTGAAATAATTTGAAATCCATGGAATTTTTATATATATTTAGATTGATTTGAAAATTTTAAATCCATGGAATTAAAGATCTATGGACATTGAAAATCTAAGGAATCCAGAGTATTAATATCATAAGCTTGACAAATTTATTGAACTTATCTGTTTAGTATAAGCTGAGCTAAATAGATTTACCGTTAGTGTAAATATTAAATTAAATTCATAAATTTCAGATTTGTTATGTAAAATTAACTGTTTTAGCAACGTTTAATAACTAACTGTTTGAAAAGCCTTTCATGAAATGCTAAAAGTTAAATGTTAATACTAAAAGCTAAACGTTATAAGGATTAATTTTTCACAAAACGCTACCTTAACCTTAAAAACTAGTTCAAAAGCTATATTACCAAATTCTATAAAACTAGCATCTTTAATTCAAAAGTTATGTTATCAAATACTATAAAACTAGCATCTTTACTGACAAATAAAACTTTTCGGAATACATTATGATTGAGATTTTTAACTTCAAAATGAGATTTCAAAATCTATGGAAAATGAGAGATTATGGTCCATACAATATTTATCCTTATTTTATCATACAAAACGAGAAACTTAAATCAAATCTAAAAATTGCACCTACCAATCATATCCATTACATAGATTTTTTTGGAAAAATCTTTCATCTTTCTGTAAACATAACAATCCATTTGTCTGCTAAATTACTTTCCCTGTTGTAATTTATTTTCCGGGATACGTATCTCAATCTGTAAATAATGATACACAACATTCTTGGCTAATGGCTACCATGATCTAAAATATACGCTTCCCTCCATTCAAGTTCTTGGCTACCAGCGCAGTGACAGTCTTCTGGTCAAGTTACATTGCTCAAACACCGCCAATCCGTTTCCTTCTACGAGCTCCTGCTCAATGCAAATGGAAATTTCATAAATAAATGGATAAACAGAAACAAGAAATGCACAGCAATGTACCTATTATGTATACTTAAACAGGCAAGCTTATCTATTTGTACACTTTCTATACCTTATTAGAAGACAATGTGCACAAAACAAAGCAGCAGCAAATGTTCATTTGGTTTTATGTATCATGCTTCAATGTGCAAATAGGAACGTAAGTTATTTATCACGAATTAAAATTCAACCACACCATAATTCAAGGATGAAATGCTGCAAAATTTCTAAGCAAACAAGCAAGTCGAAAGGTTCCTATGGTCCAATAAATTTACCTACGGGGCTTTTGCTCCAGAGGGCTTGGCCATCAATAGCAGTGAAGCTATGATCATCAAGGCGCTTCCATGTTTTGATTGACTTAACAGCTCCCCAATCTCCTTTCTCTGACTTCTCCAAAGATGCTACAACCAACCTTGCCCTTCTTGACCATCCAGCCTTCCCATAGGCATGGTATCCAAACCCACCGGCATAACAAAGGTTTATACCAGTCAGTTGACCACAAAAATCATTCAAATGATCATGTCCTGTGAAAACAGCCTTCACATCCCCTGTTTCCACCATAGCAGTAAAGAAACCAGAGTTCACAGTAGCAGAACTTATTCCTTCTTGTCTCACTCCAGTGAAGTTTGTGGAATCAAAACTTGCAAATTCAGGCAATGGAATGTGAAAGTACACAAGCCCTGGTGCAGGCCCTTTCTGGGGCTCTGGCTTCCCCATGTAGGCTCTCTAAAGTAAACAATGAAATAAAACAAAAGAATTATATCATTAATCAAATTAAGAAATCAAACCTATTAGAATTGAGAAGTTATAGAGTCATACCCGAAGCCTTTGAGAAGTGCGTTGGAACCAAAATTGCTGAGAGGGTTTGATCCAGCCATAGCCAGGAATTGATGGAACTGTGGAATAGTCTCCACTATCAAGAAAGTAAAGATTGAGAACTGATTTGTTTTCAAATCTTGAACCTTTAACCCCATTAACCTCCAAATTGTAGTTTCCAAAACCATCAATAACGTGTACTTCTGATGGATTAACTTTAGAAAGAGTATTTTTAAGGCCAACGATGTGATTCATAACCCCTTCCCTTGAAAGAGTCGATTCTTGATCATGATTCCCTAAAATAGCCGCCCATGGAATGTTCGATGAAATTGCAGGTGCAAATGCAGCATTTAGTGATTTTGCTGCGTCCGTAGCATCAAAACCAAAGATATTATCCCCTGTTTCGCAAAAAAGATTTAAATTTTAATCTTATTCCAAATTAGAGAATTCAAAACCGTTGAAGAAGAAGAATAAGAAGAGTGTACCAGTGAAAACGATTAAATCAGGCTTCTCGGCTCGAATCATGCGCTCCACAAAGGCAGTAGTGTTGAGATCAGAGCAAGTAAGCGTTTGATTCGGGAACACATCCAAGCAAGGCGTGGTCTTGCCATCGGCAAAGTGCATATCCGCCACTTGCAGTATCTTAAACTCTCCATTTTGCCCAAAACGCAGCTGTTTTTGCGCACCAAATACAACTAGTAACTGAGAAAAGGCAACCAGTGACGCAAGTATGTACGAAAGTGAAAGATATGAAATTTTCATTCCCAACAACATTTTGAAGCCCCGTTAGAGAATAAACCAATGCCAGAAATATAAGCTTCCTGCTTTCGTAGTCTCCTGGGTTTTCTCGACCCAAAATTGACTAGTTTCCTTGTTAGATAATATAATTGCATCCAAATTCCAGAGGATATACCCTACAGTATTGATGTACTGAATTAGGATATACTATATAGGAAGCGAACAGATAAGCCTGTCTTCATTAGGGTTATCCGTACAGAGTAGAGAGCCAATTGGGTCACAGAAAATCTAGTAGTTGTGACTTGTGATTATTATGATCTGTTTCTGTGCCCTCTCTGACTTGTCAAAGCTTTCTAAATAAATGCGCAACAAATACCAACATTAAATTAACACCCAACTCCAAAATATTAATCCTTGCAGCCGTAGCAAAAGGGCTACACTCACTCGCTCACTCAATAGTCGTGTAAAACCTAACCTGAAAAAAAAAAAATAGAAACAAAAGAGCACCAGTCAGTATACTGGTCTTTTAGTGCACAGTCCATGTAAAATTCTGCAAAAAAAGACAAAGTGGGACTGGAATTGATAAATAGGTTGGGTTGTCGTGATGTCCTTTCTTTCCGACCCATGTAAGAATTTCTTTAAACAAGAAGCTGCCCTGTAGTAAATTAATTTGTCAGGACCCTGTTCCTAGTTGTATAATGGACTTTAATTCGTTGATTACTCCTGTGCCCAAAACGTCAATAACTAGGACAAAATAAATGCTGGCAAATTCCTTTTTTTGTTTTTATTTCCCGATCACGGATGTGAGATCCTGGAGACAACCTAAAAAAATAAATAAATAAAAGAAACCAGATTTCGTTTCAATTTTTTTATCAACAGAATTTTTAGTTTTGGATTTGGAAGAGTACGATGAAATGCATAATAGCTAGGGTTAACCGGCGATAATTTTTTAAGATATAAATTAATTCGAATCAAATCGAATATAAAATCCAACTTAGTTTTCTGAGTTTAGCTTTAATTATTTTTGACAGATTTGAACCTATCTGTTGGTTTAATAAAAACCAAAAAAAAAAAAAAAAAAAAAAAAAAAAGAATTTTTTAATGATATAACATAATCGAATCATAATTCGAATATTAAAAGTCCACTTAGTTTTCTGAGTTTAGCTTTTAATTATTTTGACAGATTTGAACCGTATCTTGTGTGTTTAATTAAAATATAATGAAAAAAAAAAATATAAAAAATAAAAAACTCCAAAAAAAAAAAAAAAAAAAAAAAAAAAAAACCCGATTATGTAGAAGATCAAATCAAACAGAACTGTGCTCTGCCCTAATTAATGGCCTGTGTCCCGGATAAAATCTTACCAAACAATTGAAAACAAATGAACAAAGAGTTATAGTTCAAACTTGTGCAGTTGTACCAGTTGGCAACTTCACAATCCAACATAAAGTCTACAAAGTAAGAAAGTTAAGCTTCGTCCTTCACGTCCAGTTTCTATTTTACATGAACAGGTGGACAAGTTTTAACTTGGACAGCATCCCTCGCTTAATATTTCAAGGAAGAGCATCAGTTTCAACAAGTTACAGGATACTTCCTATAAAAATTTCCACATATGCTAATGTCTAGATTACTAATACAGCAAGAGGAAATATCTTCGATTGATTCATATCAATTCAATCCGAGATCTCTTATTGATTTACTCATTCAGTGAGCATTTGCAATATTACGTATGCCTTCAGGAAAGTTGTTCATGGAAGATTGGTACAAATAACTAGATACAAAAACAACAGAACATAAAAGAAAAGATGAAGCTATAATCCAGAGAGCATGTTCTTCACTACTACCTCCTTTAACAGTGGATGCAAAACTCTCAACTTAAGATCAACAGAACTAGTCAATAATTACTTCCAGGAGTTTTGTAGAAGCAACATGGTTTAAGCACTCTCAAGAATGTTAACAAGGTTAATGCACCACTAACCTTACTGAATTATATCACTATTTAGATTTCCACTTCTGGTTCTTATCAAGAGAACAATTATGGTCTTAGCAGTCATGACTTTATCTGTAAAACATTCATTTTACAGTAGTCACAACATGATTTGTTATCTTCATACTACTAAGACCAAATATTTTCTGATATCAAACTATAGTTAAGAGCGAATGTGGTCAATCGAGTTTACTGGACCCGATTTAAGAGAGCACAATATACTAATAGAATATTGCTTTTAAAGGAGTTACAACTCGCCTTTCTTTTTATAACGCATTTTTTATAGTAAGTCGTATATAGTCAGGTCATTGGTTGTGATATGCACAGACCTAGTTAAGAGGAACCTTATAATCTCTTTTTAAAGGAGTGAGGGGAGGGGGGGGGGGGGGGGGGGGGAAAAAGGGGGGGGGGGGGGGGGGGGGGGGGGGGAAGGAAAAGAAATCAGTAACACCTGTAAAAAAGGGAAAATACAGGGAAATCTATGCTTTAACATAGCAAATACGCTCAAAAAAATTCAATAGACTAAAACTTCAAAGAAAATGAAAAAGGAATTTATACAATTTTTATAGATAGAGTTGTGAATTCGGCGGCTACAAGCAGATAATTTCAAACAAACAACTAAATACTTGAAAAACTATTGAGCAACAATAGATTATACTAATAATGCAGACAAGCAATAACTACTAAAAATTTATGAGTAGAAAGCAAATCAATTGTTCTTATCTTTTTTTGCAAAAGCAGACGACTTGAACCAAGGAATCCACACTGACGTTGTCTTTTGATACAGCCTGTATGCTTCAGTTCTGTACTCTTGTTTCAACATCCGTTGCTCAACAAGCACAGTAACATATGCTAAGCACAGAGTATTAATGAGAGCCCCAACGAAGGTCCATACATGTCCCAGGTTCCATGACAAAATACAGAGCCCCCACCACCACAACTGTTCTCCAAAGTAGTTAGGATGCCGTGAATAACACCACAAGCCCCTATCAAGATTCGGTACTATTGGCTTTCCAAGCTCTTTTAATTTTTCGTTTCTTGTAACAAATTCATGGAGTTGTGTATCAGCAAAGTAAGCTATGACAACACCACATAAGCAGACAGCAATGCCAACAAAATCCCAGACATCCAATGGCTTGTCAACCGAGTGAACAACGTAAAATGGCAGACAAACTCCAATTAGAAATACCTGCAAATTTATGGGACAGAAAAATGAGAAAATATGCCCATCTACACCTACACCAATTCTTCGCAGGTAAACAACAATACTTAAACTTAGAGGCTGAAGTAAAAAACTTTAAAAAAATTCCTGGAAGTGAAAGTTCATTGTGGCAATTCATCAAATAGTTATGTCAGGTACAAATTTAGTAGAGTAACCACAACAAGCATCAAAGAAATCAATAAAAACAAGAAAATATACATTACCTGCTGTGATAGGTATACGGAGAAAAAGGAAATCCACCACCAATTATTGCCATATTGACCGCGCATATCAGTGAACCTCCAGTCCTCTCTAGCACCCCATTGCCACTTTTCCCGCCTAAAGTAATTATGGGTGAGCCTCAACGCCCACAACCATGTTATTGTTATCACGATTCTTGACCTCCACCAGTTATATAGGGCAAAAGGGTATGTCGCGTAATAGTAAACAAGCAAAATTGGTATCACAGTCCAGTACAGATCTATCATCTGCGCCAAGACAAGTTAAACTTAAACAAAGAAAAAGATCAAAAAAAAAAAAAAAAAAAAAAACCAAAGAAAAAGATCAAAAAAAAAAAAAAAAAAACGAGTATGAGGTTTAAAGAAATTGAAGTAATACCCAGTGGCTGTTTTGGATGTGACTGATGAGCCAAAAAAGGACATTGGACGTTGAAGAAGAAAGAGACGTTGACAGTAAAAAAAAAAAAAAAAAAAACGAGTATGAGGTTAAAGAATTGAAGTAATACCCAGTGGCTGTTTTGGATGTGACTGATGAGCCAAAAAAGGACATTGACGTTGAAGAAGAAGAGGACGTTGACCAGTAGCAGAGGGTGGTCAAAGCACCATTTCCATAAAGGAGAGAAAGCAGTTTCATCATTAGTGCTAGTATGATAATGGTTAAGGAGAGAAAGATAGAAGAGAATTGAAGGAAGTGGAGCAAGGAAAGCAATCACAGCGTTCTTCAAATTACTGCCCATAACGTTTGTTCTTGCTCTCGCTCTTTGCTCTGCCTAGAATTATTTCAGAACACGCGCACTCACTTACGCATGGAAGCCGGCTTTTATAGCTTCTACCTACAACGTTCCAAAAGTAAAAAATGAATTGCATTATAATAAATATTATTATACCCCTTTGTTATTCTTCCAGTAATTATTGATATAAATATTATATCCTTACTGTTATTATTTATTAATAGCTTTAATCCTCTCTTTTATATGCAATCACCAGTGGCTGTTAATCATGATTACGTCCTACCTTTGTTGTTAAATGCCAGTTAATTCATTCGGTTCGTGCATTATGTCATAATTTTATAAGGTGTTTTCCCCCCATCAGCCAAATACTTTACTTATCTTACAAATTCAAATTAGGCAAATTACTCATTTCTAGTCGTATTTAATAATCTCTCTTGTCAAGATTTGCCATTCAGTTTCTGCAATTAAGGTTTTAGCGCGTCGAACATGTTTAAGGTAGTTTGGGCCGTTAGCCACATTTTGAATCGATATACATATCGTGGTGGCTTGAAAGATTTCCCTAATGGACTTGTTCCCCGTGTCAAAATAAAGAGGAACAGTGCGGCTCATCTTTTAGGGAGAAACTCTAATTATACAGATCTTGTAATGTCAGAGATTTTCTATTGCCCCTTTGTCGCTTGATTGAACGTGACATTGCCTCTCACACTTTCTAAACAAAATCCATAGCAAACCCAATAAGAAATTGAAGTGTAAGACAGGTTACACATGTTAGCATCTGGCATGGCGAAGCTGGAAACAGATTTGTATTAAGTGGATGATTAATTATAACATAAGGACAACTCAAGGAAATGTCAGTGTCGGTAAAAAGTCATTAGGACCACATTTTGACCAATTTTGACATATTAAGGATCTGAAAATTTATTGTGAAGGGTGCAAGAAGAATCCAAGCAATGCATGATAACAATAATATATCATCATGAGATCGTAACTATGATTGTGGTGCCTGTAATGATGTTTGTAGCCTGTGGTGGTGTTCTTAATCATATTATCTTCCCTTTCTTCATTATATAAATACTTATCCCTACCTACTCTCTGGCCCCCTCCCCTCCATTAACTCGGCGGAAATTCGCGCAATCTCCGCAGAAAGGTAAGCGAACAGCTTTACTGCACAGCTGCCACGCCTGGAGAGAAGACCATTATCACAATTTCACAACTAATTAGCGATCATCAAAGCACCTCCATAAAACTTAAAGAACAACGCAATTGCAGGGTCCACAATCCGAGTTAGTATGGGCATTTTATTTATTTATTTATTTATTTATTTTCTTTATTATTATTAGGCCTTAGGGCTTAGGCCCTTGGCATTCATAAGCTGGCGCCCAGGGGGAATCAATTCCTTCTAGCTTATATAGGCTCCTAATAGTGGTTGAAACGGTATGCAAAACTTACATCGAGTTGTGATCGAAATACTAACGTCTATACATGGCACATGCAGGAGGAATGAAAGTAGGCAAGGGGATAAAAATAAGAAACTAAACAAGAATTCGTCTTATATGACCGCTTTGCACGTTAAGTGCATGCCCAGACACTCCTCTAGTACTAAATAGTAATAGGTAATATTTACTCCAAAGCAGATTGTGCCTGCCAATAGTCAACCAGAAGACTAGTTGCATATCTGCTTGAGAGCATCAGTTGAGTTGATTCTTAAAGACTGACGTTGTTAGAACTTAACAGTACCAAGAGATGTCGATAAATAGAAAAACGTTCTGACAAGAATTTATTGCATGGAGTTCCAAAACAAAAATACACTCAGCTGAAAGATAATAACCTGCTTTCTCTAATGTTCCGTCACTAACAACACCAAAAACTGACATTTTAGCTAAAGACTGATTGAACTTTCAGAAAGTGAGGTAACAGAAGATAGGAAGGTGAACGGTTGAGATAAATAAATAAATAAATAAAGCAAAACATACCCACATAAGGACTTACACTCTGGAAAAAAAAAAAAAATAGAAAACACAGTGAGGAGCGCTCACAAAGACTTGCTCCCTTTTGCAATATCATCTTTAATTGCTCTTTGTATCCATTTCACAATAACCCACTGCACCATAGAAAAGGAGCATAAAGCAATGGTGCTATTCAGCACCTCAAACCAAAAAAATAAAATAAAATAATAATAAATTCAAAACTTCAGCCATGGAACCCAAGAAGCTTATACCTGAACCCCTAGAATGAGAGGGATAAGCATCTTCCCCCTGTCATTTGACTCGGATCCATCTATCAACTTCTTATCCACTACAACAGATTTATTCCCATTTGTAGCAACCCCAATGATTTCTTTCACCAAGATTGGAATCCAAGCATCACCATTTGGAAGAATCTGAAAAAAAAAAATTGCAATTGAACTTAAAGACATAAAATTGGCCGCCTTCTTCACCAGTAAATGGCTCCAAATTAAAAAAAAATAGGGACTGAACCTTTTCATCATTCTCATTTTTATTGCATCTCCCACTGTTCTCAACCAAACCAACAGGAATAGCAGAGTCCTAGAAGCATCGAAACCAAGAAAATGATTATTGAAGAAGCACAGTAAGCATAAAACAAAAAAAAATTATGGGCAACTCTGATATGTGAGAATATTATAAAGAGGATGCATATATTTTCATTATCGCTTTGAATCATTGATTTTCAGACATGAATGCAAGCTATCATTTTTCCACAAAGAATGCAGTCCACCCACTTAGCAGAAAATATCAGAGATCAAACAACCATTTACTGAATCATCAATTCAATCTGCAAACTACCAAGAGAAAGATTTCCATGGTTCTGTTCCCAAGTACTAAATAGAGATAACAAGCCCCTTCAATTACAATATCTCAGCCAAAGTCACACCCAAGTAATAAGACCTTCTCTAATTGATGTTAAGTAGTATAAAATGATCCTTATTATAGAGTTAGGAGCAAGTCATCAAGATTTTTTCAGAAGAGGTTGTCTTCTCCTTCTGCTAACAATAGATTCTTTTAAATCTCACTGGCAAGAGTAAAGAAAGGAAATACTGAAATACCCCAGCCAAACCACTCCAAAGATATCTGCATTTTCCTTTTTCCCTTTCCAATGCTTTTATTTCTGTCGATATCCAACATGAGGACAAGTTTACTGCAGTACACAAGCAATCATCAAGACACTCTTCTCCTGATGCTATATTAATATGAGGTTCTCAATTCCCTTTGGAAGCTAACCATTCTGGCACTCCCTCTTTGCTACAAACAATATTCAATTAAATTGTTACAAATGACAAGACAATGTCCACAGATTTCTTAAATCCCTTAAAGTAATCAATTCAATCATAGTTATGCCCACAAGTATAGCCTGAAAATCACAAAAAGGCCAAACTAACTTAAAGGATGAATTTATTTTTTGCCGCAGGGAGAACCAAGTCCCAACCCTCCGCTTCATTATTCTCCATTTTCAAAGAATTATCAACAAACACATGCAGCATGATATGCATTTTCCATTTGAAAAGAATCGGCAAATGCAACATATCAGCATGCCTGAATTGAAGTCGCTGACAGCTTAACAGTTAACAGAAAGCATAATCGAAACACAACGGCTACATATGCATTTAGAAAGATAAAAGGAAAAAATGAACCTCAAAATCACGTTTCCTCATCCGTGATCCTGCACGAATAGTCCTTAAGACAGCCTCAGATCTTCTTGCCAAAAAAACATCATAGTTGAGATCATCTGGTGGGGACAGCTGTGCATGAGTGAGGACAAGCAAACTTTTACGCCATATTTCTTTTCCAAAACTATCAGAGATAGCACTTATTATCTGCTTATCCAAGTCATCAACTCTATATGCATCCAAACGATCAACATAGAGCAGAACATCTATAGTTTTGTTCAAAAGAAACCTGCAATAATGGCAGCATTCATAAATACAGTCAACTTATGCAAGTCATAAAATAAACACTTAATTCATACAAAATAAAAGTATATAATAATTTAATAGGTATTGAAATTGAACCATGTCATTCTAGTGGTACAACCGTTTAATCAACTCCAAAGCTTGGTAATTCACATAGCCACCCTCCACAATGCCCGGAGTGTCAATGATGTTTAATGTGAATCCAGCCCGGTACCTTGAGACCATTACAGGTCTTGACATCTCAGCCTGCAAATGTAGAAACAATATTACCACAACAAACTATATAAAGACACCTAATAGCTACTGAGTTCCAACCTTAGATTCATGGGAAATAGGCCAAGCAAAAACATACCGAGAAGGAATTCACATTAACCGCACGCTCCCCAATGAGAGAATTGACAGTTGAAGATTTTCCAACTCCACCTTTGCCCATAACAAGAATGGTTAAAGTACTTACACCCTGTAATTACTTAAGGTCAGAGTAGATAAACAACAGGAAATGAAAAGAACGCGGCTTAAATAAAAGCAGACAGACCTCTTCTTTTAATTTGCCAAACAATTCCACAAGTTTGCTTTGCGTGGCAGCAGGGAACTGTTGGAACCCGCCCCACTCACGAATTACGGACCCCATTGATGCCTGAATACGAAGCACTGAACTCAAATTAAAACATTAATGACTCAACCAATTCCTATTCGAGCAGATTGTAAAAAGAAACTTGTAGCAATTCTAGAGACAAGGTAACTGATAAAAAAAATTTCCCGTTTATATAAACCCTAAACCCTAGAGATAATTTGAAACTTGAAGGAAGTTGAAATGTAGCTATAGCAAATGAATTGACTGGGTGAGTGCGCTAGAGAATTGAACTAACCTCTTTCTCGCGAATTGCGCAGTAAGGAAAGCAAAGAGAACGGAAGGGACTTGGGATTTGCCGCTGCTGCGATAGAAAAACCTTATCGAACCAGAGGTTTTGTTGTTATTGTTGGCATCTTTTTGGAATTGTGTTTGACTCGAGGTATAAGATACACAGCCCTCAACAAATTCTTCAAATTAGAGTTTTATGAAATTCAATAATTTATTTATTTATTTATTTGTAGTTCATTTATTTAATAAATAAATTTTTTTTCTCTGAATTTATTACTATTTTTTATAAAATAAAATTATCATGAATTATGTCAGTATGTCATATTCCTATTTCATGTCCATATTGTATTTTTATAGGTCTGTGTCGTTTCGACTTTTGTCCATGATCAGTATTTTTTATGATGTGTGTTGTGTTGATAATGTTGATTATATTTTTATTTTTTATAATTTTTTTAATTTTTTATTTATATAATATTAAAGTATAAATTTTTATTTAGATTACAATAAATTTAATTGATTAATTTGTATTAGATTTTGCCTTATAAGCTATTTGCAGTGTTATTTCTTATGTACTTGATTTTATTTTTATATAATGAAGCGGTTTCAAAATAAAGTTTAATAATCATTATGTCTAACCATTCAATCCCTAATTTATAAATACAAATTCTTAAAACTCTAATAGGTGCTCAAAAAGAAAATAAAGTTATCACTCAATTTTTAACCCTTGGCCTCAATCTCAAATCAATACTATATACAGTTATATTGAAAAATAAATTTTCTTTTTTTACTGATAGGTAAAAGAAAATAAATGAAAAGATGATCTGAATTAATAATAGTAATCATTTTGGCTATAGTAATAGTATTACTTATCCGGTGCATCAGTGAAAAGAATATATATACAAACACACAAACTCTTGAAACCAAAAAATTACCCAACAAAAAATATATAGTTCTAATTTTTTCAATTTCATAAACACTATTTTTTCTCAAGTCAAATATATTTAGGATATAAAAGAAAAAATATTAAAAAAATAAAAAATATTTAATCAGAAGGCCATTTATTTATTACAAGGAAGATATAAATCTTTTACTAAATTAAAATGACAGTGATTATAAATTAATTCAATAAAGGAAAAGAAAATAAAAATAACAAATTTTTATTAAGAATAAAACTTTTTTAAGAACTTATATTAAAAAAATTACTAATTTCAATTTCAAAAATAACCCTAAAAATGCTATAATTTAATTAAATTTAATTTTAATAGGCAAAAAAAAAAAAAAAAAATAAAGGAAAAGAAAATTAAAAATAACAAATTTTTATTCTTAAGAATAAAACTTTTTTTAGGAAACTATGATTAAAAAAATTACTAATTTCAATTTCAAAAATAACCCTAAAAATTGCTATAATTTAATTAAATTTTTAATTTTAATAGGCAAAAAAAAAAAAAAAAAGTCAGGTCACTAAACGAAAAGTACAACACATCATACTAAGATCCAAATATGGTCGGTCCAATGAGTGTTTATTTCATTATTTCAAGCATTTTATTTTTCTATTGTTCTAAGTTGCAAGTTCAAAAATAATTAAATAAGTTTAATAAGTAATAAAAACAAATGCACATAAAAGAAACATTATATCTCCTCTTCAAATAAAAAAAAAAAAAAAAAAAAAGTCAGGTCACTAAACGAAAAGTACAACACAAATCATACTAAGATCCAATATGGTCGGTCAATGAGTTTATTCATTATTCAAGCATTTTATTTTTCTATTGTTCTAAGTTGCAAGTTCAAAATAATTAAATAAGTTAATTAAGTAATAAAAACAAATCACATAAAAGAAACATTATATCCTCTTCAAATAAATCTACAATTTTTCCTATAACCATACAAAAAAAAAAGAGCATACTTCTTTTTTTTATTATATATATTTATTTATTTAAAAAATAATTTTTAAAAATTATATTTTTTTTTTTCATCTTAACCACATATATCCCGAGCTCACTAAACTATTCTGCTCACATCAGATCAGTCCAAAGAAAGATAAAGTGCTCCCATCGAGTATTTGCTCCATCCATTAGGATCAAACTCTCGACCTTACCTAAAAAAAAAAAATATTAAACCGCTCATTGATATGAAATATAATTTTTGAATCGACTGCTAAAATTATTTTAAAATATTTTAAATTTCATTATTTTCTTCCTATTCTCACCTTTATATATTGGAAGTATAAGTATAGATAAATAGATTGTTGGACATGTATCAGTTTACAAGTTTATGAAAACCAAAAAGCGAAAGGCCCATGCGGGGAAGTTCCTGGACATGGCTAGTTAAATGTTTTGGGCCGAGATAGGCCCAAATACACAGGGTCCAAGTAAGTGAAATTCAAGATCAACCTAACAGCACCGTATTAAGAGAGCTGACTGCTAGCCTTCATCGTTGCAATCAGCACTTCGTCGGGAAAAAACATTTCCTCTTGTTTCAACTTGTATTTCATGTTTAGAGACCAGAATCCTATAAATAAAACCAGAAATATTCACCATATTCGATTTTCGCTATTCTCTCTGCAAAAGTCGGAAGTGGTCGATATTTACTTGTAGGAAGCAATGTCCGCTAGGTTGCTGAAGAAAGTCTTGAAAGAACAGGAACAGCAGCAGCAGCAGCATCACGAAGAAGAAGAAGAGGAGGAAGAGGAAGTAGAATCTCCTGTTTTGAGCAATCGCCCTCCAATAAATCCATTCGACCTCCTCAACGACGGTGATTCTGATCAGGTCTGATTCCTCAATCCTTCAACCTGAAGTTTTCGTTCTTCAAGTGAATTTATTTGTTATTTTTGCGTTTATACGAAGCACGTTTAATTAAAGAAAACCAAATTCGTTTTCTTGAGCTGTTAATGATTTGGAGATAGAGCGTGTTCTCATTACTTGATGTCAAATCTAATGTATTACTCAGTGGATTGTTTCCGTGTTGTGAAGGTATTTCTGCTTGGGTTTTGGATAAGTTTATTTGACTGTTCTTGTGTTTGGCTGCTTTTACCTCTCGGCTACATTGTTTACCCGTTTCTATACATATAAACGATAATAATTAAAAAATTGGAACAGGGGAGGTTCTAGTAACTCAAATACCCCGTGTGTTCATGCCACCATTAAAGGAATTAACTGTTTCTTGTGATGGTAAGTCCATTTACCCAGTCGTTTAGCTCTCTCATCGCTTTGCAGGAAGGATTTTTTTTCTTCGCAAAAGAAATTTATTCAGTTTTTCCAGCAGCTTTTGTGCTATCTTCAGGTTGACTTTTCTATGTGATTGGTATCCTGTGCTTTTGCTAAAAGAGTGTCCCAATGCTTCCGTACCGTAAAGTATAGATTATTTGGATGCCAAGGAAATGAATCTGTTTGCATGATATTTCAAAACATTCAAAACATGAAAGCAAATATACTTGAACTTTTTTTTCAAGAACATCATTACTGATTTTTTTCTTGAAAGCTCTTCTTTATTTTATATATATATATAGACACACACACACAGACACACACATCAAAATGTTGTTGGTGCTAGCTAGAAGGAAGTCAGTCAGTCAGTCGTGCAGTTTCCACTTTTTATTTACTTAATTCAGTCAATTTTATCTGCAGGAGAATGAGTCAGAAATCATTAATGAAATCTTGTTGGAAAACAATGACAAATGGGAGTCCTCTGTGATGGGAGGGATGGCTGGTACAGTGCTGAAAAGCAATCAGAAAGCTAAGAAAAAGAAGAAGAAGAAGAAAAGCAAGGCAGCTCCACCTTCAAGTGCAAATAAAGGCGAAAAACCATTGGATGAGGCATTAGAAACTGTGTCCTTGGATGGTAATTCTTCCAGACATCAACCTCATCCTGTCAAAATCAAATTAGAAAATGCAAAACTTTGTGAAGAGTTTGTTAAACAATGTACACCATCCATCTTGCAAGTGGATCCTAAATGTCTAAATCCTGAGAACGAGTTGCGCAGAATTTTTGGTTCTAAGGTGGTGAAATCATTTGAGAGAAGCAATCAAGCCAGCAGTTCTAGGCAGGTTCGTGGGGCAAGACGTGGGAACCATCATACAAGAAAAACTATTCTTGTCTCTCCATTGGAGCATTGGCCTCGCTGGGATGGATCCCTATCTATGGAATTTTTGGAGACTAGGGGTGGTTGCCATTATTTTAGGTAAAGACATTCCTTGTTGCTTTGATGCATATGAAGATTTCCCACTTTACTGCCTTATTTACTAGGTTGTTTTAGTTTCTTATTTCATGATTCCCTGGATTTTTATGCTTTTAAATAGGGAAATGGTTATTGTATTATTGTCCTCAATAATAGATTGTATTTTAGCATGTGCTCTGAAATTCTACATGGTATATATGTTTGACCTCCAATCAGGCTAATTTTCATCATGAGTAAAAATGATATTTTGTAAAAGAAAAATAATAATTATTGAGGAGCTTGCATACTAGTCTGCTTACTTCTTTTGAGGAGAAGTGTGAATACTTGTTCGTCGATTTCTTTCTTTATGAAATTTGATTGTACGTCTTATTTCTGTCTCTCGATTCATCCCCTTCTTACTTTTGTGATGATTTGGACTTTCGGATTTTGGTTTCTTTGCGCTTTTCATGCTTCTCTCTTATCTACTTGTTAAGTAAAGGCTTCCGCCTTGTTTTGTTTTAATGAATCATTGCATCTCTGTCTATGAATGAAGTTAATTTTAGTAGCTTTTTTCTTCCCTACTTCACAAATGTAAAGAAAGCTAAACTTAGCATTTGTTTGCACTCATTTCTACTTGCTAGATGATATCCCACGCCATTTCTTCTTTCTGTTTTCTCCTCTTTCGCATGCAATATTATGTCCCAATATCATCACTTTGGATTTAGCTTTCCAAATTTTAGATTTGTCTTATTCATGTAGGTATGTGCACTCACCTGCCTATGATCAAGCTCAAAGGGCATTTGAAGCTGCGAAAGCTATTCACGACCTAAATGGCATAGCAAGCATTCTATTACACCACCCTTATCACTTAGACTCACTTATAACAATGGCAGACTATTTCAAATTTGCGGGCGAGCACCAAATGTCAGCTGATGCTACTGCAAAGAGTTTATATGCATTGGAATGTGCATGGCCTTCCATGTTCACCCCATTTCAAGGTAATTGCCAGTTGAAGATCAGCCATGAAACAAACAAGCCACTGTTTGCAACACTTTTCACACATATGAAAAACATGGACAGGCGTGGATGCCATCGTTCTGCCCTTGAAGTTTGCAAATTACTGCTTTCACTGGATTCAGATGATCCTATGGGTGCATTGTTCAGTATCGATTACTTTGCTTTGAGAGCAGAGGAGTATGCATGGTTGGAACGATTTTCAGATAACTATAAAAGTGATAACTCCTTGTGGTTGTTTCCAAATTTCTCTTATTCCCTTGCCATTTGCCGATTTTACCTTGAGAGACAGGAACTTGCAAAAGATACTCCTCCCTTTGCTGCAAAGGCTACTTCAGCAGATTTGATGAAGCAGGCGGTTATGCTTCACCCTTCTGTCATTAAGAAGCTAGTAGACAAGGTACCTTTGAAGGATCGGGCGTGGACAGATATATTAAAACATACCTTTTTCCGATCAGAGAAAACAGGGTCCCCATCTCTGGACCATCTCATCAATATATATGTAGAAAGAAGTTACATCATATGGAGACTTCCAGATTTGCAGAAATTGCTCCGTGATGCAGCTTTACAAATAATTGAAACTCTTGAGCATAACAGCAGTGAAGCTAAGGATTGGGCTTGCGTGCGAAAAGAAGCTTTCTCATCTGAGAACAATGAGTAAGTGTTTTCTGTTATTTTTCTTGTTTCCTATGGTTTTCCTGGGAAGTATGTTTGCTATGAAGGCGAAGCGAAGTTATGCTGAATTAGCTTAATTTAGACATCAGGCTCTGAACTTTATACAGAATTAGCATTGGGACTGAACTTAGATATCTGGCTCTGACATTCATTCTATTTACAGGTATAGCCATTTGCTGGTTTTGGATTTTTCTGATACCGTGCCAACTCTTCCCCCGGAAAACCTGCAAAATTTTATGGTTGACCCAAGAATGAGGGACGCTGAGCAAAATGGTGGCCAAATAGCCAATCCACTTGATGTTGGCGATATTGCTCCTCGTGGTGTTGCAAATCGTAATGCCTTGGCTGTCTTGTTCGAGTCAATGTTGCCTTGGGTTCATTATGGGGCTAGAGAAGATGGAGGAGCTAACGAGGAGAACCAAGCTGATGGCCATGACCAAAGCAATGAAGATTAAGTTGGCGATGTGCTTGTAGTAGCAGAGAAGATTATATTGATATCATCCGTCTGAATGTATATCCACCCTTTTGCTTAGTCGTCAAGTTGAAAATTGCTGGAATATGTTGGGAACAGAATTGATCCATTCTTAATACATAACTGATACTGTTAGATGCCCTTTCTACTAGTGTATTCAGCTGAGGATGGGTATTTGCATTCACAAAAGCAATTTACAGGGATTTTCCTTATTATTCTACCGTCACATAGTAGATTGCAAGGTTTTGATTCAGCTAAATTCATTCTACATGGTAACTTCGATCAAAAAGTCATCCCCATGGCTTTGATTAGTTTGTTAAGTGTATTTTGCAATGACAAAAAAAAAAAAAAAAAAAAAAAAAAAAAAAAAAAAAACGTCACATAGTAGATTGGCAGTTTTGATTCAGCTAAATTCATTCTACATGGGTAACTTCGATCAAAAAAGTCATCCCCATTGGCTTTTTGATTAGTTTGTTAAGTGTAATTTTTGCAATGACAAAAAAAAAAAAAAAAAAAAAAAAAAAAAAAAAAAAAAAAAAAACAAAAAAAAAAAAAAAAAAAAAAAAAAAAAAAAAAAAAAAACAGTGCGGGCAATAGAACTTCTACATTGATATCTGCTTAGTCATTGCAACAATCAATTGTACAATGCTCATCAGTAACATAATGGCGCTTGGTTGTCAGTGAAATACAAATTTTAAGCGGCGTATATCAGATGCCTTGTCCTCTTCACAAATTTTAAGCGGCGTATATCAGATGCCTTGTCCTCTTCAGGATTGACTTTCAAATTTGCTAGGCCTGGTCATCATTTCCAACAACTCGATTCATGTTTTAAGCCAATATATGATGCGTGGCGCCAATCAAATTTATTCCGTTATGCTTTTTCATGGTACGGTTGAGTATGTGCATCTTTTTCTGAACTTTGAAACAAAGAATAATCTCAAATGAATCAAGAAGTGGAATAAGCCTGTAATAAGGTCATCCCTTGCGGCAGATTGTCATGCCATCTCCAATAGGTACCTAATATTCCAAATTTTCAGGTTATGAACAGATAAAAATGTTGTTCAGAAATTTTCCACAATAAAGAACACGTAAAAATAATTACATACCATACTAATGCTTACACGCTTGTCCTCCATAATGGTTTTATTGAAATTTCTGATGCTAGCAGTCTTAACATCAGTTACCTGGTCAGTCGAAGAAGATAAAATTAGAAAAAAATTTATCCCAAGAGACAAAGTATAAATTGTAGTCAACAATTTACCAGTGGATCAGCAACTTTCCCATGCCAAAGAACATTGTCAATCACAATAACACCTCCAACCCTCACCTGGACAGAGACATAAGCATCCTTACAAGCGCCAGAAACTCTAATACTATTTGACAATCAAATTAAATTAAATGAGAAAATCGATATACAAAAAACTGTTTTTCCCAACATATTGACCTTACCAACTGCAGTAGCAATTCAAAATACTCCTGAGTCATTCTCTTCTCAGCATCAATGAATGCAAAATCATAGCTACGTGAAAGACGTATGCCAGCAGGAGTTAATTATGTCTTGCCTGAGGGTCTGTGGGAAATGGGAGGAACAAGAGGCAAAAGCATCATAATTTTATCATTACCTAGAAGCTTCACCATTCAGTATTAGAGACTTTAAAATATCCGCTGCCATTCCATGCTTTACATTGACCTAATCTCAAAGAACTTCTCAGAGTTATGCAGAGATAACTATAAGAACTAGAAATAGATGACATTTAGCAAAAAATTCTGCACAAAATAAATACATAGTATACTCCACAGTAACGTAAGGCAATATAGAATGGTGGAACTAAGTGAACTACATTTGAACCAATATTAGAAACAAATTGTACTCCTGAATAAGTGATTAAGGACTCCAGAATACCATATGACCTGCTCTATTACAACATTAAGAGAATAGAAGTTCATATTACCTTGTGGGAAACACCAGCTCTCTCAAAATACCTTTTTGCAACTTCAAGAGAATTGGCATCTCTTTCACAGGCAACTAAACAACCTGATTCCGGTAGCACTAAAGCAACTGCCAATGAAGAGTATCCCTAAACATAAACAGCAATTAAGAAAAGAATATGGTAAGTTGTTGTTTCATCAAGCACCTAACATACATAATCTATGCAGAGAAATTGAAGTAGAGAGACTTCAAAATAAATTAAAAAACAAAACACCTACAGTATAAACGCCGACTTCAATACACCTTTGCGCACCAAGAATCTGAACAAGCATGGCAAGTAGCTGTGCCTGATCAGGAGAAACCTATGGAAATAGCACTTGTTCATCAATTTATTCTATGAGTTGGATTGAAAGTTGGTTAGTGGATTGATTACCTGCATCTGGCTTCCGCGCAGAGTGGAAGTCTCCTCTCGCAGTTGCCGCAAAATCTGAAATTGAAAGTCTCACACCTCAAAATCAACAATAACAACAAATAATAAAGAAAGAAATTGGCAATACGAGTACCTCCGGCTCCCGAACGTTGGAGAGAATGTAATCATAGAGGCGAGGAGTGAGACTGATTATCTGCTTATTGCCATATTTTTCGTCATTTGCGACAACGACTGCGGCGTTGGTGCCAGTGGAGAAGCAGCAGCAGCAACTTCTGGCAGGACGAATTGATTTCCATGCCCTAAAACCGCCGCCGCTTGCAATTGGCGGCGTTATACTTTCAGGTCTCCATGCAGTAACAGTGGCAGCAAAAGTAGAGCGTTGATAGGCCAAGGAAGAGCAACGATGAAGCACCCAGGTGCTCGCCATTTTAGTGGCACTGTCGCTCCAGCAGCGAGACTGTGAAATTCATAAACATACAGGTCACTTATCAAAGCCGAAGGAAAAGATACCGTGAAAGACGTCCTGTCGTTTTCGTATATTACAGTATTTTGTTAGACACGGCGGTCAGTTTGCTTAAATTTTTCTTGGACTACATGTTCTTCGTCTAAAGGTCTAGATGATTTCTCAGGGAAATTATTGCCTCTTTACTGAAACGACCGAACGACAGGTAGGCGTGCTTTGTGGAAGAGAACTTGTCACGTTATCCTATACGCAAAATTTAAAACAAACCTTTATCCTCCGCTTCCTGCGAAAGCCTAAAACTTTATTCTAAAACTAAAATCTCATTCTCAACGCTCTTCTCGGCTATACATTTTTGTCCTCGCAGGTATGCCATCTTTTGTGCTTCTTCTTTTCCCTCCTTTTCGATGAGCGAGATTGAATTCCTCAGTCTCTCTTTCTTTTTCTTTTTCTTTTTTCCCCCTCAAATCTCAGATTTGGCATTTGAGTTCTTAAATCATGTAAAAATATTTGTCTAATCCCGACTACTTTTAGGAATGAGGCATAATTTCTAGTGCTTTAACATCTTATCAAGCTGTAATTTGATGTTCTGATTTGTGGAATGTGGAGTTAATTTGCTTCTTGTTAACTGTGTTGATCATTTATTAATACTAATTTATGTTATTTTCCCTCAATGAAGAAATGGACCTGGCGTTTACTACCTCCTTCTCCCCTGCAAGAGATAGAGCCATTTTCAAGATTAAGCCTGTTAGCTTAAACCTTAATAATGTCACTAGAAAACTGCCCGTTCAGAAAAAGTTTCGCTGCTCAGCAACTGTAGCTGCTGACCTTACTCGGGTTTGCCTTTCTTTTGTGATATTTTGCTATGGGTATGTTGTCCTTGCTTACTAACTGATTGATTATGTGTGGGTTTTAGGTTTCTGAGTTTGAGATAGAGAAGAAAAAGCATGACCTTTTAAGTGCTACCCAAGACACACAACGAGGGCTTGTTACAACTGCTGATCAACGCTCTAGTATTGAGGAGGCTTTGGTCTGTTACTTCTTCAATATCATATTCTTTCTGCTGATTATTTTCGGGATTTCTTACTTTCTTTTTGTTTTCCCTCTTATCTGCTTTTTTGGTGATTATCTAATGGACAACTCTGGGTCTACGGAAACAGAATAATTTAAAACTTTGTCTCTGTAACTCTGGCAGGTGGACTTGGAAGGATACAACAAGGGTGCGCCAATTGACTTGGTCCAGTTGGATGGGACATGGCGCCTGCAATATACTTCTGCCCCTGATGTGCTTGTTCTTCTGGAATCTTCTGCTAGACTTCCTTTCTTGCAGGTATGAAATATGTATAACTTACCCTTCAATAACATGCGATCTTAGAGTATTGTCGAATTTATGATCATTTTTTAACTTAGCTTTTTTCTTTTTCTTTTTTTTTTTTTTTTAATTCATTCATTTGTTTGTTTGTGGATAACTGGCTTCTCTGCTAAAGTGGGGTATCATTAGTGGTTTTATTAATTGACAGCAAAGAAAAACAATCTGTTTGAAGAAGCATTTTACTCTCGATATAATTTTCATGCCTCAACTTTGGCCCATAAGTTATGTAGTTTGGTAACTCTTACATGAATGTTTTCTTCAAATTTAATTGTCAATCGGTAAATGAAGAAGTTTCTCATGCTTTCTCTCTTTACTTTTATCTTGATTTCCTTTCGTATTATGTGTTTTTGTCCATGAACACGGGGATAGGTTGGGCAGATCTTCCAAAAGTTTGAATGTCGGGATCAGTCTAATGGAGGTATTGTCCGTAATGTTGTTCGATGGAGTATTCCAACATTATTAGAGGTAAACTCAGGGTTTCTACGCAGAATGCCTTCAGTATTTTTTTAACTGTGTTATATTTATCAGTGTTAAATGGTGGATGTTGTCCCTCTACTTTCAACTAATTTTTTACTTTCTTTAATAATTCCAGAATGCACTATTCTGGTAAAAAAAATTTTATTTTTTTTACTGTTTCTGGATTATGTTAAATTTCTTTATTGTTAATCCTTAAACTTCTGAGGGATTGAGTATCTATCCCTCTCTATCAAACCACTGAAATATCATTTGGAGGGGTAAAAACCATGGGCTTGTAAAGAAAAAAATGGACACAGATAAAGATCTATAATTCAGTAGAATTGATTTCAAAGATCAATGCTTAGTACATAGGAAATAGAATAAAAATAAAATAAAATAGCCTACAACCAGAATTTTCTTGTTAATGTTATATTTTTCAAGGTGAATGCAAAATCTTCCTTCCTCAGGAAAAATTATTTTCATTTAAATTCGTTTTTTTTTTTTTTTTTTTTTTTTTTTTTTTTTTTTTTTTTTTTTTTTGCAAAAATCTTCCTGTCCTCAGGAAAAATTTATGTTATATTTCACTTTAAATTCGTTTTTTTTTTTTTTTTTATTTTTTTTTTTTTTTGTTTTTTTTTTTTTTGGCTTTTTTTTTTGGCTTTTACAGGACACAGAACGGTGCCACTCTCCTTGTTTCTGCAAAAATTGTGATGTGTGTTTTTTTTTTTTTTTTTTTTTTTTTTTTTTTTTTTTTTTTTGGCTTTTTTTTGGCTTTACAGGAACAAGAAGGTGCCACTCTCCTTGTTTCTGCAAAATTTGATGTTGTTTCTGTCCGTAACATCTATCTTCAGTTTGAAGAGGTCAGCTTCTCTGTCCTTCATAAAACATGACTTCCAAACAAGTCAAGGTATATACATGCAACCATTTCACTCCACGGTGTGCTATTCATGGTATTCTATTAAAAAGATTTACAAATTTTGTTGACTGTTACCTTGTTATGCCAATAAGCTGACTAGTTCTGTAACTTATCAGGAAGGAAAAAAAAAAATTGAAAACTGACTAGTTCCCTATAATAAAAAGCATAACCTTGAGGCAGTTAAATCTTTCTTTCTGCACCAAGAATTATTCTATTAGCTTTTTATCTTCCTATGTTGAATAAAGGTTTTCCCTTTATGTGAAGCCTGTTTGTTGCCTTTGGCAGATAAGCATTCAAAACATTAAAATCAGCGAAGAGCTTCAAGCTCTAATAGCTCCAGCAATACTGCCACGTTCATTCCTGAGCCTGCAGGTAAATGACTTGCATCACTAATTCCATATTACAGTGATTAATTTTGAGTGTTTGGATATGAGTTCAAGATATTTGGACCTGTATCCCTTTTGATATCATCTAGGCCTAGTAGATGTTTCTACCTGAATCTTAACTTGGATTTTGTTTTTTTGGTTAAGTTTAACGTCGATAGAAATATGCATAATGAGGGACGCATATTTCTTTTAGTGCCATTTTGTTCTTACAACTGGAGAACTCTGCAACTGCAGGTTCCCAAAATTCTAAAACAACAAAAAAATCCAGCAATTAGTTACTAGAGTCAATGGTATTTTGCTTGTGTACAGATCTTGCAGTTCATCCTTACTTTCAAAGCACAAATTCCTGTCACAAACGCAGGAAATCCAGGGAGGTATAACATTGTTGAATATTTGTCTCTCTCTATATATATACACGATTGCAACATGCACATATGGATGGTAAACATATTTTGAAATACAGGCGATCAGTGGGAGGACTATATTATCTTTCCTATCTTGATGGCAATTTGCTTTTAGGGCGTGCTGTTGGAGGTGGGGGAGTATTTGTATTTACTAGAGCTCAACCTCTTGACTTGTGAGGAACAAGATTGATTTATCTTATGCCTTCCGAAGCACTTCTCCAGTGCAAACCGAAAACATGAATATGGAAGTGTTGAGAAACGAATTAAGGGTTCATCGCTCATTGGCCAAATGTGCATCGGGCAAGAAATTAGTTGCAAGCGGTTAAGCACGGCTGCCACATTCCTGAGGCATTTTGATTAGTTAAGCCATTGGGTAGCTCCCGTATAAAAGAAAGGAAATTAAAAAAAGACGAATGAATGAAAAAGAAAGAATCCAAATGTGTATTTTTATACATTTCTTTTACTCGATGGATATGTGATTCTATAGTAAGTTAATACAGAGAAACCATCGGAAGGTCGTTAATCTCTGTCGTTTCTATGAAAAAGACCTACTTTTTCCTTCTATACATATCTCATATTTTCTTTTCAAATATTTCAACGTACCTGGGACATGTAGAAGAGGAAATTTACAGATATATATATGCAGACTGAATTATTTGGTAATGGAAATTTAGAATATATTTTTGTTTAACGAAGCAAGCTATTCCAACGTTCTTTGAGGACCTTCTCCGCCTTTGCGCAAGAAATAGCCTGCAGTCTGATTCTTCCATCAATGGGTGTTTCCATAACAAGGCCCAGCCTGATCAATGTGTTCATTGCTTTCTCAACTGGCATTTCAACCTGCAATTTTTCCATCACGGTAGTTAAGGAACAACACATTCAACCACTGTGCTGCAGTTTTTCTAAGAGTAAATCCTCGTTACCTTTACTTTAAACGCGTCATACATAAATCTCTCACATTCCTCACCAACACTTCGGTGACAATTGATCTGCAGTATAAACAGTTCTTGGTGATCTACAGATTCTATACAAAAACTAGAATGCTTCCAAAGACAAAAAATGAATATACAGTTTTTCTTGTTAGGAAATATATGAACATACGGGAATGACCAAGTAATAAACTCTTGAAAGCCAAAAATTGCATTTCAAATAAAAGATTAGACAACGGAGTTCATGTCAGGAGTCTGTAGTGAGAAAAGGTTTTCCATTCTCTTTTTGTATTATTAATTGGTAGCAACTAATCAGCCTAGCTTGGAAAGGTTAAGTTACAGCACAAAAAAAGAATAGTTGAGTTGGATTGACAACATTTCAAAACAATATTTGCTCCGAGTATTTAAGTAGGTTGACAACCCATCTCTTAAATTAAATCTTTAAAATTGAATTCAAAAAATATTTTATCACAAAACAAAGATAGAAGTAACAGGATGCAAAAAGCTCACGAGAATGAATTTTTTGCATGATCTCAATGCAGACAATTAAAAAAGGATAAGAAGGCAGACCTGGCCATGCTTAACTTTAAGCAGGATTGCATACGTTAAAACAGCTTCCTTGTACTGCAATAAAATGATTTCAGAAGAAAAGAAAATTCGTCAGAAAAAATAATATACCATGCATATCAGGCTCAAATGGCCAACTGAAGGATAAAACAGATAGAGCAAAGTTGAGTTCTGATTTGCATAGGGAAAAAATGACTAATTCATGAATGCCAAATATTTCTTCCAAGTTGAAATTAACATTCTGAACTATGTCCCATATAGTTAACCATTAAACTACATAGAAAAAGTAATATTTGACGATAAAAATGTTGTTACCTTCTACCATTACATTCACAACTATAAAAGTAAGTACATGAGAAAAATTAAAGAATCTTTCACCTGCTGCTGTTCAGAAGCATCCAGAAGAAAATGAACTGAGCCAAAGCCACTTGCCAATGTTTTCTCATAAAGTGTCCTGTTAACAAGTAGCTGTATAATAGAATCCTTTAAGAAATTATAAAATGAATTAAAAGAGATACAGAATTTAATTAGATTAATGTAGTTGTAAACTTTAATCTTGACGCTATATGGAATACATTTGGTTAACTCACTTGATACCTATCCCATGTCTGTTTGTAACCCAGAGCCACACGAGTCACATATATTATCAGTGCAGTGATGGCAATTACATCAAGAAATATTGCAGAGCTGCATCACAGAGGGAAAAAAAAGTAATGTTCTATGAACTTCTCAATGCAACTTCAAAGCATTAAGCAATTTCAAGCACTGCTGCAAATCCAGAAGCGGCAAAAAATGAGCTTGGTCCTTTTAGAATTCTGATGTGGTTCTAAGCCTCGAAAGTAATAACAAAAGTAGTGTTCCTCTTCTTCTGACTAGCATCATGGACTCATCATTTTAAGACATAGTTATCCTCTTATAAATGTGAAAAATATCATATGCCATGTGCTAATATTTCAAAAACAATCATATGAATAATAAATCCATACGGGGAAGATAAGATATTTTCAAATTTGTAGTTGATGAAGTATGCTGAAAGTCCCAGTATTGTGGCCGCATCCAACCGTATCTACACGATCACGATATATCTCGTTTAGAAGTTTAATGTCAAACAAAATTAATTCCACAGATTACTGCAGCTTCAAAAGTAAGCCCTCACAACGGTATTGACAGAAACATGTAAGAAAAAGGTTTTTAGCTTGTACATACCGTATCTATGATACGGAAAGAGAGCTTTTTGTGAGGAAAAATGACCTGCAAATAGTTTGATAACAGTTTGAAAATTCATGTGGCAACAATAGACCCATAGAAAAATACGAGACAAGCATAACAGAGTATCAACAGACATGTCAGTGTTAGAAGTATTTACTGGTAGATCCGGGATAGGAATTCTCTCATAGATCTTTAATTGCAATGATGGAACGTCATCTTTATCCTGCGTGTTTCTGTCAATCACTTCCTCGGTATAAAGCAAAATCAATTCTTGGAATGCGGGCTCCTAATTAGGAAAGACATTGATATTCAAGAGTAATGTATACTTGACCTCGTTAACAATACTTTAGAAACACAAATTTAGTATACTGTTAAACGTGTTCAAATTTGTGCTTGACCATTTGCATGGGCAAAATAGGTTGAAACTTATACATCCATTCACCTATCTATGCTTTAGAATAAGAAATGGATAAAAAGTAGATGATGATTTTATGTATGAGGTATACCTGTAGGACAGACTGTGACAGAAGGATGGAAAAGGATGTTTTTAACATTTTCCAAATATTACTTCCGCAGTATTTTCTTGTGGCAGGTCTCCATATATCACTAAGTGATATCCTTGCTAAGGAAGTTGGCCTGAGTGAACAATTTTTCTATTATCGCAATATCTACCATAAAATTAACACTATATATATTATATATATATATATAAAAAATGCTAGTTACAGCCTTAAGAGAACAAATTGTTATGCATGTTGCTAGGCTGGCCTTTTTTTTTAGGGAAATTGGCTTTAACAATTAATTTTGTACTTCAATATTTCTCGTCAAAGAAGATAGACTTGTTTGAAGTTAATTTTCAGTAATCTAATTAGTACTTTTGTTATTAGAGCCTACTCCTCTTTATCCACCTCTATTGCATCCACCCTTGAGGTAAATGGACAGCATTCAATGTAAGACAACTTTCGGTACTGAATTAGCTAGAATTTATGCAATGGCAAAGTAAAAATATGTAGATCAATCTGACCTACAAGATATAATTTGGAACGAGTACTGGACTAATTTAATGAAAAAAGAAAATTATGAACCTATATAACATCTTTCTTTTTCATGCCAAATGATAGTTCATCTCAGACACTAACATCTTTTCTCCCTCCTAGGAGACGATGAAAATCAGAAAAAAGAGATAGCTATGTACAGAGAGAAGAGAAGTTAAAATGCCAAAAACCTTAAATGAGGCTCAGAAGCATTATTGTCACCATCAAGTTCAAAAGATGTTTCTGGCATAGAAGGTGCAAGTCCAATCCAAGTAAGCAACCTCCTGAGTAGCCTTCCTCGGGGTCCAACAGGAGACAGAAATCCTTCATAACGACTTACTGCCCTCTGTGCTGCAAGCCAAATAGGAACATCGCTATCTGGTAGGTATTCAATTTCCCGTTTCTTATCAGACGCTTGTCTATTATTAGAATATGAATTCCCGAAAAGAGGGAGTTCCACAAACCAATGTGCCACTTTCTTGAACCAATATTGTTCTTCTGGGGTCTGATAAGCATTAATAATAGCCTAACCAAGAATGAAGCATGTCAGGCCTAATAATATACTGTAAAATCTGTGAGTTTAAGACAATTAAAAAAATATGAACAATCTGCAAGATAGTCCTGGAAGCTGAACTGTATTCCGCAGTATTTTCTTCAAATTCATGGGATTGCGAGCTTCCATAACTGCCCCAACAGTTTTAGAGATCCAGAAGTTTATTTCCTTAATTAAGCTAACTAGAATTATTGGCCATTTTGATAAAAGATATTGATTAGCCCATTCCTAATGTAAGATCGGCTGTCTAACAAACAGTGATTGAGCAATCAAGGAAAGGCAGCTACCTTTTTTATCCATTTGCCAACTTTCTCCAGTGGTTTTGATACAAGGAAGAAGATTCCCCGTAGAAGTCTAGACTGTAAGTAATCCAGTTTTTCAACAATCAGTAGCCCTTTCTGTCTCTCAGTTGCATAACCCCTCCTGTAAGGGAAATTACGATAAAAGTAAATCATCTTTTTATATGTTGGATATTGAAAAATTTACCAGCTCAGCATTCTTCTAATATGGCAAGTTCAGTGCAGAAAAAGGCATGCATGTGGATATCAGTGCATAAGCGCCATCCAGTTGTAGATATTCCAGTGACATCACTTTTAACTTCCATAGTATGGTTCTCAATAAAACTTCAACTTCATACTTTTTCTAGTTACTAGAACTTAGAAATGTCAGTTTAAAAAAAAAAAACAATTCCAGAGCTTTATGTTAACATTAAGGGCTCGTTTGGTTCATGAAATAGCCTAAAACAGGGAGAGAATAGAATAGTTATTCCTAGCGTGGTTTCAAATTCAAATATGTTTAAATTTTAGTTGAATATGGTAAAAAATAACAAATTTGTAACCTTAAATTTTGATTGAATTTTTTATTATCAGCAATAGATATTTTTCAAATTTACAAAACAAAAATTTTATATTAGTAAATAATAGGTAATTATTTTATTACGTGGAATAGTTATTCATTCCTTGCTATTCTATTTTGTGGACCAAACAAGGCATAAAAGTATCAGTAGGATAAAAGTTACCTGAATATTATCGCATTGGATTCAGATGCCTTTTTCCAGTCCACATAAATTGGCAAAGTAAGTAGGTAATCCGAGTTCAAGGCAGAAGTCAACGTCAAATCCCCAGCTGATAACTCTTCAAACTGACCATTTTTAAGCAGCTGCATAAAAGCACGCTGGAATCGAGTGGAAACAGCAAGTCTACACTACGATTTTTTATAATTAGTCAGAATTTACATCACACATGAAACTAACTAAATATCAAGCTGACAAGAAATAGTTTATGTTTACCTGGATTCCCCATTTGAACATTTCTTCTGAGTTTTAGCTGAAGAACCTAAAATAGTCATTAAGTTCAGTCCAAAATTGAAATTCAATTTTATGTCAATTTCAGCCTTCTCCTCAGCATCCCTCTCCTCCACGTTCCCGATTCCATTGATGCTATCGCTGACAGAATCAGATTTGTCCCCATTAACTTCAGATTTTGCATCTGAACGGGCCAGCTTCTCATCACTCTTTTCGACATTGTCCAAGGCATTATTAAGGAAATAATCAGCTCGCATTTCCTCTAAAATGCTTTTGTGCTCGGCATGTAGAATAGAATCCAAGTGTCTGTAATTACACAAGATATTAAACCCCTAGAAACTGCAACATTGAAAAAAATGGGAGAAAAAAAATAGAAAGTATTGAAAAATCTAAACTCACGATAGTAAAGACGGATCACTCACGAAGAGAGAAGGAGAAATTCATTTGCTTCATCTTGAGAGTCAAATAACTTCAATACAATAGCATCCAAGAGCTCTGCCTTCGAAACTGGAATATACTTTTGCCTCGCCACTCGTATTTTCGAAATCCCCTTGTCTTCCTCCTCTTCTTGTCCTCCTGGAACTGGATCGTTCTTATCATTTTGCATCAATGTAACAACCTCTTTCATATCAAGAGTCGATTCTAGAGGCTCCTCCATGGATAATTCCTGGACTTTGAGAGAGCATAGAGGAATTTTGGAGATGGAGGCGATTTTCAATGCCAAACGGTAAGAGAAGTGACAGCGAACTGCCAGAGAATTTGACGAACATGATAGAGCAGTACTGACACCGGTGAAATTTCTCAAAGATAACATGGATCATGAAGGAATTTGGAAAACCTATGTATGTTATTTAAGTAAAGAGCAGCAAAATTTAAATTGCTGAAGCCGAAATTGAATTGAAAAGCTCCAAGAAGACATGGCGTTGGCGGGTCGGGAACATTTAACTGTTGGAAGAATATCTGACACGTGTGAACTTTTCTAACCCTGTCGTCCGCCAATTATTTGGATAAGGTAAAAAGGGCTCATATTGGACATGGGGGTCGGCTTTATTTTTAAGCTTCGGATTTAGGCCCAGTCAAATCCAAGTAGTCTTATTGGGCTTCAACTGAAAGAAGATGCCGCAACAGTCCCCCAACCCAAAAAAATAAACATTTGGATCCAAATATATAGAAATTTACTTTTCTGTCCTATTTGTCTATTTTCGTCTCTGTGATTTGTGTAATTTCCGGTACGGAAAATACCCTTTTTGGAATATTAGATGTCAATTATTTCTTAAATAAAAAGTTCTTTCGAGACAAAATCAACGAGCAAAGCAACCATATACATGTAAATCTTGAGCCACAAAGCATACCGTCCAGGAATTCGATATTCCCTAAACACGTTTGCTAAACCACTGATTTCTGATTAAAAATTTGATATATACTATCTGTTTTTTAATTAGTGAATAAATTCGTTATCGTGAAAACGCAAATTGAAAAATCAAATAAACGGAATCACAGAAAGCTCAATGCCACAACAGCTAAAGCAAAAAGAGAACAATATCAGCAAACAGAGTCGGCATTTTCACACTGCCTTTTCTTTGTATGGTTTTGCAATATCGTTCATATCCCGTCCTCATCACTTATCACCAACATGATCCTTATCAGTACAGATTCCAGAGCCTACTCTGACCAAGACGAGTATTCTACAATGGCCCACGCCCACCCAAACCAGAATAAAAACGGACGATATAGTTTCAGTGGCAGTATAAAAGCAGGCCAATAAATAGGTGCAGACCCAAACAACCTCTACAACTGTGACAATGGATAACCGGTATAATCACAACGGTGGCAATCCTTACCTCCAGATTGCACCGGTGTATGCTAATGGATACGGCCCATATGGCAATGGCGGACGTAAGTCTGATAGTAATTCTTTAGGTTTTGTAAAGTGTTAATTTTTTTTTATTTGTAAGGTGTTATAATTGTTAATCAATTGTTGTTTCAGGACCGATAAGTAGGATATGCGATGTGTTGAATCGATGTGGAAAAAGAGTGGATGACGTTACTAGGAAAGTTGAGATCTATGCTGATAACGTCTGGCATCATCGTAAGTTCCAAACCCATCTATCTATTAGATTTGTCCTTGTTGCTATTATAGTCCAAGAGCTTATAATCGCACACAAGCACTAATTGAGCAAGCACTTGATATGTTTATATATGATCAAATATGACTTCAGCAGCAGCGTAGTCTGATCTTGATTGCAATAACAGGATGTTTGCTGATACCTTGTGAAGAATTCATTCAATAGGAACACTCCATGAATTTTCTTTATTTCTTCTATTTTTTTTTTCTTTTTTTTTAATGAAAGTAAACATGGAATTTTATTAGAATGGTTGATTTTTTTTTTTTTTTTTAAAGGAAGAATAAGAATGTATGGTAATTTACTTTTTCTTCCTTTACTTGATAGATATGGTTTGTCTTTTGCCCATAAAGAAAAGAAAAGAAAAACAAAAAGAGCAGAATAATTGCTTTTACTTGGAGAACCATTTCTCCAATATGAGTTAGACCCAGCTAAAGGATATTCTACAATCCTTGATTTTATTATAGTTTCCAGACTTTAAGAATTATTGCATTCCAATTGACTATTTTCTCTTCTTGTGTACTTCAACCATTAGAAAACTGTTTCCATAGTTTATGAATTCGCTCTTGCGATTTGTGGTTATCACGTTTAATTTCTAAAGTTTAGAACTTGGGAAGATTTTGCTTTCTAATCACTTTAAACAGCAAAATAAAAGAAGATTTTGCTTTCTAATCACTTTAAACAGCAAAATAAAAAACAGAGCAAACTTCCCCCTTTCATTTTAACTTTAAAAGATTCTAACATGTGATCTTGTTTTTGGGAAACGACAGTGAAAGTTAGTGCCAGTTTAACAGATGCAGCAATGGCAAGGATTGCTCAAGGGACAAAGGTGCTTACTGAAGGAGGCCATGATAAAGTATTCCAGCAGACTTTTGGGTACTTGCATGGAGAGAAACTACTCAACGCCTATGTTTGCTATCTATCAACATCCTCTGGCCCTGTGATTGGGACACTTTATGTATCCAGTAAACGAGTGACTTTTTGCAGTGATTATCCCTTCTGTTATTATGCTTCTAATGGACAGCAACAATGGATGTATTATAAGGTATTACCTTCTAATTTATTTCTTATTGATGAATTTAGTATTTCAAATGATAGACTATCATCAAAATAGAGCAAGGACTTCAATAATGGATTAATTGAATAAACTTTCTTAAATATTAAAACAATGTTTTGCCAGTTAGAATTTAAATTAATTGGTTTGGAGCAAGAAGGGATAAGTTGAGTTTAACAATACTTAAATACTTGTTAACGCTTTTCAGCTTTATTGTAGCTTGTTAATGCCGACTGATGTGTAGTGCAGGTTTCTTTTCTATAACTAGTTTAATGCCTGCTTTGTCAGATTCTTTTTTCGCTTTTTAAATCTTTTTGAGAACTAGAGAACATATTCCATCACTTTGCCCATCCTCAGAGAATTTTCTTTCACAGTCAGCCCCTTTGTATTCTTATTTACCCGATGCAGATGACTAGACCTAACTTTAATATCAAAAGGTAAAAACTTACTAATTCATAAAGTAATATGATTCATGAACCTTCAGGCCTAGGGTTGTGTCTATCTCATTGAGTAATTAGTTTAATTAGAAAGTTTATACCATTTTATGTCTAAGCCACTCAAGTTGCGGTTTTGGTGGAAGAATTTGGGATTAAGTTGTCAATTCCAAGTCTTAACTTTTTTTCTTTTCATTAAGTGATTGGACATTAAACTTTAATTTTCCAATTATAACTGTCAATTTCTTTTGTAGGTGGTGGTGCAGCTTGACAAGTTGAGAACAGTGAATCCTTCATCAAGTAGAACGGACTCTTCTGAAAGATATATACAAATTGTAACAACAGATGGTCATGAGTTCTGGTTTATGGGATTCATATCATATGACAAAGCGCTTAATCAGTTAACTGAGGCTTTACAGCGCTCTCGTGGCTCTTCTGGTGGAATCTTTGCTACTGTGGCATAGATATAGGGCTTGTACTCTCTCCACCTCTCCTTAAAATCGCTAATGGTATGACAAAAGAATGCTCTAGGATAGAATGTACTGTAATAATTTAGGTGTGTGGTCATCCATGAATGTTGAGCTGTAATGTAACTAACGTTGTTGAATGCTTCAGTGGGTTGAGAATCTGCTTATGCAATGGTCTGGCGAGTACAACACAGAACATATAAATGTTCTGGTATAACAAAGTAACAAACTCCTGTGCTTGCCCAATTGGTCATTTTTGGCATGAAGCATGTGAAATAGAAATACTCAACTCGGTGGTTTTCCTTCTTATTAATTAATGACTTATTTTCATGCTTGAGCCTTTCCTTCTCTTAATTTTGGCTTAAAATGAAATGTGTGTAATTGAAATATTTGATTTTGATTATATCTGTCTACGATGTAGCAACTGCATATTGCATCAGGGCAATTGCAATGTTGTTGGAGTTGTGGGATTGGAATTATAAGATCGACAAAGATTCTCACAAACCCTCATTTTATCCTACTGATCTTAAAAATAAAAAAGAAAAAAAAAAAAAAAAGTTTGATTGGCACACTTTTATTTATTATTATCATTATTGGAAAAAAGACAATTAAAAGAAGATAATTATTTTGCGCAAGGTCAGTTCACTCAAATAAAATACACTCTTAATGAGTATAAGATTTGAATCATCAACCTTTTATTTAAGAATAAAAAGTATTAAAACACTTATCCCAATACTCAATAAAAAAAAATAATGTTTGCTCTTGATGATGAGATGGAATATAGAAAAATATTGTAAGAATAATAAAAAAAAATTAAAAAAATAACAGAAAAATTTTAATTAAATCAAACGGATGATTTGCCAAGTAAAAACTAGAGAATAAATAAATATTTTTAATCCTAAACTATCAACCACTCTAATCCTATCTTCACACTCTTCAATTCTTCAATTGCAACCTTCCAATTTGCCTATCAAAGATTGGCAGTTCTAATTTGGAAATATCAAATTGATGACTTATATGCATAAACAAAAAATAAGTTTGGCCCATGACGAATGTCAGAGAGTCCACACAAAACATAAAAATCTAGCGGAAGCACCGTCGAGGAAACCAATCGGCCCTTTGGGCTTCACTTAGCCACCCCTAACTGACGCACGCAACGGCAACAGCGAAGCTGCAAGAAGTCATGAAAGATTCCTATCCTATCTATCCGTCTTATTGTCGTTTTCTTTGACTATTTTTTCTATATACGTCTAACATCCCTCTTTTCTTCGTCCATCTACTCCAATAATATCAATCAACAAGATTCTTTCTTTACTTCATTCTTGAATCTCCACCAGAGATCGAGGAAGGAATTGAAGAAGGCAAATATGGCAACTTCTCTATGCCTCTTTACTCTCTTGTTATTTCTTGGGACGATTGCTCCCTCTCACTTGCAGGTAACTTAAAAGATCCGAAATCTTTTCTATATGATAAATTTTCGACTTTTTGAATATCTTCTTCCGATTTTGAGGGATTGAGGAAGTTCTGGAATCTCTTGAAAATTTGGATGGTTATGATCTTGTTTAGCGTAAGTTGACCATGATGTTTAATAAAGTTTGAAAGCTACAGCTACTATTTCAATTCCGTTTTGATTAGAAAACGTAAGCATTGATGAGAACTTTATACCCTTTTGCTGGAAGTTTGATCCTTTCTTGCAGATGCGTTATTGCTAACTCCTGTCTACGCTGAATATTCGTAATTTGAATTTCTATTTTGGTGTGGGGTTGTTTAATCTGTAGTTGTACTGTGAATTCTTTTATTTAGCTTTGTTGTATATGCTAAAATTTCATGTACTACAAGTGTACTCAAAGAATATTGCACTCAGTTTCCAAACAAATGAAAAAAAAAAAAAAAAGGGAAGATATTGCCTTCAATTGAACCAAAATATGAAAAGGAACATATCCATTCATGCTACTGTAAACGTCACTAATAGTCAACACGAAGCCTCATGAATTACTGTAACATCTAATGAATGAATAGAATCTTCTTTAGTTTGTGGACTTTTGCCTATCAGAAGATGTTCCTATTGTTATCTTTTGCTTTTTGTTTTGCATACCTTGAAGTGGATGAGATTCATTATCAATCTTCTTCCTCTATGCTTTGAGTTTTGAAGGTTACAGTCTAATTTTGAATGTGTCAAATGTTATGTTGCCAACAGGTGATCGCTGAGGCACCAGATTCCAAGCTGAAGCTTAGCTCTAGGGTCCTTCAGGTTTTTTCTTTTTGACAATATCACAAGCATCACGAATTTTGTTCCAAATTATGACTACTTCATATTTTCATTTTGCTTCTGCATGCAGGATTCAATAATTAGAAAAATCAATGAAAACCCCAACGCTGGATGGGAAGCTGCCATGAATCCTCGATTTTCCAATTATACTGTAATAAATCTTCAACTTTTGACAGATTGAGATTATTTCTTCAGTTCTTTTTCCCCAATATGTTCATAGGTCACACATTAGGAAGACACTAGTTTCTGATTGCTAATATTTCTATATTTTGATGCATAGGTTGGCGAATTCAAGTATCTTCTTGGAGTCAAGCCAACTCCCAAAAAGGAACTGAGGGGTGTTCCTCTTGTGAGTCATCCAAAGTCCTTGAAGTTGCCCAAGGAATTTGATGCAAGGAGTGCTTGGCCACAATGTAGCACCATTGGAAGAATTCTAGGTCAGTTGCTTACTTGGTTCTCTATTTTCACAGTCTTTTTTCTTCTCTTCTCAAGGTGCTGATGCTTTCCACTCTTTATGGCAAATGCTGGATCAATTTCCTAACCACAGATCAGGTAAAAGATCAGGTTTTATCAACTCGAATCAATTCAACTAAGTGAGGTATACATCTTCTTACTCCATCTGTATTTGATAATACAGGGTCATTGTGGATCTTGCTGGGCATTTGGTGCTGTTGAATCACTATCTGATCGGTTTTGCATCAATTTTGGCATGGTAACTGAATGTCCTGAGCTAGTTGACTACTTGCATTGTCCATTACAAACATATACTTTGTTTTACTGCAGAACATGTCTTTGTCTGTCAATTGCAAACATATGCTTTGACTACTTACATTGTCCATGCAAACATATACTTTGTTTTACTGCAGAACATGTCTTTGTCTGTCAATTGCAAACATATGCTTTGACTACTTACATTGTCCATGCAAACATATACTTTGTTTTACTGCAGAACAATTGTCCATGCAAACATATACTTTGTTTTACTGCAGAACATATCTTTGTCTGTCAATGATCTCTTGGCATGCTGTGGCTTTCTGTGTGGAAATGGTTGTGATGGAGGGTATCCACTCTATGCGTGGAGATACCTTGTCCACCATGGCGTTGTCACTGAGGAGGTACAAGTTTCTGTCTTTGCCTATTAACTCCGGTTTCAGTTTTACTCTGTACTTGAGATTGGCTAAAGGCAAGTCTAGGGTTATGATATCACGTTTTCTATGATGTAATGACCTAATGAAGATCAATACTTTAATCTGATATCTTATCTTGGTAGATATAATTTTATAATAATGAGCAAATTTTCTCACAGTGTGACCCATACTTTGACGACATTGGCTGTTCCCATCCTGGTTGTGAACCTGGGTTCCCTACTCCAAGGTGTGTAAGAAAGTGTGTCGATAAGAACCAGTTCTGGAGGCAGTCAAAGCATTACAGCGTCAATGCTTATAGAATCAGATCAGATCCCTATGATATCATGGCAGAGCTTTATAAAAATGGACCAGTAGAGGTTGCTTTCACTGTTTATGAGGTAAAATATGCACTTATAAAATATGAATTCAAGTTTATATCTGGGACATAATTCCATATAGTAAGTCTCACTTGGGCTGCTTATGATTGCTGAAAAACTTTTAGTATAAACAAACACCCCTTGAAGTATCAATAAAATGTTTCTAAAATTTAAGAAAAAACAGAGAGTTTACAAGTTCATATCTGTGCCTGTTCCCACCCTGCTACATTCTTCGATTATAATTCATCAAGGTTTGACTTCTGAGCTATGAGTCTGTCCTTTTAATGTCTTCTGACAGTTTTCCTTAATGCTAAAAGCAAGTTGCACATTATTAGAAATCAGTGACTTGCACATTTTACAAATTATTACTTGGACATTGCATGAAAACAGCTTTGGGCAGGATTATTTGACTCTAATTATTTACCATTTTACAGGATTTCGCACATTATAAATCTGGAGTTTATAAGCACATTACAGGTGATCAACTGGGAGGACATGCAGTTAAGCTCATCGGGTGGGGGACTTCTGATGATGGGGAAGACTATTGGGTATGTGTGACTAACTTGAGTTTTCTTTTTCAGACTTGTCGCTATAAACTTACGAAGATACTAATACATCTTCTTTATTGTAGCTTCTTGCAAATCAATGGAATAGAGGCTGGGGTGACGTATGTTCCTAACAAAAGTTTATCCCTACTTAATTACTGTAGGAAATTTCTTTTTTTCCCTTAAATGCTCATGAATTTCATTTGAATGTCAGGATGGTTACTTCAAGATAAAGAGAGGAGTAAATGAGTGTGGTATCGAAGAGGATGTGGTTGCTGGTTTGCCTTCATCAAGAAATCTTAATCTTGTTAGAGAGGTTGCTGGCACAGATATTGTTGGGGATGCTTCTGCTTGATATCAGATTATTATACCACAAGTAGTGTAATTTATACGCCAGTTTATAGGGGCCAGAGATTACATCTGTGCCAAACAGAAAGAAAAACTGGGTTTGTAAAAGTATCTTGTATTGTGGTTTGTATCAACTAGATATTTGTTGCTTATTCTTGAGAACTGAATAGTCTTCAAGTGTTATATATTACATCTCATAGTCATATGTGATATGAGATTCAGCTACTTGCTGCATTTTATGTTTCACGCTATTATCATCAATCTTCATTAGGCATGTGGGATCTTAGAAGATAGGAAGCTTGGGCATGAATAGCTCTTTGGATAAGCAACATGGAAAGGGTAAACAGTTTATATTTGTTGTGAATAAAAATATGGAAGACATATAATATTTTGACTTCAAATTTGTTATTAGCATAGCAATGAAAATTGGGCCTTCATTAACCAGTAGCTGTTATTTCCAGAGATGGAATCTACGTTGTCGGAGCAACTCATGGAGTGTTTGTTTGTTTTGGTGAGATAGTACATTCATTACTATTGAAAGAGATTGGTTGTCGTTTTACTCTTCCTTTTTCCTTTTCTTGGTGGTGGTGGTGAAGTTAAAAACCAGTGAAATGTTATCTTGTAAACAATAAAATTATTATTTGTAAAGTTTTAAAAATAAATACAAGGAGAAATAATAAATTGGTCGGTGAGTTATAATTAAGTTAACACATGAAAATCTTTATAAATAAATAAATAATATTTGTTGATGTGTGGAATAAAAAACGCTTGTTGTGCTTGTAATTTAAGTTTGTTGTAACCAAACAAAGAAAAAAAAAATTCTAATCCCTTACTACTATTATTTTTAATTGTACATTTTATAATATTATTTCACGTGATAGCGTGGGATGAATTAAATATATAAATATTTATTTTATTATCATTTTTTTTTTCTTTTGTCCTTGTTAATAAGCAATGTGTACTGAACAATATAAAATATTGGAAAGACTGAAAGAAGAGCAAAAATGCAGTCATCTAGAATTGTCGAGGAACATGTGATCACAGAGCGAGTTGACTTGACTGTACATTTTGGGGCCGTTCAAATTCTAAACGTGGTTAAACTTTACACTCTAAAATAAATAATAATAAAATATATTATAGAGAAGAGATCTTGACCGGATAATGCTTACATTCTTCCTTGATGTATTAAAATAAAAAAAAAAAACACACAAAATAATAATAATTAAATGGAGAAAATCATAAATAATAAGTGTGATATATTATTAGTAATAGAGACAAGTAGTGGAAATTTTAATTTTATTTTATCTTTGCCAGAAATGCAAGAGTCAGGAATCACACGTAAAATAAAATAAAAAATAAATATAGAAATATAAAAATAAAAATAAATGATTAAAAGAATCATTATCACCATACTTTATTTTCACACATCTTTCTAATTTATTTCTTTAATTTTTTTCCCTGATTGCTACATAATATTCAATTATATTAATTATTGTAATTTCTGCCCTTACTGAGCCTTGTAATTAGATTTCCAATCTACCTCTTTTTTTACTAAGAAATTATAATTATATATTTTTAAAAATTATATTTTTTAATATAATATAATATTATATATATATATATATTTTATATATATATATATTATATATATATAGGAGTACATTGCTTACGATATCAAAAAAATTGGAGTGTTAAGCTCACAAAAGAAATAAATTTTAAAATACTTAGTTGACAAGGAAAATGATATTTATGTTATTTTTTTAATTTAATCATTTGTTGAGTTAACATTAATATTAATATCAATTAATATCTTTTTCCAATGCTTAGGTATCATAGTATAAAAAAATTGAAATGTTTAGGTGGTTAAAAAAAATAATTTTTAAGGTGTTAAGTTGGCAAAAGAAAAAAACGAGTCTTATGTTATTTTTAATTTCAATATTATTTGAGTTAACATTATTACTAATGTTATTAATAATATTAAATATTCTTCAGTTTTTCAATAATTAACTAAATAACTATTAATATTATTAATATTTCAAATAATATTAAAATTTTCAAATTTTATAATTTAACTAATAATATTATACGTTCTTTATTTTTTAATAATTAAATAAAAAGCCATACACGTGGCTAATTATTTTAAACTTAATGATATTGAAAAGCCATGCACACAGCAAACATTTGTTGCGTTTGTATTTCTAATCACCTACTTTAGGTGTGCTGAACTTTTTTTTTTTTTTTTTTAGACATGTATTTCACATTTTTTAAAAAATAATTGAAAAATATACAGTTTAATATTTGAATATATTAAAACATACTGTGTAAATTGAAAAGTAATAAACATTTACAAAACCTAATTATTATATATTTTTTTGAATGGAAAGAAAACCTAATTATAATATAATATATAATATCTATTAAACATGATCTTCATTGATTTAATCCACAACAAAAACAAATCCTTAATAACTAAAAGTCAAGGATTACAAGTTATCCAATCTCATTGTGCTGGGGCCTAAACAATTTTGACCTGTCTGCACATTTATTGTCTGAAAATTAGTCATTTATTGTCATATGGGATTTTATTTTAGCATGATTGGTGGGATGGGGCCTAGGACAGTATCTTAACTTTACGCTAATTCGGTATATATATTATCCTTAAGCTCTTCCTCAGAAAATATCTTATTTAAAAATTTCATTTATATCGAGTTTTTAATCCACTTTGTTCATCGATGAAGAATGAGATTACAGTTTAGAGAATTAATCAGAGTCAATCGGTATTTCATTAAAAATATATTAAATAAATTTCAAATTGATAATTTTTATGGAATTAATAAACAATATTGGGTGAATATTTGCCTTTTAATTCAATCACCCGGTGCAGTCCAAAAAGAAACATACACTGGTTGAATTTTTGTTATTTTTATCAGGAAAATTAATTTATTTTACTCTAATAACACATATCAGAAAAAATTTAACTTATCAAAATAATTTAATTCGAGCAAACATGCTCTTCAAAACACTTAAACCTAACCTGAAAAAGTTAAGAAAAAAATATCTCAACAGAGCAAAACCACAAAGGACATCAATCAGGTATCTTATTGAGATAAAAAGAAAGTACAAAAGAATATATATATGGTGCTATTTCATAAATAAAATCAAACGTTAAAATCATATTAAAAAAGATTCTGCAGCATTCATTTTCTTCTTAGTTAAACAGTTTGTAAAATGATTATATTTTCTGTTGAAAAAATTGATTGAATTTTTATTTATTAATAAACTTGAATACAATTACAGAAATCATTATGTGATTTTTATGCCAAATGCTAATTTATTTTTATAATTTTTTATTTTTTTATCAATTAATATTTTATATTTATATCTAGTTATTCCGGTTGTGAGCTTTAGACATGGCAGATTAACATTAGCTAGAAAGTCCACTATTAATTAAAAAACTTTCAAAAAGTATAACTTAGCTTTTCTTATTGGTTGATTTGACCATGTGATTAAGTTTCAAAATTCGACAACAAGAGCGTTAAGTTACTGAATTGATATTGGATTTCCTGTTAAATGCTGACATGTCATATGCGGAGTGTTCACAGTTCACATTATCAGATTTAACTGTTCATACTATTATAAAAATTAAATAGAAGATATCAATTAATTAGATTTTTTTTTTGGTAAGGTATCAATTAATAAAATCCAAAAAAGCTATAAGAAATTATCATTTGCTTGATAATTTATACATATTTAGTTTTGATTATCTTTTTTTTTTAATGTATTTTTCAATTATAATGTTTCAATTATAAAACCAACCCGAAAACAGTTAATTGGTTGATATATTATTAGGATAAATTGTTTCAGCATTATAAAACCAACCCTAGAAAAGACAATAATTTGGTTTGATTATATATATATTATATACCCATCATAATATATTGGGAATTGTTTTTTTTACAGGGAGGTACCATATACAAATATATAGAAAATGACGTAAAGCGTAGTATCATTTGAGATGCCGAGCATTAACTTTCAAGAAATTAAATATAAAATATATTCCTAATAACCCGGATTATAGTTAAGGTGGCGGCTTGTGAATTGTGTTGGACGGTGTAGGGCAATCCTCAGCCACACAGAAAAGAATATCCACTGCAAGGCACCACCACACAACCCCTTCTAAGCCAACAAAAAAGAAAAAAAAAAAATAGAATTAAAATAACGAACACGCTTTCCACGTTTCTCTGTTGGCAACAATAGGCGGAAAGGTGCACCAAGGACAGAGTTCAAGGTCCTGGCTAAAAAGATTAGAAACCGAAGAGACGACGAATGATGAATTGAAAATTGTAAAACCTCGGTCCTTCTGCAGAAGAAAGAATAATTACCGGAGTCTTTTCTTTCGCACGCTCACTAGCCAGTAAAAAAAGCAAAAGATACAATAAAAATCCTAAACAGAGTATAATATTATTATTCCTGGATAAAATATTCAATATAGTACTTCACGCATCTGAGGTTCGTTTTGCCAAATAGCTCGACCGCTGTATAAAAATATCCATCATACTCTATCCCGTCTCTCTTTTCATCTCATTTCTTTTTCACCAATTTAGCCAACACCTGTGAAAACTGCACCCTGCATTTTCCTATTCCTTCTACTTTATATTTTTTTTTTTTTACAGTGGTCCATATACAAATATATAAAAATGCGAAGCGTAGTTCATGAGATCCAGCATTACTCAGAAATAAATAATAAAAAATCCAACGGGTTAAGTAGGTGGCGGCTTGTGAATTGTGTTGGACGGTGTAGGGCATCCTCAGCCAACAGAAAAGAATATCCACTGCAGGCACCACCACACACACCCCTTCTAAGCCAAACAAAAAAAGAAAAAAAAAAAAATCAGAATTAAAATACGACACGCTTTCCACGTTTCTCTGTTGGCAAATAGCGGAAGGTGCAGAGGACAGAGGTCAGGTCTGGCTAAAAAAGATTAGAGAAGAGACGACGATGATGATGAAATTGTAAACCTCGGTCCTTCTGCAGAAGAAAGAATATTACCGGAGTCTTTCTTCGCACCTCACTAGCCAGTAAAAAGCAAAAGATAAATAATCTACGAGTATATATATATTCCTTGGATAAATACAATATAGTACTCGCCATCTGAGTTGTTGCCTAGCCGAGCTGTATAAAATATCCATCATCTCTATCCGTCTCTCTTTTATCTCTCTCTTTTCACATTTCTGCAAACTTGAAACTGCACCTTGCTTTTCCTATTCCTTCTTCTTCTTGTTTTTCCTTTAATTAGCCTTTAATACTCGCCTAATTACACATTTGCATGAAGCATTGGTCTGGTTTGGGCGCTGTGAAGTTTTGGGATTATTAAAATTATATAGTATTATATGAAGTAAATTGAGATAAAGGTAGGAGTGGTGGTTGTGAGGTGAATTTGATAATTTATTTATCTTTTGGTTAGTGGATAATAGAGTGGGTATAATTAAAAATAAAATTACAAACTATAAAAAAGGAGAAGCTATGTCGATACCCAAGGAGTTGGAGCAGGTGATGAGGGGTAGAGGTGGATCAGTTTTGGGAAAGAAGACCATTTTAAAGGGCGACCATTTCCCTGGCTGTCAAAACAAGCGACTTACTCCTCAGATCGATGGCGCTCCTAATTACCGTCAGGTTCTTTTTCTTTATTTTTATTTGGTACTTTCTTTTTTATTGCTAAATTTCGAAATGTCCGAATCTGCACATTGTTTTGTTCCTGAGTTTTCTTCTTTATGCCAGATTCGTTTGGCAAAATCAGACCCATTCTTGATTAGAAAGAAAGAAACTGAGATTTGGTTGGCAAAATTCACAATGCGTGTAATGTGAAATTTGTTATGCGATTGCCAAATTGTTTTACTATTTGCTTCCAGTTAACCACCTTTGCATGTACATGTTTATTTTACTTGTTTGACTTTATAATTAGATGATAATAATTATTTATTTTTACTGGAGGAATATTAAGGGTTTGGCTTCCATTACTACTTGATATGTAAGCTATAAGATTTTGTTATGCTTCTATGGAGTGCTTTTGAATGTAACTTTGAACTACTTGTAGATGAAGATGCATGCGCACATCTGCTTTCAAGGCTTTTTGGTTTGTTGATAGATTTGTATGTTGTTTCTACAATGTCTTTAATTATGCTGTATTGTATGAGTTATGCTTATGTAATGATTAATTTATGATGAATCTTTCTTTTTTTCTTTGATTTTCGTTTTCCCTATTTATGGTTTCTTTGACAGGCTGATTCATTGCCTGTACATGGTGTTGCAATTCCAACAACTGAGGGAATTCGGAATGTTCTTAAGCATATTGGAGCGCAAAAAGATGGGAGGCGAGCACAAGTACTTTGGTTTAACCTTCGTGAAGAACCGGTAAGGCTATTTGTCGTCATGCAATTTATGTTCTTTTTACCAGTGATGAATCTTATTGCTTGGAACTTACTTTCTATTTGGATAATCATTGAGTTACAGAACTGCGATACTTGATCATTTACATTTTAAATGGTCTAGTCAATGAATTCTCATTTGTCATTTTCACTCCAACTGTGGAATCCTAATGATTTCATATCGTGAATATTCGATGGCCTCTTTTGTCGTAATGCAGCTAACGGAGGCTTCATTTGCTAAACGTTATTGATCAGGATAAGTCAAAAGACATTGCCTTTATATTTGGCTCCATCTCACCCTAAATAAGCATTATAATGATCTCTCTTACGTGTCCTTCAAATCCGAATTCCTCATTATAATGATTTTGTATCAAGTTTGGCAATATATTGAAATTTGAAGAAGGGGCTTTTAGTGCTAAACGTTAGCATGTGGAAACTGCACAACGTTTTTCTTTCATACATTCCTGAGTCATAATGAAATGCATAGATCATGCCTGGAAATTTTGTAAAAAAAACCACATTCTTGATGAGCGCTTTTTCCAGCATACTCTTGTATGGGTGCTGACTAACTAGAAAAATTATATACAATGCACTTAAATTAGTTCTCATGTACAACTTTATGCTAATAATCTTTTGACAACTTTTTTTCATTACGTGAATTTAGAGTGTGTTGGATTCATGTGTCTCAACTCTCTCTCATACCCCACTGGCTTGAAACAGGTGGTTTACATTAATGGACGTCCTTTTGTTTTGCGTGATGTTGAAAGGCCCTTCTCCAATCTTGAGTATACGGTATGCGATTTTTGAAGTCATTTACTATTGATTTTTGATTAAGCAGGAGGTTTTTTTAAAAAAATAATATGTTTGCATGAATTAAAGAAAACTACTATGTGTTCATGCATGTTTCTGGCTGATAATAACTTATTTCTTGATAGTGATTTTTTTTTTTGTATTAAATTAGGGAATCAACAGGTCTAGGGTTGAGCAGATGGAGGCTCGATTGAAAGAAGATATCCTGATCGAAGCTTCAAGGTGCTTCCTTTGGTTGAATGCTGTGTTGATCTCTGGTGTCTTGCAATATTTTTTAATTTTTCCTGATTACTTTTTTTCTGGATGGTAAGTTTTATTTGTATGTCATGGGCAGATATGGAAATAAAATACTTGTCACTGATGAACTACCAGATGGTCAGATGGTGGACCAGTGGGAACCTGTGTCACGTGATTCTGTCAAGACGCCGCTGGAGGCATGAGCAGTAGAACTCGTTCTGCTTGCAGAGTGGCAAAACATGATTAGTCTATTAATTTTCTAACTTCCTGTCTGGTTCCTTTGATGCAGGCAAACGAGGAACTGCAATTGGAGGGCTACCTTTTTGACTATGAACGTGTTCCCATAACTGATGAAAAATCACCAGAAGAGCAGGATTTTGATACTTTAGTGAGTTTTAAATCTTATATTAAAAGTCTGATTGATTGGTTGCTTACTTCAGAAATCATGTGTTGATACTGTTTGAATAAATTCACTTGTTGATTACCTAGGCATCATTTTATCACCTTGTGGAAATTTTAGGCAACATTTTTTTTTAAAATATATTTAAAACTTTCTTTGCATGACCAGAATTAAATTATTTCCCCATATAACTTTGTCTTTCATTTAAAGGGAACTTGTGAAAGGGGATTCTTTTGTGAGTTATGTCCCGCAATAATAAAGTAATAAGTAATCCAGATTCTTTCTTAAATTGGATTCTGATTTGGAAATTGAGGATCTTTATAACACTCTGGTGCGAAACTAGTTGATCTGACAACCCAGCTTCATGAACAATTACATTAAATGAGATGTAACGTGGTGAAGTTAGAGTTCCTTTTTTTCGGAGTATCTTTTTCAGAAAGATAAATGAAAAGGGACTTATTTTGAAATATAATCGGACCAATAAAATTACTGATGTGTGATAGAGTTGTGAAATAGTCTACGGATTTGTACAGTCAATATCATCTTCTATATGAGAGCATGGTTCTGGATATACCTGGAGTTTTTCTTTTTATTGGGTCTGGCCTTAGGACCATTTGTAATTTAGGCCATGCTTATGCATGTAATGGTTTTTGCTTTTTGTCGTAAAGAATGCTAGGGTTTCACAATGTTTGTGGAAAATGATCAGCACAGTGTTTCTGAATTCCGTTTGCTAATGCTGCTGTACCACTTTTCCTTTCTCATATTTTTAGGTTGATAGAATTTATGGGGCAAACTTGAATACAGAAATAGTTTTTAACTGTCAAATGGGACGTGGGCGGACTACCACTGGGATGGTTATAGCAACCTTGGTTTATCTCAACCGAATTGGAGCTTCTGGTAAGATTGTCACTTTTTCCACTCTTTATTTCTTCCCCCACTATCTTTTTATGGGTCAGAATTTTTATTAATGCAATTTTTACAAATTGATGTTTTTTAATCATTTATTCTCCATCTTTGCTGTGTAGCTGTTTATTAGTTGCTCTTCTCCCTTGTTTTAAATATTTCTTTCAATAAAAAAAAAAGTTCTCACTTTCTTCCGAATTTCAAGTTTGTGATTACTGTGTAGGTCAATCAACTGTAATGTTAGTTACTGGCTTTTGATTAGATGATCAGGAGAAGATTGAATTATGAAGCTGATTAGAGTAGATTATCTTACTTCAGTGCTGTTCACATCATCGTGGAATATTTTAACTAGTTATTACCATATAACACGACATATTTAGACCCAACTCTTATTGCAGAGCAGATTGGCCTGTTCTAGAAATGTCATCTGAAAATGTATCTCTAAGTTATCCTTCTTTACCCAAAATCATACAAGTTAAGATTTCCCAACATAGGTATCTAATCCCTGCTGTGCTGAATGCCTGAATCATATCAACCATGGTATGAGATATGGTACCTCAGAGCACAAGCTGACCTGGAAAATAAATGATATGCAACTTTTGGCTGGGAAGATAAGTGGAAAAAATATGTTGAAATTAAGTATTCAATGACGTTTTGCCATTAAACTTCTATCCTGAAATGGTACCCAGATTAGGAGTTAGGATAGTCTAATAGAACAATTTGTAACTGACAGCTGCTTTTATTTTTGATAATGATGTGCATGTGATGAGCAATTGGAAAGCTATCTAGTGTTTCGTTTGAACAAAATTTTGAATTGGTCTTCTCAGATCACAAATGAACTGTTTTTATTAGTCTATCCAAATATGTTAGGTTTACATAATTACTTTAACCATGATAACTTTTGATGTTGTATTTATTGTCCATGTAAAATAGGTATTCCAAGAAACAATTCAATCGGAAGAGTTTTTGACGCTGGTTCTACTGTTGCTGACAATTTGCCAAACTCAGAGGAGGCAATTCGTAGAGGAGAGTATCCAGTTATAAGAAGCTTGACCAGGGTTTTAGAGGTAACTAATATTCACTGTTATCGATCCTTTTTTATCTTTTAATATTAAGGATTTGGCATGCTTGAGATTTTCTTAATTATTGCTGTATTTTAGGGTGGTGTTGAAGGCAAAAGACAAGTGGATAAAGTCATTGACAAGTGTGCCTCCATGCAGGTATATGTCATGATACATCTGTGTTTAGACCTATAAGCAGCACAAGATTTTTCTTTTTTCTTTTTCTCCTCCTTCTCTTCCATTTAGATTTCACCTAAATAGAGTGTTTGCATTACAGAACTTGCGTGAAGCAATTGCCAGTTATCGCAATAGCATTCTTCGCCAACCAGATGAGATGAAGAGAGAGGCGTCTCTTTCATTTTTTGTCGAATACTTGGAAAGATATTATTTTCTCATATGCTTTGCTGTATATATTCATTCAGAGAGAGATGCACTCCGTTCTAGTTCTTTTGTCCATAGCAGTTTTGCTGACTGGATGAGAGCACGGCCTGAGCTGTACAGCATAATTAGGAGGTAAGATACTTGCGGTAGTAGTACTGGTAATTATTACTAGTATAAATTCTTGGGTCTCTAGTACATTCAATTGGATATGTGACTTTTAACTCACCGAGAGATTGAAATTATCTAGGACTTGCTCAGTTATATGAACATCTTTTCCTTTCTCTGCTTTTAGTTTTTGAATGCTGACTGTTTAGATTAGTAATATGATTTTGAACTCGATGATTTCTAAGGTAGTTTCTGATAGCTTAATTCTCTGCAATTGTATAGCTGGACCATCGGCTGATCTGCAACAGTGTTGAGTTGAACACTGGTGCATGGGTGGACCACAGTTTTAGCCCAGAATCATTTGGTTTTTTCATTTTCATTTTTTATTACTTTTGCTCATTTTATGATTTAATCTCCTCTATGATCTGCAATTTTGGTGGTTCTGGAAGGTGGCACTTGATCTTCACTATTATGTTAAAATTTTGGTCCATGTTACAGAATAATGTGCTCAGATCTATGCATTTGTTTTTATCTGCATGCTATATGGATTGTGGTTTCTTAACCTTATCTTGAAAGGCTAAAGTGTGGACGGCTAAGGACCAACATTCATCATACCGATTAGTGTTTGGAATTTGCATGGACAAGCATGAGAGTGTTTCCTGCATGCTATATGACTATCAGAGTGGTGCTTTGTATTATCTTGATCGTGTCCTTGTGAAACTTCATTTGTTCACTTGATAATTATTATACTTGAGAAACTTGATATAGTTCAACCGCGAACATACAAATTATTAATGGTTAAATATAAATTTTCAAATATTACAAGTCTGTCACATTCTTATTAGCCCCTCCATGCATGCTGCTCTGATACTTTTTCCCCTAGAAAAAAAGACATCCAAATATGCCCGTCTCTTTAAACTGCAGACCATAGGGAACTTAGTTTGCTGCAACTATTCCATTTTGTAGGTTGCTCAGGAGAGATCCAATGGGTGCACTTGGATATGCAAAGAAAAAACCATCTCTGATGAAGATTGCTGAATCTGCTGATGACCGCCCTCATGAGATGGGTGTTGTTGCCGCTTTAAGAAATGGTGAAGTTCTCGGAAGTCAAACTGTTCTAAAGAGTGACCACTGTCCTGGTTGTCAAAATTCAAATTTACCAGAGAGAGTGGAGGGTGCACCAAATTTCAGAGAAGTTCCTGGATTTCCTGTTTATGGGGTTGCAAATCCAACTATAGATGGCATTCTCTCTGTCATTCAAAGGATTGGCAGCTCCAAAGGGGGTCGCCCTATTTTTTGGCACAACATGAGGGAAGAACCTGTTATCTACATCAATGGAAAACCATTTGTACTCCGTGAAGTTGAAAGACCATATAAAAACATGCTGGAGTACACGGTAAAGATTATCACTTTCCTATTTATATAGAGTTAGTCTTTGTTGAAAGGGCCCAAGAGTTTACTTATTCATTGGCTTGTTTCTTGTTCTTGCACACTAATAAGAGGCATTCTAAGCATATGCTATGTCTTATTCCTAAATACCAAGATGTTACATCTTACACAAAAACACACATACCCAGGTGATACTCACACAGCAGAAGTAACACAATGAGCCTGGCTGATGTAATCCCTTCTCTCACTTTGGAACGCCCCTCGGTAGACCTGCATCGATCAATGTTAAGAGTGGGAAAGCATTGGGCCTGGATAACTGAATGATTCCCGTACTCTCACTTTTTAGGAATGGAGGAAGGGTTGTTCATATTACAGTGGAGTAAATTATGTTTCTATTATGGGCACTTAGGATTGTACATGACTTTTCTATTGGAAGAAACTGTGCTACATGTCTAGGGCTTTCTTTCTTTCCACTTCTTTTTTTATTTATTTATTTTTATGTCGAGTAGAACTTCTGCACGGCAATTGCTCCATATTGAAGTGTGAATTTTTCTTTGATTTTTGCAAACTGTGTTCAATTTTTCTCTTTCCTGATTTCCATGTATGGTTGGTGAATCTGAAATTTTGGTTCATGCATTCAGGGAATTGATCGTGAAAGAGTGGAGAGAATGGAAGCTAGACTAAAGGAAGATATCTTACGAGAAGCTGAACGCTATGGAGGTGCTATAATGGTCATTCATGAAACAAATGATAAGCAAATTTTTGATGCTTGGGAGCATGTGGATTCTGATTCTGTTAAGACCCCACTTGAGGTCTTCAAATGCCTAGAGGCTGATGGTTTTCCCATTAAGTATGCACGTGTGCCAATCACTGATGGTAAAGCTCCCAAAAGTTCCGACTTCGACACCCTGGTGATAAACATTGCTTCTGCATCCAAGGATACTGCATTTGTTTTCAATTGCCAGGTTGAAGTTTTCCTTCTTTCAGTTGTACACATGCATGGAGATCTTCATCAGGATCTGCGAGCTGTATTCTGTTGTGCTCAACCTTTCTTTCTTTTAACTGAATCCTTTTCTGAAACTTTCAGATGGGAAGGGGAAGGACAACCACTGGGACTGTTATCGCATGCCTTTTGAAACTTAGAATAGATTATGGGAGACCAATTAGAGTCCTGGTTGATGATACGACCCGTGAAGAGGTGGATAGTGGCAGCTCAAGTGGTGATGAAACTGGAAGCAATGCTGCCTCTTCCCCTGCAAGTAATGCTAGAGTAAGAACCGGAGCAGAGCCAGGTCGTGCTTTTGGCATTGATGATATCCTACTGTTGTGGAAGATAACAAGATTATTTGTCAATGGTGTGGAATGTCGAGAAGCCTTAGATGCAGTCATCGATAGATGTTCTGCACTGCAGAACATTCGTGAAGCTGTTCTGCATTACAGAAAGGTTGTCAATCAACAACATGTCGAGCCGAGGGTAAGGAGGGTGGCATTGAACCGTGGTGCTGAGTACTTGGAGCGGTACTTTCGATTAATTGCTTTTGCAGCCTATCTTGGAAGTGAAGCATTTGATGGATTTTGTGGCCAAGGAGCAATGAGGATGACGTTTAAGAGTTGGTTGCATCAGAGACCAGAGGTCCAAGCAATGAAATGGAGCATAAGATTGAGGCCTGGGCGATTTTTCACTATCCCTGTATCTTTTCTTTTGCCTGCTAATTTAGGATCTTGGTTAATTATATTTTTCTTTTCCCTTGATGTTACAGAGTGTCATTTTGTAACTACTGTAACTTGGATTAATTGCATATGCTATTTGATTCAGGAGGAGTTGAGAGCACCACAAGAATCTCAGCATGGCGATGCAGTTATGGAGGCCACTATCAAGGCCCGTAGTGGTTCAGTTTTGGGAACAGGCTCTATACTTAAAATGTATTTCTTTCCTGGTCAGAGGACTTCCAGCCACATACAAATTCATGGAGCACCTCATGTTTACAAGGTATGCCTAGTAGCAAGCGGTTCCTTTGAAATTGTGCAACAACAGGGAAGGACTGCAAACATAAGATAGCTAGCAGCCTGTGATATTTTCTGCATTAGTGACTGGCCATGACAGGCATTTTTTAAATATCTTATGCTATGTGAGATGTTCTAAACTGACATATTGTAGATAGGAGCTATGCCTATCTCTGTATTCTTGGTATTATACATAATATTTATACATCATTGCCGAAGGATGGATCATTGGCCAAAAGGTCCACTTTGGTATTTCATTTTTTTGTTATCTACTTCTTATTCTGTTCCAGTTTTGCTTCTCTTCCTTCTGTGCTACTACAGTATCAGAGAAGTGCATCAAAGGTTTCATGAAAAACTTTAATGTGACTAGGAAGAAACTTCACATCATGATGAGACTTTGACACTGGTTTTGAGCCCAGGGTTTTTGTATGCTTCAGGTGGATGGATTCCCAGTGTATAGCATGGCAACCCCAACAATTGCTGGTGCTAAAGAGATGCTATCATATTTGGGTGCCCACCCCAAGGTAGAAGGATCATATGCTCAGAAAGTGATATTGACTGATCTCAGAGAAGAAGCAGTTGTTTACATTAATGGCACACCATTTGTCCTCAGGGACCTACATAAACCAGTTGACACTCTAAAGCATGTTGGAATCACTGGTTCTATGGTATGTTGCTGTTGACTTTATTTTGTTCAGCAGACCTGTTACTATGCCAAGTTTGTTCTCTTTAATTCATTCTTCTGACTGTATACAGGTGGAAAATATGGAGGCACGACTAAAAGAAGATATTTTATCCGAGGTAAGACAATCTGGAGGTAGAATGCTTTTACATCGTGAAGAATATAACCCAGCAACAAATCAGTCCAGTGTCATAGGATACTGGGAAAACATCTTTGCAGATGATGTAAAGACACCAGCTGAAGTTTATGCTGCTCTAAAAGATGAAGGTTATGATATAACATATAGGAGAATACCATTAACTAGAGAGAGGGAGGCTCTAGCTTCTGATGTTGATGCAATCCAGTATTGTACAGATGAGTAAGTATCAATTCCTATCTTCTGTACCACAAAAAGAGCATCTTGTTTTTTCCTTTTATTACCAAAGAAAAAAAAAAACGTTGCCTATCAACTAACAGTCTGCTGGCATTTTTTTCAAGTGGGTAATTCAGTAATCATGGTAGTTTGAAGATGGTTGAGATATCTGAGCTTCAGCTGTCAGCTTGCTGCAGACTGAATAGTGTCTTTTGAGTTATTGGGTGGAACCTTAACAGTTTGGACTTTCAGCTCATTGTTACGTATATGATGAGTTATTTCTTTAAGCATTACTCTAGAAATGTTCCTTCTCCATTTATCCTCCAAATTTTATTCTTGCTTGTGGGAATTGATTATGCAAATCTGAAATTTATATGTGTATTATTTTGTAGCTGTGCAGGGAGTTATCTTTTTGTTTCACACACAGGGTTTGGTGGTGTTGCCTATGCAATGGCAATTACTTGTATTAGACTTGGTGCAGAGGCAAACTTCATGGAAAATGTTCCACAAGTATCGGTAGGCACAGATTCATTTCCTGTGCATGAAGAGAATCTACTTTGTCAATCATCTGATGAAGAAACACTCAGGATGGGCGATTACCGTGACATACTGAGTCTTACAAGAGTTCTGATTAATGGTCCAAAGAGCAAAGAAGATGTTGACGGTTTTATAGATAAGTAAGCAAATTTTCAATTCTTTTCTTTATCACAAAAGTAATAAATGGATGTGTGCTTATCTCATGTGATAGTCATAGATCTTGTTTCTTTTTTTTCACATAAAATTGAAGAGTTCTTCACAATGTAGAAATGGAAGACACTTGTCTCTTACTACCTGATCCATTGATTCTTCTCGTTGCAAATTTCTCCACTCGGATTGAGGAGAGCGATACCTCTATATATTGTTGTTTATTTGTTTAACATTGTTTTTTATAGTTCTATTCATGCTTTTTAGGTATTAGGTCCTCTTATATTAATTTAATTTCTGACACCAAATTTGTTCCTCTGTTTTGAAGGTGTTCGGGCGCTGGGCACTTACGTGATGATATTCTATATTATAGCAAGGAACTCAAGAAGAATCCTGATGATGACGATGAGCAACGTACTTGCATCATGGATATGGGCATTAAGGCTTTAAGGTTAGTATACCTTGGTAATTGAGGCTCCATTTCTTTCCGAAAAATAATGTCTGGAAAAAAGTTTCTAGATTTTTCAATGTTTGGAGTGCTCAAGAAATCAGTTAAGGGGAAAACCAAGTCAATATTAACGAAAATGACTTCCTATTTTCAAGAGAAAAATATTTTCCACATTTTGACAAATTTATTATAATCTTATAAACACATTTATTATTCATTAATTATTTGCAGCCAACACTATCGGTCACCACCACTGTTCATTGGCTACCGTCATCCACCATCACCGGTGATTATCATAATTTATCATTTTTATACATTTTTTCTTATATTGAACAATAACTTTTTTAAAATACACAATTTCTAAATAAAAAATATTTTATGGTCTCTTAAGTTAAAAATGTTAATTATATTAATTTTTAATATTGCAACCAAACAACGGAGAATAAGCTATTTGAAGTATATTTTTTAAGAAAATTGTTTTCCTTGCAAAGATAAGTTATTTTCAGAAATAAACGGATATTTTGTTAGTTAGTTTGTTCTAGTGATTTCCACCTTAAAAAATGTATAAAATCTATACTTCACACGGCTGTTATTCATTTATTACCATCATTTAACGTAAGGGCTTGTTTGTTACTTCTGTCAACTGTGATTCTGTGAAAAGAGGTCAAATAGCATATGTTTCTGTAAACATTATGTGAACAATCTTTTTTTTTGTTGATTTGCAGGCGGTACTTCTTTCTCATAACGTTCAGATCCTACCTCTATTGTGCTAAACCAACAGAAACAAGGTTCTCATCTTGGATGGATGCAAGACCTGAACTAGGACATCTTTGTAATAACCTCAGGATCGATAAGTAATTTGCACATATAGCAATTTCAAATGTATTTATGTACAGCTAGTCATGCCTGTTGTAGCTTCTCCATTAATAGTCTCCTTCACTCTTTGCCCTTCCCTGTAGTTGTTTCTGCAAGCATGCAAATAGATCCGTTGCAGCTAATGCTTCAGTCAAAAAATTTGAAAAACCTGGTCAACTGGGTTTGGGTGGGTCTTCTTATGCAAGTTACAGGGATACAGAATCCAGTCTGACCTACGATTAGGTTTGAGTGTCAATTCTATTTCTAGTATGATAAAGAATTATTAACTAGTTATTCTGTCCTTAAAGAGACCAGTTTTGGGATTAAAGAAAAAAAAGAAAAGGAAAAAGCAACATTTTAGTATTCTATTGCTGTGCTGGATATTCCTTTTCGTGTTTTTTCCTACTGAAGCTCTACCTGGACTTTTAATCGGCTACTAAAAAGTTCTTTCTATTATCCAAATAACTTGTACGAAGAGAATCTTTTCAATTAACTGTCCAAATATTCACAAAAGATATTTAATATTTTACTATTATAAATTAAAAAATTATTAAATATTCAACATTGGGTAGCAAGAAATTTATTAAGATTTCATAATCGCTAATTTAAATTTAACTGTTTTTTTCCTTCTTTTGAGCGTTGAGAAAAGGGAAATTAATAATAATAATTTTTTATTAAATATTATTTAAAAAAATTAATTAATACTACCTTTTATTTATATAAATGTATTGAAATAAAAGATAATATATTCACCTTAAAATTTTTTTTAAAATGTATACATCATAATAATATATAGAAACAATTAAACTCTCAATAGTTATTATATATTATTATACCACAAACGGCGCTTAAAATTTTTATCAAACATCAATATAATAGCCGGTATAACACAACGGTCCGTTGCTGAAAAATTTGGGATCAATCTGTGAATTATGAAGGTGCGGATTTTGCTTGCTAAATGATTTTTTTTCAGTGTGGGTTTACTACCTTACTTGTGTCAGAGAAATACCATTTCTATTCTTATGAATTTTTGAAGAGCATTTATTTTGAAGTTTTGATATTTCAAGATTTGGGAACGCGGAAATGTTGGGCAGTTACGCTCTAAACAAATCAAGCTTCATACTAAATATAAACAAACCTCCTATTTTGTTGCATTCTTCACACTCATCAAGTCACTTTGAATGACTCCAATTCAAGAATTCAAAAGGTTCAGAAATATATGAATTTATCTCAGTTGTGATCTTTTTGTTTTTTTTGTTCACTCAAAAATTTTCCTTTAGTTTTCCGGCGTCGGAGCTCATCGGGATTGATGAAGTTTTTCAAAGTCTAATAGTTAATAAATAAAAAAAAAGAAAAGAAATGACTAAAGATTTTCCATAAGCACATGCAGTTAGTAGTTGAAGGAGCCGAAACCCAAAGAAGAAGGAAACACCGTACGTTAAACGTAAATGAGGAGGTGTTTGTTTGGCAGCTTTTATTCTAAGCTGCTGCGAATCTCGATAACTTACTTAGCCTAATATAATTCTTTTTTTTGTTTTTGGTTTTTTAATTTACAAGACAAAAAGGCGTGATTCTGAATGTGATGGTGTCAATGTTGGAGCCATTCCTTTCTCCATGTTGAGGCAACTCAAACTCAACATTCTATTTAAAAGGTAATAACTCTTTTTTGTTTTTAATTATTAAATTATAATATAGTCTTCATTTCTAAATTTTGTTCCATGAAAATAATGCTTTGCTTGTTTAATGTTTTTGGTTTTTCTTGTTTATTTATTGGCTTATGGGTGCTGAGGATTTCAAATCTCAATCTTTTATGGCTAGATCAGATTTGAAGTTTTTATTGCCACTTCAATTTGTTTTGTAGTCCAAAGAGTGGAGAATAGCAGCTACAGAGTTCGAAGTGAAGAATTCTTGAATAAAAGAGATTTCTGCTATATAGTCTCATAACCAAAATGGCAGTGCTTGATTTACATGCATTCATGTCATTGTCTTCTACAATGCAATCCCCATTTATTGGACAAAAAATGGGGATGGGGAACTCATATAGCTCAGTTTCTGGTGTTCAATTAGGAAATATCAAACTCTCCGAGAAAATGCATAACACTACTAGACGGTTCTTGACTACTTCCGTCCTTGCTGATGTTACTAAAGATTTTATGGTAACTTTAAATTTGCTTATGGCTTTTAAATTTGAAGCTTCTTGATAATCGTATAAATAAATTGACTCAAATCTGTTTCCTTGTGTTCTTGTAATATAGAATTTTCAAGCACCAGTGCTAGCAAAACCAGAAGCAGACCCAAAGACTGTTGCCTCTATCATATTAGGTGGTGGAGCTGGAACAAGACTTTTCCCTCTTACTCTCAGAAGGGCTAAACCAGCTGTAAGATATTTACTGGATACCTCTTAAAGTAGTATTGATTTCAGATTTCAGCCCCATGAACTTGTACATTTAGTCTTCTTTCTTATTGTAGGTACCAATTGGGGGATGTTATAGGCTGATTGATGTCCCAATGAGTAATTGTATCAATAGTGGCATTAACAAAATTTACATCCTTACACAATTCAATTCTCAATCCCTTAATCGCCACATTGCTCGAACATATAATCCAGGAAATGGTGTAAACTTCGGTGATGGGTTTGTTGAGGTATGCTGAATCTCTTAGTCAGGAATAATGATTGTAGTCAATTCCGTACTTTGAAGGTGTAATTTCACATGTTAGTGTCAGATGCATGCTTGGTGCAGAGACTACCTGTGATAAATTTTCTTCTGCTTGTTAGGATCCATCTTTTGGCATCCCCTTTCTGACTATGCTTCTGTTTTGTTCGATCTTTCATGGTAGGTATTAGCTGCTACTCAAACTCCTGGGGAATCTGGAAAGCAGTGGTTTCAGGGCACAGCAGATGCTGTAAGACAATTTATCTGGTTGTTTGAGGTATGAGAGATGTAGTGAAGATGTAAACTAAAGGTTAATATTTAAAATAATTCACCCACTCAGATGAGAGATATATGGCTTTTAATTGTTAACTTTTGCAGGACACTAAGCATAGATATATTGAGAATATTCTAATATTAGCGGGTGATCATCTCTATCGAATGGATTACATGGAATTTCTACAGGTTCGACATCATTCTCAAACTTGGTTATTGCTGGAGTCTTGTTTAATTCCTTCCCCGCAATTCTGTAATTATATGAATATTTTCTCTATACGCAGAAGCACATTGATTCTGGTGCTGACATATCTGTCTCTTGTCTCCCTGTTGATGAAAGGTAACTAGTTTTTAAGCATAGATTTCCTTTAATTGACAAGTAACTGATCATACTGTCTATTTACTTGTTCTTACCTGCAGTCGTGCCTCTGATTATGGGTTGATAAAGATTGATGAGGCTGGACAGATCAGACAATTTCTTGAGAAGCCCAAGGGTGAAAGTTTGAAATCTATGGTTCGTCGATAAATCTTTTTTTGTTTCATGAATATTGATCAGAAAGTTAACCACAAAGTTAGTAGTCATCTTTCAAATAATCAGCATATGATTGACAATTTGTATTTCCTCAGAAAGTAGATACAACTGCTCTAGGACTATCAGCTTCAGATGCAAGGAAGTTTCCATATATTGCATCAATGGGTATCTATTTGTTCAAGACAGATGTCCTACTAACACTTCTCAGGTAGTTTAATGCTCTAATTTACAACTTTAGAATAAAAAGTAGAATGCATGCATTGTATCTTGTCCTTGTATTTTGTCCTTGATAGCAGAGAAAAAAAGACAAAACCTCCTTCCAGTATGATACTACAGCACCTGTTTATCATACAAGCTTATTACATGGAAAACTGTTCCGTGATAAATTGCAATATTTTTTGTAATTGATGATTAGAGCTTCGCCGTTTTGACACTTTGTATTTAAATATAAATGATTGGTAAATTGGCAATTTTTTTTTTTTTTTTTTTTTTTTTTTTACAAAGTTAGTAGTCAATCTTTAAATAAATCAGCATATGATTGACAATTTGTAAATTTCCCTCAGAAAGTAAGATACAACTGCTCCTAAGGACTATCAGCCTTCAAGATGCCAAGGAAGTTTTCCATATATTGCATCAATGGGTATCTATTTGTTCAAGAACAGATGTCCTACTAACACTTCTCAAGGTTAAAGTTTAAAATGCCTCTAATTACCAACTTTAGAATAAAAAAGTAGAAATGCCCTGCAATTGTATCTTGTCCTTGTATGTCCTTTGATAGCAGAGAAAAAAAAGACAAAAACCCTCTTCCAGTAAATGATACATACAGCTCACCCTTGTTTATCATACAAGGCTTTATTACATGGAAAACTGTTCCGTGATAAAAATTGCATATATTTTTGTAATTGATGATTAGAGCTTCGCCGTTTTGACACTTTGGTATTTAAATATAAAATGATTGGTAAATTGGCAAATTTTTTTTTTTTTTTTTTTTTTTTTTTTTTTTTTTTTTTTTTTTTTTTTTTTTTGGAATCTGTCCCATACATTTTTTTTTGCCCTTAGGTGGCACCATCCAACTGCCAATGATTTTGGATCAGAAATTATTCCAATGTCTGCGAAAGATTATAATGTTCAGGTAAATTCTTTGACAATTATTCTCACATAGTTCTACTTGACCTTAAAGCTGAATGCTGCATTACTTAACAATTTTTAAGTGATTTCCTATAGGTTTGAATTATTCTACACATAACCGAGGTTATATATAAGAGTGTGTCTAAATGAATGCAATGAGCTAGCAATTTCATTTTTACTTCAGAAACTGTTGATAGGTGTGGCCAATGTTCATTTCATGGCAGGCATATCTATTCAATGGCTACTGGGAAGATATTGGAACTATAAAATCATTTTTCGATGCCAACTTGGCCCTAACAGATCAGGTATTTTTCTTTACGTTGTCTGTAATATATTTTCTCTGAACTAAATGAAATTTTGTAACTCAAGATATCATTTATCATCTATTTGAAGCCTCCCAAGTTTCACTTCTTTGATCCCCTAAAGCCAATCTTCACATCTCCCCGGTTTCTACCACCAACTAAAATAGAGAAATGTCGGGTAAGATTTTAAACTTGTTGCTTATATTCTGAAATCTTAAGGCATTTGTTGTGCACTGAGCTCACATAATAATTCTCATTATAGATCCAAGGTTCCATCATTTCAGATGGATGCTTTTTAAGGGAGTGCAGTGTTGAACATTCTATTGTGGGGATTCGTTCCAGACTAGAATATGGGGTTGAACTGAAGGTAACCTGTTTTCCATGTTCTTTATACCACATTCAATGGTGTGGAATAAATTAGATAAAGGTTAATCTCACAACAGAGACACTCTTGTGAAAGACATAATATTTTTTGTTATGAAATACTGACTAGCAATTTCAAATGAAATTAGTTAGTATAGTTGGCAGACTTTATATGTTATCCCAACTACTTATGTTCATTCGCAGTCAAGAGTCTCCCTCCATTTGTTAAAACAGCTTTCATTGAGTCTCTGCACCTATCTTTTTTTTTTTTTTTTTTTTTTTTTTGTTCTCTGCACCTACTTTTTTTTTTTTTTTTTTTTTTTTTCCTTTTTGGTTAACTGTTTTTGAAAAATAAAAACTCTAATCATGTCTTTTCTCATTGAACCTGCAATCCTTTTTTTTTTTTTTTTTTTTTTTTTTTCCTTTTTGGTTCACTGTTTTTGAAAATAAAAACTCTATCATGTCTTTTCTCATTGAACCTGCATCTTGTCATTCCAAATCATGTAATTAGATGCATGTTTCGTATCTATAGGATACCATGATGATGGGTTCTGACTATTACGAAACTGAGGCAGAGATAGCATCATCCTTAGCTGAAGGAAAAGTTCCAATAGGGGTTGGGAAAAATACCAAAATTATGTAAGTTCTGCATAAAATTGAATAATCAAATTATATGACTTCGTTCTTTTCTATTTTCTTGGTAAATTACATAAGATGATTTATCTTTATTTCACAGAAATTGCATAATTGACAAGAACGCAAGAATTGGGGAGAATGTGGTCATAGCGAACAAAGATGTAAGTATTAATGTACGACTATCCAGCAAAATTTCCACCCCCATTTTCTTTCATTATTCTTTAAGAGTAAGAACGCAAGCAGACTGACATTGAAATAGCAGGATATAACATTACACAACCAAGTATTTACAGCATTTTTATTGATATAAACATTTCATCTTCTTTGTGGCTTGAACTGCAGCATGTGCAAGAGGCAGTGAGACCATCTGAGGGATTCTACATTAGATCCGGAATAACAGTTGTGATGAAAAATTCTGTCATAAAGGACGGGACGATCATATAAAATTCTTTTTCTTTTTCTTTTTTGAATTTTTTTCTTAAACAAGCAAGGTAAAAGGGAGCATTGGAGATGGATACTTGTATATATAGGAGAGGGACGTGGTTTTAGGTGGAATAAGCAGGGATGGAATAAATGGAAACTAGCAATAATTTCAACGAAGGGGTTTTTTCTTTTCTTTTCCTTTTTTTTTTTTTTTTTGTGTAATTAGTACATTTATTTAAATGAGACTTTTTTTCCTTTTAACCAATTCCTGTCTCATATGTGTGTGTTCTCTTTAAAAAAGAAAAAAAAATCATGTAATAGCTGATAGTTTGCGGGACTGTTGAGCAATGACACTGGCAGTGGAGGGAGACTCCTCCAAGACAACCTGATAGCCATCTCCCCAGCTCTCCATTCCTTGGACCATGAGTTGCCAAAAAATCCCACCACAAAATGGGCCTCCACTCTTGGCACTGTTGTATATAGCACTGTAAATCACCCCAAAATAGCTATCCCTTTTTGACAAGCTGAAGCCAGGATACTTGGAAGATTTTCCAAACTCACCAATAATAAGTGGTTTTTTAAGCACTATATTGGAATCTTGGATATGGGCTTTGATCCATTTGTCTACAAACGCAGCCTGTTCCTCTTCACTCGAGTTTGGCAACCTGCAGTCAATTACGTTTTTTCTTTACTTTTTCCCAATTAAGGCATTAGATTCTAAATAAGGTCCAAGGATGATGAAGATTAAATTACCAGGTTTCAGGATAAAGATGAATAGTGGCGAAATCTATCCCAGGAACTTGATTGTTGGAGATGAAATCAGTCCCAACAAGGTAATTACCAGGATTGAATAGCTTTCTTGAATCCCCGTAAAACCCTTCTAGCCCAATTTCCAGTAGATGGTAACTATCAATAGACTTGACATGGGCCGCCATTTCTTTGACCCAGTCCTGCAAAGAATTTTTGCAGTTTCCAAATTAATTTTTTCATGGATAAAGTGGAAAAAATTATAATGTTTAAGATACAGAGATTCAAGACACAGACGAAGAAATTCATCTCTCATTAGTAATAATAGCTTCTTTATAGAAAAGGCAGAGCACCAGCCATCTATTCAATAGCTAAATTACAAAACGGAACAGTTAGTGAAATAAAACTAAATTTGGCGAAAAGGGCCAAAAAAAAAAAAATCAGAAGCTTGCAGATTAGGTGTCACTGTTGCGAATATAGCCGTACGTCCAATTGAAAGAAAAAAACTGTAAATGATGAATAATAATAATCCAATACGCATATATATCACATCTCATAATTTCTTTTCAAAGCCTTTGTGCCCCTGATTGCCTGGCTTTATCCTATCCATATATAATTACAAGAATCGTTATGTTGCCCATAAAACACAAACAACAGCTGACTTCCACGAAAAAAGAAACTGTATTTGGTCGGCCACAAATATTTGGGAAGAGATAATAAATCCTATATGTAATTTGATTTTACATTTTAGTTGAGCTTATTTTTTATCAAGATTCAAGAGAGAGACCTGAATTTGAGTTCCAGAAGAGTTAGAGGAACGAGGCTCGTTCATTAGTTCCCATGCAAAAATGGTGGGATCATCTTTGTACGTCACTCCTGTTATGGAGTTAACTCTCGTGAGCACAGCCTGCATATATAAATATAAAAATAAGCCATTACTGAAGGAAATTGAGATCAAGAAAGAAAGTGATAGTGATGATGGTTTTGGTGGAAAAGAAAAGGAGTACCTTGATATGGTTCTTATAGTATGCTTTGACAGTAGGGTTTGTGTAGAAATCATCATCGCTACTCAATTGCTGGCCTCGTTGTCTTGCCCACTCAACATACTGCGCTTTACCTCCATATTCTTTAAAGTTATTCACTAAACTCAGTATCACATACATTCCATGTTTTCCAGCTTCTGATATCACGAAGTCCAATCCCTGTTACCAAAAATTAATCAATACGTAACGCCTTCCATTAATTAATGAAATATATATCACATTCTCGTATTATTTTATAGGCTAAGTGTTCTAAGAAAACTTTTTCTTAGCATCGGGAAAGAAATTTGAATTTAAATCTATCTATTTTCAAATCGTGTTCTTACATTATGTACAGTTATAAGAAAATTTAAATGGATGCATGGTCTCTCAATATATATATATATATTTATTTATTTATTTATTTGTCTTTTGTGTACCCTCTATTTTCAATGTGATTTTCAAATTAATGTCTCATATTAGAGCAATCACAATAAATCTAATCTCTATAAATCCAAATATTACGAGCCTTTCAAATTTAAGATAAGATGAGCTTGTTTTTTATTCACTAGAAATATTCTTTTCAATTTTACTAATATTTTTTCGCTCCAACTTGTTTCAATCCTTTTTGTTATGGTTTAAATAAAGTTAAATATACATACTTTTAAAAAAAAAAAAAAAAAAAAAATGATTTCAAATTAAATGTCTCATATTAGAGCAATCACAATAATCTAGACTCTCTCTACTAAATCCAGAATATTACGAGCCTTTCAAATTTAAAGATAGAGATGAGCTTGTTTTTATTTCACTAGAAGATATGTATTGCTTTTCAATTTTTACTAAATTTTTTTCGACTCACCAACCTTTTGGTTTCAGATCAAGATTATCGCTTTTTTGTCGAATGGTTATAAATAAAGTTTAAATATACATACTTTTAAAGAAAAAAAAAAAAAAAAAGAAGAGAAAATGGCGCCAAGAATGTATTTAAAGTAAGCTTTAATTTAAAAAAAAAAAAAAAAAAAAAAAAAAAAAAAAAAGAGAGAAATGCGCCAAAATTATTTAAAGTAAGCTTTAATTTCAATTAAGGCTATATATACACGACTGGTCTGGATTGTCCAAATTGTATTGAAATTTTAAAAAGCTGTAACTGAATATTCAGTTGAATTGAATTGGATCTCCATTTCAATTAACTTAAAATGTTTATGATATAATATAAATAAAATACCTTGAAAGTAACTTCGTTGTAGGAACCGGGAGAAATCTGGAGGGGTCTATCAGTACCGCCATCACTGAAAGCCCAAGTTCTAGCAATATTCATGCCATTCTTGGAGGCTTGTTGGTACGCAGATGTGACTTTAGCCCTAGTAGAAGGATCAGAGGCCATGTACATCATCCAATATGCATTGAATCCATTTAAGTAAAGAGGTTTGTTATTTATCGTGAAATGGGTTCCAGTTGTTTTTGCGAAATTGGTTTGAGAATTTCCATGTACTTGGAATGTTTGGAAGAAGACGAGAATAACAATAAGAAAGGTTACTGAATAGAAACTATCAAACAATATCATCGCTTGCTTACTAGTTCAACAACTGTATCCAATCCCAACCTTTTCTTTATATTTGTGATTGACAAATAAAAATGACTTTTGTTTTCCCGGCTTCTATATAGTGTTTATATAGACATCGATCGATAATTCATATCTATCTACAGTTAACAATTACTAGAATATATGGAAAATAATAGAATAGCTAATATTGCAGAACAGCCTTTAGTCATGACCAAGTATTTTAATTTAAAAAATATAAATAAAATTTATATTTCATTTATCCAAATAAATAAATAATTTATGATTTATACAATAAGTAATAAATATCCTATTAATGTTTAGAATTGATATTGATATTAATATTAATATTTAAAAAATAAACCTAATCATATATTTAACATTTATAAATTAATTTGAAGAGTTGTATATATTGATATTACAGTTCTATTTAAAAATTAAATTAAACTGTATATAAATATAATGTTTTTATTATGATAACACCAACATGAAATCATGCTTTAATATTATAAAATCTAAATAATATAAGAGGAAAATAATAACCATTAATATTATATAAAATAATAATAAAAGAGTAATGACAACGTGTAACGTATGTCATAATAACAGGATGTAGTCCTCTCCTGAATTAACCAAATTGGTGAAAATACATATGGTCGAGAAAACTCGAATTCGGAACCTAGAAGACCAATCAAATTATACTTGATTAACATATATGAAACTAAGTTAAAAGATATTAAAAGAGAAAATTTTTTTCTACAAAATATGTTGATTAGATTTAAGGAGTTTAATATTCATATATGGGGGTAATATAAAATATGTTATATAGAAAATTTATAGGCGTATGACATTTGAAACTCATACTTTTATTTATACAATTTACAGTAAATATTTTAATTAAAGTATAAAAATAGGGTTCATTTCTCATGAAAGAATGATAAATATAATGTGGTGAATAATTATATTGTAGGTACTTTGCGATTTACAGATTTACCACAAAAAGGAAAAGCCTTTTTTTTATAATCAAATTGGGAAAAAAAACAAATAAATTAATTAAATAGAAATTAGATATATAGATATAGTTAAAGTTTTTTGATTTCTAATTTCGTTAGGAATATTAACTCATTTAGAATCTTATTATATGTTTATAAAACTTAAAAAAAAAAAAGAGAGGGAGAGAAATAATTTATAAATATTTGTTGTATGTTTATAACATATAATGATTTCTTATTTAAGTTTAAATTCTATTAAAAAATAAGAAATTATATTTTATAAAATATATATTAAATATGATAAGATTACAAGAAATCAATTTGTTAAAATGAGAAATTATATAATATATTCCACATACACTAAATAAGCAAGATTAAAGGATATAAGGTATTATTATTTAAGTTAAGAAATACATATGTAAATCTAATGCATATCATCAAAACAAACAGTAATATCGGATAATCAGAGTAGATAGTGAATGGAAAAAATAATGAGAGAGATTGCATATAAAATACTACTTATCCTTGGCTTTGTTAGTGAATGTAATTACACCATAAAATATATAGTACCTATCTCCTTTATCCCATTGTATACTAATTATATTTATAAGAAGCTACAACTCTTCAGATAGAATGCTCTCTCTAAGTTTACTTATGATCACTTAGCAATTACTTTTCACCTATCCTCTAGACCCTTAAATATTAACACATTTGGTCGAAATAACGCCAAAAAAAAGAAAAGCGGATAGGCGAGTAATATTAATGTGATGAAACTAACCTGGCCAACATTTGAGGAGGATTCTCGATTACACATAGATCCTATAAAGTCAAAGAATTCTGCAAGACTTCGATTTGCTATATTATTAATGAACTTACTCACCATTTCAATATTTTATGTTAGATTGAAAATACAGACGTGAATCTTTACATATATCATTTGATGGTATTTACCTATTCCTTGCCGTTGTTGCCTTTTTCAACTCTGAAATTGCTCAAAATATCTAAGTGGAGTCTCTCTATAACTATAGTAGAAGAGACTTCATTATTTAATATAGTGAAATATAGGTATGCATAAATCTAGTCGCATACACCAACAGAATATAGAAACCACCGATCTCGAGTTATCGTCATGTTAGAGGAACTATGACAGCAAGAACATACAAAAATTGTAGAGTGTTTATATTTGATGACCAAAAATACTAAGATCACGAGTTTATTATGGATATCGAGCAAATATAGAATTCATAGTGAGGAAAGAAAATTCAAAAATCCAAACTAAAAGATCAATACAAAGTGCTGAGAATAGTATATGAGAATCCTATTAAATTATGAAAGAAATGGTAGTTTCAGTTCCTTATGAGTTACGTATAGCAGCATAATAGATTTAAATGACACATTGAGATTAACATTCAAGATTGAGCAATGCTGTATGTAGAGATTTGTATCATTAATGAAAGATAGTGAGTCAATTGGAAAGCAACGCCGACTACACAAACTATTCTTTTAGTAATTTGTAGCACAGTGAAGTAATGATTTCCGATGTTCGCCCGAGTCCTCGTCGATCCACAAATGAGTTTGTAAAGAAAAAACACAGTTACCATGAACATTGTATACAAACAATTGAGAGCCTTTATCATATTCTCACATAGAGAACCAAGTTTGACTACACTCTGTTATAACATTAACTCCTCAAGTGCGCTCCTTTCTTTCGGCACAATTTACTTCTCACGTGATCTATTTAAAATATTAAGTGAATCTCAATTCACAAAATGAGTACAAATTCAACTATCACTGAACCATAAAATTAGCAGAGGATTATTAATGTTAGGTTTACAAAGAGATAATAATTAAGCGTTCACTCTATAATATTTATATCACACAAAATATTACAGTTGACTAAAATAAATTCACACTTATTTTGCGAAATAGCACTTATCCATAATATTATGTCAATATATATCTTATATATATAGGAAAGAAACATATCTTTAGGATATTTAAGTTTGATACAAACAAAAAATCTAAACATACAATATTTACGAATGAATTAAGAGACACAATATTATTGATAATCTACCGCTGCCAAACGAAGGTTCTTATGCAATAATAAAAATAAAAAAAAAAAGAATAAAAAAAAAAAAAAAAAAAAAAAAAAAAACGCCCACGTTATAAACAACTAGTCATGTATAGAGTGGGCTAGGTGTAAACGGATACAGCCGAGTAACTGACTAAAACTTAAAGTTTCCAACGTAAGTATATATGCAACATAATAATTAATGTAATAATAAATTTTGTTACTTAAACTATGTAGTTTCTTTATAATTATTAATGTAAGTAACGACTTTTTTTAAAAAATTTATCCAACTTGCGTTTTGATATACCTATCTATATAATATTTACAAAAATTACATCTTTACACCCTCAAATAAAAAGTTAGATCGAATTTAAGAGAGGCTTTTTTTGGATATAGTAAATAATTGTAGAGAAATAGGATTTGAATTCATTTTTTTTTGAGTTATATACACTTATACTTATAATTAGGCTATGCAGTAGTGCATAGGATTTGAAAAATTTTATTTCTATATACATATATACTATGTGATTTATTTATATACATTTGTAGAAAATAAAGATATAATTAATCTAAATATATAGATTTAAATTAATTAATGTTGATCTAGATAATAACAAAAATCTAGAAGAAGTTATCTATATCCTTACCAGTATAAAGTTGCAAGAACTGATAATCCTTGGACAGCTTAGTTGATTTTATCAATAATGACGTTGAAATATGTTTGGTAAGACCAGTACATAAAGTTGCAAGAACTTGTCTAGCTTAGTTGATGATATTTGTCTATATTCTCAGCAATAATGACATTGACATATCTGTGATAATATAGAATATATATCAGCATAATAATTAAGTTGCAAGAACGAATTTGGTTTTGTTGATTTTTTTTCTCTTTATATTAGGAAAATTTTAAATATTAAATATAAAAGACTAAATAGTCAAATATTATAGTGTATTTAAAAATTAAAAGCAGCATGAAAAGAAATGTCAAAAAAAAAAAAAAAAAAAAAAAAAAGCAGCAGAAAAGAAATGTCCAAAAAAAAAAAAAGAAAAAAAGGCAGCATGAGAAAGAACAGACTAATCAGTATATGTTATGATAAAAGCTGAAGTAATCACATATTCTATCCATATAGGAGGTGAGTAGTAGATTTTGTGCCGTTACTAACTGTGAGTGTGGCAGATAGTAAAAGAAGCATCTAGTTCAGTTTTTCATTCTAAAAAAAAAAAAAAAAAAAAAAAAGCAGCATGAAAAGACAGACTAATCAATATATTTATGATGAAAACTATAATCACATATTTATCCATATAGATATATAGATTTGTCGTTAACTAACTGTGAGTGTGCAGATAGTAAAAAGAAGCATCTAGTTCAGTTTCATTCTGGAACTTAGAAAGTTGTTTACAACAAGCATTTCTTTATTGGTTTTCGAATTTTGTTGATGTAAACGTTCTTCCGATTTTGAACGTATTAAAGAAGCTTTTCGAATGACATTGCCAATGTGGACACCCAATTTCAAGATCACACGCTGCCATTCCTTGACCTTAGATATTGGATAAGGGTTTTTCAAACAAAAAAATCTAAGTCTGTTGGATCTCATCGCATGCCTATTCAATGATCTACATTACCTTATCTGTTCTGCAATCATTCACTAATCCATAATGCATTGCTTTTTGTTTCGCTGCTTAAGCGTCATCTTTCTATTGCATTATATTAGTGAGTATTTAAATCATCACGCATCAATAATAATAAATAATTTTTTATTATAAAATCATATATGATCTGATTAGTGTTTTCTCGTTAATATAATTAGCGAGAGATCTCTATTATAAGGATTTTTACCGATTTAATGATTTGAAATAAGAATTACCCACAATTTAAAATATTATTTCGGCCTATTATTTTCAAATGATTAAAAAAATTAATTCAAGTGAACCCACATATTTTCTATATGTATGTATAAATTTTAGTAGAATTTAATTTAAGCATAATTATTTTTATAAAAATAAACATGCAAAGTTCTAAATAAATTGTCAATGAACATGGTATAATTAGTTTTTTTTTGGGTCTCGTACACAATGTGAAAATTAAAATATCTCAAATTTGAGTCTTTTCTTAAGTTATCATCATTTAATAAATATTATTTAAGACAAAAAATTATTCTTATTTAGTCCACATATTCTATCGAACCATTAGACATATTATGTATAAAAAAAATTATTTTTATATCAAACATGAAAATTTAAATTGTTATAAATGATAAAGGAAACTATAAAATTCATTTTACGCCAACCAATGAAACTATTAATTAATATATCCATGCCTATATGGAACCTAGGATAGGGGAGATTTTTGTTCTCATATGCAACAACTATTCCCAATCCCACTTCGATATGAATTGCTATATATCTATATCTATATATGTTGATTTGATGGATGCTTGGTGGTGTTAGCATTTGTGGATAGGTTCAGATTGCAGAACCTAATTAATATTTATTACTTGTACAGAAGAACACGAAATTAAATGATGGTGTGATAACGACCATTCAACTTAAGTTAACAACAGAACATGCTACCCTCTGCTAACTCACAAATTGCTTAAATAGTAAAAATAGTTCGCCTTGCGATTAGGATTTAATTCTAATTTGGAGACATCTGTAATTAAAACAATAAATAAATAAAAACAGTCTTCGTTTTTGTATTTTTGGATCATTTCTTTATCCTACCATCTTAGCAAATTTGCCTATGAAACCCGTGAAAGTGATCAATTAAAGAATGTCGCACGTGAAGGCTCCTCAGACACTTGCTAATTACTGCAACTTCTCGTACGCTGCTCTTAATCAAGTTAACCAGCAAATAAGCATAGAAAAGAAAGTTGCACGTCAACATTATAGGAAGGAAGCATGCATCTTCATAAAAATACACAGTACACAAATTTACCATATCACTGCTTCCTTGTTTGTGAAATGGAATTGTTGGGCCGCACAAAGAAAATGCTAATGGTGCTCTAGCTACCCAGTACGAGGTGGAAATGGAAATGGCAGTTTAATAAAAATGTTGACTTGTTGATTGAAAATAATTACGCGTCCTAAGATTATAGCATCTCCTGAAACCTGAAAGGCTGAAACTGGATTTGTTTATTGGGAATGAATTGTCCAATAGTATATATCATCTTTTATTCATTCCTTCGTCGTAACATCTATTTCTTCTCTTTAAGAGATCAAGTAACAAAAGATAAATCGTTTTAATAATACAATTTTCTATTATAATTAGACAATAAAAACCAAAAAAAAAAAAAAAAAAATTCTTCTCTTTAAGGAGATCCAAGTAACAAAAAGATAAAGTCGTTTTTTAATAATACAATTTTTCCTATATGAATTATAGACAATAAACACTAAAAAAAAAAAAAAAAAAACCATCATGGATAGCTAAACAGGGTACCTAAAGAATTTTCATAAAAAAAAAAAAAAAAAAAAACCATCATGGATGCTAAACAGGTCCTAAGATTTTCATTCCCTATTTCCTGCAACTCAAATAACTCTACAGAATGATATTTTATGTGGTGCGAAATTCCAAGAATTATGTCTTGATACTCTAAAATCAGATTTGATATATAAACCCTAAATCCCAACTCAGGAACTCTAAATCCCAAATTAAGAATTTTTTCTAATATGAAACAACGAATCTTGACCCAATTCTTAATATATAATATTGCACTACAGACACGGGACAGATTGAACGTTACAAGCATTAAATTTTTTTGGTAAGTTTGAATAACAAGATCAATGAAGAAATCTAGAGAATCCGAAACGCATAAATTGTTATCTATATTTACAATACTAAAAACTAAGTATTTATAACTAACATACTCTAAAAACTAAATAGAACATATATAAATCTCAATTCAAATAGGTCTAATTATGCTAATTAAAATATGAAATATGTGAGAAACTCAAAGCCCACATGTTTGGTTCATGTTAACTAGCCCTGGATCTTCTTTGAAGTTCATCTCTTCACTTGGCATTCCAAAATAAAGCCCTTGCATGGATCCACTTGAAAACTTGTAGATCCTCGTGATCACCATGTGCTTGTTGATCTCCATTACCTAAAACAATCACTATGTAAAGGATATTGTGGAGGTATGTTATTTATCCATGAGGTTATGTGGGTACAGTACCTTCATTCAGCTATTTTCCACAACTTCAGAAGACCATCTCCCATTGCTAACTTGAGTGGTAATAACAAACACCAGCGCAAGAAAATATTTTCCTGTCAGGCTAACAGTACAGATGCCAAATATACCATCTGGAGTTGCAACAGAAAAGGTAAATAATCAATGCCCAAATAATTCAGCAAGGATAAAGAGATTTAACCTTTCTGATATTTTAGCATCATAAATATAAAACTCAACTGATGCAGGGCCGTTGAGGCCGTGCACCATTTTCTAGTAGTTCATCATAACAGGGATTGGGAATGGAAAAAGAAAAAAACTCATCAGCAGCAATCCAGTAGAAGCCAGAGATCAACTTGCCGCTGCCACTTCAAATTCCTTGTTGCACACTCACTTTGCACCCAGCAAAATGCTTATGAGACTTTTGTATATAATGCAATTAACAGCAGGTTTTCATCTGCAAACAATACATATTCTAATGTGGACAGGAGGCAAACCTGCATCTCTTTATTTCTGCAGAACTACTTGCGCTGCTTCATGAAAACTAATATAAATATATACATATATACAGTCATTGGATTGTATGACATAAATCCACCATCTACAAAAGTATGGAAACTCTTTAATGTCAATTGTTCTCTTGCATTCCTTTGAGGTCAAGTTTTCATCCAAAGCAAGGATCTTTTGGTCATAAAATTCTAACAGCCCTACTTGAAATTCTTGATATTTTTCTAATGAGTTTTAAGGCTCTTTTTTTTTTCTTCTTTGTCAGGTGAATTGTCATATTGTAAAATATTTCGCACTCCCTAAATCTTATAAGAACATCAATCATTGGCTACATCAAAAACAAATAGTATGCCCAGGAAAAGAAAATATTTCACTAGAACTAGATCCATCTCTTCTAGTGCCAGTATATTTTCATTGGAAAGCAATGAAAAACTAAAAAGAACAGAAGATAGATTCAAAATTAATTTTCACTTGAATATCAGATTTTTATATAGTTTGAGGGACCAATTGACTACAGCATATTACAAGAATAAGTCTGCGGACTGCTTTACAAAAAATATAATGCAGAATGAATGATAAGATAAATGTGCAAAATACAAATCATTAGTGTTAACTTACAAAACATCTATTGTCAAAAGCTTCAGTTAAGATGTTGCAGGCTGAATCCGCTTCAATCTTTGGGCCACTTGCTTCATGGAAGGTCTGGATGAAAGAGATTCACCCATCTATTGTCCCCAAAGCTTTCAGTTAAGGAAATGTTGCAAGCTGACCATCCGCTTCCAATCCTTTGGGCCACTTGCTATCATGGAAGGTCTGGATGAAAGAGATTCACCAGTGCACATGATGCTAAAGTTAAGATGTTGCAGGCTGAATCCGCTTCAATCTTTGGGCCACTTGCTTCATGGAAGGTCTGGATGAAAGAGATTCACCAGTGCACATGATGCCTAAGTGAAGTATCTCAATTAGATCATCATGGGGCCCGGTGTCCCATAGGCCAGCAGTAAAAAACTCACTGGCCCGACCTTGTCGTAGAAGCATACTTGCCCAAGCCACAATGTTGAAACCATTTCCAAAGGAAGAGAAGGAAGGATCCAAAGCCTTCTTGTCTGATATTAATTCTAGGAGAACAACACCATAACTATAAACATCTGCCTTATCGGAAACACGGCATGTCATTGCATATTCAGGGGCAACATATCCAAAAGTCCCAGCAACATCAGTCGTGGCATGTGTCTCCGAAGTACCCAAAAGACGAGCAAGACCAAAATCAGAAAGATATGCATTAAAGTTGTTATCGAGCAATATGTTGCTTGGTTTAATATCACGATGCAAGACCCGAGGGACACACTCATCATGCAAATAAGCAAGGGCACGTGCAATATCTAGAGCAATCTTGTGAAGCATGCTCCATTCTACTGCTCTCCTTGAACGCTCTTGGATGAATCTTTCTAGATTGCCACCAGGCAAGTAGTTGTAAATGAGAAACATTTCTGTCTCACTTATATGATAACCAATCAGCTTTACAAGGTTCGAATGCTGCACCCTTCCTAAAGTTCGGATCTCAGCTGCAAACTGTTGAACACCTTGAAATCTCCCTATTGAGAGCCGCTTTACTGCCACAACAATTCCAGGAACAATCTCAGCCTTGTATGTGGCACCAAAACCTCCACTTCCAATGCAATTCTGAATATTGAAACCACCAGTAGCACTTACAACATTTTCATAGGTCAACTGTATACCTATATCATTGCAAGTTACAACTTCTTTCCTTCCTGGCGCACGACCAGATGCAGAATTGCACACAAATTTCTTCATGCATGTAAGGAAGAGAACTAATACTACTAGAACAGAGAAGATGACTGATGCTGATGTAATTGAGGCAATTTCAATTGGATTAAAAGCGCCATTGTTCCTCCGCAAGCTTCCAGCTGGAGGACTTGCTCCTTCTTGGGAAGCATTACCAGAATGCTCCTGCTCCCACTCAGAGATTGATGGATCAGAATGACATGGCTGAAGGTCAGGATTTCCTTGAATGTTTTCGCATTTAATTAAGTTTGAATTCAGAGGAACAGATCCAGATAAATTGTTAAAAGATACATCAAATACCGAGAGAAGAGTTGTATTACCAAAGCTAGACGGTATCTTTCCAAAAAAGTGGTTATGATCTAACCGCAGTACATTAAGATGTTGAAGTTTTGCAAATCCTGGCGGTATTTCTCCTGAAAGGGAATTTGAAGAAAGGTCTAAAACCTCTAATGCAGGCAGTCGAGCTAACTCCAAAGGCAACGGACCCGTAAAGTTATTGCTGGAAAGGGATAAAAACCTCAAATCCTTCATCTGATCAATAAAAGAAGGAATGGAACCTTGCAATCCATTTCTACTGAGGTTAAGGTTAACTAGTGAATCCAAATAAGCAAAAGTAAGAGGAATTGAACCACTCACATTATTTCCAGCCAAGCTGAAAATTTTCATGCTTTTACAACTGTTTCCCACTGCTGCAGGAAGTTCACCAACAATTCTATTGTTACCAATATCAAAAATCAGGCCATCTAAACTAAGACATTGATCAAAAGAATAAGCTGAAATGTTCCCCTCAAAGTTATTACCACCCAACCAAAAACCATAGAAAGGCCTATGAGAAAAACTTCCTGTCGCAATCAACAGGGATGGAACTGGTCCAGTGAAAAAGTTGTTGCTCAAATCATGCAATACGGCTAACGCATCAGATGGGAAAGAGAAAGATGTAATGCCCATAATCGCATTTCTATAAAAGAAAGATGAGAAGAAACCGACCATATCTCCTCGCGAAATGGATGAATTAACAGTCACCTTGGAACACCCACCATTAGAAAATCTTGGAATATCCCCAGTAAAAGAGTTGTGGCTGATGTTAAAAACAAGCATACATGGAACAGAAAATGCCTGTGGAAGCAACCCAGTCAAGTTATTGGAATTCAAATCGAGAAAGTACAACTTCTTACAATTAGCAAGTGACACAGGTAAGTCTCCACTGAAATAATTTCCAGCCAAATTCAGCATCGTTAAGCTAGCAGAGCCCCAACTCTGTGGAAATTTACCCTCAAAGTTTAAGCTTGGAGCCCAAAGCACATGAAGATTGGGCAGCCTTGTGATACTATCAGGCAATTTGCCGTCAAAGTAGTTGAACTCCCCCTCCCCGCGCTCCTCTTCTTCAATTGTTGAGCTTGAAAAATCTGTTGACCACAGAGGACCATAGTTATTTTTTAACACGAGCAGCTTTAACTGTTCACAATTGCCCAACTCCGACGGTATAATCCCACTCAAGAAATTTCTGGACAAGTCGAGCACTTCAAGGTTTCCTAATTGCCCAAAAGTTGAAGGAATATCATATTGCAACAAATTTGAAGATAGTATCAAAGACCTGAGCTTTTTGCAATTGCCTAAATTAGAAGGAATTGAACCCGTAAGAGAATTTCCGTCAAGAAGAAGATGCTCCAGGCTTCCACAGTTGTCACCCAGACCATCCGGAATGGAGCCACTCAACAAATTAAAGGAAAGCGTAAGAATCTGCAAACCTGGAAATCGATGAAAAAACGCAGGAATCGTACCATTTAATCGATTCCCAGAGAGATTAATAACGCGCAACAATGTGCAATTCTGGAGCGAAATCGGTATAGTCCCATAAAAAGCATTAAAACTCAAGTCCAGAACCTCTAACAGGTAAAGCTGGCCAATTTCCAAAGGCAACTCCCCAGAAAACCCATTAAAACCAAGAGACAAGACTCTAAGCTGAGAAAGCTGGCCAATTGCAGGGGACAAATTGCCAACCAATTTTGGTAAGGAGTCGTTGTTAAACCCTAAGCAAGGGAAGAGTAAAGAGAAGTTACCTACCACTCCACCACCATTCGTCGCAGTTGAAGTTGAAGAAAGAGAAACGAGAGGGCAGATAGAGTTATCATTATATGAGAGATTGAGTGCTGTAACTCGACGGGAAAGAGGGTCGCAGGTAACGCCATGCCATGAACAAGGGTCTGAATCCTTAGGGTTCCAATTAGAGGTAAGCCCTAATGGGTCTCTAGTAATGGCGGATTTGAACTGTAGCAATGCCCGTTTATCATCTCCGCTTGACGCAGCCAAACTAATAGAGCTGTATACAATTAGAACAAGAACCACGGGAGACAATAGTTCATAGAGTAAAGCACAATAACGATGGTAATGATCACAATTGGGTGGCATTTTTTTTTTTTTTTTTGGCATTTTTTTTTTTTTGTTTATATATCCGATTAAAGAAAATAGAGATGGACAAAGTGGGAAAGGAGAAGGAGATATCTCAAGCCTCTCTCCAAGCTTAGAAGAGAAGCCAAAAACTTTGTTCTCTCATGGTGGATTGGTGGGTTGCTAGTTTGGCATTTTTTTTTTTTTTTTGTTTATATATCCAATTAAAGAAAATAGAGATGGCAAGTGAGGGAAAGGAGAAGGAGAAGCTCAAAGCCTCTCTTCCAAGCTTAGAAGAGAAGCAAAAACTTCTGGTCTCTCATGGTGGTTGGTGTGCTAGTTGGTGAAATGAAAACAAGCTGAGTGTCAAAAAAAAAAAAATGACAGTGAAACGTCAAGTATACGAGAGGAAGAATTGCAAAATTCCAAAGCGAAAAAAGTTAAATGAAATGAAAATTAAACTCCTTTTTTTAGTTTTTCTTTGTTCCACTGATACTGAGGCGCTCGACACTAGTAGTAGCAGCTCCAGTACCAGACTACCGGTAGAATAAGACGATAACTTTACTTTTAACACCTTTTAGTTCCACTCAATTACGACTTTTGCCACTATCATTTTAAATTCGAAAACATTCTCCCCAGTCCCTACATCATCCATTAACGCACAGCCTCGAAGCTCAGTCACCTTCTTCTTCGCATGGGGCAGAGCGCGTGAAGGTTTTAAAAACTGCTTTTCGTCCCACCGTTTGATTGGATGACGTGGCTGTTTTGGCCTTTTATACACGTGGAGCTACTATTTCCCTGATAGTTCAGTTTCAGCTTCCAGGAGAAGACGTGTTAGAAGATTATTGGGTAAGACGGTCAATGTATAATTGAGACCGTGACCTGATTATTTTATGACTGTATTTGGTGCCGACGTCACCAAGCGTTAGGCTACCGTGTATATTCTCGTATTTGGGCTTGGCCCAATGATAAAATGACACCGTTTGTGTTACGCGTATGAACCACGCCGTCTTTACGGCTTTAACAAATACTAGTAACCAACACAGTCTCGTTTTCTCCTACCGTCACATATAACTGTTTAGCGAGGGAAGTAAAACGACCCCGCTTTATCCGAAGGCTGAGGGAAGAAGACGCGTGAAAATTCCCGCGCAGTCCGAAGAATTCCAAAAGAAGTTGGGCAATTTGAAATCCAACAATCCCATTTAAATCAGATTGCATTTCCTTTTCTCTCTCGCTAGTCGCTGGCAAGAGTTCTCTCGGAGTTCAATTGTAGATCTGATTGTTGATTCTACTTGAGAGGTAATGATTTATCAGTTTCATTTGCGCAATTTGATCGATAAGTCCCACAAGACCATTTTTCTTCGAACTCAGAGAACATGATTTTGTAGGTAAAGAATTAAAACCAACATTATGACTTATCATCATGAGCGGCACTATCTTTTTAGTCCTTTCCGATTCTGGTTTTCAATCTCTGGGAATTCAATTTCGTTTTGTCTTCTTAAGTTTTTAATTCAATAATATGGAATGGATTAATCGTGTTCAATTTGCTTTAAGGTTTGTATTCACGAAGTAATTGATTTATCGCTCATATAAGAGCCACATATTGCTTCTTTATTCTCTCTCTCTCTCTCTCTCTCTCTTTGTCTCTCTCTCAGCATGTTCTGTTTTTTCTAATTTAACTGCTTCCTGAAAGACCTGTTGCTTACATGTAGCTTTGAACTTCAGAATCTGAAATGGAAAGCGAAGCTGATGAAATTTTGAGGAAGCGTATTAAGCTTGGTGTATGGCTCATTTACCTGTTATGTTACATTAGTCATGCTTTTCATTAGGACAGCAATTAATTAATTTTTTATGCTTCTCAGATGGAAGAGAAAGAACAGGAGGTGACAGATGCGGCAGCTCTAGAGATTGTAGAAAAGGATGAGACTGAGATACACACTGTGGGATCTGAAGAGGTGGAGCTTAATATTGCTCACATTTTTGAGAAGATTGAACACTTCACTCAAATGGTAGCTATGGTCAATTATATTTGTTATATGACTTGAAATGCACATAGAATAATGTACCTTGCCTGACATTAATCCATGATTCCTTGTGTAAAATATCAGCTGTTATTTCTTCTTTCAGTTGAAATGCCCATGGATTTTGAAAGTTTGAGATGGGACCATGATCAATTCTTATAGAACATGATTTAATTTTATGCTGTCATTGATTCATGTAGGTGTCTGAGCTACTAGAATCAGGAAAGGCTATGTTTAAGGAGATGAGTAATGAATTTGAAGAGCGACTGATCATGTCAGTTGCAAATGATAAAATGTATACCTTGCTGTACTCGTACATGTTTCTGTATTAAGAATTCCTGTCTGCAGGCTGCATAAGGAACACATGGAGAAATGGCAGGAGGAGATCAAAGAGTTACGGATGCTTGATGCCTCAAATGAGGAGGCCAGTGCTGTCTTGCACAACGCTAGATTTTTACTTCAGAACCCTTCCATTGATTCCTGAAGGTATTTCAAAATGTGATTCTACTTTAGTTCACCAGCAGAAATGGATTTGATGTAATGTGATCATAGAAAATGCAGAATCCTTCAGTAGGAAAAAGACAACTTCCCAGAAGCTAGCTCTGGAATTTGAGCTGCTAAAGAGTCATTAGGTTGAGCTCAGGTGTCCTGAATTATTGTCATCAACATTTGGTGGACACCTTGTTTACATAGATGGTATGGCAGGGCAGTTGGGTTGCATTATACTCCACAAAATGCCTTTGGCAGATTTTTGCATCATCCTTTTTTACAAGTACCATTGCAAAATGGAGAAGGAAGATAGGATTGAACTTGGAAGTGTTGGTTTTTCCTTTAGTGCTCGGAGGCTGATAGCATTTGAGTAGAAATGAAATTCCAACACTAACTAGAAACCTTTTGAATTGAGCTAAGCCCATAAAAAGATTATGGCACTATTAACAACGCTAATTTTGAATATTACGCTTGCTTCTCTGCAGCCTTAAACTTTAGGCCTTACTGACCAATTTGTGATTGCTCACTTATGCTTAGTGCAATTTAACCTTACGAAGGAACTTACACCTTGATTACAATGTACAGGTGAGAAGAATGAGATTAGCTTGGCGTCAAATGGATGGGGCGTGTCTCCTTAATGTTGGTTGTTCACAAACTGGATATAATATTTGATTCTTAGGATCACCTCTGTTGCTGCAAAAGCTGTTACGAGATTTCCCTGATTTAAAACAGGCAAAAGAAATGATAAAAGTAGCATAGTTCCTCGTTACAATATAAGTATAATAAACAGTATATTTGTCAGTTCACTGTTGTCTAAGAGCAGGAAAATCACGATTTCTATGGTATCGTTGGTATCCGTTATCATTGTTAGCCAAGAGATTGGCACTAGATGTTCCTTTACTTTAGTCAATCCGAGCATATAGTTAACTACTGCAATTGCAATTGCAAGTTGCGTTTTCAAATTAGATTTTGCGTTTTGAATGGTTAATAGTTCCCTCATTGGATGAAGGAAAAGTTCTCTCTTCACTTCAACAGTATAGACAGTTGGCACTGCTACTATAGAATCATGAACATGCCATGAAATATGGCACCCTAGTTATGACCAAATACATTAATTGTACGCATGATAATATCATATCTTACATTAATTAATCGTATCTTATCTATTTGAAGTATATTTTAATTTCTTGATAAGCAATCGGTTTCCATTATTGTGTATGAATTATTGATGTTAATTATTTAAATATATATATATATATATATATAGGAGCACAAAGATTGATAATTTTACTTACCTACTCTATAATTTTGCTAATTGAGCATATGAATGATTTGTTTTGAAATAAATCTAAAAAGAGAATTTAAAGTAATATATAAAATTATTGTATCATATAATTTTATAATTAACAAATTGTCAAATCCTAGGAATACACTTATAATTAATCATGTCCATATGATTATATCCAATGCAGTTAAGTTAATAAACTATGATAATGCTTATATATAATAATTAGATTTTCTTTCTTGTTAATTAGATTCATCTCACTAAAAAGACGCTTTAAAAATATTAAAAAATAATATATCAAATATACAGATTAAATGCAAATAAGACAACATGACTTTTCATGACTAATTAAAAAATATTAAGTTTGCAACAAAAAAAAAAAAAAAAGATTTTTGATGCTATATTATTTTGTGCAATTTTTAGTAGCATTTGGCAAATATGTTAACCAATTAAGGATTACGTAATGAACCTGGCAAATATGTTAGCCAATTAAGGATTAAGTAATCAACTTAATTAGCTAACATTATTGTAATAATAATCCTGCATTTAATGAAAGAATATTTCTTTTTTTTTATTCATTTAGGAGGCTAAATGGACCAAAATAACCTGTCATATTACCACTAAATATTTATATATTTAGTAAAAAAATATTTCATGACCAGACGAGACCTTATCACTTATTATAAATAGCAGTAATTATCATGGTCAAATATATTCTTCTAAACTATTAAGTTAAGGATCTCTTTTCAGAAGAAAAAAAACAAAATGGTGATGGCTTTTATCTTCGTAACGCTAGGGTTTTTTTCCACGAAAACAAATGTAGTATCAGCAAGTTGGCAGCAAGCCCATGCAACTTTCTATGGCGGCAGTGACGGTAATGGTACAATGGGTGAGTCTCCATTTCCAATCTTTCCTTATTGAAATAATTAACAAGCTTTTACTGTATTATGTTTATATATACATATATGTGTATATAGGCGGTGCCTGTGGATATGGAAATCTTTATACCGACGGCATTGGAGTAAAAAATGCTGCACTGAGCACAGCTTTGTTCAATGATGGCAAAGCATGCGGTGGATGCTATCAGATTACCTGCGATTTTGCCAGAGACCCTGAATGGTGCATCCAGGGTACATCCATCACAATTACTGCTACAAATTTCTGCCCACCAAATTATAATCGTCCCAATGACAAAGGAGGATGGTGCAACCCTCCACTCCCTCACTTTGACATGTCTCAACCTGCCTTTCAGACTATTGCCAAGTACAGTGCTGGAATCGTACCTATCCTCTATACGAAGTGAGTGACTTCTAAAATCTAAATAATCAATCCTTATTCATTCCTATTAATTAAAAAGGACAAAAAAAGAGAAAGAAATCTTGCCAAATAATTCTATGATCAGTAGTAATTATTTTGATTACTTGAATTTGGCGTATAGGGTGCAATGCCAGAGAAGTGGAGGCATAAGATTTACTATAAACGGAAGTAACTACTTTGAGCTAGTGCTAATATCAAATGTAGGAGGACCTGGAGAGATCTCAAACGTATGGGTAAAAGGGTCGAAATCAAATAACTGGGGAATTATGTCAAGGAACTGGGGTGCTAACTGGCAGAGCCTTGGCTATCTGAATGGGCAGAGCTTGTCGTTTAGACTCCAAGCAAGCGACGGACGTATCCTCACAGCTCCTGACGTGATACCCTCTAATTGGAAGTTTGGCCAGTCCTTCAAAACCAATGTTCAGTTCAACTAGAATATATATATATGTCTATCAAAGTTTCTATGTGCTTATATATTTTCCTTTCAACGAAACGTTTGTATGATTATGAACGTAGCTTGGCTGTGGCATTGGCGTCGGTAATGAAGCCCACCAACCAAGTATATGAAAATTAATTATATATGTGGAAAATAGAATCATATTACTCTGTCTGAAATTGTTTGAGAAGCTTAAAAACTGGAAACTAAGCTTAAACTTCAATTCGCTAATGCATGCAAAAACTTGTACTTTACCCAAGATTTTGCTACTAGCCAAGCAAAAGACCAGCAAATGCACATGCTCTATATATATATATGTATGTATATAGTTTCATTTTTTATGGTTGTATTTTATGCAAATAAAAATATTATCAAATGGAAGACTAATAATAATGTTGACTTTGAAAACTTTTTACATAAGTGATTAAAATTTTAAAAGGGAATATATAAGTAGGAAAGAAGAAGAATATAGATAGATCATGTGATTAATTAATTTAGCGAAACGAATCAGATAGTTAATGCTTTAAATTATTCATGTTATTAAATATTATAAATAAATTATGATAATTGGCTTTCCTTTCTGGTTTATATAAGAGATATCTCCTTGGTAAGTGATGTTGCATTATCAATCTTAAACGATGAATTTTTTTTTTTTTTGGATCAAATTAATTTATTAAGTTAAACTTAATATATATGTGTGTGTATGGTGATTGTGCATTAATAATTTAAACGATATGAATTATTTTTTTTTATTTTTGGGATAAATTAATGTATTTAAAGTTAAACTTATATATATGTGTGTGTATATAATTAGAGGTTTATTAATATATAAATAGATATAATTAGAATTATAAAATTTTAAATATTAAAATGCTTTGCTTTAACCTAAAAATCAAGGATAAATTTAAAATGGGTTTTTCTGTTATTATTCTCGTTTTATATTTGTTCATTGGACGAAAAATTACTGTAATGACAATTTAATATATGACAAATAAAAGGTTTAAAGATTAAAATTAAATAGATAAACTTTCTTTAATTATTATAAACTATTCTTATTAAATTATAGCTATTTGAGCATATAAGCTAAGAGAGTATATATAATTAGAATTACTAAAATTTTAAATATTAAATGTTTGCTTTAACCCTAAAAATCAAAGGATAAATATAAATGAGATTCCTTGTTATTAATTCTTCGTTTTATCAATTTTTCATTGGCGACAAAATTACTGTTGACAATTTACTATTATGACAATAAAGGTTAAAGATTAAATAAATAATAAACTATTCCTATTAATTATTATAAAACTATTCTTATTAAATTATAGCTATTTCACATATCAAAGCAAGGAAGTCGATGTATTAACAAGAAATTAAAAAGCCATCATTATTAGTTTTAACATTTTCGTTCGAAAAATATATCATAAAAAAATTATTTTATTTAATTTTATATTAATATGATGCGGTTGATTTTTTTTCATTTTCTATATAATCAGATTAGAGTATTTTTCAACGATGAGGAAATAAACATACATATATCAAAGAAAATTACTTAATAGGAAATAAATATCTATGCATCTATTTGTTTTCAAATGATCAAATGTGGTTAATCCAAATATGATGATACATTTCCTTCCTGATTAACTAGATACAATCTAAATGTAATTGTAATCATAATCCTGAACCCTATCTATATTTTATTACCAAACAAGACTTTATGACTTATTTTAAGTAGCCGTTATCTTGATACCATCAAATTATAAGTATATTCTTTTAAACTATATTCAAAAAAAGTGGGGGAAAAAAAGTTACATATCTCCTCTGACAAGAAAAGATACAAAAATGGCGGTGGCTTTTATCTTCATATTGCTAGGGCTTTTTCCCGCAAAACCAAACGCAAACTCAGAGATTTGGCATCAAGCCCATGCAACTTTCTATGGTGGTAGTGACGCTTCTGGTACAATGGGTAAGTCTTCATTTCGGAAGCAATCTTCTGTATCTCATCAAAATAGTTAATTAATAAGCTTTTTGAAAAAATCAAAATACTTAAACTTTTAATGTTGTCATATCATACGTATGTATAGGCGGTGCCTGTGGATATGGACATCTTTATAACTACGGATACGGAACCAAAACTGCTGCATTGAGCACAGCTTTGTTCAACAATGGCGCGTCATCCGGTGGGTGCTATCAGATTGCCTGCAATTCTACTAGAGACCCCGAATGGTGCCTAAAGGGCACATACATCACAGTTACTACAAATTTCTGCCCACCAAATTATGCTCTTGCTAATGACAATGGAGGATGGTGCAACCCTCCACTCTCACACTTTGACATGTCTCAACCTGCCTTTAAGAGTATTGCCAAGTACAGAGCATGGAATCGTACCTGTTTTCTATAGGAGGTGAGTTAATTCTAACTAATTAATATTAAAGAGGAAAAATAAAGAAATCTATATATGATTACTGATAATTAATTAATGTGGTTACTTGCATAGGGTGCCATGCCACAAAGCGGGAGGCATAATTAAGATTTACCATGCATGAACAGAACTACTTTGAGCTAGTGCTAATATCAAATGTAGGCGGAGCCGGAGATATCTCAAAAGTATGGGTAAAAGGTTCAAAATCGAAGAGTTGGGAATTAATGACAAGAAATTGGGGAGCTAACAGGCATAGCCTAAGCTACCTGAATGGACAGAGCTTGTCGTTTAAAGTCCAAGCAAGTGACGGGCGTAAGGTCACTGCTCATAATGTGGTGCCTTCTAATTGGGCGTTTGGGCAGTCCTTCCAAAGCAATGTTCAATTCCATTGGTACTTGTAGTTGTACCGTATGTTCTTAATTATTTGTTACCCTTTTCACAGAACGGTTGTATGATCATATATGGCAGATATAGAATTCTAGGGTTAACATATATAATTAGAAACGAAAAGGAGTAAAAAATAATAATAAATTTAATTTAATACAGTTAACTATATGTATACATATTTGTGGCTTTATTTCATTTGATTACTCATGCCTGCTTTGTTGTTTTTAGGATCGGGATCCATCATGGTGCTTTGCCCTTTCCTATCAATTGGAAAATGGTGATTCCTAGGCTATGACATCCACTCAACACTTTCATGGATAAAATCAAATTACAAGAGAAAAATATAATTACAAATATATCATTAATTATGTATATATTCAGTTCCATTATTGCAATGATAAGAGAATATATATACATAAGATAATTAATTATCCATATCCCTCACATTAGTTCGATGGTATTATTCGGGTAAGAAAAATTTGGAAAAAAGGAAGGAAGAAAATCAAGACTTATTGGGGGCAAGCCTGGATTTAATCTTCTCAATCTCCTTGGTGCCAACTTGAAAAGATTTAGTCAAGATATTGGTGGGGACTGGTGGAGATGCAGCAAAAAGTGTCGCCCCAATGGACTGGGTTCCAGGCAATTGACTATTGAATGCTGAAATTACAGAAGCTGCCTCCTCACCATTGTTCCTCTGGAAGTGAACCAAACCTCTGGGAAAGACAAAAACTTCACCTTTCTTCACAATTTTTGATATCAACTTGTTAGCAGTGGTGACAAATCCTACCTCCAATTCACCCTCTAGAACAAATATCATTTCGGTGGCGCGTGGGTGTATGTGCGGCGGGTTAAGCCCCTCAGGAGCATAGTCAATGCGGGACAGAGATATTCCTAGAGTGTTCAGGCCTGGAATCTTCTCAACATTAGCTCCCGTCACTAATGATCCTACTGAATTATTCACAACTCCAGCATTAGCTAAACCATCAAACGAAAAATCTGTCTCTGTAATATTAGCCTCTGGTTTGCACGGAAACCCATTTAATTTCGCAACTGCATACATACAAATATATATATCATCAAATTACAAGGACCATAAAAATTGTACTAACCTACTCCAGTCAGAGCAATATGAAAGAAAAACCAATATTATACCTGAAGATTTATCTGCGACGCAGGTATCTTGAAGCGGGTCAGGATCATAAGCAAGGGTGGAGGAGAGGGTAGCAAAAATGAGTAGATATTTGAGAAAAGTAGCTGCCATGCTTGGATTTGAGAAGGAGAAATAGTACGGGTAGGAAGGAGACAGGAAAAAGAAAAGCTATGACATAAAAGGAAAAGAATAAGAAAATTGTGGTCTGTGATGAGACGGACTAGCTTTGCGCATTTTATAGTGTGTATGATTAAATTAAAGACATGGTTGATTAGAAAGAGAGAGATCAAAGATGTGAAATTAAAGCACAAAAAAAGGCATATATGAAAACTCTACTTATCCATAAAGCAATTGATAATGTCGCCAATAAGGAAAGCATTGAAAGATTAGGTGACAAATGACAAAAGTGCAAAATCTGAAAAAATGAACGGAGTGAAAATATGTGCGCCAAACTGGAACAGGTAAAAATGGGGCCTATATAGATAGGACATGGACATCTCTACCACCGCCACTTTAGCCCAATAATTTCTTGTCGTGGTTTGGAAAAGGGTTTGGCGAAGCAGCTGTGTACCGGTGGTTCAATAGTCCTGTCATGTCGTATGGTTGTCTTTTACTGCAGGATTCTGTCTGTCTGATGTCTCTGAGTTTGTGTTTATTTAAAACAAACCATTTAGTTTATGTTCGTCTGTTATTTTTATATTTGAGCTGCATAGGCAAATTATATTCTTTGATTCTATTTAAGATTTAACAAAACATGAAATTATTTTAAGTTTTTGAAGCCACGATTTTTTTCTGAAATAATTCCAGATGAAAAGATATCTGTTGGCTAATAATTCTGTAATAGTTGAGGTGGATAATTTAGGAACATTGAGGGAGCATGTTGAATGAAAAAGTTGCCATGATTATTCCTTTAACGCAAACCGTGGGTCAAAAATACGACAGCAACATGGGTTAACCAACCTAACAATTATAAAAGAAAATGGGAGATCCGGCCCCCACTCTGGCCCAATTTCTGTTATTACACAACGTGGGTGAAAGCAGAAAAATAGAGGTTTAAAATTATTTCGGCTTCGCACACTTATAGGAGGGACGACCAAAAGCATTGACTATGAAAATCACAAACCAAATTTAACAGTGCTGGTAATAAAGTTCCCATACCAGTCATTTATAACAAACAAAAAAATATTTCCATCAATTCGCATCTTTTATAATTACAATAGAAAGATATTATTGACGCTCCATCTTTTAAAAAAAAATAATAATAATTTCTGAAAGATATTTCTTAGTCTAAAATATATCAAAATTATTTTAAAGAAAAATGACTTTCCACTTTTAAAAGAAAAAAAATATTTTTCAAATATTTACAAACTTCTTTTTTTGTTAATAATATATATTTATTAATTCACTAATCACTCAAAGTCTTGTCAATTAAAAATTTTGATATCTTTCAACTAATTTTTTATAGTGCAAATAAACATTAAAAAAAAAAAGAGAGATATTTGAAAAATATTTTCCAAGCATTTTAGATATTTAGTCTTTGGAAAGAGAGCTACCCCCAGCTCAATTCAAATCCGACGGACCAAGAAATAAAATAATAAGCAAGAAGAAACCGAGCTTACTTTCCAATAACGGGTATTTACCGCACCACAGGGTACGAGAAATCCACGAGTAAAGCAAGCTCAAAGGCAAAAACTTGCAAATGATACAAGCGAGCAGTTAGGTAATGAATTTCTAAGAAAGCGCCTAACCGTAGATTAGATGAGCTTAGATGCTTGTATAGACACAGCATTAGATATGTAGAAAGTCAAGTAACTGGCACTGATGACTTGAAATTCTAGTGGGATTCTCTATCCTATAAAAATAAATAAACTAAAACTAAAGTTCAGTCCCAAGGGAGCACAGGGACAGGAAAAGGAAGTATGAAAATAACCTTTTGATTAACATCTTACCATCCCAAAAAGGGAAAGAAAGAAAGAAGAAAGAAGAAAAAGGAAATGTGAAGGATAAATGATGAATGAGGCAAACAAAATAATTGGATGCTAGAAACTTAAAAAGAAGCAACAGTTCTAGCAACCCGGATTGATCATCCTGCTGTGTATAAACTAATCTTCAACAGAAAAGAGGAATTGGAATTGACAAAAAGACAGCTTCTATATTCCAAAGAATGTCAAAGATTGATTCTGAATCTGGAATTCTTTAAATGATTACCCCTTGCTCGACAATGATTGATTACACATGTGAAAACAATTATCCTGATGATCTCCAGATTCTTCCCTCAAGAGAAACCACCATGACAGAGACATCGTCATGATATTTTCGCCGATCTCCATGAGGAATGTCGAGCAATTCATGAAAATCCATTCCTGCAACAGCCAATTAGGAGCCATCATTAATTAACAAGAATTCAATTTGTGAAAGAGAGACTATTTATTCCAGAACTAATAACAGTGCAAGGAAACAACTACCAATCTATTGACCGAGTTAAAAGAGCAACTAACTCCAAATTTGCTTTTTAGGTAAAATTATGCAGCTACTCTCTCCTATCATTTAACAAACTGTATTAACAGGATAATTTAGTCATTGAAATCAAATTTAGGACAAATTCATCATAGGGAAGACAAGAGAAGCTGTGTGTAGCTTTTCTGAAGTGGGTTTGAAATACTGTGTTACACTGTTTCACTTTGGAGCTTCATTAGCGAACTTGACAATGTATATTGTTTCCATTATGAAAAAGTAAAAAATATGAACACTGCGAAATATAAGCCATTTTCTATTTTGGTACCAAACAGGAAAATTCTCATCTAAAATAGTTTTGCCTGGAAATTTTAATATGAACTACCATCTCCAAGGGTTGTAAATTTTCCATGACAGAAAATTAGTGGAAACAACAAAACAAAACATTGCTAGCTTGAGGATCTCAATCAGAAAGAAAAAGCAAATTAGAAGCAGAAATAAAAATGATCTATAGTTGGAGGGTTTCTATATGGTCTATGCAGAATAGTGGCTACTTAGCAACTGACCGCAACTTGATAAAGAATTTGAAGGAAGGTCAGGTAATTTACTCCACTAACCATTCTTTTTGGCAGCACGGAAGAGAAGCTCAGCAATTAGATACTGTGCAGGATCACCTTCAGGGACATTTTCCATGAACCATGTGACATGGGCAACCACCTCTTCATTGCTGAAGTACTGGTAAAGCCCATCAGAAGAAAGAACCAAGAAACGATCACTTGAGGAAAGCCGATGGTGCACAACAGAAGGAATGCAGCTAACATAGGGATTAGTTCCCACATAATTGATCCGAAAGATCTCTAGAAGAGCTTCATTACAGGTTGGCTGCAACCAAGTTAAATAAAAAAAAAGTTAGATCAAATCTTGCAATACTTAACAAATTCAAACAGATGATGAACTAAAATTTTTGCAAAGTCATACAAAAGAGTCGCACATGTGTCCAATGAGCCAAATGAAAGTTACAAATGAAGTATTTCTTTAACTCAAACAATGAAATACTTATCCAAATTGTACAACATAAAACACCATTTGGGCCTTCACTAAGTGGCGTAAACTTGAAATCTAAATAGAATAACTCAAAATCATCCAGGCCAAATATGTAGGCAAAATTCTCAATCTGCATAAGGTTTCACATCCCCTAAGAGCAAAATCTTTAACTCAGTACATATATCAACCTTGAACCAGTAAGCCAATTATCATCTTCACAGTGACATCCATTTTGATATCAGTCCATCCCATGCTTCACTGCTCCATTTATACTGCCTTGCTTCAAGAGCAATATATATATGGATAGGTAGCTCCTTTATTGCCCAAAACTGTGAATAATTTTTGTGATTCCATTCATTATTAAAGCCATATGCCACATCTGGTTGACCTTGCCTTAGGGATGAGCATCATAAAAATAAACAAATACAGGATCCTTCCTTCCACCTTCCTCCCTTTCCCACACTCAACACTTAAATACTACCAATGAGATAGGGACAAGCACCAAATACAGCCTGGAAATAGCTGAGGTCAAAATGGTATATTTCAACCCTAGGTTCCGTATTCTGAAACTCACCCAACAATTCCCATCATAATATCGTGTGTATGCCCTAATTTGATTTTTAAGACTAACTATTCAGGCAATAATGGCATCTCATATTTCATGAAGCAATCCAAGTATCCCTGAAGCCCCCCAGCGAAACTGACAGTTCTGTTGAAAGTTTGTGGCCTTGCCTCCTACAATCCTGCCTATGCAAGCAATGTTGGAAAGCAATAATTTTCTCACCATTGCAGCTTCATTGCCTGCTCATTTTCAATTGATGATAAACACTCACCAAGCTGCTCCCACAAATACTCAACCACCAAAGCATTTTAGCTCCTAATTATTTGGAGGACCCGAAAATGAGATTAAAATAAAAATAAATGAAGCACCAACTTGATTGAGAAAACACTACTGGCAGAAAGCTCAACCATACAGCACACACAGCCACATATTGCATAGTGGACCCAGCAGTCATCTTGCATACAACACAGAATCGAGGGAGACAATAAGGGATGAATTGCACTCGGATTATATCATATCGAGCATATACATTATCTTCATACTGTTCATCACTATGTTCCATATTTTTCTGAAAATGGAAAGCTTTGGCATGTGAGCAAATGAGAGATACAGAAATGTTCTAGATAGAGACATTGCTTGAATGAACCGCAAAAGGGAGGATGCATTTTACTTAAGAATCTTTATAAATGAAGCATCAAAAATAGGATGGGTAGAACAGGGCAGGACATGGAAATTTTTGTAATGGCTTCAACATTTCCCTTTTACAAAATAATTATTCATAGTGTTATAAATTACATACCTACTGTACATAAAGATAGAAATATTTTTTCAAGGCTTCAGACAAAAATATCAAGTTAAAAATTTTATTTAGAATTAAAGAGTAGTTAATCACAGAAATATTAAAAAGAGCAATAGCCTTGTGGCCAACATATTTTAATAGCACAAATTACCTAGGGAAACAAAAAATAGGAAAGTTAGATCAAATATTCAAAGGTACAATATCTACTAACCTTCTTTAGAAATCCAGCACCAAATGCTCTGGTAACTTTCAACTGCCCCTTCACTCGGTCATTCAAAATGGCTTGGTCGTCATCAGGATGTTCTGCCTTTACTCTGATCACTTCCTGTGGAAAGAAAAATGGATACAATATTATTTCCAATTATAGCAATACAAGACCAGAATTCTATGTTTAACTCCGCAAATCTAGGTCAAATCTAGTTGAGGTCTATGAGATCCTTGGATTATGTGGCTTCTACAGGAATTCAAAATAACCAAAAAATCCACAGGCGACTAATTGCTGAGAAATTTTATATTAGCCATGCACATTCTCTTGCACTTGGGTTTTAATTTGGCAGTATCGTTATTCCATACGTCATTGAAAAGCACATAGTATAACTCAATATTTAGGTAAACATATAAGCAAATAGAATTGTCTGTGGAAGTAATCAGTTCATAAAAAAATCAGTAAGTGCTGAAATTTTCAGTTTCATTCTAATTCATTGATGCAATTATCTAACACAACTTGGATATGGCTGAAATAGAAAAAGTAACCTTTTCCTTTTTCTGGAACTACAAAAGGACAAATGTAAAAGAGAAGATATTGGTTATACCAATCTGTCTGCCGAACACTGGTTTATAATTTCCAGAGATCTTAATGTAGCTTGATAAAATTAAAAATAAGCATATTTAAGTTGAACTCAAAGATAACCAATCATGGAAACGTCATGAGAATTACTAGATTGAAACTTTCAAGAACTGAACCTGCTCAATACTTGTGCTGTGATCAGTGGAAAGCTGAACAGCTCTCATCTTCAATCTGCAAATGGATATTTCTCTATTCTTGTTGATCATATTAACCTGATTGTTTTGATTGTGCATTGGAGACTCCTCTGAAATTCTGTCTAGCTCCATGCGTACTAATGACTCTCTGGATCTGTTCCTGTGCCTCATGTCATCCTTTGCGAAACTTGGATTTGGATGGCGATCATTAGGCCTTTCCTGGGCTAAGATGGCACGGCTATCCCCAAGGTTCATAACATAAACATCTTGATCCTTCATTAACATCACTAGAACACAAGAACCCATTAAAGCGAGTTCTGCATTTTTATCAAGTGTCTTTTCCACCATTTCCATGTATGCCTCCTCAGTGTGGTCAAGTGCACGGGACATTGCTCTTAAAACTGCATCATGATCAATAATTCCTGATTTACATCTCCTAATGGGTCCAGGAGGTTCTACTACTCTCTCATCAACACAAACCTCCTCTCTGTGCCAATCATAGCTCCAAGGAAAGAGTTTCTTACGCAAAGATTTCTGCTTCCTATACATTTTTCTGATCTTTGAGCTGATAATGGACTTTCTTGTACTCTGTCGTTGCATTGAAACAGAAAGATCAGTTGCGACTTCTGGATTACTAGATTCGAACCCAATCCCTCCATCCTCTCCAGATGTAGAGGGATCTTCACTTTGTTGATTAGGACCATCTCCATTGCCATTGTTCAAAGAACAAGATCTTTGCTGTTCTTCTTGTAAAGTTGGTCTGGAATCCAAAAAATCTGAATTTGGCTGGCAACTGCACATACTCTTTGTTTGGTTTTCAACCAGAGTGACGGAGACAGGACTTAGCCCGTTGCATGACTCCAGTTGCAGTAGCTCATACAGACGCATACTTTTCCTTCCTTGGCCAGTCAAGTTGGCAGTTGGAATGGAGACAGAATCAGAACCTGAGTTGCTGGACTTTTCAAAATTAGATGATTGCTGCTGACTGCCCCTAATACTATCACTTTCCTCTACTATTTCACATCTAGAAGATTGACCCCCGACAACTCTTGGATTGCACAATTCTTCTAAACTACAACAAGTTACTTGACTTGAATTAGGCTGGTCTTCCTTCCCAGATTCTGAGCCAGCCTCAATACATAGACTCTTTGTATTTTCAGGTTCTATTTGATCATTTACAGATTTATCTTCATAATCCCATAGCACTCCTTCCAATTCTCTGTCAATAGCTTTATAAAGATGGCTCATGAGAAAATCTGGCGCATCTGGGCCGCTAAAGCCATCATATATCCCAATGAACAACCATCCTTGCTCTTCTGAAAGCACAACATGAACCCTATCCTCACCAGCCTTCCCATGAGCCCATTGTAAGTTACGACTGTTCACATACTCCCCTTCTGATGATCCTCCTTCAACATTACGTGAAGCTTCTGGTTTAAACTTTGGCTCCCTGACATGCCAGGCCAATTGGGTCACTGGATGCAAGAAAAACCTCTGCATCCAACCTGTCCCAATTGAATGTTTTGAGAATGTCCGAGATAAAGTATTTTTCATTGGTCCACTTACACTTCTTACTAAATGCTGGAAGCGAGGTCTTCTACGACCACGTGCAAGGGGAGCAGAAAAGTTGGATTTGTCGGTAGCATCAAGAGGACCTGACATTACCCCTTTCTCAATTGGTCCAGACATAAAACCACTCCCCCTATCTAAAGGACCTGAAGCAAAACCTCTCTCAAGTGGTCCAGACATAAATCCATTCAAAGGTCCAGAGCCACGAGGCACCGGCTGCAAAGGGATTGCAGCAAATGAGGAGGTGCTCTCAAATGATGCAGCAGGCTCTTGCATGTCACTAGCAAACAATGCACTCTGGTTACCAGTCCTAGCAGTTGAAACATTGGCACTAACCGATGCCCCCGATATGGTTTTAAATGTAGTTTCAGGGAAAGTCTTGTTAGGCCTATGCAATCCAGATGGATCATCTATTGCGTCATGTCTAAATGACCCACTTAATGTTTCTGAATCTAGGGTACTAGAATCAACTGTAAACCTCTCAGAGTTTGAAGGGGTAATGGCAGGAGAGTCAAAAATTGATGGCCTAACATAACAGAAAGAATGGCCCAATCCCTCATCCAGTGGCTCTAAAAACTCTAAATCAACACCATTTTTGCCATTAAACGGCACAAAACAACCCACAACACGAGAAGTGCTGTTCCCCATTTTGTTAGTATATACCTCACAAAAAAGAGATACAGGACCTCTGATATGGAGGGCTTATCTCATTTTGCACCATTAGGAAATACAAAATGAAAAAAATTAAACAAAATCTCAAAAACCCACTAAAAACCCCAACCACCTTATAACTTTTCAAGTAACTATACATCATCAAAATCTCATGCTCCGAGCATTAAAACCCAGACCCCGTCGATGCATAAGAAGCCACAGCTTATATATTTAAAGCAACCAAAGGGAAAAAAAAAAAAAAAAAAACTAAGAGCTTAGCTAATCAGCTAGAGTAACTGAACCGATTCTATTATCAATTAAGATTGCAAAAATGATATAAAGAGCAAAAGCAACAGTTCTACAGCTTAAAATGTGATGATCTGACCTTGCGAGGGTGCACTAAAGCGAGAATAAAGCAGTGGATCGACCAGAGCAGCAAATAGATCTAAGAGACAGTCTCAAAGGGACAGTAAATGGAACATATCAGGTAGGAACAAAGACACAAAACCCATTTAGATTATCTTTTTTTCCCCGTGGAATCTGACAAAGTCGCCAAATAAAAAACACAACCAAGTTGATTTCACCCCATAAGGTTGAAACAAGCACACAAATACTGCTCCTCAAAATCCATCTACCACTATAAAAATCAAACCCAAAAAAATTAAAATTAAAAAAAAAAAGAAAAAAAAAAAAAAAAAAAAATGATCTGACCTTGCGACGGGTGCACTAAAGTCGAGAATAAACAGTGGATCGACCAAGCAGCAGCAAATAGAAAATCTAAGAGACAGTCTCAAAGGACCAGTAAATGGAACATATCAGGGTAGAACAAAGACACAAAAACCCATTTTAGATTATCTTTTTTTTCCCGTGGGAATCCCTGACAAAAAGTCGCCAAAATAAAAAACACAACCAAGTTGATTTCACCCCATAAGGTTAAACCAAGCCACACAAAATACTGCTCCCCTCAAAATCCATCTACCACTATAAAAATCAAACCCAAAAAAATTAAAATTAAAAAAAAAAAGAAAAAAAAAAAAAAAAAACAAGAAAGAGGTTCTTTTGAAGTTTACCAGGTCTATAGAGAGGCAAAAAAATAGAGGGAACAGGGGAAAGAGAAGAGAGAAAATGTGTATTTTAGTAGCTGATAGTAAAATAAAAAATTGGGATTTGGTGTGATGATGAGGGAAATCCCAAGTTGAGTTCATCAAGGAGGGGTCTCTTTCTTGGGGTTTTCAAATGGTTTGGCGAGGGTAAAAAACTTCCATAAAAAAAAAAAAAAAAGAAAGATATATATATATATTATATATATATTATATATATAATATCAAAAAAATAAAAGAATATATAATATCAAAAAATAAAAAGAAAAATCAAACTAAAATTAAAGTTGAAAAGTAGAGACGCAGAGTAATTAAACATGGATTTGGTTTGTTTTGCTCCTGTAATAAGTATTGTTTTTTTTTTATTAATTTTAATTTTAAGTTTCCTTACAAATGATTGGTGGTGCTTTTGGTGCTGTTGGAGTCAATGAATTGGCACTCATCATCATCATCATCATCATCATAGTCATCAACAAAATTGGATGGGTGGGGTGAAGTGGGCCCACCATTTTTAAAATTTTGACCCTTGTTTTACCATAATTATCATAATCTAATCACTAATCAGTGGGTTCTTAACCTTAAACAATTACTAATACCAATTGGTTTAGAGAAAATCAATTATAATATCAAAAGATTCTGATACATAAAATCAATTATAAGAATATTACAATCAAATCATTGATATATGTATTATGCATATTTTACAAGATATCATCTCAACTCAATAAAATGTCAATCTAATTTTTAATCCATATTCAAATATGTAATTTTTAAAAAATAAGCAACATGACGTATTGATTTCTAATATTTTTTTTAAAGAGAAATGAGTAGTCATTTATTTAATAAGAAGGATTTGTTGCATTTCCATTAACCTTTAACAATTTATAGACACGAAAAATATTTCTCTACATTTGATAATAAAAAAAATGTATGAGATAAACCAATTCTTGGTTGCTGGTTGGACCAATTCGATTTTTTTTTAAAAAAAAAAAATGGCAAAGTAGTAACAAAAGGTAATAAACTGTTAAAATAGCAGTTAATCACACATGTATTAATTGTAGGTAAATAATTTCCGAACCGCACGATAACAAACCGTGTAATGTTAAAGTCTTCTGTTTGAAAAAAAAAATGTATTCAAATCCAAAATTTTTTTTCTGTCCGTTAATCATTCCTTAATCATGCAAAAAAGTCAAAATATAATCCAATATCAATTAGGAGGATTTAAAAAGAAAAAACAAACAGATGGGAAAAGTCATACTATTCACACTAAATTTAGAAATTTGGCAGCTAAAAATACTTTTTTATCTGATTTTTCAACTATTAAAATAGCGATTAACGAACGTGATTCCCAATTAATTTTATTAAATTAATATGACTATAGCCCTCAAAGATAAAAAATTCTCCGTCACTATAGATGATTGTTCACTGTAATTACTTTGTTTGAAATTTCTTTTCATGAACTGTGATTATATTTCAGAACGTGTTTGTGTAAATGGCAACAGTTTTTGGAGCAAAAATTTTGTCATTCATATGGAAATTGATGAAAAGGACTGAAAGCTACACTCTCAGTTGAAACTATGAATTTGATTGGCGGTTAAAGACTTCCAAATCTTTTTTTCTTATTATTATTATTATCAGGAAAACAACATTCCATTTCCGAGAGAGAAATATTTTCGGGATATTGGCAATCTTGTAAATCTATATTTTTAATTTATTAATCATCATAGTCACAACCATCAGTCATCATTTATCACCGACCACCACCATCTGCCAGCGATTTTCATAATTTATATATATTTTTTTTTGCATTCTTTTTACATTTAACAGTAAAATTTTTAAATTATCAAATTTATATTATTATTAATATTTTTTTATAGTCTTACAAGATAAAAACGTTAATATTTTTAACTAATTTTTAATATTACAATTAAACAACAGAAAATAAATCATTTGAAAAATATTTATCAAGGAAAATGTTTTTGATGAAAATATTTTTCAGCAAATTATTTTTCTGCAAGTTATTTTACAGAAATGAACGGAACCTAAATTGATGAAAATTTGTATAATTGAGAATATCCAACTTGAGATCTCCCACTATTCACAACATGAAGAAGACCGATCATACCAAACCTGGTTGGCATGTAATTAAGTATTTCATAATTAGTGTTGTAAAAGTCAAAGTAGTGAATTTTGCATCCCAAACCTTAGTTTGTTAATTATATTTTGACTAAAATTCTAAGATCACAATTTCATAAAAAAAATATATATATATTATAGTTTAATCCATCCATAAATAAACTCTAATCAAATTTGTGATTATAGTTATTAAGAGTTTATACATACATTAAAAACCCTTTTATACAGTGCCTGATAACCATGCCCATGAATGGAAAGATCATAGATGGTATCACTACATATAACATGTCTCTATGTAAATACAAAAACAATATTTGTGAAGTCACATTCATGCCTAACTCTCAATAAGCACAGCACAGGATGCCAACTCCACTCTATAGGCACCCAACCTTTATTGCTTCACTTAACCAAATCCACTACATGATGCATAAAGGGATTACCCTTCTTCTCTCACTTTTCCTTCCCTTTTCAACTCTAACTAATTGCTTCTGTTTCTATTATACATATTAAAATACTTTCTTTCTGAATTTTTGCACATATAATAATTAGAATAATGATAAAAAATTAAAAAATATTTAACTATTCCAATATAAATATAAATATATATATATATATATCTAACCTCAAATTTTGAATGAGTATAGTGTTATTAATGAGTGGGCTCATACATACCATTAAAAGGTGCACCTTCTTTTATTACACGTGGGACCCTGATAACCTCATGCCCATGCAATGGAACAGATCGAAGTAGATGGGTAATCGTATCGTACGGGAGGCACTATAACATGTCTCTATGTAAATACAAAAAACGAAATATTTAGTTAAGTCTATCATTTCATGCGCTAACTCTCAATTGAAGCACAGAGCACCAGCATGCCAACTGCCGACCTAAATAGACCAGCCTTCTAAGCCTTATAATCTGCCTTCCATATAACAAATCCACTAACATGAATGCCATAAAGGATTACCCTTTCTTGCTGCTCATCTCCTTTCCCATTCCGCGTTTTCAACTCTACACTAATCCTGCGGATCTGTTGTCTTACCTCCAGCTCATACAGTTATTTAAAATACTTTCTTTCATGAATTTTTGCACATTGATTAATAATTATAGGCCGGAATAGATGCATTAAAGAGAAAATCAGAAGAATATTTAACCTAGTTCGCCTAATATACAATTAATAAGCTAGGGTATCGGGGACGTCATAATACCGTATATACTGTTTCAAGTGGGCAGTCTTCAGACCAGAAAGGTCCAAGCCAGCAAAATGTATTTGTTGTCTAGGAGGCCTTGGCGGACCCAAGGATTATATCTGACATCCAACAATCTACGTAAGTGGAAGTTGAGAGCAGAACTCGTAAGTCAGAGGAGAACCATGGAATATAAATATAAATATATATATATATATATATTTCAAGTGGGCATCTTCAACCAAAGTCCAAGCCAGCAAAATTATTTGTTGTTTAGGAGGTTGCACCCAAGGATTAATCTAATCAAAATCTCCTAAAGGAACAAAACTGTAAGTCAGAAAATGGCCATTATCATTAAGAAAAACACTATAATAGATAAAAGAAACCATAAAGTCTAATTTGATTCTCACATCCGTCCAAACCCCTTGTCAATATAATATGAGGGACACCTTTATTTTAAAAAAGGGGTAAATTAAAAAATAAATTAGTTTTTATTTTATTTTCATTTATTAAATAAGAAACACGCTAAAAACAAGACATACTTCTTCATAAGATTATGCTAATCCATAATAATTCAGTACAATTTTTACAATTAATATGGAATCCAAACGATTAATTGACTCTTGACTAATTGAATATCTATCTCGTAATAATAAATAAATTCAACTGTTTAGATGTTGTAGCTGGTCTTTAATTTTTAAAATTCAACATGTAAAAATAAATAAATAAAAATGAATAGTGTTTCTGACAGATGGTGAGAGTAGATTTCAGACATGGACGACAATTACATCAAAAGTGGGTATTGAAAATTTTGCATATATATTTTGTGCCACCTAGTATAGTATATATATATCATATTATATATATAGGGTAAAATCAACTTCTTCCCCAAGATAATCCCCACTTATCGGTTGTGGCTAGTTGATTTATCACTTAACTAAAAGTGCTGTATGGTTCTTGACAATTACTGTGCGTAGAGTATGATGCATTACAATTGCAATCACTGATTCTAGAATCCATTTAATTGATGATATTGTAGTTATGTGAAGTGGGTCCTTGTCATATTCAAAACAAGTTCCCAGCGCCCTTACCCTCCAAATTGGGGGAAGAACAGTAGAACAAGTGAAAATAAATATAAAGGAGAACCTTTTTTCCTGATATCCACATCAAAACTATGACAACGAGAAGGCTCGCTAGTCTGCAATGCAATGGGTCACCCAATCCAAAAGGTTATACACCGGGATAGCAGCAGTGTGAATCACGATAGTTTCAGCCTTGCGCAAAAGGTCTCAGTAATGGCTGTTTTATATATATATATATATATATATAGGGTAAATCAACTTTCTTCCTCCAAATCCACTTATGGTGTGCTAGTTGATTATCACTTACTAAAAGTGCTTAGGTTTTGACAATTATGTGCTTAGAGTTGATGATTAATTGCGAATCATGTCTAAATCCATTAATTATGTTTTTATATTAAGTGGGTTTGCTCAATTCAAACAAGTCCCTAGCCCTACCCTCCAATTGGGGAAGAACAAGTAGATAAATAAATTAAAAAAAGGAACCTTTTTCATTCCAATCAAACATGCCAACCAGATCCCTATCTAATGGCAATGGGTCACAAATCCAAAAGGTTATCACCATGCACATGAATCATTTCACTTGCCAAAAGGTTCATAATGCTGTTTTTGCTAATACTTCTTTTTATTATTAATATTTTATTTAATAGGTACGGTTTGTGATTTTTTTAAAAGAAAAACACCCATTCATAATTCTCAATATATTTGAATGTTTGAATCTTATAATAATCAGTTAATCACTGTATATTGGTATGGTAAATTCCCAGTCCCACTTGAAACTTCTGCCAATTCACAGTATTGATATGGGTAAATAATAATTAAAAAAAAAATCAATTAAACTGGAATTTATTTCCGTTAATTAAACTGGTGTGAAATTTAAGAATGTACTAATTAATTAGCAGTTCAGTGGTTATGAGTGTGCGTGTACCAAACTTTCTAGCGGTGGTGATGGGCCATGGCTGTGGGCTATGAGGTCCTGTGGTGTACTCGTTCTTAATGGAAGAGCGAGAGGTTACCAACTTCGACCTCCGTAGCATCCGGTTCGTGACAAGTAATGCGCAGCCAACAGCCATCAGAATCCTATTGCCTATTTATAATCATTGTAGTCAAACGTGTGGCACTCTTCTAATCAAATTGGCTTTGGGAAACCAACAGCTTTCTTCGACTGTTGTTTGTGCCAACCCCAACACCTATTCAACTTCATTTTTATTTATTTTTTTAATTTTAATAAACTATCAAGTCTACAAAAATGCAAATCAGAATTTAAAACTCACTCGTAATATAATAATATAATAGCTTGCCCAATACTGATCTAGTTCCTGCACTATGTAACAAAGTGATATTTCAGTTTGCATTTGCTGTTCAATCAAACCATAGATTGCGGTCTGCTATATTTACTTTTCATAAAGTTGTAGCCCTAGACTTCACTTTCCTGTTTCCCTCTTGGGATGATTTTTTTTTTTTTCTTTCTCATTTTCTCTCCTCTGTTTTTCTATGGAATTGATGTTTCATTAAGGATACTGTGTTGAAATTTCTCTTTTTGTCAATTTCAAAATTGCCACCTATCACCTACCTAACCAAGATTGCTATTGTCAATTCCGAAATTTGAATGTCTACCAACAACCTAGATTCACAATTCCATGTATATTTGGCAGTCTAGGTTAGGTTTACTGGTTAAATAATTTAACAAAATCAACATTACCATCATCACATTCCTTCTAAAGCGACTATATATCATAAACATGAAGATTCAGCAACAAGAATTTAAACCCAGTATCAATAGAAATGACAAGAAAATTGCATTCCATAATAATTTACAAGACAAGAATGTCAGACGAAATGAACCTGAAGCAATTATAGTCTGCGTCAATTATTTGGTCAAGTCAATGACACTATTGTGGAGGCAAAGTGTTTAGAATCTGCTTTTGTGCTTCCTCTCGAATGCATGAAAGATTCGTCTGTATCTCCTTACAAATTCTACCTTCAACTAGGTGAACAGGCAGCCATAGTTTAGGCTTTACTTCAACGAAATATGAAAGAGTTGTCTCAAATTCTTGACCGACTGAGAAATCATTGTCTGCAGATCTAGGTTTATTGACCTGCATTACTCATCATGTTTGTGGCAATCAGCAATTGTATTTACAAACAGCGAATTCTGCTTGAAGACCAGAAGATATCATGGCAAGCCCCATCAAAGATACAACTCAATGACAATAGCTTATATTAGTAATCAATCTCATAGTGGCCTAATATGAACCGTAAACCCATCCATTCACGAGTCGAATAGCTGCAGAGTAAATATTCTTACTCATACTGCTGAAGTTTCAAAAAAAGGCAAAATTATACATAGATGCAACCAATAATAATAAGGAAAGTCAGAATAGGATTTTAATGCATTCACAAGAATGCTGTAGGAATAATTCGAGAATCTTTTATAGAGGCCAGTCAAATACATATAAAGGAGAGTCAGAGACTACACAGTTATGCAGATAAGGAAGCCCAAAAAGAACATTTTCGATAACCAAACCAGGATGTGCTAAAGATTGACAGTAGATATAATCCATAAGGGTGAAAGAAAATTCCAGTTCTATGCCCAATGGGAACTGAAATCATCTTACTTGAGTTAAGCACCCAACAAAAAAAAAAAAAAAAATTTTAAGACCAAAAGTTTACGTGCATACTTTCCAGTAAAAGACTTGTTAATGCATCGTATGAGGTGCCTATTTTGTGCAAACAATGAGGCTTGCAGGTGTCAAATTATTCTCTCTTCATCTAAAACAAATGATCACAGTCGAACTTTGCATATTAACCGGGGTGGTCAAATTAATTGTAATATATGTTGGACAACAAAACTTAAACCACCTGGAACCTTAAGGCATAGGTTGTGGGGTATTTCAAAATGCATGTGCATTACACCCTTTTATGCATTTCAACACATCCTAGTAAACCATTAAAAGATCAATATATGTACGCATAACAATTTCATGCTAAGAGATTACAACCTTGCATTTACATGAATAGCAGCAAGTTTCACATTGCAATTTGGTGTTATAATCCACATGGTTTTCCAAATGCTATCAAGTTTGAAGCAAGTAAAGGAAGCCTAAGATTTTGAATGAGTCAAACCCAAATACTAATACTGCTAATGATGGAAATTCAGAAGTCAAACTGTGATGTTATTAAATAACAATTCAAGTTGCGGCCCAAGAAGCTTGAAAATTTTCAAATAAGGCAAAGCTATAGCCTATTAAACATAAATATGCAGATGGCAGATAAAGGATAGCAAACAATTCTGACCTGTTCAATAGACCACTTTCCTTCAAAAAATTGGAAGTCACCTTCAGTCATCTTAAAGTCAATATCACGCTTTTTCCCATAAGCAAGATTCTCAATGTCTTTCTCAAAGCAATCCAAGATTGCTTTGGCATTAAATTTCAACCCAAACGGCAACTTTTGCTGCCCAATCTGTTAATTAGAATGCAATACTACAATTAAGTTCTCGACTAAAAACTTACAATTATAATTCTTTAGAGCAAAATTGAAATTCTTTATGCCTTCGATTCATTTTTTAGAACAAAATCGAAATTAAAGAACACAAAATACCTGATAAAGTCGAGCGAAGTTGTCTTTCTTGTCAATTAATTTGCTAACAGCAAGTCCAGGAATGAAATCAGCCAATTTTTCATAATCCGTCAATATGTTCCAAATTGTATCCAAATTGGCATTTATAGAAATCTTGGACCGAATTCTCCTGGAATTCCTTCCAAGCTTCTTTATCTCAATAAATATCCCATCTTCTTCACCTACAAACGAATAACCATCTTCATCATCATCATCATCATCATCATAATAATCATCATCATCTCTTAAAGAGGAATTTGTATTGGAACAGTGAGGGATGGGCCTGGCTTGGGAAAGGAGGTGCTTTAGAGATGTTACAGATGAAGAAGAAGATTGTGAGCCAATTCCTATAAATTTATAAGGTGAAAGTAAAGGATTGGTTGTGTTGACAGTAGGAGCTTGAAGCAATATGCAAGGATAAGAGGTATAATAATATCCTGAGGCAGCGAAGGCGCGCATTATTTCGCCCTCTGCAGATATCAAAAGAAACCCACAGCCACATTTCTTTTCCTCTCCAATCTCTGCGGAAAGGAACCTGGCAGCCAGATAGATAAGACAGGTGCAAATGGGCTCTTCCATAGATTATTGGGTTTTAAAAGCCCATGGGTTACCAACAGGTAATTTAAGCCATCTTAACTTAAATTATCTAATTTTTATTTACAATCCTAAGAAAACTTGGTTAGAAAATTGAAGTAGTTTTTTAAAAAAAATTTCAAGAAAATTGAAAAGTAGATTTTTATATTCAAATTAGTCAGTTGTCTATTTAGAAAATTAGAAAATAATTTTCAGCTTTCTAAAATTTAACTAAGATTTGAAAAATAGTTTTAACTTGTTTTCCACTATTTTTCTTTATAACAAAAGATATATTTTCCAACTGTTTTTTATTTTTAAAACATGAAATTTTCATAATTATAATTATAATATCTATAAATAAATTTTTTTATAAAATATTTTCATTAAAAAAATAAAAAATATTTGAATAAGATAAAAAAATTATATTATGCTGTAACATATAAATAATTTATTATAACAAATATTATCTTTTATTTTTAAAAATATTTTACCAAATAATAAAAATTTATATTATAATTATAAATAACCAATAATAAAAATTTAAAATTTTTAAATAAAAAATTTCTAAATTTATTTTATAATATTTTATTTCTTTTAATTTTGGAAGTTATAAATAATGTTAGTGAAGTTTCTGAATCAAAATATAATTTATTATTATTATCAAGTGAATGCAATTTTCATTTTCTGTTTTATAGTTTTTATTTTCTAAGAAAAATATTTTCATATAAAATAGAAAATTATTTCGTTTTCTGTAAGTAAACACAAAATGGTGTATACGCTCAAAGTTGTTATCATCATCATTGAATTATCAGCAGCTCAGCATAAATCTACTACTCTACAAGCAAATAACCATAAAAGCAAAAGAAACTAGAAACCTGAAGCAGTTAGATTACATGGATTTGTTTGTTATATACCTTGGTCCATCGTAGCTGGCTATCAGTATCAGAAACCTTGAAGATCCTAGTTTTTGCTGGTTTCAATCCGCAACTTCTCTGTATGTCTTTGTTACTGCTGCTGCTATCTCGATGGTTGATGGCTTGAAGCTCTTTTATTTATGGAGGGATCTTCTAATCTGATATTTTCTTGGAAAATGATCTGTGGAATGAATGGTTACACGATACTAAAATATTACGAAAAAGTACAAAGCTGGACCACGTATACTTACGAAGCAACTCAAATATTATGAAAAGAATAAAAAAAAGCAAAGCTGGCCCACGTAGAATTATGAAACACATGGGTAGTACACTACACAATCATGCCTATAAGTATAAGTGACACACATTTCAATGGATATTAAAAGATATAAAAGATAAATGAGCTTTCGCACTGTCCTTTCTCACCTAACAAAAACGACAGGAAAGATGAATGAGTGTTTGCATCTTACTTCGAACGCAAAACTAGATGGATTCTGTAGAGGGAGATAGCGATTGAAAGGAGAAGGGTGATGAAGGTAGAAAAACCCTAGAATTGAATAATCTAGTTACAGTGCTAATAAGGAAGCCACATTCGATGAACTAGCAAGAATGGCGAGTTTGCACAACGCGTTCAATAGGTAAGCTCGCAATCACAGGTTCTAGCACCATAATCAAATCTGTGATTCGTTTTATTATTTGATATGCAATGAATTAATGTATCCTGTGAAACAGCCTTGTTGATGAACGTAAATCTACTCTATAAGCAAATAATCGTAAAAGCAAAAGAAACTACAAAACCTGAAGCATACATTACACGGGTTTGTTTGTTGTATATACCTTGGTCCATCGTAGCTGGCTATCTGTATCAGAAACCTTGAAGATACTAGTTTTTGCTGGTTTCCACCCGCAACTTCTCTGTATGTTTTTGTTGCTGCTGCTGCTATCTCGATGGTTGAAGGCTTTGAAGCTCTTTTATTTATAGAGATCTGCAAATGTGTTAAAAAATTCCCAATGGAGGGATCTCGGAATCTGATTTTTTCTTTTTAAAAATCCATTTTCTTATTCATTAAAATACACAGAAGCTCATGGCAAGTCAGCTAAAGCCTGAACATGTTACAGCTCATTTAAATTATATGAATATTTAAATAGTAATCTGATATGAGTGTTTGCTTGCAAGTTTTCTTAAGCTTTGGCCAATTCCCTTTAGTCAACTGGTATGAATATATTATATAAATATATGACATCTGACAGGATAGGGGAAGCTCGCTCTCTAAAACGGAGTGATCTAATCAATGCTCCCGCCTGGTACCATGCGCTTTGGATGTGAGATTATCTCATTGAAATTTGATACTTCCCAATTTTTTTTGTCGATGAACAACCATTATTATGCTCGGATGCAGAGAGCGATAGATCGAGGAAGGAAGTAGAACTGCAGAAGAAGCAACTGTTTTTTTATACCCGTTGTTTCTTCGAAATGAAAAGCCCAGTATTATATGGAAACTACCGAATTGAATAAAAAAGCCCAAAAGAAAATTAAAAAAATATTTGACCCAAAAACCTTATCCAGTGGGCCTTCCAACGTCGAGCTATTGTTGTAAGAAACAAGCATGTCATTTTGACTTGAATAGACTGTAATGAATTAGACTGTCTGCAATGTTAATTAAACACACACTTTGCCACTTATCTATATCTGAAGCATTGACCCACTCTTATACGTATATATAAAATCAATCAAAATAAAATTTTAACTAACAAGAGAATGTTTCTGATAATTTATTTTTTAAAAAAATATAAATTATTTTGATGCACGGAAGGAGTACAATAATAGGTGTAGATAAATCTTATCCTTCTTCTAATCATGGGATTGGACTTTGATTTTTGAAGCTGGAGGACCAAAATATCCAAGCCCAATGCTAAAAGGGCTGAGCAGTGGCGGGCACGTGTCCAGCCCATGAGATAAATTCGCGTGACGGATAATTTGAAGACCTCATCGGCGAAAACGAGGCGCAAACAACATAAGAAAGATTTTTATTTCTCGTATTCCTAATTCATCTTCTAATCTTCTACAACGCGCTGAGTCTTATCTTTAACCGGCGAAGGCAAACGCCGAATAGAAAACACAGGACACAGTTCAGAAAGCATTTCCAATGGCCTCCACATTCTCAGTGCAAACAGTGCAGAGCCTTAGTATTGTGTGTAAGGTTAGTCTTTCCCCCTCATTAAAGAATCCAATTGCACTAATTTTCTGTACGTTTCTGCAATCGCGATTGTTTCTGGCCTTCTATTTGTTTATCTTTATATTGCTGCTAAAAATTTCATAATTTCTGGAGAAATGTCCATGTATTAATTTTGCTGTGTGTGAGAAATTCCACTCTTCTGTTCTTTTCTATTTTCAAGCTGTTTGTTTGATATGGTTGCAGAGTTTTATGTTCATTTGATTTTATCTGTCTGGTTTGTGCTCCTGATTCTTCTCCTTTTAATTCATTTTTTGTTTGCTTTAATTTGCATCCCTTGATTTCGATCTTGGCAGGCTAGTCGTGGTCAAGATGTTACAAGTCTGAGTAGGCCATGTATGATATCTACAGCTCCAACTTTGAGCTTGGCTGGAAGAGCATTGACATCAAGATCTAACTATGCAATTAGTTTACCCATCGTACAGCGTTCTAAAGCTCCTTCTTTTAAGCACCGGAGAATGGCGTGTGTCAACTCAATGACAAATGTGACTACTTTATTTGGTCATCTCGCTGCTTGGCATTTTGTTCGCAATGATATCAATTTGTTGTCATTGTTAATGAAAGAGAATTTTGAAATTCAGACATCTCAAGATTTTAATTCATTTCGTTGCTATGTATACGAATTTGCATGATGATATAGACTATAGGGTCTTAACTGCTTTAGATAATGGAAATGGCTGTCTATATGTATTCTAGCATCTGTTTTATGCAATTTATCAATTCTTGAACTAGGTCTCAGATTTTGGAAATTAGTTGTGGAATTTGCCATATAATTAAGAACAAGAAAACAGTCTTACCAGGCCATGATGTCTCAATCTGAATTAACTCAACATTAGGAAGTACTAGCTTTATTGATATTTCACTCCCAGCCCAAGAATGTACTTTATGGGGAAAAGAGATTCAGATGGGTCTGCTATGGAAAAACAAGAAATTGATTATTTTCCCCCTTTCTTCTGGGACTTAAGTAAACAAGCAATTTTTTGGAATCGGATATGGTTTCTATAGAATTATTCCTCTATCTCTAGCTGCTGCTTTGATATGGCTGCATATATCTTGATCTTTGGTGCCTTACGTACCTGCTGTTGTATCAGGATGTTGAGCTTCAAGCAAAAGTGACAACCAAGTGCTTCTTTGATGTTGATATTGGCGGTGAACCTGCTGGTAGAATTGTGATGGGCCTTTTTGGAGATGTTGTCCCAAAAACTGTTGAGAACTTCCGCGCCTTGTGCACCGGCAAGTTTTTCTCTTTTTGGAATCAATACTGTGAAAGCATCATCATTTTGGATGTAATCATGTGGTGTCTTTTGATAAACCAGCATAAAAATTCAAATGCAGGAGAGAAAGGATATGGTTACAAAGGATGCTCCTTCCACCGTATCATTAAAGATTTCATGATCCAGGGAGGGGATTTCACAGCAGGGAATGTAAGCCTCCTGTCTCTCTTCCTCCCTCTGGGCCTGAAGCATGCTGTTTCATTAGCAGATGGTTGATTTTACTGAGCATAAATTGTTCTATAATTGACTGCAGGGAACTGGAGGAGTTAGCATTTATGGGTCTAGCTTTGAAGATGAGAGCTTTGCCCGTGAGTATTTGCTAGAATCTGAACAATAATAGTGAAGCTCACACCATCTCACGGTTTTTAGTCTCATGTTTTCTCTTTTGATATGAGTGATTTAATGGGGTTCCTTTTGAGGCAATGACTAGCGTGGTACTAATTTACTAAAGCTATCATCTGCAGTAAAGCATGTTGGACCTGGAATATTGAGCATGGCTAATGCAGGCCCTGATACCAATGGGAGCCAATTTTTCATTTGCACAGTACCAGTGAGTTCATTGCTGACTGCTGTGTCCTTTTGTTCTAGTCGACATCTAATTTCATCCTTTGTTTATTTGGATATCTAGGACCTAGTTTTGTATTGATTTTGCAGTATGTTCTTTGAAATGTAGAGAAATAGGTTCTGTTATGTTAATCAGGCTAATATTTAAGCAAAATCTTTGTCAGTAATTGTTTTTGTTCATTTCTTGTAGACTCCATGGTTGGACAACCGACATGTTGTGTTTGGAAATGTCATTGATGGAATGGATGTCGTTCGAAAACTTGAATCTCTAGAGACAAGCAGGATGGATTCTCCTCGGGCACCATGCAGGATTATCAATTGTGGTGAGCTACCAATGGATGGCTGATCTATTTCCTCTCAGATAGTGGTCCACAACTTTTGCTACTGTTTCTGCATTGTGCATCCCAATTTTTTTAATTAAGATCTATGACCCTTTTGATCGTGAAGGTTTTATTTAGGACCGTGTACGCAGAACTTAAAGCATTTTTGTCAAAAGAAATTAGAGCTATGCTTTGTAGGTTCATGCTAGAAGTGAACATATTATTTATATTTGAACATAAATGCTAATGTTGGCTTACAATCTCAGCACAACAAGGCTTTACTAGATAAATTGTAACTCGGGTTTCATTATCCTGGTGCCGCTAAGGTTGAAGTAATGTCGAGGATGGTATTACATAATCATATCAAATAGAATGAGCTTCCAACTCTAATATCCCAGTGTATGTGTATATGTGTGAACTAAGGAGAAACCTAAGCAATAACCACAGTTTCAACTGCACTGGACTGGATAACCTGCTCGTGATGCTCCTCTTCACCCTCCCATATTTCAGGTATTGCTTCCTTGATATTGTGTATGCTACTCAAGGCATGGTCTGCACCTGGCACTAGGACTGAGCTCCCTACCTGAGATCATAATTTAGTTAACAGCATGTTTATTTAATTGTTTTATATCATCCTGGTTCTACAAGCTATTCTTTAGTTTTTTTTTTTTTTTAAAGCAAAACTTACAATGACTGTGTGAAGTCCAGCTGCTTTCCCACTTGCAATGTTTCTAGCACTGTCATCAAAGAAGATCTGAGAAAGAGAGAATTTCTTTTTTGGTTAAAATGGAGCGGAAAAAAAAAAAAAGTTTTCAAGGAAAGTCTCGAGTCTTTACAGTTTTCTTGGGGTCGACATTTGCAATTTCAATAGCTGCTTCCATTGCCTCCAAAGAGGGTTTACAGAGGATTCTTGGCTTGGAGTGACAATTCTTGTCATCTGATGCATCCGTATAATTAGCAGTTTTAACGGGAGGATTAAGGGTTTCAAAGCATATGATGCCTTCAAAACAATCTTCCAACCCCAACCTTTTCAGAACTTCAGCTGCATGACCCTTGTCGGCATTAGTGAAGATCTGAAAACACCAAAATCCCATCTTTAGTTTTGCAAAGAAAATTTATCTTTAAAAAAAAAAAAAAAAGAATTTCAAAACTTTTAACATACTATTTTCCTTTGTGGAATAGAAAGGAGAAGGTTCCTCAATACAGGATCAGGCTTCAATTTCTCATAAGGTAATCTTCCATGAGCTATTGCATGGAACTCATCATCATCAAATTCATAACCAAGAACCTGAAATTCAGTTTTGAGACCAATTAGGTTACAGAAATAACAAAAAGAAAGGAATAATTTTATTAATCCATGAAAATTATATTTTACCTTCAAACCAGCCATTGTTGTTCCATATTCTCTGTATAGTTCCAAACACATCCTTGGTACTTCACTTTCTTCAATATGTAAGTGGTGCAACATGAACTCTGTCATTCATCTAACTTAATTAGCATTACCGTAATATTATTATGACTGTCATTATTGACATGATTAGTGCTTAATTAATTATGGTCATTATACCTTCTATGTTCTTGCGGCAAGCCAAGTTGAGACCACAGCTCATGGGATATAGAGTGTCATCCATATCTTAACAAAAAAAATACACCAGAAAACCATGAAAAAAATAGCTTCTTTATATAATTAAACTCTCAAAAGAAACCAGAAATATATATTATTTCAGTTAAATATCCAACTTGATTTTAGTCAAATCAGCATAACATACCAAAAAGCAAGCAATCATATTTGAGTTCATTGACCCTCCCCTCGGGATTCATCTCCATATAAGTACCTGAAAAATGAGAACTCAATGTAATGTGAAAAACAGAAAAACTTAGAAAAAACAATGATAGATAGAACAAATAAAGGCTTACAGTAACCTAATGAACCCATCCAGAAATGTAATGGAAGAGCAAAAACCAAATGCCTAGGCTTTCTAATTTATGGTGCTCGTAGCTTGGGGAGTATCCAATTGTCGAAGTTATATTATCAGCATATCCAGAGATTTCAAATTAATTATGACGAAAACAATGCAAGTACATCAGCAAACACCAATAGCCACATAAATTAGAATATAATATCAGCACCCAATATATTCTACCTGGGATATAATAACAATTGAGAGTATACAATTCAATAATAGCCAAAAACGATATCTAGTGATGCAAAACTACCTCTTAAACAGTAGAATGAATATAACAGCTCTGATAAATTAGAAATGCATGGTCGAATAGCGGCCATTGGAGCTACATTTATAGCAGTTCAACTATAAGCTGACCCACCAACACGTCTCCTATGTGACTGTGTCTGAGGTGGTGAGCATATTTTCATCTCCTTTTGGTATATTATTGAAAATTGAAATGTGCAGAGTGATGTTGGATCCTTTCTTTCTGTTACCAGTCATTTTCTTGGATTTTGAAGGTTCTGTTTGAGACTTGCCAACCCACTTTCGCCATTTGGTGAAAAAGAACAGTGGCCTCTTGTTCCGGACACCGTAGTAGTGCAGAGGGAGAACAACTCATCAAATTGGTGGAATTTAGGAATCCATGATACGGATTAGATTACTGATATAAGTGGTGCATTGTTGTAGTGGAGAGATTATGTGTATGGAATATAATAAGCATATTATTGGATATGATAATAATATACTTGGAAGGAAGGAGATACACACATTATCTTATCTTATGCAAATATGTCCGTACATCATAAAAAATTTGATTAACGACAGTGAAGCTAATCATGCAAGAAGATTACATTACATAATAAGAAAAAAAAATGGCATTTGAAATATGGAATCAAATTCTTGGAATTTTTAGTATTTAGATTCTTAATTTCATGCACTTCAGTCGACATCAATTCAGTCGTATCAGATTCTGTTTTCGAGAACTGTGGGAGTTGAGCAGATAATTATTCTACAAACTGGTCCTGGACATGAAATTTGCTTGGGAAATGCTTCTAATCAGCGTTCTTGGGACCGGGAACCGGCTGCCTGTCCGGTCAATTATAAAGTTGGCTCGATTTTTTAAAAGAACCGGATTTTTAAAAAAACCGGATTGAGCAATTGATAAAAACAGGATTTTTTTTGACAAAAATATTGTCGTTCATTTTCAAAAAAGTGTTGTTATTTTTATATGTATTTCGTATATGGTTTGTGCGTTGAGGAAATTAATTTGTTTTTGAGAAACTTAAATTTTTCAAGTTGATTGAACAGTGTGATAATGTTGAATTATTATTTGGTTTTAAGTTTGGAAATTATTAGTAAAAATATTTACATTTATATATATTACTTTGGTATATTGGAGGAGAATGATATATCATATGTGTTTATAATTGTGAAAATAAATTTTGTTGTACTTAATATATATAATACTAAAACTTAAAAAATTAAAAATAAAAAATTCAGTTGAACCAATTCAATCCGGTCCGACCTTGACCTGATCATAGGGTCGATTTGGTTGCCGGTCCAATTCTGACAATATTGCTTCTAATCTGGCTCGCCTTGTTGCAAATTAAGGTTTTAGGTTTGCGGATTCTTTTACACATACCGATTCCATTATTGAAATGAAATTCAGCAATATTCTTTTATCCACCTTGTCGAAACAAAACCATTGGCATTTCTTATTTGGCTAAGTATCAGCTTGCCTTCATGGGCTTTGGAATTATTCTAAATTCTAAATTCTAAAATCCACATTGTGCACATAAATTATAAAATAGCATAATATCTTTTAAAATAATGTCATAAATCCATTTAAGTCTTGAACAATTCATATCGCAACAAAAATTTTAAATCCTAACATAATTTAATAGGATAAGAATCACTGTCTGCAATGTCAATTTAACGGAGAGTCGTTTTAATTCTTTAACGACAAGTGATGTGCCTAAAATGATAAGTCGTTCGTGAAATCTGACATAAACGTGCATCAGAAAATCTAAAGCCAACAATATTATCGGGCTTCACTCTCCAGATCGGAGCCCATTCTTTAAATCTAACACGTTCATTCAAAACAATCCATGTCCAATAATTAAGGAGACCAAGCCCAAATACTCAGCTTTGTAATGGGCCAGAGGTTGGGCTCCAATAAATAAATTGCCGACTTGCTCACCAAATCTCATGGAAGCGATCGATCCCACGTAGCATGCCTAATTATAGGCCATTTTTCCTTCAGACACAAACCAACATCAGATCAAAATTCAAAACCAAAAAAATTTCTAAATACAAAATCGCACGCAGCCAATCTATAAGTGAGTTAACGAGCGAGCGCGCGCGCGCAATGCTATGAGTTCGTTTAAGCATCTGGGAAGGCTCGTCAATGGCCTTTCTCTAGTAGCTAAGGAGATCGCTAAAAGCTCTCCAGCTTTGGAAAACGCCGCCGCAACTGGAGATTTCCAAACCCTAATCACCTCCGCTTCCAAGAAGGCCCTAGTCTTCGTTACCGATGTATCAGGCCTTACTAAAGGGAAAGTTCGCGAGTTTTCGCCCCCTAGGCCCAAGGAGTCCGTTGTTTTCTTCGACCATTCGGCGGAGGTGGTAGAGAATAGCTCAGTTCAACCGCTCACGATAAATGATAGTGTAAATAACAATATTGCGAATCACCACAATGATAATGATGTCGTTGGAGATGTTGAACCGAAGGCTTCTGAGGATAATCAGGTTTCAACGAATACCGTTGGTGGTTCAGAAAAAGATGGTTTGCAGAGAGAATGTGAGGATAGGAATTCGGAGGATAAAGGCAATGCTGGTAGCGGAGAGATGGTCGCGGCAGCGACGGAATTGAAGAGGAGGAAGCCGAGGGAGAGGCGGGTTCCTTCAACTCCGTTTACCAGAGCGCTTGGGTGAGTTTTATTTATATTTTTTGATCAGCAAAAAGATTTAATTTTATTAAAGATGAATCTGGAACAAACTTGGCTGATCCATTAAAATAAAATCAGCATTTTATGATGCAATCTTTCTACCACAACATTAACTTAGATCCTATAACTTTTAAAAGGTTTGCTGGTCTAGGAGCTGGGCTTGCATGGGGAACCATTCAGGAATCTGCCAAGAGGCTTGTGTATGGCACTCCAAGTTCGGAAGACAAGCAATCTGCTCTCTCCCCACTTTTATCAGAAAGAAATGCGGAACGTTTGGCCCTCACACTATGTAGAATGCGTGGAGCTGCACTTAAATTAGGACAGATGCTGAGCATACAGGATGAATCTCTTGTTCCTGCTCCGGTATGTATATGTTCATTAATTTACATCTATTTGATTTATAAATTTTGATGCAAGATAATTCAGTTTAGCAAATGTATTGGTTGTAGGGGGCTGGGGCTTTAAGTGTCTGAAAAAGGACGTGTATTGACTATAATGGGGTAGTTTGAGCTGAATGGAGAGTTATTTGCATTTTACTATCTCTTTTCAAGGTTCAAAAGTTTCGTTAGTTTTTGAGGTTTTCATGGATGAAAATGTGCATTGGAATGGCTGAATTTGAAGAGGAAAATAAAGCTATACCTTTTTTATATTGCGCATGGGAATTGATCATTTTTTTGGGAAAACGACTGTCATCATAGTTGTCATGGAATTAATAATATTTTTATGTCTTAGACCATAAATTATCTTTTTATTGTCGTCTTTCATTTTTTTGATAGATCTTGGCTGCTTTAGACATTGTCCGTCAAGGTGCAGATGTGATGCCAAGGAGCCAGCTCAATCGCGTTTTGGATGCAGAATTGGGATCTGACTGGTCAACTAAGTTAACTAGCTTTGATTATGAACCAATAGCTGCTGCAAGTATAGGCCAGGTGATGCAACATAACTGCATTTCTTAGTCCTTCTGATTCACTCTACTATTTGACTGCTGGCACTGTTTTCACTTTGCATCAACCTCCGTAGGCTTTTTGAATTGATTTATGAGAGATAGTCTATGATTTAATAACTCAGTTCAACAAACTACAGCAGGATATTTCTAAGTCCACTTTTTCACTCTCTTGTTGTGTGATAAGGAGAGAGTTTTTTCTTATCTGTAAACCTCCAGTTATTACAATATTCTGTTTTCAGTTAGAGTTTAGAAGTTATTAGTTTGAATATTGGTTTTCTATGGTTGTAATTGACAATTATCAGAAGACACAGAAGTAATATTTCTGTTAATATTTTATGCTATACAAATCTGTACTGTCCTATGCATGGATCTTGTCCTTTGCATCCCCTCTTTCCTCAAGTACATTTTTAGTCTTCATATGTAAAACTGAAATGTTGGTTCTGATTTATAGTGTTTGATTTTTACACAGTTACACTTGATATTTCAGATGATGTGATGTTATTAGTCAAGCCTACATGAGAACATCACTATCATCCAGTTCCCATACACTTCTTTATTGCTTGGCCTTAGCCTTATTTTGGTCTGACTATTCTGAAACTATTTTAGGTGCACCAAGCAGTGACAAGGGATGGCATGCAGGTTGCAATGAAAATTCAGTACCCTGGTGTTGCCAATAGCATTGATAGTGACATTGAGAATGTGAAACTTCTCTTAGATTATACTAACCTAATTCCAGAAGGACTTTATCTCGACAAAGCTATGAAGGTTTGGATGCACATTCATTTATTAATGTAAATAAATATATTTCTACGGTCAAGCTGAAGCTACTGTGCATGTACTCTTAAACCTTGCTGATACTTTAACATCAATTCTTGGCTCATTATGTTTATATCATCTGTTGCAAAAATTGTGCCTCTATTTTTTTCCTTTTCTGTGTTCTGCAAGTATAAATAACTCATTCATGCTTAACAAATCGGTCTCCTGTCTTCTCCATGGTGATTGATGGGAGAAAATAGATCTTAAACTGCTGGAATTGAATTCTAATATTCTTTATTGTATTCTTTTAAGGTGGCAAAAGAAGAATTATCCCGTGAATGTGATTATGAGTTGGAGGCAATCAACCAGAAACGGTTCCGTAATCTACTAACCGGTGCCGAGGGATTCTATGTTCCAATGGTTGTAGATGAACTTTCCTGCAAGAGAGTCTTAACTACAGAACTTATTTCTGGTAATGGCACTATGTCTTTTTTTAAAGTTGCTTTCTAGTTAAACAGGTCGATGCGTTTTGATCATGAAAGCTGGGTCGTCAATGACCTTTGTTAGAAGTAAAATGATGTTTTCATACTTTTCTCATCACAGAAACACCATTCATGCCTGCATGCATGTGTGTTTTTAATTGCCTAACCCATTTTTGGAGCTCATAACATGTACCATACCTGTCGATGAATAATTGCATGCTTCTTTTCTCCCTCTTCTTTAAAAATTAATAATATGGTGGGTTTGCTGCAAGGACATCCCATTTGGATCCTTTGAAGTCCTTTATTCTTCTTCCTCTTGTCAGTAGATTTGAAGAAGGTTTTTCAAGGCAAATCTTTTGACAAAAGTGTTATGCTTGCTACAGGAATTCCAATTGATAAGGTGGCAATGCTAAAACAAGAAACTCGTAATTATGTTGGCACAAAGTTGTTAGAACTCACATTGATGGAGTTATTTGTATTCCGATTCATGCAGGCAAGACTTTCTATTTTTCCTATTTTTTATTATAAGTAAATTACTTCACTTTTCTGAAACGTTCCCAAAGCTTTTTAGATTTCCCTGTATTCTTTCGATCATCTTGCATTATCTTTGGTTGTTCTGAGGAGTATGAATAGTCCTTTTGAGTTTATGCCGTCCTTGTTGCAAGAAAGTTTACTGAAAATGTGACTTCTGGCATTTGCTTGTGTTATGGTTGTTGTATCACAGACTGATCCTAATTGGAGTAACTTCCTATATGATGACGCCACAAAAATTGTCAATCTCATTGACTTCGGTGCAGCCCGTGATTATCCCAAAAGTTTTGTTGATGACTATTTAAGAATGGTAATCCTTTTATCTATAACTTTTCTTCAGTTTACAAATTTCATTATTAAAGCTACTTTTATAGGTCGTCCTATCTCGCCACCAACTGTAGAGTTGGGTAAACACAATGGCTAAAGCTTTAAAGCAGCTTAAGTTACTGTATACCTTGTTAAAATAAGTACTGGCCCATAAATTTGGAGCATGGGGGTTCTAGTTTTCATTTCTTACAGTGGCTCCTGTTACGTTTGTCCTAAAATTTGAGACTTGCAACACTATCATTTGTTGCTTGGATCCTGCGTCATCCTTTGACCTCTACACATTTGACTTTAACCTATATTCATTAGGTTGTAGCATGTGCAAATGGTCAGAGGGATGCTGTGATTGAGATGTCAAGAAGACTTGGGTTCCTTACAGGAATGGAGTCAGAGATAATGCTGGATGCTCATGTTCAAGCTGGTTTGATTGTGGGATTGCCGTTCTCAAAGCCTGGTGGATTTGATTTCCGATCCACTAATATAACACAAAGTGTTTCAAATCTCGGGGCAACAATGCTGAAGCACAGGCTCACACCGCCTCCAGAAGAAGCATACAGCCTTCACCGAAAGCTTTCAGGTGCTTTTTTGGCTTGTATCAAGCTTGGAGCGGATGTTCCATGCAGGGACCTATTGTTCAATGTCTACGAGAATTATCAGTTTGGCGAAGAGGATGATAATGAGATAGTATCCGGTGACTCAGTTTCTTAATAGGTTTTTGAAAATATTTTTCCCCTTGAATTTATACATTTATTTTTGATACGTAATAAAGCGCAGGACAAGTTGTCCATTCGCGCCAACAGCCAATGTAAGGTTTTTTGATTCTTAAAGAATGAGAGGTGTAATTTTGCTCCAGGAACGGAGAAATGAGTAAGAATCACCAAAATGTCGCTCTCTTTCTTCTTTTCTTAATTATATCTATATCATTCTCATTTATAATATTAACACACACTCACTCGATTTTAAAGGCTTAATTCACACTGACCATATTGTTTTAGCAATTAATTTTGCATTTTTAAGTCAATTATGGCAATAATTGTGAATTGCAGCGATTTCCTACCTTTCCGTTTTTATATTTTTAAATTAATGATTGCAACATATGCTTTAAGAATCACAGATCACCCAATTGAATTGTAGAAAAATAAAAAGAAAATTTCAAAATTTTCTAGAAAAAAGAGAAATACAGCTGCGAATGTAGAAAGAATCATGATATTTAGAAAATTTTCCATTTTTTTATTTTTAAATTAATGATTGCAATCACATGCCCTAAAAACTATGGATCATTCAATTAAATTGTAGAAAATTAAAAAGAAAATTTTAAAAATTTCTAAAAAAAAGAGAAATGCAACGTGAGTATAGAAATAAACTTTGATTTTTTTTTTTATTATTTCAGCTTTCATATATGTATATATAGAGGTTTATATATATTAAAAAATTTACAAAATAAGGAAAAAAAACAATTCTTAACAATAAGGAATCCTCAAAGTTAAAATGAAAATAATTAAATATTTAGGCAATTAGAGATCAGAAAACTATATATATATATATATTTAACAATTAAAACTTATTGAAAAATTGAAAAAATTACAAAAGTTAAAGAAACCTAAAAATGAGAAAGATTTAAAAACAGTACTTTATTTTTCTTTTCTTTTCTTTCTCAATTTTTTTTTTTTTTTTTTTTTTTTTGAAAATGAATAAATATTTAGTGCAATTAGAAGATCAAAAACTATATATATATATATATATTATCCACCAAAACACTTATATATGAAAATTGAAAAATTACAAAAAATTATAACCGAAACCTAAAAATGACAAAGATTTAAAAAACAGTAACTTTTATTTTTCTTATTCTTTTTCTTTTCTCATTTTTTTTTTTTTTTTTTTATTATTATATTTGCGAGTTGGCATAAAGCTGACTAAAATGGAACATTTACCAAAATATCTTGATTTTTATGTTTTTAGTATTATTGTCATGGTATTAAAAAAATAAAAAGAAAAAAAAATAATGATGTTTGTAGCCGTTGCCCTATTTGCAAATAAAAGGGGCCTGGGCATTGGCCATCAAGGTCCTGGGTAGCATAATTGTATTTTAATTTTCCTTTTTCTCTAAATGAATCGGAAATCGGTTTCCACAGCAATGTTTTTGACTAAAATTTACAAATAACATGCGAAATCACCCTCAAATGAAACAAAATAACGCCCATTTTCGAAATGTAAATTTTTAAGAGGGAAAAATTACCAAAGCACCCATGCACAAATAGAATAAGAGATACAGTAAATTTATACATTTACAAGAATTAAAATTATACAAGGTTCCAAAAATATACATTAAAAAAAGCTTAGATAATTTTTTTTTTTTTTTTTTTTTTTTTTGGTTGGCTAATGCTGACTAAATGGAACTTTACCAAATATCTTGATTTTATGTTTTATGTATTATTGTCATGGTATTTAAAAAAATAAAAAGAAAAAAAAATATTTTGTAGCCTGCTATTGCAAATAAAAGGGGCTGGGCATTGGCCTGGGCCTGGGTAGCATAATTTATTTTATTTTTTCTTTTTCTCTAATGAATCGGAATCGTGTTTCCACACAAGTTTGACTAAAATTTTACAAATAACATGCCGAAATCACCCCTCAAATGACAAATCGCCATTTTCGAAATGATTTTAAGAGGGAAAAAATTCAAGCCCATGCCAATAGATAAAGAGAGTAAATTTATCATTTTCAAGATTAAAAAAATAGGTCCAAAAATAACAAATTTAAAAAGCTTAGATAATAAAAGAAATAAAGAATAAAAAAAAAAAAAGGAACGGGAAAAGCGGTGTGCTGATGAAACCAGCTGTAGAGCGTAGCAAGTAGATAATGGAAAAAGACCTGAAAGAGGGAAGAAAAGAAAAAAAGAGAGGGAGATGATGTCGTTTGGTTTGGTGAGCATTTCACGAAGAAAGTGAACAATAATGTTTGAAAAAGCAACGGTCTCTTATGCCATATAATTAAATATTGACTTGCTTATACTACAAAAGCAATAATGGCAGACGCAAATCAAGGAAGGCCATTTACACAGTAAAAGCTCTGATTGACGAACCCCGCTTAAATAAGGCAGCAGGCAGACTTCTTTTCCTTTTTACAATTTGGAGTTCCGAATAATCCCCTGCATTTCAACCATTCCTTCTATCTGAGCCAGAGATGAAGCAGGGGATGGCACTACTGACTCTGTACTTATATGCCTGTAGTTTGGTTGAGATACTTTTGGGCGGATCTGTAGATGTTTTTGAAGATTTGAAATTCCCTTCTTATCTGGACAGAGATGCTTCGTCGCCTTCTTCTCCTGCTTCTAAACCTCTTATGGTCGACCTCACTCTTGTTGATGGAGCTGACTCTAAAGGAGCTGGTACGGTGTATACCTCTCTCGCTCGCTCGCTCGCACACATTGTGTGGTGTAATCAAGTTTTCATTTGTTTGCTCTTTACTTTTTATGTCCATAACCAGCTGGTTATTCAATATGAGTACCACAAAATTGGGTCATCTGTGCCGTTCATTGATCTTTTGATGAGAATATCTATCTTTGTTCATAGTCGATAACAGCTAAGAAATGATGTTTTCCTGTGATGTCTTTTTATGCCAGTCTGCTTGGATGGAACATTGCCTGGTTACCACTTGCATCGTGGAGTTGGATCAGGTCAGAATAGCTGGCTTATTCAGTTGGAGGTATCTGAGACAATCTTTTCATATTGGCATTCTAGGGTTCTAAGGAGAAGTGTTGTACTAGTATTGTGGTTTTTATAATATTGAGTTTTTTAAGCTCAAGTGAGCTATCATTTGCTGAACCAATTGTGAATTAAGTAAAAGGTGGTTTGGACTTTGGTGCAGGGAGGTGGGTGGTGCAATACCGTCAGGAATTGTGTTTACCGGAAAACTACACGCCGTGGTTCATCCAAGTTTATGCAAAAGCAATTACCATTTACTGGAATATTAAGCAATAAAGTAGAAGAAAATCCTGGTTTCTCCCTGAAACTGAAATTTCATTTGCTCTGGTTATATTGACTATGGATTCTGAGATCTTATTGTGGATGCTGCTTTCTTATGCTTGCAGATTTCTTCAATTGGAACAGGGTCAAGCTCCGTTACTGTGATGGGGCGTCTTTTAGCGGGGACGGTCAGAATGAGGTTGGTGGAAGTATCTATTTCTTCTCAGTTCATTCTAAGAATAATTAATAGTAATCAAATATAAAATTTTCCATTGTAGGCTTTGAATATTGCACACTGATGCCTATTTCATTGACGCTTAATAGAATTAATTGAATTAAATCTCTCAATGAAACAGTACATCTTAAAATATTCAGATGCCCATTTCATTGACGCTGAAGATAATTAATTGAATTAAATCTCTTAATGAAACTGTAAATCTTAAGATATTCAGATGCGATGTTTAAGTGCACTTTCTTGCTACAAATGCTAACTTTAACAAGTCTTAGATCATATATTATTTTGATCTTTGGTACAGAACAGGAAGTTGAGTTATTGATTGAACACGCATAAGCATCTTACTGGATTATCCTCCCTATAGTTCTACCAGTGTGATTCAGTGGCCTCTAATTTCCTTCACTGTCCGACAACAATAACAACATCACATAGAATAATAAGACAAATCAAATGAGCTCTTCTGCACTATTAAAACCATGTCAGCAAAATGGTTTTCATTTGAGAAATTTTTGTTCTCTTGGAATATCATTTACTTGTCCTTTTTACTTACTTTAATGCTGGTAATGGAAGGAAAGTGAATTAGATTAAAGGTTTGACTTTTGGCATTAGCACTTGCAAATGTACAGATTTTAGAAACTACCGTTCTTTCAGGCTAAACAGCTTTATTTTCGAGGACAACGAATCTGGTCAGTCGCTATGGAGAATCTGATGGCTGAAGGAATGCAGAACGCCACTCAGGTTTTTAATTTATTATGTCATTTATAATTGTCATTTTAAATGTTACATTGCCAGTCACTCTGTGAAAAGATATATTTTAGGCCCTTCTTTCTGGATGCTCTGCTGGAGGTCTGGCATCCATCTTACACTGTGATGAATTCAGGGACCTGTTTCCACAAACTACCAAAGTAAAATGCTTAAGTGATGCTGGACTGTTTCTTGATTCGTAAGAAGGAATTCTTTATTCATTCTTTTGTGATTTCTACTGATGTATATAGTTGGTATATATTATTTTCATTTTAATTTTTTTTTTTTTTCCTAATGCGTTGTAGAGTCGACATATCTGGTAACCGCACGTTACGGAATATGTATGAAGGTGTAGTTAGCTTACAGGTATTCTGCATACTACATTAATGCGTATATAAATTATGGTTAGGTGTATTCTTTTGGTAGAACCTGACTGCTCTGTTCTCAGGGTTTATGTGGGTTTATCAATATTTTGTGGCGCTCTCTTTCTTTCTCTCTTGAGTTTTGAATAACTATTGATGTCAGTATGAAATTTCAGAATGTGCAGAAGAATCTGCCAAGTACTTGTACCAGCAACCTGGATCCAACTTCAGTAAACATCTACCTTTTCTTTATTGTTTTGCAGTCACGTGACTGTCTTTGATAAAACATAATTAATTACTCTTTCTTTTCTCTCTCTCATACAGTGCTTCTTCCCTCAGAATTTGATCGCAAATATAAAGACTCCATTGTTTATTCTAAATGCTGCCTATGATTCATGGCAGGTAAAACTCTTCTTCATATTTTACTTTATCTACTAATGGCAATTCATATACCTTCTGCTATTTGGGGCATTGTTGATCAGAATATATCTATATATTCTCGAGTACCTCCACATGGTGAGATGATAAATTGTCCACAATTTATTTTCTGCTATATCCCTAGAAACCATGGCTCCAGAAAAGAAGAAGAAGAGAGAGAGAGAGAGATCAGACTTGTTTTCCCTTTGGAGTTTGAAAAGATTTGAATTTAAGAACCAGGAATATCAAACTCTAGACTGGGAAGAAAAGAAACCAGGGAAAAAGATTAATGCAGCCAGCTTCAACTTATCTGAGACATAAATAAAAATGAGTTGGAACATTTGTAAGACCTAGTCTATACTCACCTCTGTTTGTAACCACTTGAAAGAGCCCAGAATCCATCAACAGACATGGCTAACAAACTGATAAATTCAAAGATAAGCAGAATCATCCTTAGTTTTGTAAATGTTTCGTGAAGCATGATCCAGATAGTTTCCTGAATGTTAAATAACTTGAGTCACTTCTGTTAAACTTTATCAGGTACAAGAAAGTATAGTTCCTCCATCAGCTGATCCTCAAGGTTCTTGGAAAGAATGCAAACAAAATCATGCAGAATGTAGTTCATCACAGATCCAATTTTTGCAAGGTGATTTTTGATTCGAATTTGTTATCCTTGGTTTTCTAAATTAGTGAACTATTCAATTTGAAAATGTTTATAGGTATATTTATACTATGGCTTCTCCTTTATCTTTTGCATAACAGACTTCAGGAATCAAATGCTAGAAGCTTTAAGTGTCTTTTCGATGTCAGCTCAAAATGGCTTATTCATAAATTCATGTTTTGCTCATTGCCAATCTGAGAGGCAGGATACATGGTTTGCTGTTGATTCTCCCCTCCTAAAGAAAAAGGTATTAGCAACTACTTGAAGTTGGGCATGTATTACATGTATAGAGATAACTATTAAGGGATCACAATAGAAATAAGCTAAAGAACCAAATATGCATGTTCCATACAAGCGATATATTACAACTAAAGGCCCTTTGGGGACTTGCACAATAAGGATATTTAAGCAAACTGACACAATCACCAATAAGGGTAGAAGAAATCCATTAAGGGTAGAAGTCACAAATTACATAGAAATGAATCAGCACAATTACAAAAAATTTTTAGTTACATTAAAGGTGGGGAAAGGGAGGGGGATTGAACCTGGGATCTAACAGTCCCAGGGCATCAGGCTTACCTCTTGGGCAAGACATCATTTGCTTAAAGCTCTATTGTAATTGAATTCAATGTCTGTTATCTCTTAATATAAGTTACACAAAATACTAGGATATTTTGTAATTTTATTGAATTAGTTTATGATTTATCATAATTAGCTCTTTTGTTTTTTGACTTTTGCAAAGGCCTTTACGATCTTTTACAGCCTTGACTGGCTGAACTGGGTAATAGAATGAATTACATTGTTGAAATTCAATCATATGTATAGAAGTTAGTGTTTCATTATATACGCATCATATAAGAATTCCATCCACTCTAATTATGTTATGTTATGAATATACAGCGGATTGCAGAATCTGTTGGAGATTGGTATTTTGATCGTGTTGATGTTAAAGCTATTGATTGTGCGTACCCCTGTGATAACACCTGCCATAATCTAGTTTTCAAGTGAGTGAACAACTTATCTGCTCCTAGTTAGTTTTTCGTCACTCATTTCACCAATCACCATTTGTAGAAATCGTATCATTCATGTCTGATGACATTAAGTCGTCACTTGCTAAAGAAAGCAAAAAGTGTGTTGCCTACAGTCGTCCCCATTGTTGTGCTCAAACACATGTATTTGTTGTCTTTATTGTCTCAGTAGAACATTAATGTTCACTGGGCTCAGAAATAGAAATATATTATTCAGATGCTAAGCTTAACTGCGCCCATCATTATGTTATTCATTCATCATTATTGCTAATGCCAACATATTCTTATGGTCAATGTTAATTATGCTTCTTTCCTTCCAAAATTTGAATGGCTATATGTTTTTTGGTTTTGTGTACGACTGATGCACCTTTTTTCTGAATTTCTTCTCTCATTTTCAATTGTGAGAGACTGAAATTAGTATCTCCTCTGCAGCGATGTTACTTCAACCATATCATTCTCCCGATCCTCAAGATTAACTTTTACCCTGCAAATTCTGCTTAGTTCCTTGTTGCTTTCACTAACATGTTCCAAAAACATGGTAAGTCACTTGTCAGTTTGATCAATGAAACATGTATCTGTTTGCTGACAAGTCGCAATCATTTAAAATCTATAATTCAAGGTCACCAAGGCTCTTTTTTTCTGCAGCCACTGTATTTTTATTTTTATTTTTGTTATTACTACTTGCAGTTGACTGTCTTTGTATGTATCAAACTGCCACATGATGTGCTCACCAATGCTCTGATATGTCTACCAAGACCATTTTTCAATTATTTAAAACCATACGATTCTAAACGTTAAGTGAAAATAGGTAGATGGTTCTCAACAGCCTCAACAACACCTCAGTATTTGTACATCTGGCTTGAATTCATCATTCACAGGTTAGAATTTGTAAGATTAACACCCAGGTGGACTGCTGGTTGCCGGACTAGTAGGTCTTTAAAACTAATTTTTTAAAAAAAAATTATTTTAATGAGGTGGGACAAGTTTTTATTATTTTGAGTACTGAGGGAGAGACATTCTCATTACTGACATCTGATATAGAGTGTCTCCTTCAAGCTTGAGGCACCGTTTTGATGGACAATAATTAAATACGTAACTTGTTCATATATTATCTAATGCCTGGAATTTGGCGAAGCTCCAGAATCTAAAATCAACTTCTCCTTTTTCCTTTTCAGTTGCAACACAGTCTCACTCTGAATATAATTACCACTCAAACTAATCAAAACTCAATTCAATAATAATATTAGAAAATGAATTCCAAGCTCAAAAAATCATAATAGTAATTTAACCGTTTCAAGTGAACCGGAACATGCCCCCAAATCCCGATTATGTGATATTTACAAGTACCAAAACATGTACAGAAAGCGAAAGTGAAGTGATCAGAGACTCTGACCAGAAATCCCATAATCACAATCGGCAAAAGCAAGATCAACATACCCATCCCAAAAAAAAAAAGAAAGAAACTCTTTTTACTGCCAAGGAAATTGAAGTCCACCGTCAAAATCCAACCAACCTAGAGAGAAATTAAGTCCATATCCTTCAAAAATAAGTTTCCCCCATTTAGTATATTTCTAGAAAAATAATAGTTCAAAAAAACAAAAACGTATGAATTAGAATCCGCAAACATTAGTAGTCAGACACTGCCATGTCGAGAGGCAGACGCCATCGCCACCGCCTGTGCCCATACCTTCAACCGAGCCTTGACATCTCTCGGATCATCTCCTATGTGACAAAATCAATAAACATTATTAACATCTTTAAAAAACGACAATGCATAAAACTCCAACAAAATACTAAGAAATCAAATTACCAGGGCTAGAAATGCGCCAATTGGCAATAGGGGAATTCCCACCACTGCTCGTTTCAAGCGTAGATCCTGAAAGAGAGACAATTCCTGGCATCTCCAACATTCTTTCATGTTCTAATTCAAACCCAAGATCTCTGCAAGCTTTCACTTCATCTAAATCCAAGCACAATGACCTTTTCCCTCCTTTCGGCCTCGTTATAACCTTTAGCCCTCCACCTTCACTCTCACCACTAAAACTGTTACAATACCCATAATAATTATTAATATTCCCAATTCCCATAAACATACTCTCTTCATCTCTCTTTTTAGTACTCTTATTTTCACCATCTATCCATCTTTCTCTTATCACTGATCTTCTTCTTCTTCTCAAATTCTTTTTGACCTTATTACCCTTCTGAGCTTCATTTTCACTTGCGTACTCTTTTACCCCTACAATCCGATTCACCAACCCAGAACGAATTCTCCGGCGGGGAGGAGTCGCTGGAAGTGAGTAACAAGCGGGTTCTTTATCGGAATCGGAAGAAAGATCGAGCATGGCTATCCCTTCTTTCTCATCGGAAAGTTCTTCGTCTGCGTCGAAGCTTTCTAAAGACAATCTTGACAAAAACATTCTCATACCATCACAATCTTGATAATCATCGTCTTCATTAGTATACATAGAACTCGTACATACAGATAACCTGGACAAGTTATGTGATTGAGGCTGGTGATCATAATTCCCATCATCTGTAGTATCATGATCATCATCATCTTCTACCATAACAGAAGGAGGAGGAAGCGAGTTCATGGTCTCATCTAAAGCCATGTTATTTCAAACCTGAAATCAAATTCACTACTAGTATAGTACTCAGTGAAAAGGAAAAGGAAAAGGAAAAGGAAAAGAGGGGAAAGTGACTGATCAAAGTGTTTTTGGGATTGGAAAAAGAAAAGCGATTACTACAAAATGAGTGTGGCTTTTAGGTTTCTGTGTATCATTCGTTTCTCAATTCATGATAAGGTGAAGGTAAACGTAATCTCTTAGCCAACATTCTCATTTATACAAATTTCATTTCTTCGTAAATACCGATATACCCTTCCACGTGTCACTCCTGGTTCATTTTTTCATAATTTTTTTGCCTCAAAAGGTGAAGGGTAATTGTGGTAGTTTAGTTAAAAGAATCACCATTAAACACTAATTGCATCATTATAATTTTATAATCCTAAAGATTAATTTCGTCGATGAAAGGACTTATTTGAAATTTTTTTAAATCCAAATTTGAGAGTTATGGATATACAATGATAATTATGGAAACAGAAATTGATTGGTTGAGAAAGAGTTATCACAAACAATTGAATTAAAATTAAAAAATTAAAATGGAATAAATGACATGGAATGTCCAAAACTTCAAATAAGAAAAAAAAGAAGATTCCTAAATTGGTTGGATATACTAATGATTAAGGAAAACACACGTCAGATATTAGAGGATTAGCGTAGGGAATGAGAGCGCAACGAGTGTCCCACACCACTAGATAAATGACACGTTGCATGGAACAATTCTTGCAAGTTGCAACCAAGCTGAAATGAGTTGAGTGAATGAGTGAGTGAGTGTGAGCAACGCAAGATTTCCGAAGACATGGGCAAGTTAAAAAGAAAGGGAGTGAGTAACGTAAGGTGAAGGAGGAAGGTCACTGACTGGTCCAGTAGTTAATGAGCTGTGGTTCTGTTCTGATCTGAATCAGACTAACTGGACAACGTTATTAATGTGTAGACGTCTCATCATTCAACATTTTCTACTGCTATTTGTTCCATTCAGGTCATGCTTTTATCACTGTCGAGTGGAAAATTCAAGTGCTGCCAATCCTACTCTTTTTTTTTTTTTTTTTGGTTGCATGGAACAATTCTTGCCAAGTTGCCAACCAAGCTGAAAATGAAGTTGAGGTGAATGAGTGAGTGAGTTGAGCACGCAAGATTTCCACGAAGACATGGCAAGTTAAAAAGAATAAGGGAGTGGAGTATCACGTAAGGTGAAGGAGAAGGGTCACTTGACCTGGTCCAGTAGTTAATTGAGCTGTGTTCTGTTCTGATCTGAATCAGAACTAACTGGAACCAACGTTATTAATGTGTAGACGTCTCATCATTCAACAATTTTCCTAACTGCCTATTGTTCCATCCAGGTCATGCCCTTTTTATCACTGTCAGTGGAAAATCAAGTGCTTGGCCAATTCCTAACTCTTTTTTTTTTTTTTTTTGGACGAAAGAAGCCAATACCTTACTACTTGGAGGTTGAAGTTATTTTTTTTTTTTTTTTTTGGAGAAGAGCCAATACTACTCTTGGGGTTGAAGTTAAGCATTTGAAATTTTTCATTTTTAAAAAAATTGGATTGCTTAAATCTTACTAACTAGGTAGTTAAATTTGACCAGATGTTTATCTAAAATTTGATATGATATAGATAATTTTTTTATTAAATATATTTTTATCCCCGTAAATTTTTTATTGTTATATTTGAAATATTCAAATCGACTTTAATTATTATCAAGATTTAGATTTTTTTTTTTTTGTCAAATACATTAGATAATAATCAAAAATAGAAAAAAAAAACAATATTTGGATTTAGATTTAGATTCATTGGAGTTAATTATGTTTCTTCTTTTTCCATTAAGTTTGATTGTGGACTATTTTTTACGTGTAAAATTGGAAAAAAAAGGACCTAAAAGTGCAGCATTGTTGTGTGCAACTGCAACCTTTTTGCTTTTGCTTTTGCTTTTGCTTTTTAATCCATTTGAATCGAGACTATTAAGCTCAGTTATTGCGTTAACTTTTCCTAATGTATCTAGATTCTAATCTAGTCCAATTAGTAAATTTCTAACTATATATATCTATATTTTACATGTAAATATATAGTTATTATTATATATGGTTTCTCCCGCCTTGCATTTCCAAAACTACCCTTTTCAAATACAATGAATAAGGATAGTTTGAACAGCAGATAAGGTTCTAAATTTTGTTTAGGATCAATTATTATATCATAAGAAAATAGATTCAAGGATAATTTTCAATAGAAATTGTTATAAGAATTGGTACATTAGACGCAAATGCTTGTGGAAATGGTTCATTTCTATGGAAATGTACCTATAACACCCGAATTTAGAGATTTTTTGAATTGATCAACTGTATAATAAATTTTATAGGATATGAAATCCATGTATTAAAAGATTAGATAATAAGTCGCTTTTGATTTTTGTTATTCGGTCCCGTTAGCGTTAGAGGCCCACGAGACTGTTTGATTTGATAACGATGTTCATCGGGTGATGTATATTAGCGCGTTGAATAGAACAGGTGTCCGCGTTTTTATTCACAGACCTCGAAAGGATCTCAAACTACATGGGCCCTAGTGGGCCCACACAACCCAATAGCACCAAAAAAAGACCAGCTGCATGCATTTAGTCGCTCACCTCTCATCAACTACACCACGTGTCAATAAAAAGGCCACCACAACACATCACTTAT